AGACCTGGCAGTCCGCAGATGTGCGATGATCTGAAAGTTACGTCAAGCGCGATATTCTCAGGCCCAGATGCAGTGAACAAGTTCATCGATAGCTTGGATCGATACGAGGACACCGCCATGGCTATATCCCAACTCGGCCCGTTCTTCGATAGCAACGAGTCTTGGTCTGGCGAGCAACTCAACCAGCGAATTCTCAGTGCGTTTAAAGTAGCTTTGCTTGTCTTTCCTCATCTCTTCATCAGTCTCCATCAACGATATCATCGACAAACGCTCTCAGAGAAGGCTTGACGTCGTTCAGCGCGTTATTTTCAACCACATTAAGCCTTATTTCTCAAATCAGCACAAGAGCGTCAATGCGGACACGGGAAGAGTTAGGATGAGGGATCTCGCTAATGAGCACATCGATTCTATCGATGCACCTGCATGGAAGACGCACAAGTTTGGCATTTGGGGTACATTAGCACTCCTCATGAGTATCACGGATGTACGATACCATCTTTACTGTAGCGCTCCGCTCACACAAACCTAAGGTGTCGCAATGCTGGTTCATGTTCCTGCCTCCAACTATGAGCATGCTTGATGACCCCGAGCCTTTCTTTAAGGTGCGCGGTGTGAGACTTGCAAGGATGCTCATAGATACGTTAGATAGTAAACTTATCAATCAGGCTGGTCTGCGCACACTGTGGGAAAGTGTGAGTTTTGCATTTTCTTCTTCGGTACCTTCTGACACCCTCACCAGTCGTTTTCTACTGCCCTTACATTTTTCGCACAAGATCACGGCGCGGAATTGCTTATCGGCGCTGTAGAAGCCACGCTAGCTCTCTATCGCAAGACGACAGTTGACACAGAATCACTCTACAAACTCACATTGGATAGTGTCATTCAGCCTTGGTTCTATGCAGGGGATAAGCTGGCTGTATTGTTTCCAACTTTCACTGTACTGCCTCAATTGCTAGAAGCGATGGATATAAATTCTGTGCGGTTTCTGAAGGTGGGCGGGCGTTAATCAAAATAGTGTCAGTCTCATCTAACAACAACAGGCTATCATCCCACAGATCAACAAAACTCTTCTTATTGCCTCTCCAAACGAACACTCCTTGCCTGTCCAGACGGCTGCTCTCGACGCGCTAAGCACGCTGATCCGGGTGTGCGAGCCACGAATACATCAGCGCAGAGTGCAGATACTTGAAGGATTAGTCAAAGCTTTTGTGAAAGATGGTCATCATCCGGAACACTGCTCCAGACTCCAGTATTGCTTTGGTGTACTTAAGAAGACTGCGCCGCAAGTTAGTGATGATTTCAAAGCGCTAACCAACATACACCCGTCTTTGAGCTCTTTAGACATTGACTTTTAGTTGTTCAATAACACACTACGCAGGTGTTTATATTTTCTATACCTTCCTCCAATTCAGACAAGTTCATCACCGCTCTCGCAATGACCTCATTTGAGCGCTTGAATTCACAGACTACATGATTTCAGATAAAGCTGTGCAGCCTCGATACAGGTCTCATATACGTCCTTACAAGGTGGAGACGGGATAGCAGTATCTCGTGGATGAACATCGGCACCATTTGTCAATGAGAATAAGGTTGCTATAGTTGGTGGTTAGGTTGATACATCCTTGGTCAGAGTTTAATTGTAAAATAGCGATTGGTTTGAATTGTGTAAGGACGTCGGCATGACTTTTTCAGGAACATCAGAAAAAGTAAGAGTGTCCCAAATTTGCTTGAGTAAATGGGTAGAATGTTTCATAAGCTCAAAGCGTCCCGAATAACGCTGACACAGCATATGAAAGTCGATGATACTTAGCTTTACTCAAAGGCGGGGTGATGTAAGCAAGGGTGATGAAATGGGACAAATTGCTCGCCAATCACTCAAATAGGTGGTTATTACACGGTTATACTTTTGTTATGCTCCAGTGTTCAGTGCTGTGATGAGTACCTGAAATTCGTTTGCCTGGTTCAGCAGAAGCAATGGCTAGAATTGATAGACTGTGCGTATGTGTGTATTCAGACTACAAACACATGCCTTTCTTTAGTATATGACATCAATACATTACAATATTCCAATAAGTTATGCTTTCTATAATCTCTAAACCTCTGCTCCACTTCACTCAACCACTGTATTCCATGGCTCTGGAGTGATTTTGGCGCGATTAAAGGTATGCTGCATGGCCTTTTCTTCCTCCCCGTTGATCTTGTCGTCTGTAACAGTCTCTCTGACAAAGGTGACAACTTGAGGCGAGCCGCTCTGTCCAAACCTACCCACACGACCAGATATGTGCGAGTACTTTGTGACATCCTTTGTTGGACCTGCAATCATAACAAGCTCGAGAGAAGGCATGTGCAAGCCCCGTACAGCATGCTCGTGGGTAATGTAAAGTGTTCCTTTATCGTCATCACCTACGTTCTCCTGCAACCCTTCATCTTGATCATCGTCCTTTGAAAGGTTGACGAGCTGGCGTGCGTTAAGACCAAGCTCACCAAAGAAATCCTCTAGCCGCTTTATCGATGCGTTCGATGGTACAATCAGTACTGCAGACCCATTGTTATCATTGTGTGCACTCCATATCGCAAATGCCGCTGCTACACTTTCGAATAAATTCTCGTCCTCATTCGCCTCTCCTAAAAACTTGCTCACCTCATTGCGTCTGAGTTGCAACTCCTTACTGCCACCAATTTCACTATCGTTTGTACGAATGTTGCGAATTTCACCACGGTTGTTAACCACAACACAACAGTGTCTCACTCTTGTGCCCTTATCGCTGGTGTCAGCATTGATGTATGAGGTAGCTGGACCAGCCCAACGCTTTTCGACCTTAAGATGACCCCTTAGGGGTGCGTTGAGGGACGCGCTCGTCGCGATGAACTGTATTTTGCGATCGCGACCTCCCATCAAAGCATCTATGAGCGGGTATAAGACGTCCTTTTTCTTCTTTGGCGATTTCTTGAACGATCTTGTCGATCTTCTTGTTGATGGCGATGGTAGGAGCGCGTCAACCTCATCAAGCGCGATGCAGCTGAGGTCTTGGACTATGTTGCGCTTCGCTTGAATGTTAAAGAGGCTTGGGTCGTGAGCTAATGCATCAGCTAGGCCGTTAGGGGTGCAGACGAGTACCTTGGGGATTGTAGAGCGCAATGTCAACACTTGATCTGAGGTGGATAAATTTGGTGAGCGATAGAGTGCGCCGACGTAGCTGGAGTAAGTCTGTGGGTATAAAGACTCGCTCCAGAAAGTATATTGCCGTAGTAGCTCATATGTTGGGACCATAATCAATCCAAGGATACTCTGTCTATCGTCCTCGTTCACGCTGGCGAAGCTTGTGCTCATTGCGAGAGGATCAAATGTCACCCTCCTGCTCCGGCTGCTAGACTTTTCATCTGCTCGCGTGCGTGATGCCTGTGATAAAAGAGATAGCAGCAACCCAAGTGACCTGAAGAGAGAAGACAGGGTGAGATCGGAGAGAATGCGACCAACTGCAACTCACTTTCCATCACCCGTATCAGCCTTAAGAAGTACATCGTATCCGTTTGTAACCCTGGTGATCAGCTCGGATTGTGCATGTGTGGGCGTGCGTATGCTGGGGAAGCTGGACTGGACGCGATTGAGGAGATCCGGAGAAAGTGGTAAACTACTGAAGCTGCCAATTTTCAATCTAATTCGTGACCATCTCATCGTTGTGCACTCGCAACCATGACTGAAATACCTGCGATCAAAGACCCATACATTTTAGCAGCAGTAGCTGGTATACTAATTGCATTTGGATTGGGCGGATACCTCGGCTGTAAGCAGACGCTTTGTTTCTCCCCTGCGCACGATTGTTTACGCTGTCTTCGCAGTATTTACCAGCAAACCAAAGCCAGTGCTCGATCCAAAGGTGTTCAAGGAATTCCCTTTAGTTGAAAAGACCAAGCTTAGCCCAAACACCGCCCTCTATCGCTTCGGATTGCCAAATAAGGACGATGTACTGGGCTTGCCAATCGGACAACACATTTCAGTCCAAGCTGAGATCAACGGCAAGCAAATTATGAGATCATACACTCCTACTTCCTCAGACGATGACAAGGGCTACTTTGATCTCGTCGTAAAGACATACGATCAAGGAAACATCAGTCTCTTCCTTGATAAGCTCAAAGTTGGTCAGAATGTGCGTATTAGGGGTCCAAAGGGTCAATTTAAGTATAACGAGAATCTTACTCATCACCTTGGTATGATTGCTGGTGGAACTGGTATCACTCCAATGCTTCAAGTATGACATCCCTTTAAATGGTGTGTTGCGCTAACACACGTGTCACTCAGGTCATCCGTGCTATTCTCAAAAATCCACTCGACACCACCAAAGTAGACCTGATCTACGCCAATGTCTCAATCGATGACATTCTCATGAAGAAAGAAATTGATCATCTCGTCAAGCAGGAGCAAGACAACGGCAAAAACAGACTTAGAGTGCTTTACTGCCTCAACTCACCACCAGCCAGCTGGGATGGCGGTATCGGCTTTGTTAACAAACAAATGATCGAGGAACGCTTCCCATCGGCAGACAAAGAAGGCAAAGTTTTGCTCTGTGGTCCACCTCCAATGATCAACGCAATGAAGAAGCACCTTGATGACCTCAAGTATCCTGCTCCGCGCGCTGTTTCAAAGTTGACTGATCAAATTTTTTGTTTCTAGGTTTTAACGTATAAGAAAAAGAGCTGTCAACAAAGCTTAAATGAATAGACGATACACTGTTTAGTTTGAGAGCTATTTGACTAGCTGATTACCGTCATAGTCTGTTATTTTGCCGTCTCGATTGACTGTGGGTGTGTTGAACACACTTTCGTCGTAATTCTCCTTATCAATCATGCTGTTGTTCATGGCATCCTCATCTTCCTCACCTAGCACTTCGAATTTCGCCTGGTCTTTTCTGCGCTGACTTGCAACGTGCAATTGATTGACTAGCTCAATCTTCTTGTTGGTGTTAATCTCACTCTGTTCTGATTCCGTTCTAAGTCTATCCGCAAACTCTACCTCTTGTAGCGTCAATTGCTCACGCATCAGCTCAAGACACTCCTCTCTGGTTCCCATTTCTATCTCCGCACAACGCATCTCAGCTTCAAGCCATCTTTCCTTCATGTCTTGGAGTTCAGAAAAGAGGAATTCTGTGAAAGGATCGTTCTCATCGTCGCTGTCTATCTCACTACCCTCTTCATCTGTTGCACGGTTATCTGTGTCCGCTTCGTCCTCCATAGCTATGCTTTGATCTCCCACTTGAACATTGACGAATTTATCGCTCAAGCTCTCGTCACTACTTTTGATACTTTTATGACTGCTATTGCTTGGCGTATGTCCGATCCTCTCTCTAATTGCACCTAATGTGTCTTTGATGGTAGAGTTAACCTTCTTAGGAAGCAAGGTTGATGGCGCTTTTGAGACGTTGACATCGCGAGCTACAGCTGAGAACTTCATTACATGGGACGTTTCCATGAATGATGTGTCGAATGGGTTGCAATGCACCAACATTACTGCCTTGCCGTCTCCGACAAAGAAGGATTGGAATATCTCTGTCAACTTGGAATGTCTAAATGGTACCGGTGCTGGCTGTAATGCTTTAATTTTGGGTGTGATTTAACAAAGGACGAGAATAACGTACCTTCTTATTCTCCTGACGACGCTGATTAGCACGGAGGATCTCCATACATTGACCCAAAACCATCAAAGACTTGTTAATGTTACCAGCTTCACGCAGACGTTCACCTGTATTGCCAGTGTTTTTGCTTCTCTCAGAACCAGCTAAATCGACCAGTGAGAAACGAGAAAACGAAACTGCATTCGGATCCTGAACATCTGTTAGCATTTGCGTGTTTTAAACACAAATAATCACCTTCTGTGCTCCACTATTCACTCTCATCACGCGAATGTTGAAGATGGAGTGTGAACGACTACTAGCGCGGTTTGCGAGTGTCGAGAATACTTGTCTGTTGTGTGTGCCAAGCTCTAGTAAGGCTCTTGCTTGCTGTAGGGACTGTCAGCCATCACCTTTAAATCAAGACAACACTTCAAACCCACCTCAGGGGTGTCACAACGAACTTCTCTCAATCCTTCAATGTACTTGGCGTCAGCATCTCTATCGCTCCTCAATCCAAGCGCTTTACGCTTAACGACTATGGTTGTTTTCTTTGAAGTAGCAGTACCCATGCTACCAACGCTATTGCTGGGGTGTAAGTTGGAGGTGGATGGCAGACTCTCAAGCAAATCATAAACCTTCTCATTGTAAATTTCAGCAAAAGAAATCCAGATTGCGTACTTGTAGTTTTTGTCAAGATTGAAAGACGTGTCCTCGGATTGAGAAACAGGATTAGGTTTTCCAGGGAAAACATCGTGGAAGAATTGAGCATGCTGATTACGATGTCCAGATAAACCAGAGAGTAAGCTAGCGTGTGGAGAGTGGCGGGTGCTTTCCACGGCTGAGACCTTTGATGGTCTGAAATCGTGATTGGCTTTCAAATCACCGATACTGTTAAAAATGACATCCAAAGTGCGCGGAATGATGCCCTCCTGACCTTCACCTTGGCCACCTTGCATTGAGTATGTTTTACCAGAGTTTGTGACACCATAAGCGAATAAGAGAGCATTCTGAGACTTGAGAAGAACATCTTCAACGAGTGGAAGAGTCGTTTGAGTGAAGAAATCTGATTGTGAAGAAGACAATTGCATCTTCTCTTTCGAGGCGGTTGAAGGCATATCAGAGAGGTTTGGATGGAATACCTTTGTGAAGGCATATCTCTCTGAGCTGATTCCAGCGCCAAGTGAGAGTCTGCTGCCGCCTAACAAAGAATCTGAGGGAGCTGTCAACTCAACTTGAGTTGGGCTAATGACTTGTAAATAAGGATCACTAAGGGAGCGGTCTCTAGTTCCAGCGTCAGGATTTCTAACTCGTAAATAAGTCTAGCAGGTGAGTTAGGAATGTGAGTCACTGGCACTGCAACTGAATCTAACCTTGATAGGCTCCTTCTCTGGCGAGTATTGGGCGATAGACAGTTTACCTTTGTGATTTGTAGTGGTACGCCTCTTTTGACCTTCAGCGACGACGACTCTACGCGCTGCGTTTGTTGCAGCAGTTGCTGTTGTAGCTTGAGCCCGTCCAAGTGTAGGAGAAACAAAAGATTGATTAGATTTCAAAGGCAATTTCGAAGGAGATTGATTGGTTGGAGATTTCTTCGTTTGTGATCGCGTCGTCCTCATCGTTCAACTTGAAAATACAATAAGGCGCGTCACTCAAACTCAAACGACGATGGACGGTGATGTACTGGTTAATGCGCCGATTGTGATTGATAATGTGGGCAATCGGATTTCATCATTCACAACCATATTTATATTTCAAAGGGCTCCGGTACAATCAAAGCTGGTTTCGCAGGCGAGGATCATCCAAGTTGCTTCTTTCCCGTAGGTTGGCGCGCTTGCGGGTCTTTTATACTCAAATTACTCCTCATAGTCACAGTCGGTCGATTCTTCTTTCCTTACTTCCCCACTTAACCAATATTCAGCGTTGGGAGACCAAAACATGCAAGAGTTATGGCAGGAAGCTTAGAAGGCGAGCAATTTATTGGCAGAAAAGCTCAAGAGCTGCGTGGATTGCTTAAAATTAAGTATCCAATGGTATGTACCGCTGGCGAAAAACCCACACACACCTAACGCATACAGGAACACGGTATCGTCACAGACTGGGAAGATATGGAGAGAATTTGGTCTCACATATACGCTGATGAACTCAAAGCACTTTCAGAGGAGCATCCTGTGTTACTCACAGAAGCACCGCTCAATCCACGCCAAAACAGAGACATTGCTGCTCAAATATTCTTTGAAACTTTCAATGTTCCTGCCCTTTTTACTTCGGTACAAGCGGTTTTATCTCTCTACTCCTCTGGTAGAACAACTGGTTTAGTCTTGGATTCTGGTGATGGTGTCACTCACGCCGTTCCTGTCTATGAGGGCTTCTCAATGCCACATGCTATTAGAAGGGTTGACGTCGCTGGTAGGGATGTCACTTATAACTTACAGATGCTGTTGAGGAGGTCCGGTTTCAACTTGACAACATCCGCAGAATTGGAAGTTGTAAGGACAATAAAGGAAAAGTGCTGCTACGTGGCTCTCAATCCACAGAAAGAAGAGAAGGAGGCTGCTAGTAGGGGTGACAATGCGCGTAAAGAGGAGTTTAAGCTGCCTGATGGACACACAATTAGAGTGCGTCTTCTCCTTCCCTTCATACCTCTTCTCACTACCCCCACAGCTAGGTCCCGAGAGGTTTAGAGCACCAGAGATACTCTTCAATCCAGAACTCGTTGGTTTGGAAGACGCAGGTGTACATCAAGTTGTCGTAGATTCTATAAACAGGTCTGATCTTGACCTCCGAAAATCCCTCTTTGGCAATATCATTTTATCTGGTGGATCAACCTTGACTAAAGGTAAGTGTGTGGCCAGTAGCTTCAATAAAGTCCCCTAAGAAAAGAAACCCAGGCTTCGGTGATAGATTGCTCGCAGACGTCAAGAGGCTGGCACTTAAGGATGTCAAAATTAAGATCTACGCCCCACCTGAACGCAAGTACTCTACATGGATTGGTGGATCTATCTTAGCTGGTTTGAGTACTTTCAAAAAGGTGTGTCTTTGGGGAGGCTATATTCTCACAACCAACTAACTTTATCTTATAGATGTGGATATCGGCTGAGGCTTTCGCTGAAGATCCTGATATAGTTCACAAAAGAGCCTTCTGATAGAATTTCAAGTTAATTTATACCCACATACATATGCGCAATTGATTCAAATAAATACGATATCAGACTTGTTTAAATACGTCTGTTTGTATACCTTGGACTTCTTCATAGTGGAGTTTTGACAAAGCCGCTCTTTTTACTAGCTCGAGATAGCTTGCCAGGGTGTTCGAACCGGCGACGCCCTTCTTTATCAGTGATGTTGACCGTCTTACGAACTCGAGGTAGATGCGGTAGCGCTCATCAGCCACGGTGTTAGCAAGGTTGAGTGCTTGGTCAATATATCTATATTTTGATTAGATTGAGCGGTTGCTGTGACATCCACACTCACCCAATGTTGATAGACTTGGCTTCGTAAAGGGATGTATGCAATCTATGTACCAGCTCCGGTATGTATATCTCTCTTATTCTCTCCAACTCCATCACCCGCTTCTCGTGAGCGTCTTCTCCAAGCCTCATCCACTCAGTAGTGAAAATCTCCATTGACTTCTCCTTGACAATGTGAGTAAGTGTCTAGTGAACATATAATTGAGTCAGAAGCATATCATCAAAACAATCACCCACCTCCACCTGATCTGACCAAGCTTTGTAATCCAATTTAGCAACTTTGTTAGTATCAGGTTGGGCCGTCCACAGCTCAACGAGTTTGGTGTGATTATCAAGCAGCTCAAATAGCTGTTTATATCCACTATATTCGACAATTTGATCGTCGATACTAATGACGTCTTCCTCTTCCATGTTGCTGTTTGGTTGATGCGCCATTAGATCAGCTGGTAGCGAGTCGAGAAGCTTGTAAGCAGCAGAAACATTACCACTTGCCAAAAAGTACCTCATCAGCCCATTACTCTGTACCAATGCGAATCTGTAAGTTTCTTTTGCAAAGATGAGCCACTCTATGGATCTAAGCAGAGAGAGATTTTTGTACGACAAATTACTGGTATTTGCGAATGTTGTAATATCTGGTGCTATTGTGGGTACTTCCGGTAATCTAGTAAATGTGTCGATAAGTGTCAGCTCAACAGTTCTGCATGCAACACCCTCCAAATCCAATCCATGCTCACGCGTTTGCATCAGAGCGGCTTTCCTGACATCAATTGGTGTGGTTATGTCAAGTGAATGGAGATAGTGGGCAAACGACTCCCCACCAGCACCTTCACCAAGACAGCCTGCATACATTCCTACCAGCTCCTTCGCTTCGTTACGTTGCTCAAGAGTGCGCACGTAGACTTCTAATATAATCTCAGCGGGTCCGTTGGGTACATCCTCTGTTGGATTTTCGTCGTCGATTGCACGAAGAAAGAGAACAAGGTGGGCAAAGAATCTAATCAAATGTGCGAAAGCATCAGGAGATACCATCTGAGCTGTTTGGGGGATTTGAGAAGCAAAGTTGGTCAGCAAATGATTTGTTCTCTCAAGCATGACATTTGTTTGAGTGATTCTGAAAGGATTATGGGCTGAGTTGCCGACGTTACCGCCCAGCTTGAGTATTTCTTCAAAGATTGCTTCCAAGTTTTCGGCGACTGGTTCGCTTTCGGGAGCGTTGGTATTGTCTATAGATTCATACCAATATCCACCAGTATTTCTAAGTGATTCATCAATTTTTCTCTCCATCAAGGCATTTACGCGTGCCCAAAGGTGATCCTCCCAAGTGCTGCACACGGGTATGACTGAAGAGAGAGTACCCGACAGACAACCATACAGAGCCCTCTCGTATGGGTCAAAGTCAGGGTTCTCGCTCAGTTGTGAAGCAATTTGTTTCCAAAGTTTACGCTGCTTGTTGCCGGATATACCATTATTGAGAGCAATTTCGGGAGAAGCTAGCGAAGGATCATCCCACAACTGACCACCACGCAAACTAGCAGCACGCCAGGGCTGATCGGATGAGCGACAAGCATCCAACGCCAAGTCCATTCTGCCCAAACGGATGTATTCGAAGAGAGTGCGCGTGAGAGGTTTATCATACTGAGAATCCTCCACGTCGAGTTGCTTGCGTTGACGAAGGGGAGCGTCAGGATCAATGGAAGTGACAAGAGAAGGGGGAGTACTTCCCTGTCTCTTTGCCTGCTTGAGCTTGTTTTTAGTGTAAGTGTGGTAGCCTTTGCGGATTTCGACGGGGTATAAAGGAGTGGGGATGCTATGGAGCCATTGTCTGATAGTATTAAGTTCCAGAAGTTCGTTGGATTGAGAAATGAGTGGTTGAGTGAGGGTGAGTGGTGGAGTGTAAATATTTGATTGTAAGATCTCATTTGCTGAGAATCCATCATCCAAACCAGCCAAACGATCTTCGTAGATTGCGTGTATAAGCGTCCAAGTATTCCTCTCTAGGCTCCATGCTTCGCGTTCAGCGTCGTTGAGATTCGAATGAAGAATGTTATCGCATAGTTGAGCGAATAAATCTGGGAGATGAAGAATATTTCCAGATTTGTTATTCGAAATTTCAGATAAAATTCCCGCGAATTGCTGATACACGGTCATTGTAAGGTTCAAAGGAACGACGACGACGAATATCAGATGAAATGAATAAATTAGGTGGAATCGCAGGAATACTCATCTTCATTTCTTCACTCATCTCTTACGCTGCAGAGACTGAATTGGCTCAAGTCGTTGAATCACGCTTAGGCTACTCAAAGCCTTACTTTATGCTCTATCTAGCACACTCCAGCTTCTGTTTCTGTCTTCCTCTTCACCTTCTCTTCCTCAAGATTACTAGCAGCGTCCCTTCGAAGCTCTACCTCAAAGGTCTCGCTCTAGCAACACGCAACGTACTCACCCCAAATGCCAGTCAGCCTTCACACAACGCTGGCTTCTGGGATATTCTCCCGGTCAAAGTTAGCTTGATTAGAATGTACTTCCTCACCGCTATGGCTACACTTGCCGCTGTCTGTTGGTGGGTATCTGTCAAATACACGACGTGTGTCAGATCATTCCTATCTGATTAATCCCTCTAATTATTTTCATCCAGTGTTGCTGATCTCACTGCTATTTGGAATAGGTAACTACCCCTCCCCCCACTCCGCAATCGTCTCTGATAAACACCTCCAGCTCAGCTTTCTGGGCATATATTTTCGCAATATACCTCCTCGGTGAGAAACTACAAAAGTCTAAGCTAGGCGCTGTTGTCCTGGCTTGTTCTGGTGTTGTGTTGATTGCGTATGGAGGTGAAAGATCTTCACGCGAAACACCCCTCGAGGAAGGCGAAAAGAGAGCTAGATTTTCAACAGCATTGCTTGGCGATCTCTTGGTATTCATTGGTAGTCTCACTTTCGCACTTTTCGAAGTTTGTCTTAAGAAATACGCAAGTTTACCTGATAAGCATGATAATGACGAACGAGATGAATATGAGTCTGACGCTTTCGATTTCGGTGAGAGTTCAGATGAGGAGGATGTCGAACATCAAAAAAAACACAGAGACGACGGTGACGAATATGAGCATGAACAATTCAATTATGAAACAAACAATCAAGACGAAATTGATGATACCCTAAAAACATCTCAGAGACCTGGCTTTCTGAACCACGCTAACTCTACATCTCCACTCATTGAAGCCAATAACGTTAGTAGTGGTAATTTACATAGAATGAGTATGAGTAGGAGAGAGAGCAGCAATTCTATATCCACACTCGCGACAAACCCCCCTTTCGGCTTACATCCTAATCTCGTCAGTACAAGTATAGGATTAATCACTGTGCTCACTTTATGGATACCTATACCTATACTTCACTGGATTGGTTGGGAAAAGTTTGAACTCCCACCTTCTGCGGCCGCTTATGGATATATAGCAGCGATGGTGATGTTTGGTATGGTGTTTAATGGAGCTTTTATAGTGAGTTTAAGGAGTATTGAGCCGTGTTTAGTACTGATGGATCATGCACAGGCACTTTGTTTTATATGGGGTCCAGTTATGGCATCTGTTGGAGTGAGTTTCAAGTTCTAGACGTATTCAACACTAACAGAGATGATCAGTCGCTATTGACGATTGTGTTGGTGCAGATAGTGGATGTGCTAGTAAATCACGTACCACTGACATTATTCAGCGTGCTAGGAGGATCATTGATCGTACTTGGCTTTGTTTTACTTGTAATTACCTGATTGATAATGTATTGATTCAAAATAACTTTAATTTCCATTTATAGCCAGTTGCTCCGCCAAGAAAGATTTTCACGAGCAATGGCGGTGTACTATCTAAAACTAGAGAGAGTGGGGTATATGTGGAGTAATAGAGAATCAAAGTAGCCACCAATTACCATAAACATAATGGATGATAAATTCAACGTTTTTAATTGGAGCACACATGCTTTTCAACGCGCCCGCCTCTCTTCCGCTCTAACCACAAAGACTCCAAAAAAATAATGGGATACGAACCAGGTAAAGCTGAAAAGGGGTTAGTGGTGGCTGTGATTTGATTAACCTTTCTAACATACCTACCCATACAGTGCAGGTCTTTTCAAGACTAGGTAAGCTTGGACTTGTCGTTCGCCACTGAGCACCACTAACGGAGACAGATGCGCTCAATGTCACAACGTCGGCGCAGGTGAAGGCCACAAGGTTGGTCCAAACCTTCACGGTCTTTTCGGTCGCAAAACAGGCCAAGCGGAAGGATTCAGCTACACGGAAGCCAACGTAAAGAAGGGCATCACATGGGATGAGAACACTTTGTTCGATTACCTTGAAAACCCAAAGAAGTACATTCCTGGAACTAAGATGGCCTTCGCTGGTCTTAAGAAGCCAAAGGACCGTAACGACATCATCACTTTCCTTAAGGATGCAACCAAGTAAAACTAAAACACCTTGTATAGAATATAATTTGGCAGATAAAAGATAAAAATATGAACTCACCTCTCTATTCCATTTTGTCGTAATTAGTGTGGCTCACCCAATGAACCAATCAGAATTGATACTTAGTAAAGTGTTATTTTCTGTCTAGTTGAAAGATTGGAATTAGTTTATAATAAGACTGGCTAAACAACCTCTTGCAAACCTTCTGTCTTGTTATTCCGTTGCGTTTAACAAAGTGAAAATTCTTCAGATTTGTGGAAATTGTGATATCACGGAAGAATTTCAGGCTAACGATATATTCAGGTAAGATCAAATTGCTTAAGCGTGTAACGTTGCCAATTTAAAGTTGAGAAAGTTTTTTAAAAGTATCACCGAACATAGCCATACTTTTGCACAGAATCGCTGCCATCTCGCTCATAGTGGTTTGTTGAGTTTAGAGCCTTTGCAATATACTATTTTACCAACTCGCGATGCGAGATAACGCTGTTGTTGACTGGATGTAACACACAACACGCTACTCGTAAATTATCAATAAAGTCATTAATGCGAGTAAATTAAACTTCACTTGCGTCCAAATAAGCCTAGCCATCTTTTCGGATAAAAAGGGAACCAAATTACATCGCTTAGTTACGGCAAATGTATATATATATATATGTCTAGCGATAGCTGCTTAGGCTATGTTAGATGTATATCGATTACCCGCTGCATACGCTGCTTAAGCTCTGTCGCCTATCTCATCTAAAGATAAATGCCACTCCATTTACATCTTTGACACGTGCAGTCAACAAATAGATGCTGACATATAGATTTTTTAGTCACTATGGATCCCTGTATATTAGCCAAGTATCCCCACAATCCTACATCCTCGCAAATTACAAGCCAAGAAAATCCAGGAACTGCTCTCGGACAGTCGTGCTACTCCGAATATTCCAACACAAAGCTGCATTCTTACTCCGAGGAGATTTGTATCATTTGGTATTCCAATTCAGTGAGGGTTGTGATGCGTGTATATTTGATGTACAGCTGATGAGACCCTGAGTAATCCAGTATACGATTTAAACTGAAATTAATTTGTAAACTTCCCACCTACCAACACGCCGATTCACACAACTTCAAAATTGACTCAAATCACCGGAATATCTCAGCGCAGCACAGAATCGCTTATAAGTCGTACCTCCATCATCAAAGCGTTATTATGAACAGAAACGCGCGGAGGAAGGCAAGAAGCTTGGATTCTAATTTTGATTACGATGACAACGACTTCAAACTGCGCAGATCCTGGCTAGATAGACTGTCTTCCCAGAGGTACTTTCCAAAATCCAGACACAACGTCGCGTATGCTTTGATAGCGCTGTTGTGGGTGATTGCTTTAATATAATTGTTTCCTTTCTAACCTTCCTCACAGCCTCTTTGCCTTCAGCTTAACCAAGTTTCTTATGTGGTATCTTAATCCGGACAAAGAACCACTGCCTTGGCGATCCTACTGCCAGGAATCATCTCCATTCCCTCATCAACTCGCAGACAGTCTCCCTCCCGTTACCATCCTTGTTGGCGTTATGTCCATCGATAGATACGCTGAACGGAGGAACGTTATTAGACAGACTTACGCCCGGAATGCTTCTCCTAGAGATAGCAGGCATATTCAAGTCGTATTCGTTATTACAAATCCTAGATCTTCACTTAGACACGCTGTATACCTTGAACAAGAAACCTTCGGCGATCTCGTTATCCTCGACGTGAAAGAGAATATGAATTCGGGGAAATCTTACGAATTCTTTAATTGGGCTTCTAAATATGCTTGGTTGCCTGATCCTGCTACTCTTCCCACGCACCTCATTAGCTTCCCTTCTGCATACAACAATCCACATGAGAACATGCTCAATGACCTTCATCGCATTAATGATAAGGATTTGGAGAAAGAATTGTTTGGTTTTGATCGTACGGTCAAGGATCCTTTCATTACTAATGATGATGCTGCTGCTCAACACGCCGCTGTGGATTTAACTGTTACCCACCCTAATGCCCCACAAAACTCTAACCTAGAATACAAAAGACCTGACTTTATTGTTAAAGCAGACGACGACAGTTTTATCATTCTCGGCGAATTAGAAAGACATCTTCGCATTTTACCAAAATCGTTGATTTATTGGGGTTATCTCGTTAAAAATAAATTCATGGGAGGTCAAGCATACGCTCTTTCGTTCGATATAGTTAAATGGATGGCAAACTCAGAGTTCGTCAGGAATCATAGAAATGGTAGAGAGGATAAGGTGACAGCAAATTGGGTGAGGCATCATCCACAGGCTCATGATATTCAATGGGTCAGTGAAAGCTGTTGGATATACAACCACCCAAAAACCCACACAGTTTACAGTCATGGCTTTTTGTTCCCAAGTGAAGTGACAAAAATTAGACAAGAAAGCATACCTGGTACTATCGGTGAAGAGGAGCAGATAAGGCGCGGTCAGGGAAATAAAAATCACTCTGAAGCTTACTCTACAGTGTTTAAATGGGGTCAGAAGTATGCTGAGCCTCTAAATCATCTCAGTGCAGTGGATAGAGTGGCTGCATTGGTTGAAGGTGCAGATGAGAGTTTGAGTAAAGATGAAAAAAAGTTTGGTATACTTGGATCTCCTCGTCAAACGTTAAGTGAACGGTATGAGGGTAGACCATGGGGTGGGACGGTGATAGTACACTTTATAAAACGCCACGAATGGTTCTACGAAACAGCACTTGCATTTCTAACAGACTGGTCACTAATACCCAAGACAACACCGATCGCATCCAAAAACTACTGGACCAAGACAATAGCGCTCAACAAAGATGACGATTTTGATAGACAGAGAGGTTGGAGACTGGTTGATAGCACAGACGTTAAGAGCGTGGATATATATCGATTCAAAACAACAGTCGATCCCTTTCCGACGAGTTGAAAACTTTCATCGTAACATTGTAACAAGGAGAATACCCAAACTATACAATCAGCACAAATGTAATAATAAATTAAGTTTTGCGTTAAAAATGAGTAATTTTGAGTAATTTTGTCAAAGTGCTCAGCTTACGCGTCATCGAGTAAGGGAGCGAAGCGTCAGCTTAAGTTGATTATCAACAATCATGACAACGTTAACGACGGCAGCGGGAATATTATCATTATTAGATGAGGAGGATGTAATTATAAGGAGCCAGGCATTAGAATCTTTAATTGGAGTCGTGGACCAATTTTGGGCCGAAATATCTGACTACGTTGGGAAGATGTGAGTTTTGGTGCATGGCGAGAAGTGTAGGATACTGATACGTGCTATATCAGAGAATCGCTAAGTGAAGATAAAGATTTTGGTGAAGATTCAAAGAAGTTGGCTGCGTTGATTGCATCAAAAGTTTATTACCACTTGGGCGCTATAGACGACGCACTCAGTTTGGCATTGAGCGCAGGCGATGCGTTTGACGTAACACAGAGCTCAGAATATGTAGAAACACTGATATCCAAGTCGATCGACACGTACATCCACCAACGCCAGCATAATCAAGCTGTTGATAATAGATTGGAATCTATTGTGGATAGAATGTTTTCCAAGTGTATTTCTGAAAAGGAGTACAAGCAGTCAGCTGGTATCGCTTTGGATAGCTTAAGATATGACGTTGTTGAGAAAGTATTCAATCTATCAAAAGACGTGAATATTTTGAGATACGTGATGGAAGCTACATCCGATGTCGTTGTGTCTTTAGAACAACGCCAATTCGTCTTCAAATTACTCGTCAAACTTTTCAATTCAAGTATACTACCATCACCTGATTATTTCTCCATTACTCAATGTCACTTACTACTCAACGATGGTAAGCTTGCAGGCGAACTGCTCGATCAACTCATCCAAAGTGGCGTTAATGACAAAGTTCTCATTGCGTATCAGATTGCTTTCGATTTGGTCGATACAGCTTCACAAGATTTCTTGAGCCATGTAACTGCTGTTGTTAGCGAGAGAGAGGGTGAGACTTACGACAAGTTGAAAGAGATTCTCAGTGGCACTCTTTCAATCAGACTCAACTTGGAATTCCTCCATCGCAATAATAAAGCAGACCCACTCGTTCTCAAGAACACAAAGGAAAGCTTGGATGGTAAATTTTCGCTATACCACAACGCAGTATCGTTCGCAAATGCATTCATGCATGCTGGTACGACAGATGACACGTGGTTGAGAGATAATTTGGAATGGCTAGGCAAAGCTAACAACTGGTCAAAATTCACAGCTACGGCTTCACTTGGTGTAATTCATAAAGGCAACCTCAACCAGTCTGTTCAACTACTCGAACCTTACTTACCTGGAGCCACATCGCACGCATCTGAGTACTCAGAGGGTGGCTCTCTCTACGCTCTAGGATTGATTCACGCCAACAACGGTGGTCGCGCTCTAGACTTCCTCAAAGACCACTTGAAGCGCGTTGGCGCAACCGAAGTCGTCCAGCACGGTGCTGCTCTTGGATTAGGTATTGCAGGTATCGGCACCAAAAATGACGAGCTCTACACGGACCTTCGCAACATTCTCTTTAGTGATTCTGCCATAGCCGGTGAGAGCGCTGGTTACGCAATGGGTTTGATAATGCTTGGTACTGGAAACGAGAGCGCTTATGAAGAGATGCTCCAGTATGCGCATGAAACACAGCATGAGAAAATCATCAGAGGTTTGGCGCTGGGTATTGCTTTCCTCATGTATGGACGTGAGTCGCAAGCCGACAAGGTGATTGAGACGCTCTTGAATGATAAGGTGGGTGTTTGTGTAGTAGCTCGAAGTAAGCTGACATACATCCAACTAGGACTGGATACTGAGATATGGTGGTGTATACACGATAGGTCTCGCATACGCAGGTACTGGTAACAACAAGGCCATCAAGGATCTTCTCCACGTGGCTGTTTCAGATGTCAATGATGATGTGAGGAGAGTGGCTGTCATAGCACTCGGTTTCATACTTTATCGCAATCCGAGCCAAGTACCTCGACTTGTTCAGCTGCTGTCTGAATCGTACAATCCACACGTCAGATGTGGAGCTGCGATGGCACTCGGTATAGCCTGTGCAGGAACAGCATTGGAGGTGAGTATGATTTGTATTGGATCAGTGTAAAAGCTAACTGATAGAAAAGGATGCCATTGAACTTCTCGAACCACTATCGAAAGACCCAATCGACTTTGTGCGCCAGTATGCTTATATTGCATTAGCATTGGTGTTGATCCAATCGAACGAAACCAACGCACCAAAATCGAAATCAGTGCGTGAGCAACTGAAAAACACTGTCAACGACAGACACGATGAGTCGATGGCCAAATTTGGTGCAGCAATAGCGCAAGGATTGATCGATGCTGGTGGACGCAACGCCACTATCAGTATGCAAAGTAAGAATGGATCTACTAACATGTCTGCGCTCGTCGGTATGGTGCTCTTTACTCAATTCTGGTTCTGGTTCCCATTGGTACATTGCATTTCTCTCTCTTTCACTCCAACGTCTCTGATTGGATTGGATGAACATCTTAAGATCCCTAAGCTTGATTTCGTGTCGAATGCCAAACCATCGACGTTCGATTACACACCACTACTCAAACCGCCTACTAAGGAGACAGCCGAGAGAGTGAAGACTGCCGTGCTTTCCACTACGGCGCGCGCACAGGCCCGTCAAACTAAAGCGAAGAAGGAGAAGGAGGGTGCAGATGTAGAGATGGAGGAGGAGAAGGACGATGAAAAGGAGGAGAAGGAGGAGAACAAAGAAGAAGTGAAGGAACCTGAGCCTGAGTTTGAGGTTAAGGGTAATCTCACTAGAGTCACTCCAAATCAAGTACCATTCATCGTATTTTCGAAGGACGGCAGATATACGCCAGTGAGGAGCGTATCGAGTGTGCCTGCTTCAACCAAGGTGCATAAGGAGGGTGAATTAGGTGAATCAGGATCATCTACGCCTGTTTCTATCAACAGGAGAACCCGCAGACCAACAATCGCATCCATCTACTCTTCTACACCGGCATCGGCAGGCGGAGCAGGTATACTAATCCTCAAAGATCACAAAGCAGGTGAGGAGGTTGAGTATATCACTCTCGAAGCAGGTGAGGGTAATGGTGGTGTGCAACAGCAGCAGCACAATCAGCAATCTAATGAGGGAGTTGACGATGGTGAGGAGATTGATAACCCACCACCGCCATTCGAGTACAATTTTGAAAGTAGATAGGTGTGCAAGGTGTATGTAAATTGACTGATTTGATTTAAAAAAAATTAATATCCAAGAGATGCATAATATCTTTACATAACATCTTTACATCAGATGATGTTTGTTAATCTCCTCATAACTCCATTCTAAAGGCTCTTTCTGTTGGTTTGTTTGGCTTATTTGGTTGAGGAAATCAGCCACACTATTCCAATAATCGGGACTGATGCAGGTGTCGTTGTGCGTACCATGGGGAAATGATTTCCACGTGCAGATTGACGACAGTTTCTCATCTCTATCCTCCTTGACTGTACGATAGAGAGACTCCATATGAGACACTGGTACAATTTCGTCCTGTCTACCTGAAAGGAAGAGTGTATGTACACTTTTTCCAATTTTCTTTATAGATTCGCCGCTATTCCATTTTTCAGTGCATAAGAAAGTGAAAGGGGTGAGGAGGGGAATGATAGAGGGAATGAGTTGGGGTATACTAGTAAAAGTGTTTTCTAAAATCAGCGCGTGAATAGAATCTGGATAATCTTTAGCCAAATCTATGCACACAGCTCCACCAATTGACTGTCCATAGAGAATTACGTTGGTTGATGACGTTAATGGATGTTGCTGGATGAATTTGAGAGCAGCTCTGGCATCAATACGTATACCAGCTTCAGAAGGCACACCTTCACTCTTTCCATAACCTCTGTAGCTAACCATCAAAACATTTGTGTTTAAATTTTTGTAGAAGACTTGGGCGAGTGGAAGGCGATGGCCCTGGTGAGTTTGAGTGTGAGTGTGTGATTGTTTTAACTTAAAACTCACCATATTACCCGCGTTGGCATGGAAGATTATCACAGTTGGTCGTGAACGTGATGTTTGTGATGAGGGGTGTGTTATCAGATAGGCTTTTATCTTATAAGCACCTGATTGCAGTGTTATGTCTTGGTAAGGCATATCGAACCTAGCGAAAGCGGAGGGCGTTGAGCAGTGAACATTTCTACGCATGCGACACTTACTCATTTGGAGTCATAACGACACTGCGAGAATCAGCAGGCATGTTGGCTGGATAGATTAAGCTTGTTTGATAGATATAGAGGAGAATGGCAGTGCCGCTAATGAGGACTGCTGATACTCCAATAAGGCCCTTGAGGGGAGTGAGATGGTGTGTGTGTCATGTAGCCAAGCAACCTTAGTGCACTGCGCTATAACCGATAGAGCCATGACGGTAGCTGATCAAGGGGCGTATATGAATATCTCGGCTATTTGAAGAGTGGGGGAATTTGCGGGTGGAGTTGGAGGTGCTTCCGCGTACAAATGACTCGAAATAGTTGAATTGCTCTCGACTACGTCACAGAAGAGATGATCCAAGTCGTCATCGTCGTCATCGTCCTTGTGGATGTTATCGAGGATAGAATGAAGTGCTTGTTGATTGGTGTGCTGCTCCTCCACCGATAGCGGCTCACTCGGAGAAATTCCATCGTTAATCGATTTCTTTGTTCGTTTGTGTGGTTTCCGGTGGATTACTTGGAGAGGCGTTACGTTAAGAATACGCTGTATACACATTGAGAGCCCCAATTCCTTTGTCATGTACTTGAGGCACTCAAAGCTATCCTCTAGCGCTGCGTCATCCAATCCAATCAAATGACCATCGTCCAGAACGCCAATCTGGTACAAACAGCGACCGCGACCCTGCAACAGTCTGAACTTCATCTGAGTCATGTACCTGTCCAAACGATCCTTTGTCGTGTTTAGTGTGAGTTTCAGCTGTGGCGGGTGGGTGAGTTGATTGTTCGCAGTGCAATTCAACACACTTTATACTCAACAAAGCCAACGTCACTCTCTTCAACTATCTTTCTAGTTGGTACTGTATCACTTTGAAGCCACTCCCAAATCGTTATCCCCGTCGACGTCATTATGCAACCAATTTTCACCAACAAATTTTATCAATTTATTGTTACAATGAATCAATCTAATCGAAGAGACCGAGACCCATGTCGTCGTCAGACTCTTCCTTAGGCTCTTCCTGTACATATAGGTGGTTAGCGAAAATCTTCCAAGGAATCGTATCAACGAACCTTCTTTGGTGCTTCCTCAGCGGCGGCTGGAGCGGCACCTGCAGCAGGAGCAGCAGCAGCAGAAGCAGATGGAACAGAAGCGAGCTTCTCGGTACCTTGAGCGATCAACTCCTCGATGTTCTTGCCGTTAACCTCCTCGATGAGCTTGTTGAGGCGGCTGTCATCAGCTTCGATACCGACAGTTGAGAGGAGCTTCTTGACGTCCTCAGCTGATGGGGAGGTGTTTCCACCGACGGTGAGCAAAAGGTAGGCAGCGACGAGCTTCATCTGGGAATGTGTGAGTGGTGTACATCATTACTTAAATCTCGCTCACTGTAACGACTTAAACTGTTTAAAGGGTGAACCTGGTCCAAGTCTTGAAAGGAGAAGACGCTCAGAGTTTGCCTATTTGCAGTCTGAAGATTTTAAAAAATAACGAAAATCTAAAAATATTGTAAAATATATTATTATTATATACTCGTTAATTCTAACACACACTCCCCCACGCCCTCACCAAATTTTGTAATTTTCTCTGCTCATTCACTCAACTCATAATTTTTCGAATCCCTTGTTGAGAAACAGTGATGGCTCCTGAGTTTGACGGTACAACAAGCGCCGCTGAGGCTGCTGAGCTCAAGAAGCGCCGTACGTTCCGCAAGTTTCAATACCGCGGTGTTGAACTTGAACAACTTCTCGACTTGAAGAATGAGGAGGTTAGTTGAATGGTGTGTTTATAGGGCATTTGCTAACATGTCATTCAAAAGTTCATGGACCTCGTTCACGCCCGCGCTCGTAGACGTTTCCAACGTGGTCTTAAGCGTGGTCCTCTCGGTCTCATCAAGAAGCTTCGTAAGGCTAAGAAGGAGACTCCTCCAAATGAGAAGCCTGCCGTCGTTAAGACCCACCTCCGTGATATGCTCGTCGTCCCTGAAATGATTGGCTCCCAAGTCGCCATTTACAACGGTAAAGTTTTCAACACTGTCGAAATCAAGCCTGAAATGGTTGCTCACTACTTGGGTGAATTCTCCATCTCCTACAAGCCTGTCAGACACGGTCGTCCAGGTATCGGTGCCACTAACTCTTCACGTTTCGTTCCACTCAAGTAGGTGCGGTATGGGTGTACAAGTGTTTCAAATAGCATGCATTTCATTCTAGTACTGGCTTCATAATTTATCGTCTAATCAAATGGTATGCGACGTATCGAGTTGTTGGGTTTGCTACTCGCCGCTGCCGCTTCTCCGAATGCTGATGGCACGGGTATTCCACAACAGTCACTTCCAAATCCTCCATGATGTTGTGTGCGATCGACTGTTCCTGCTTTTTGTGTGTGTGTATGTGTATGTCCACATCCGTCTACCTCCTCTGCATGCACCGGAACACCTTCAGGTGCCTGCAAAATACTTCCAAACATAAAATGCTGCACAATTGGCAACTTGCTCAACACTTCTGCTCTAAACATTTTGAACATTCCCTCATTTACCTTTTTCCATGTTTTAACTGCGCTGATATCGTCCAACATGGGCGAATGCCATCTCAAAGAAGCCGTTTTGATAGAGTTGATGAATTTAATACAGCTGAGATACATATACTCATCTGCCATTTCGAACATAACTTCCGGATCGTGTATGCTCTTTGGACGTAGGTATTTGTGCGCACTGAGCTGACCAGCACCCCAGAGGAAAGGGAGGAAATGGTAATCATCTAACCCCCAAACACCATGACTGCCAGCTGGTTCTAACCAGAATGTTGATTGCAGTTTGCGCATGATTGTGATATATCTCCAAAACACTCTAAGTACCAAAGCAGCCTCATCGCCAGGACCGAAGACACCTAAACGATCCAAGCAGATAAGCCAGCATATAAAGTTGAGCTCCATACCACTGCCATAGTCGATGCGCTGTCTATTACCCCAAGATTCATTGAAATAGGTGGAGACTTCTGGTATAGCCTCGCTGGGTATATCTAAAGCTTTGTGCAGCGATGGACTGGCCTGTAAATGGGTGTCATAAGAGGCATAAACCACGCTAGTAATCCACCCACCTCCACTACTCTATCGAGAAAATCACGGAATCCAGGATTACCGAAGCGTGACTGCTTGTTGTCGATAGGCGGGGACTGTTCTGTGATAGCATCCACTCTATCCAGCACACTGAGCACTTTGTACACTCCAGCAGATATGTGCACCTCATCAGTCAGCTTCACGTCGACCACAGCCCCGTTGAGTCTGTCAATGTACTCGAGCAGGGCGTTGAATGTATCGCTTTGCTTGAATAGCTCGAGGTGCTCATCCAATACGATTCTCTTGGTTGGCTCGGTGTATTTGTATGTCATGGATGTTTGTGATTACGAGTTACAGTTGGGAATGAAAATTATGGTGAAAATTCAATCATCTTCCAAATAACTTAGTTTTCTATTACATGAGTCTTGCTTTTCTAACTAGCCAGTTTAACCCTTTACGCCCTAGCTTCGTGGAGCTGCATTGCACAATCTTCTCCACCACTAGCGAGTAGACCGCCATCCCAATCCACGCCCAGTATCTTGTTCTGCTTTTCTGTCTTCCCATTTGCTGGATTCCTAACGACGGTGAAGAGTGCCTGTTTTGGTGATCTCACATCCCAAAGCTTGACATTTCCATCGAGGGCAGCACTAGCCAAGTGGTGAGGCGAGTGAGGATGAGAGGCGACGCTCTCGACGACACTCCCATGGCCCCAGAGTTTCTGGGCTACGTTGCTGGTGCTGCTGCTACGCGTATCCCATACACACACACTCCTATCGACGTGTCCACTCACCGCCACGCCATGGAGATTAAGTGAGTCAACACAGCGCAAAGCGCTGGCAGCTACGCGAGAGTCGCTCTCCAGCCCGACGCCGACATCCCACAGTCGGAGAGTATGGTCAGCACCAGCCGAGTATGCGCGCGTCTGGTCCTCCTTGGCGAAAGACACGCCATTAACAGCTCCCGTGTGACCGCGCAGACGGTGTATCGGGGCTTTACGCACGGCTTCCACGGCTGCCGGCTTGCTCTTCCTCCTCTTCTTGACGGGCTCTTCTGGATCGGCGTCCACCTCGTGCGCCGAGGGCGTGCGCGTGTCCCACAGACACACCAACCCATCCCAGTCGCTGCTGAGCAGGGTGTGTGGCTCGCTGGGGAGGAGCGGTGGAGCGACTGCGAGTGCAGACACCGGCGCAGCGTGCGCGGTGCATTGCAGCGTCTGCGACGGCTTGCCTGCGTCTATATCCCACATCCGCACCGTGCAGTCACGTCCACCTGTCACCACTGCATTGCCTACCCATTCGCCCGCTAGCACCGGCCCCACGTGGCCGAGAAGCTCCACTGTCTTCTCGCTGCGGCTGTTCCACACACTCGCAACACCGTCGTAGCTCGTCGTCAGGAACTTGTGCTCGTTGTGCGCTGTGCGGTTTATAGAGACACTCGACACCCAGTCGTCGTGCTCGTACGTGCTGAGGTGCTTCGGTGGGAGGATCGACGGTACGTACGAGAGGTGTAGCGTTTCTTCCTGTGTTGTGTTGTTAGTAAATTTGTACACGGCATATCCACCGATCCACCCACGCCATTGCTGTGGTTGCTAAGGACACTCGTTAGCTTTCCCCCAGCGCTGTCCTCGCCTATAAAGAAATCAAATGGCACGGCAGATACATTCTCGAGGAGGTTGTTGATCAGCTGCGATAGCTGGAAACGCTTCCAGGTGCTCGGTATCATGTACATCTCCTCTGGGATCTTGTGCTCATTGGAGATTGAATGCAGTATTACTGGTATGTTTCTACCATCCGCTGTGCTCATTTGGTGGGTTTCGTCGATAGCAGCGAATCAAGAGGGAAGACGGCGTAAATTGCAATTTTAATACATTTTATACATATATAGCTTGGCAAAGATTGTATTTCCCAATATCAATCCTCCTCCGCGAACATTTCTGCCTTCCCCGTAGCCGCCTGGTAGATACGCATCGCTTCCTCCACCGCACACTCGGAAGGCTGGATAAATGGCGCTGTGACTGTGATTGGCGTGCTGACGGTGTGTATATTGTCCTTGTCTGCATCCACATCCTCATACTCCACCTCCTCCTCGGTGTATATTGACATAAACGCAATATCGTCTTCTGTCTCGATGAGGCTGGTGATATATGGTCGAAAGAGATCCTCAAGTCTTCCACGCTCGTTGCCCACCAGATTTACCACTAGATAAACCATATAATACCCCACAGGACACACTCCCGCGCTAGCACCCTCATAATGCGCCTGAACAGCATTAGCGAAGGCAATACCTGGCTCGTAGACGATGATGGGTGATTCAGGGAGCGGGTTGAGGGTTGGCGGGTTACTCAGCACCATCACTACCCTCCCCAGCTCATTCCGACGCTTCTCGTTTGTTGATATACCGAATGGGGTGAGTGTGGGCGTGTGGCCTATCACACAGCCCGCATTGAACACCCCATCTATACCACTCATTCGTATGTTGTATCGCCCATCACATTCTACCACATCCTCGATGTCGTGGTTGAGAATGAATGTAGTGCCGCGTACAGCGCTCGATCTGCATTTGGTGGTGAGTTGTGCTGGGTAAATCAACAATAACACTCCCCGCTCACCTGCAGTATCCCTGTATTATGTCGCCAACACCCCCATACTGCGCGTAGAGGAAGCTCGACGGTCCGTAAGCGCCATGAGCATGCAGATACGAAGCAATGCGATCGAGTACCTGGTGAGATGGCTCAAACAGCGAGATAGCCATCCCGAATGAGAACACAAGCGAGTGAAATAGCTTGGTTGGTATTCCTGCATCAAACTCACTCAGTTTCACATTCGCCCCGCTTTTGTAGTCCCCATTAGACACCGACTGGAGGAATTTCATCAACATACGCTTCTCTCGCACGTTAATATCACTTCGAAAGACTTCCTGCTTCGATTTAGGTATCTGGGTAAACTGCCCGCTGGCGTTGTACACCAATCCATCAACAAGTTTGAATTCGAGGTAATTGAATATCGACGATTTGAGAATGTTCTGCAGCTGCGTTGGTGCGTTTCTCTGCGTAAGAAGCACACTGGGGTGCAGACTGATCAGGAACTTGTGTGGATTGTCGACTTTGTTGATTTGTGAAGGTGCTGTGAAGGAGGATAGAGGAAGCGTGGCCCAGCTACCCCCATAGTAATCGTTCTTATCGACATGCAAGCACTTGTAGCCAGAAGAAGCGAGTGCACTGATGTCGTCATCGTCGTGAGCTCAGTGCGTCCACCAGCTAACCCCCACACACCTAGAAAGCAAAGACTGCGTATAACCCGTTCCAATTATCAAAAAATCGAACAAGTTTTCATTTATCGGAGTTGTCGATGACATGACGGTAGACATACAAGAAATAAAGACATCAACACATCAGGTCAGTCCAGGCTCTTCATCGATCGATCTCTTTATCTTGAGCATTATCGTCGTCTTCCAGTTATCCAATTTAGTCATCTTGTCGTAATCCACAACTAGTCCCGTGTACTGCTCCTGATCGCCCTGCTCGATGGCGTCAATAGCGCCTGATAAGAATTTATATTCGCGCGACTGCTGGAAGGAGGGATCCATTTGGGTGTATTCCGCAATAGCGCGTCCCGCATCAACAATATCACCCGCAGCGAGCCAACAAAGCCCAGCCTTGAAGAAGTAATCCTTCACGCTGAATCTGGTGAGGGGTGATTCGAGTGACTGTTTAATCACCTTATCGTAGTTACTAATAGCGCGTTTGTACTGCTCGAGTTGTGCTGCGATATCTGCGACGTCTTTGTAACACGCGCTTGCTGTTGCCTTTGCATCCTCCTGTTCGTACCACTGCGCGGATTTCTCGTAGGATTCCAGAGCCAGTGTGAGATCGCCCTGCTCTGTGAGATGTATCGAGGCGATCTCTTTCATTCTGTCAGCAGCTTGTCTGAATCTGCCTGATTCGAGCAGTCCATTCACTGCTCTCTGGTAGGCGTCTACGGCGACTGATAGGAGGTTAATTAGGACGATTTAAAAGACAAACACTACACACGCTCTGGATTTGATTGCTTATATGCCTTGCCTGCCTCCCAGAAATGCTGGTTAGCTTCATTCCTCTCGTCTGCTTTTATGGCGCATTCTCCAGCCCTGACAAAGGCTTCACCAGCCTCCTTGAACATCTGGTCGATTTTGAACTTATTCGCTGCATCTCTGAACATATCTGCTGCATCCTGCTTGCGCTCCCTGTTAGCACTAGCGCCCCAGCTAAACAATCCACCTGATTGGTTTGCCTTTTTCTCTGCTTTCTGGTATAATGCTGATCCCTGTGATTTTCCCATGTCTCGTCAGTGGATGTGCGTTGCGTGGATGATGACACTTGGACTTGCCAATGAACCTTTATGATGTAAATAAAATTAACTTGACCCACTCGGCTGGCGATTGACGGACGCAATTCCAGGAAGTTAGACTCTACTCCAACACCGCCGAGCGCGATAGATTTGAGAACCTCGCCACGCTATTCGGCATCATACACTCGCTCGACTATTTGGAGAGAGCGTATGTGAGGGATTCTATAACGCAATCGCAGTACGCTCCTGCTTGCGTGAAGCTACTTGCGCAGTTCAAAACCATATTGAAGTTGGTAGCTGGGGATATTGCCGGATCTGTTGATGAATTCATGGCGCAGTATAATGTGAGTGTGGGGTGTTTTTTAAGTTTTATACTCAATTTGACCTTTCAGATGGATTGCCCTGCCGCTGCTCATCGCCTGCATGTCGGTGTGCCTGCTACTGTCGAACACTCGGCGGAGGAGGGCGTCGAGACTGGTAAATGGGTAGCTGAAACGACTCAGGTGATTTTAATCTTTATGTTAGCTATTAAACCCCATCTAACACCCCAAAGTGCTTCATTACGTTTATGGATGCTCTCAGACTCAACCTGCGTGCTAAAGACCAGCTCCATCCCATGCTAACAGACCTCATGAGCGTGTATTCCCGCTTCAAAGGCTCGGCAGAGTGGGAAGGTAGGCCGAAACTCGTTGGCTGGTGAGTGTTTCGATTTTTAGGTCATGTCGTATGTCGAATGTCTCACAATGTAAACAAATTTGCAGGTTGATCAGCCTCAACAAGATGAAAGCAGCTGATGAGATTACAGATGAGCAGTCACGGCAGGTGAGTGTCTATTTAAACTCTTAATCCCAACTCAAACCCGCCACAGATGCTGTTCGACGTTGACCACGCTTATAACGAATTTTTTAGATCATTGGGTAACGACATTAATTAGTACAAGATGTAAAGTGATTGTAAGAGTAGATAGACTGATAATGTTGCTATCGACGTCAGATTCGAGCTTGCAATGTTGTAAGCAGCTTGTGTTTTGAGGGTGTATGGTATGTGTTGGCTAAATTGTTGAATCTGGTGTATGTTTATACTCAAGTAGTTCAATGCAGGAAGAAGAAGCACTAACAAGCTGGCCAATTCCAGCTTGTACCGCCTGTAGATGAAGGTGTTTATCAGCTGAGAAGACAGACCAAGGACAAAGAGCGTGTTCATGAACACCTTGACAGCCTGTGGGCTGTGGTTGAATGTGGTGTAGAATCCAATGGAGTTGTCTGCGTTGAATTTGTTTTGGGTGTCCACCAGAAGTTTCAGGTCCTGGGTGAGGCATATGAAGAGAATGCCGAGGCTAAAAGAGACGGAAGAAAGGGTGATGCTCTTGAGGAATGTCCTAGAGGTATATAAGCAAAGACCTAGTAATCTTGAGTATTTTCAGACTTGCATTTCCAAACACTTGATCGTTGTAAATGAAGCGCCTCTTGGTGAGTAACGACGAGGATACTTGAGATAATTATTTAATATGGTGAGCTATTAGGTGATATACTGCGATATATATATCTAAGCTCACCAAACCACAGCCACCTCCAAAGCCAAAGAACTCACGAATGCTGACGCTGATCAACTACAGACTGAGAGTGACGCTTAACGACACTCGTCAGATAATTGGACAAATGTTGGCATTCGATAGGCATATGAATTTGGTTCTCGTTGATTCTATCGAGTTTAGAAGGCTCAAAGGTCCTTCAAACCAGGGCGACATTCCCAAAGAAATGAAGAGAGCGCTTGGACTAATTGTGCTGCGTGGAGAGACTATCATTTCAATATCCGTCGAAGGTCCACCACCAGTTAAGGATGAGGAACCAATTTCTGCTGGTCCTGGGCTCGGTGCTCCAGCAGGCAGAGGAATGCCACTGGGTGCAGGTATGGGAGCTGCCCCACCCGCTTTCCAGGCTCGTCCAATGCCATATGCTGGTGGTCCTCCACCTCCTGGGTTCCCGGGACCTGCGCCTGGATTCAGACCACCACCGGGGTGAGTTTTGCGCGAATTTTGAGTTGATTCAAAGTTAATAACGATGACTTAGATTCCCTGGTGCTCCTTCAATGCCTGGATTTCCAACACCGCCTCCTGGGTGAGCTATCTAAACCACCAAAACAATCCATACTAACACAGCAAACAGCTTCGGCGGTATGCGTCCACCACCAAGCTAAGCAGGCCCAGAATATTTATTAAAAATTAATTTGTATCTCCCATAAACCTCCGCCTTCTCTCTTTCTGCTTGACGATCAACTGTATTATGCAATGGCTATGGTGGGTGATATGGATATGGGCGTTATACACGCGTCTAATCGCAGCAAACAGGACGATATACACAACATAGTCACTGATAGCGTACAAGGCATCCTCACCGATGACGGCATCCCCGCTAGCCAGCTCCCAGATATCATCTCCAATCTCGCTCGAGACGGCCACCTCTCCAACTTTATCACCAAAGAGACGCTTGAGAATGTGAAGCACTTTGCCAGCACAGACAGACTCAACGCGACATATGTCAGCCTCGATGGTTTGCTTTCTCTTATCGACTCTCTTCTCGTGTCCTCGCCAAAACAAGACAGCCTGCTCGATGAGGAGCCTCTCGACGAAATAAGCTTTATACAGAATATGGGTGATAGTCCTGTCACTAAAGATAAGGCTAAGGACGGCGTTACCCCAAAAATTAGTCGCACCAACAAATTCAAAAGACCGAAACCAGCGCGTAAATTCGTCAGATCCAACTCGAGCTATACCGATACCAGTGACTACTACTCGTCTGACAATGATAACGATTTCGCTCTGCACTCTCCAACCAGCTCGCCGCCCCAGACACCAAATATCGACAACAAGGAAAATCTAAGCGGGTTTGACGGGCTGATGCTGTCGAATGCACCCTCTAACAACGCCTTATCGAATGTAGGTTGTTTTAGGTCAATATGAGGCAACTGACTCACTTCCTCAGGACGCTCTGATACACACCCAGAACCAGATCAAGGATCTCGAGAAACGTAACGCGGATCTCGAGAAAAGGCTCAAGGAAGCTGAACGTTCGTACACGCAGACGACCAGTCAGAACGAAGACTATATATCCATCATGGAAGACCAGCTCAAGGAGGTAGGTCGTGTGGTGATGTGGGTTTAAAAGTGTCTAACGCACTCCCAGAATGATGCCAAGCTGGAAGCACTCGTGCGCGATGAGAAAGATTTGCGAGCAAAGGACCGCCAGAACATGTTCACTATCAACAAGCTCGAGCATGATATTGCAACATACCAGCGTCAGGCTGAGTCCGCGCGTATCCAGGCTAGTAGTCTGCAGAGCCAATTGGGGGATGTGAATGGTGGGTGAAGCCTGCAGTGTGCATAGTGAGTGTTAATCACGCCATCCAGATGAAATCGATTCCCTCCGAGATAGCCTCCGCGATAAGGACAGGGATGTTCGCGAAGCGCGTAGCAGGGCTGACAAATACGAGCATGAAATGGGCAAAGTGGGTGCTTGATCATTCGAGTTTTTTCCTTTCTTACACTGACCAGTGGGAGAATGAGCGGAAGGGGTACGATGATGCACTCCAGCGCATCAAAACACATCTCGATGTGGCGAGGAAATCGGAGCGCGTGCTGGAGGTGCAAAAGACTGAGAATCTCGGATTGAAAGTGGGTGTTCTGTGCACGACATACTCCATACTAACACACCCTTCGCAGGAAACAATAGACAGACTGCGCGGTGATCTCAGCCATCAACTCGCCTACAACGGGAGTGGAAGTGGAGGGGCAGACGAGACGGGTGGACAGCTCGGCAGTGTGTCGCGTAATCTTGGCAAAGAGCTAGCGCGGCAGTTAACAGAAGACGGCGAGCATGATAATCAAAACCCCACTAACGCTCGCACTCGGCATGAATTGGGCGAGGGCGAGATTGAAACTATCGTTACTACGCGAAGAAGGAAAGTGAAACCAAGTGTGGAAGTGGCCGTTGGAGTTGGCTCGAAGGAGGGCGGTACCGCAGAGCATCATGGCTTGGAAGAAGCACAGGCAGACGCAGAACCTGCCATCGAATCACCTCCGCCGTACTCCCAGGGCCAGGCTGGATTTGAGTATGTTGACGACGTACGCAAGGTGTGTAGCCGCGGAGTGCAAGTATCTGTAAATAGTCGGGGTGTCGATACGCAGACGGAAGTGGACAGTCAAGCGGAAATTAACGATGGAAGCAAACGTGCCGATAATGAAAAAGAAACGAAAGGGAAAACTATATGGAGTAAATTATACGCCATATTCAAAATATCAAGTAGAAAACCAAACGTTATACCTATATACTCCACCATAGTATTCCTGTGTGGGATGATTGGCGGTGCGTGGATACTGCCGTCGACGACAAGCTCCGTTGAGTCGCTCAGGACGGTGTCGGGGGTAGATGAGAGAGCCATGTTCGTCGCATACAACACATTCGAAGGCGCTACTTGGTTCCTAAACACTGATAATCGCCTCGTTCACTTTATTCAGAGCGTCGTGTGGAGCGGCGTAGACACGTCTCAGCTATTCCCGGCGTAGTGTAGACTATTGGCTATGACTTATGCATTCATGTTACCAAGACTGACAGTCAGCTGAATGAGGTGGAGATATGAAATGCTTGTTTGAATGACGTTACAAATGCTATAATTTAGCTGCTGGTTGTTTATTAGAGTAAGAAATTTGCAGAGAGATGAAATTAATCAAGTTGAGAGAGTAATAGTAATAGTCCAGTTGTAGATCTAAGAAAAGGCGGAAGAGGTCCTGGTTGGAATTGGCCAAAGCAGCAGCAGCGTCTAGATGAGGCATCCGACGGCAGTGAGGAGGAGAGCAGCGGCAGCAGTAGCGACGCCGGTGTGAGTAGCTGAGCTATCGTCGTCGTCGGTGTTGTCGCCGTCGCCATCGTTATTATTGTTAGGGTTAGTAGGGCTAGGCGAGGCAGTTGACGAAGAAGATGGAGTGTAGTTCTCGCTGAACGAGCTAGCCTGCGATGGGCTGAAGTTGGCGAAAGCTTTACCGTAGACTTGCGCTTGGGCCGAAAGGTTGAAACCGCCGTTGCTCAAACAGTCGACACATTCGTCGTTGCTGTTGAGTGTGTGCACCATTTCGGGATACACACACGAGTAGTATTCGGTAGTGTTGCCATTCGCGCTGTCGTGGCAATCGAGGTCTGATTGACGGAAATTCGAGCACGAGTTGTCGTAGCAGTTGCTCAGCTGGTCGTTGTGCGATGGGGTGACTGTATCCGTGGCGTCCGTGTCTGCTGAGGCGTCCGTGTCTGCGGAGCCGGTGTTGCTGCCGTCTGCAAGTGCAAATTAGTTGTCTGTGCCTGTGCGCAACAAGCCCACTTACCCTGAGCAAGAACACCAGTGAGGAGAAGGGCTGTAGAGAGAAGAGCTGTGATTTGCATAGTCCTTGTATAAGAGTTGCTTGTGTTGGTTGTTACACTGCAAGAAGCCCCTGCACAGCCATTCTATTTAAATTTCGGCGGACAAAGTTCTGTGCATAAAAGACAGGGTATGTGCGCGGCAGCTGGCAGCTGGCAGGTGCAAGTGGCAGCTGGCAGGTGACAATGCGTGGCTGGTGTTTGCGCTTTTCCTTGTGCTTCTATTGCTTTTCTTGAGGCTGGTTCCTGAACGTACCCACTGAAACGATGCTGTGCTGTGCTGGCCATGTCGCCGATTAGAGGGTGGCGAGTGGATGAGTGGGTGCATGAGCGTGAGTGTGAGTGAGAATAACAAGAACAATATGGATATGCATATGAATTGCCCACAAGAAGACGCTAGGTCTCTCGGTGAATGAAACACCATCAGCGACTACAACGCCACGAATATTTTGTATTATTTATACATCTAATCCAACACACCTTGTTGCCGTCATACAACCATGCGTCTAGCGATAATCGGCGGAAACGGATTCCTGGGCTCAGCGATAACGAAAGCCGCGGTCGGGCGCGGTTGGCAAGTGAGCAGCGTGAGCCAATCTGGGCGGCCATATGCGTCACCGTCAGGCCACGCGCCGAAATGGACGAGCAGGGTGGGTGAGCGGTGCGAGAGGTGCGACGCACGCTAAACTAGCTGGACACACAGGTAGAGTGGCACCGCGGCCATGTGTTGGACGCGGAAACGTACCGGGAAGTGATAGCGGAGAGCGATGCGGTAGTGCACACGCCGGGTATACTGCTCGAATCTGACTACAAGGGGGGAGTTATGGGTGCACTGAATGCACTGTGGCACTCGCACCAGCCCCCAAACCCGCTAAGTGGGGGACAGTACGAGCGGGTGAATAGAGACGCGGCTATGACGGTGTCTGGAGTGTTTCAAAAGACCAGAAGCGGCTCATCTGTAGATAACCCGTTCGTTTATGTCTCGGCAGCTGATGTATTCAGACCGCTGATACCGGCACGGTACATTTCAACTAAGAGGGAGGCGGAGGAGTGGATTGCTGGACTGGACGGTGTTAGAGCGGTGAGCCTCAGGCCGGGACTCATGTACCATCCTCACACTAGACCGCTGTCGACCATTCCAGCGACGCTGATTGATGGACTCAATCATCTGACTAGGTGCGGCGAGGCGAATGCAAAGAGCATCCAACACACGCAGCACATGCACTCATCACAATCATCACAATCATCACAATCCTCACAATCCTCATACAGCATTCTCAACTTGCTCCACACAAATGCTCTGCATATCGACACAGTCGCAAACGGGGCACTCGAAGCTATCGCAGACAGCAGCGTGAGGGGGGCGCTGAGTGTGGAGGCCATCAAAGCGCTAGCCTGGAAGAATTGAGTGGAGAGAAAAGAATAAAATTTTACATATTTGGTCATATTTGATCATTGCGTGGTATTTGTGCTATTGATAGGCATATTCAGCGAGCGACGATGAGAGTAAGGGGGATTGTTGAGAAGGGTAGACGCAGCACTCACGCGTGCTACAAGGAATGGCTCAATGTGCTACAGTACCGCACGAACCACAAGAAACCAGGGCGGCGGAAGAGGAGGGCGAGTGAGACGTCCAAAGACAGCGATAGTGAGGGAGGCGATGGCGATCGGGGGCTATCCAGCAAGCACCTCAACAAGCTCAAGCCGCTGCTCATGTCCAACTGTTCCGACACGCCTCTGCACATGAGTGGGGTGAGCATCGACACCAACACCAACTTGCACACCACGCTCGGCACTCCGCACGACACGGTGGATGAGAGTATTGGCGAAAAGGTCGAGAAGATGGCTCTGCGCGCGAAAACCAGAGCGTCTCTACCGCCTCCCAACAAGCTGCACTTGCAGAACACACATGCTTACGACTTGGCGAAACTGTCAGAGCTGCGCGATAGTGACGAGAATTACGAGAAAGTTCACCGCGTAGCTCGCAAAGAGTGTAATAGACACTGCGCGGATTGTCGAACACCAACACCGCTCTGGGCAGTGTATGCACTGCATGGCCAACCTATCGTACTGTTCATCTGCATACAGTGCTCAGGTTGGCACAGGTCGCTTGGTAGTCATATATCCAAAGTTAAGAGCGTCGAGTTGGATGAGTGGTCTGCTGAGCTTATCGATCTTGCGGAACGCACTGGGAATGTCGTGGGCAATAAGCTTTACGAAGCAACACTCCCAACCGCCCAAATACCCTCCCCTTCTTCCTCCACTTCAATAGATGTGGGCGAGTTTATTAGGAATAAATACCTCGATCGGTTGTGGGTGAGTGGGCGCGAGGAGGATAGATAGATGCGTGTGTAGGTGAGTGTGTGGTTAAGTGCATTTGCACACATGCACACATGACACAATACATAACACATAGTAATAATTGTATACCACTACCATGATAATATTAAGAGTTCATATAATGGACAAAATATGGATTATTATGCAAAAGCGCTGCTCAGAACCACCCATTTACCCCAAACTTCTTGCGCGAGGCCCACAGATAGTTGCATGTGTCGGAACATGTATAGATGGATATACTTACATATCCATACGCACACTTGTTAAAAGCAAAGTAATAATCGTTTGTCACTACCATGATAAGAGCATATGTAATAGATCTAGGCAAATTACACAAAAGCACCCCTCAGAACCACCCCTTCATCCCCCACTTCTTCTCCTTCTTGCGCTCAGCTTCGTGCTGCTTAGCCATGACTTTATCAATTTCCTTCTGCTCTTTCCTGAGTTTCTTGTCGTCTTTCTTCTCAGATTTCTTGTCTTTATCTTTCTTCTCAGGCTGTCTCGCCTTATCCTTGTTTATATCGTCGACTGGGGTGGGTGGAAGTGCAGGCTTAACTTCATCACTCCAATACTTGCGATCGTAACCCTGTTGGAGGTTAGCCAAGTAGCGATGTTGTGCCTGTTCAGGGGAGAGATCAGGAGTCTCCTGTCTATTTTTATCCGAGAGTTGCGAGTGCGGGTCGTGCATATATCGGTCAGGTTTATTTAAGGCGGTGGAAGTACCCGCGAATGTCTTCTGCGCGTCATTGGCAGTAGCTAACGACGACGCACCCTCTCCATACACATACCCCGTGTCGAGATTGCGCACGTTGTCGAGGAAGCGTGTTGGGGTTAGTATGTCGGTAGATCCTGTGTGAGTGTGAGTGTGTATTCAAGTGCTATTACGCATTATGCATTGTGCACTTTGCACTCTGCACACCGCTCTCTCTTCACCCACCTATCAATACATCCCGCTGGTGTGTTTCACAAACCTCATAAACACTCTGCACCTCGCTATATGTCATACCACCACAGACGTAAACGAGAATTTTGTTGCGGGTTTGTTGTGTGTTTTGTGTTGGGGTAAGACCGCGGGTTGATCCACCATTTCCATTCACGCTGGCGTTGGCATTCGTATTGCCTTCCACACTACCACTCCCGCCCCCTCCACTCACGTAGGACGCACTACGCGAGGCAGATGCCCAGGTCGCGCGAGCTGAGCGCAGGCTGCCTTGGGAGGGCGCTGGTGTGGTTGAGAGTGAGGAGGGAGATGAAGAGCTAGTAGCGGGGTGGGATTGAGAGTGAGGAGCGTTGCGAGGCCGTGAGTGAGAATTTGAGGAGCGTAGACTGAGGTTGCTGCTGCCACTGCCATTACCAGAAGGTGGTTTAAGAGAGTCTCCTGACGCATCAGCACCACCACCCTCCTCCACCCCATCCAGCCTGCTAAAGACACCCGTGTCGAGCTTGCCGTGTATTAGATCGGTGAGGGTGGTTTTGAGTGCGGGGATATATCTGCTCGTATCGTACGCATCGTCGTCCGACTTGCCCTTGTATTTGTATCGCCTGAATGCTTGCTGCTCGCTATCATTTTTGTTGACGCGCACACCTATATAGACAAGGTTATCGATGGCTTTGTGGTCATTTGGAGCCAACCGAGCATGCTGGTAGAGCCTCCTCTTATCCTCATCGCTGACGCCATCTTTGAAGAGAATGTAGAGAGCAATGATGCGAATTTTGTCGCGGTTGAGGAGAGTGGGGTGGTCGAGGAGAGGTACCATCTGTTCTATGAGATGGCGAGGTGTGCGATTATCGGCGGTTAGACCAGTCGCGCAGCATTGCTCGACGTCTGAGACTTGCATGAGGTTGCGATTGTTCACCTCACCCATAAGCTGGTCGGAGAGAGTGGTGTGGATGTACGCCTTGTCTTTTATGTCGGCGTGATCTGTCAACCCAGCTAACATACCCCTCAGACCATCCAAACCACTTGCATTCTTTAGGTCCTGATCTGCTCTTTCTGCCTGACGGGCTAACTCACCCACTTTGTCAATAGCATCTTTTAGGTGAAGGTGACGGATATCACACCAGATAGAGTCAGAGTAGTCGGATAAGGGGTGTTGCTTGGTGAGACCTTGTGATTGGCTGGATTTGTAGGAGAAAATGGGTGGAATAGAACAAGAGTCAAGGGAGCGTTGTGTGAGCAGATCGTTTGTGAGGGATTGGTAGGAGAAGTTATGGAGAAGGGGGAGCGCGAGGTCTAGAGTACGATCAGTGATGAGGAGGGTAGGGTTGGTTGCTGAGTTAGCCAGACCAAAGTCGTGGTTGTCGCGCTTGATCTGGGTTAGTTGTTTGGACAGAGCCACAGCAACTCTTCTCGCCACGCCAGAACCCTTTTGAGAGGAAGAGAAGGAGGATTTCCAAGAGGATTTCTTTGGGATTGGAGGGGAAGGGTTTGAGTTGAGGTAGTTGCCCGTTGAGGTAACTGGAGTTGCATAGGTGCCAACACCGTTGATAGAATTCTGGTATAAGATGATTGGGTGGATGTTTAGAGCGAGTAGGATATTCTCAAGGGATTTAACAGTTAGGGCCACTTGTAATTCACTTGAAGGGTAGTTGGTTGGTTGTGAGTAGTAACTGTGAAATGCACTGGGTTGATTTGTAGAGAAAGCCCGTGATTCAACTATAGTGTAGTTCAAAGGGATTTCCTTGAGAGTTACTAGCTTTGGTATAACACCACTGTTGATTATTTTAAATTCAAGTGATTTTGAAAGGGAGTCAAGGAGGTATAAGTGATTCTGATATGGTGATTGGGAGATGCACCTAATGACCCTATCAATTGAATGGGTTGTTGGGAGAATAAAGAATATTTTATCGAATCCATTTTCATTGTAATTGTTAACGATATCTTCCAATAATACTATTTGAGTGATTGATAGTTGTAATATCTCACTTAAAGGCATTATACTTAGTAAAATATCTCTGCTTGGAATATCACATATCAACTCCCTCCATCCACTCCCCTTCAAAACCCTCACAACCATCTCCTTTTTTATTTCGTTCAAGTTGGTCATCGTTGTTATAAACCACCATGAGTAATTCTAATTTACCAGATTTCTTTAAATCAAATTCAAAACCCAATAATAACTTTAAATCAATTTGGAATAATAACGACGCTTTACCCACACTTTCCTTTACAGATTCTTTGAATTCTTTTAACCAATTGGATTTGAATGGCACTAATAATGTCATTGACAATAATAATGTCATTGATACTGGTACTGTCATTAACACTGGTACTGCCATTGATAATCCCACTCCCTCTCACTCCCTCAACGCTACTCCTCAGCTTCATCAGATACATCCACAGCCATACAATCCCACCCACACTCACCCACAGATGCACTCACAAACACCCCCTACAATTCCTCCCACTCTCCCCACTCCCCCCTCCACCGATCAAATCATCCGCCACCAAGAACTACAGGACCTCAAAAGACGCAGAAAAGCTATAAAAATTAGCTCCATGTCCAATTACAATCACTTAATGACCCCCTCCGACAAATCTTACATCCTGAGAATTCAACTCAGCTCACTAGCAACCGCTGACCCCTACACCGACGACTTTTACGCTCAAATCTACTCAATTCTTATGCGTAAGAATCAAGGTGTTCTCAACGTTGGTGGTATGGCTCTCTCCGTCGCTGCTGGCTCTACCCACTCCGGCATCGGCATCGGCGCTGCTAAAAAGTTACGCGATCAAATCGATAAAATTGTCAGATCAAAGAGGCAGAATCAGCTAGACGATAAAAACAATCTCAACCAAGAAAACTCCCTCGTCGGCGCTCTAGGCACATCCACTAAAACTAATTCCAGAGCCCCAAGACAGGTACTTCAAATCGATTCTGACATTTCCTCCGAGTCAACAAAGGCTTCCGCAATAGATGTCCTCTCCTCCCTTCAGAAAGGTTACCCCATCTCTTCCAACTCGTCAAACTCCCCTCAACCCCCACTCACACGTCGTCAGTGTCTGATGGCTTCTGAGAAGCTGTACGATCATGTACTCGCTCTTGAAAGTCTTGCCAGGTCTAAACCGAATGAGTCACCCACTGAGCAAGTCAATGAAGAAGATCATGTACAATCCACCCAAGCCTGGCAATCACAATACGCCAACCACATTGACGCTGTGTGGAAGGGGTTGAGAGTGATGGAGCCGCTCGAACTATCCAATCCTCATCCCTTCATCTCCTTAATCGCCCTCCCCAAAACATCCAAGCTCCTCCCCAGAGCAACTCGACACCTCGACCACCAACAAATCCTCACTATCAACACTCTCATCATTGCGTGTTTCTCCCAACTCCTCTCTCTCCAAGATAGCTGTGGTAGTTTTGTCGAAGCTTTCTTGAGTGGTGTGGTGCCGCAATTTATGAGTATGATTGCTGGCGTTAGTTTGCGCCTGGTGGCTGGAATGCTTGCGTTGTTTGTTGAGCGCAACGATGTCGTAACTGTGGCGCAGTCTAAGGTGTGCATTTGGCATTTCAGCTTCTCGCTTCATCTCATTCTAACATAACCCTCCACAGCCCGGTCTAGCCTTCCTCACCATCCTACTCAGCAGAGCTGAGATACTCAAGCAGATCCCGCTTGGTGTCGAGCAGGCACCTGCGCCTGAAGAGACAGCTCAATGGTGGGTATACCCTTAGATTAGCGCTCAGCCAAACTAACACTCCTCTCACTCACACAGGGACCAGATCTTCTCCCTCTTCTTGCACAAACTCCTCACTCACCTCCCCCACCTCTTCCCTTCGCAGCGCGAGAAAGCTGCGCGCGGGTTTGGTGGAGTGCCTGGTGTGCCCGCCGTTGACACCCACACCACCACTCTCCTCCTCGACAACGACGATGAGAGCGTGTGGCGCTTCCTCGCGGCTATTGCACTCAACAGCGATAACATCCAGCAATCTTCCCTCGTGCAAGACGTGCGTGATGTCGTCCATGAAAACGTAGTCTCGGCTCAACAAGCTTGGGTACCTGCGCAGAGTGCTCATAAGAGGATAAGCAACGTTAACGTCTTTTTGCATGCCCTCGGCTTGGATGTCAGTCAGTTGGGTGTATAGGGTCTGTAAACGGTTATTTGTAGTTTGTGCAATGTGCCTTGCCATCGTTGCTCACTGCTAATATATTACAATGAATATTTATCATTTAAGTCATTATTTATCTTCCTTTACCTCCTGACACACGTTTCTGGAACACGCCATGTCTCATAATTTCATCCTTCCGTTGGAAAGTTGCATAAATTGCTTGAATTGCTTGAATTGAAACAAGAATCTGTTTCCTTATCGAGATTGCTAAAACTAAGATGAAAGATGACCAAGCCACATTCGGATGGAAGTACGTCCATTGACCAGTAGCGCACACTCTCTACAAGCCCCGACATTAGTCAAGAAACATTATCTGTAATTCTGCACCTCTTTAAAATCTTTGCACTTTAAGAAGTTTTGATGGACGCAGTTTAAATGTCTTAACATTAAATTCAGATTTCATCAACACATTCGTTTACAAGATAGTTTACATCGTTTATCTACATGACTAAGCTACATCGTCATATCGATAATACGACTAAATAAGTATTTTGTTTGCTTTGGTGGGCGGCTCGAGAAACGGTAGTTGCAGTAATCAATGCTCTTACCCCACAACTCTTCCTTGCTAGAACCAATTGACTGAAACTTTTCCACCATTTGAGGGTAGTTGTATGCTGGAGATCCTATTACAACTAGCCCACCCAGCTCCAGCGTGACTTGTTGTGAGTGTACTTCATAATCTCTTAACGGTTTTCGTGAAAGCTTGATGATCTCGAGAGCATCATTTAAGAATTTTATAGCATTCAGGAAGAGGAATCTCATGGACAGATAACGACCTGGATGCAGTTGCTGTGTGAAACAAACAGTCACGCCAATAGTATTCTAAATGGTTTGTTAATTGCTTTTGAAGGATGCTATGCGAATCACTTTTAACGAATCAGGACCGTCAACCTGTGGACGGATAACATCGTTTATGTACGCGTCTGTATCAAAGCTAACAGACTTCTCGTATGCATCCAGGCCAACGTCAAGTCTCATTTCATGCATTTTAATCTCATCGCTCACACGCGCGTGCACCGCTGAAATTTTTGACAGTACTCCATGTCACTGCTGTTGCTATTGGGCTACTACTATTTAAGATATTCTCTATCCTTATTGTCAACGATGTTTGATTTAAACCTTGTCAGAACCTTTATCGATATCAGAATTACACACCTCTTGAGAGCATGCAGTCGACTAGCGAATCTCACAAAGGCTCTAACAACCTCCAATGCCTCTCGAGGAGCGGCTTTAGACTATTTTAGAGGTTTGTCTTTATAAATTCTGTTTTCAAATAGTTTCATTTTGTGGCTCTGGACAACATTGTGAAACATTGAACAACTTTTAAACAGTGCACAAAATGGATCTCATGTCAGATAATAATAAAAAACAATGTGAAACTACGGCCTATATTGTATTTACTTAGGCATTTTAATTTACATAATTACACCTCAAACGTATGAACGACATTCAGCACGCTCAAATGAAATCAAAGCCGATGATGAATTGTGCTACAGGTGAATCAGCGAAAGCTGTAAAAACAATTCATTAGTCACGTGTTGTCGAATATATGTCATTCTTTCGCTCACTCATTGAACTGCTTGTGTACACGCAATCAGAGTGTGCGAATGCAGCGCCCTGTAGAAAAGAAAGTTCCACGTGTTTCTAACATGAATTTCTTTTGCTAGATGAGAGAGAAAGTGAAATGGTAGGTCTTCTTAGTTACAGCTCACACTTAGCTCTGTGAACGCTACGAAACAGAAAGCAAAACACGCGTCTGGAAACTTAGCGTACTCCGGTGATTAAAAATTTAAAATTTGAAGCTTGGCGCTTTGTAATTTGACAGCAGAGGATGTTAACAGTACAATGGCGGCCTAGTGGCGGACAATAAATCGGACTCCAAGTGGAGGTGAGTCCTAGATGATCGGTAATCCGACTACTTCAACTTCTGGCGCAGGCTAGTAATTAAATAGAAAAATCTGTACCCAAAACATACACAAGCTCTTGTATATCTGTTGATAGAAGCCTGCGTAAACACCTTTGGCTAACGAAATGCTTGTTGATTAGGTCTCACAATTTAAGCAGGATAGTCAGCAAGAGATGTTTCAGAACCGCTGGCTGAAACACCTGCATGAAGGCTTTACACAAGCGAGGAATGTGTCCTGCTGGCCAAGAAGGCATCCAGGAAACCTGGATCTGCTATATACAGAATTTGTAATCGTGACGTTAAGACGTGCATAAAGGTAGCATGTACAGTCTACAGCGTGACACGTCCACTTTACTTATACAGACCAGCTCAGCATGAGTCCCTTGCCCATTACATCGCTACGTATCAAGTTTTCATCAAACATTTTTCTTGTTATCCACAGTATCTCTAACAGCTGGGTAAATATGCTCTTTCCTTTCTTATCTCACTGCAAAAGATTTGGTATACGTTCTCGACCAGGTATATTATGTTTTGAATGTTACAAGAAAAATTTACGATCGCCATCGTCGATATTTCCAACAATCAGCACTCAACACTCAGACACAGATACCGGTATCTTCACCGACGTGGCCAGACCGGCGAGAGAAGTCTCCTTGAGCTGCGTACTCATCAGCGCGGCCGTCTCACGCATAGCATTGATGGCCATATCAAACGAGACAACGTGTTCGCCGTTGGTGGAGAGAGCTAGCTGAGCGGCACTGATAGACTTGACGGCGCCGAGGTAGTTGCGCTCAATGCATGGCACCTGCACGAGACCGTGAGGAATATCGCCTGTGATGAGAGTTAAGAGTGAGCAAAATAAGACATTCACAAATTCCCTTTAAACTCACAAGTAAGGCCTAAGAAATGCTCTATTCCACACTCAGCCGCCTGGAGTATCTCCTTGGTGCTGCCTCCATTGAGCGCCGCGAATCCTGCCGCCGCCATAGACGTAGCACTTCCGACCTCCCCCATGCACCCTGCCTCTGCGGCACTGATTGAAGCACCACGACGTATGAGCATGGCTATTGCTGCGCTGGTGAGGAGGAACTGTTGCATGTCGGTGTGTGCATCGTGGGATAGGAACTCCAGATAATATTTCAATACCGCCGGTATCACACCAGCACTGCCCATAGTGGGGGATGTTACCAGTCGCGCCCCACATGCATTAGCCTCCATCACCGCTATCGAGTAACACATGAGGAAATCTATGGTTTTCACTTCGTTGTTCCGACGCGGCGGGATAGGGGGTAGGGGATGGGAAATGTTGCCGTGAATCTGTGGAGTGTTTTGCGCGTCTTGGCTGCTTCGCCTATATAGCCCGCTCTGTAGCCTACTGTACAACATCTTCCCGCGCTTCTTCACCTTCATTGGGCCGGGCAAATACTCCTCGTTGGCGGATATCCCATTGAGGATGCTGTCGTCCATTGCGTGCCAGATAGTCGTTAGCTTTGCGTCAATCTCCTCGGGCGTGTACCACGTCAGCTCGTTGTTGTAGACTATCTGCGCAATGGTGAGGTTGTGCGTTGCGCACAGCTGGAGCAGTTCGTCACCCGTGTGGAAAGGGAAGGGGACTTCTTTGGGTGTGCCTGATGCGCTCGCACCATCCCCGCCCTCCTCTACCACCTGCACCTCGCGTCTCGACCTATCCACCTCATCCTTCTTGATCGCCTTGTAGAAGACATTCTCCGTGATCTCGGTGTTGTCGTGCACGACGAACCCGCCGCCGATCGAGTAGAAGGTGTTAGTGGCGAGCAGATCACCCGACTCAGCGAAAACGCTAATCTGCATCGCGTTCGGATGGCGTGGGAGTGCCTCGTCCATCCGCCAGTTGATGTCCTTGTGTATATCGAAGGTGACCTTCTTTGTCTGAGAGTTCTCACTGCGCAGCTCAATCGCGCGCTCCTTCTCCACCTTCTCGAACTTGCCAGGAAGCGTGTTTACATCCATACTCATATCCTCTGGATCGAATCCCTGAAGCCCCCAGCAAATTGCCTTGTCGGTCATGTGCCCACCGCCAGTCAGGGCTAGCGAGCCATACAGCGTTATTTTCAGCGAGTGCACCTTAGATAGCACCCCGGAATCAGTTAAATCGTTCACGAATATACGCGCTGCGCGTAACGGTCCGCATGTGTGCGAGCTTGATGGTCCAATCCCAATTGAGAAGAGATCGAAAGTCGATATGACGGCGTGTTCTGTTTTGGGCGTGGTGGTTTGTGAGTCTGGTGGGTTGGTTGAGGTAGTTGTGCTGTCCGCAACGTCTGCCAGCCACCTCACACGCTGTGAAGCTACTGAAGAACGCAGTGGTTGTGCGCGTGGGCCCGGGATTTTCAGCATCCTTCCAGCCGCTAAGCTCCTTCTCATCAAAGTCATCATAGTTTTTATTCAAATCAACGCCCGCATTTTTTGCTCTAATCTCACTTTGCAATTCACCTGATAAGCATATCGCGCTAGCCCGCTATAGGCGAGTGGATACAGAAATAGAAATAACATCTCGAGCGACATGTACCATGCATTGAAATCTACCAAGTATTTAACTACTTTTACAAATAAACTTACTTGGCAGAGATAATACCTGAGGAAAATTTGTCAGCTAGAGTGAAAAACTTCAAACAACCCAAACACACCATCAAAACGTTGCTTGAACCAAGCTTGAGCTTCCTCCTTCTTGACCTTGTGCTGGAAGCCAATCTTGTTGTTGCGAGACTTACGCTTAGCAACGCGGTAACCAGGGCGGGAGATGACGACGTAGAAGTCAGCACCGAAGATACCAATACCTGGGTCATACTTGATACCCAAATCGATGTGCTCGTCGACACCGAAACCAAAGTTACCAGTTTCACTAAAGTTACCCTTCTTAAGCTCGTACTCCTTAACCTTAAGGCCACGCTCTAAGATTTCCTCAGCCTTTGGACCTCTAACGGTAACGTGGCAAGCGATCTTTTCGTTACGACGGATACCGAAGGTACGGACGGTGTAGCGTGCCTTTGAGGTGACTGGAGTTTGACCAGTGAGTTGCTCAAGGACCTTTGCTGCACGAGTGAGTCTGTCACCGGATTCACCAACGGAAATGTCTGCGAGTGCGCGTTAGCTGTGAGCGGTGTACGATAACGATTATTTACTGATGACGAGCTTTTCAACGCGAAGCTCCTTCATTTGGTTGCTTGGTGCAGTTGACTCGGCCTGTTTGGATTATATTTGTCAGTCTACAGTTTTATACTGCGTTTCACTCCAATTCACCATTTCGATTTTTAACGTCGCTGAGCTCGAGTTGCGATAGACGAAATTCTCAAGCAAACGAGCTGAAAAAATTACAAATCTTATTTATCACTGGGGGTATAATATTCGGGGTGATAGATGGTCTATTAATGCGTGTATACCTTTCATTTCCCCCTTTCTCCAATTTTCAACGACTCGTAAAGTCTTCTCGACAGCCATTTCATCCGATTTGAACAGAACCTGTATTATAAATTACATTCATGTATTGTACAATTCATTGTCTTTGCAATCCCCCGCTGGTCTTATCCACAACCCAGGCTGCTCACTCACCCTCGCTCCCCCTCGAGGTTGACGGAATGAGGGAGAAGTTAGGCGCTGTGAGTCTATGCCTTGGTGGGGGCATTCTAGGACCATATGACTCTGGCAGCGGCGGCAGCGGACGCGAGTTAAGTGTCTGCGAGAGTTCAAGGAGGTACTATCAAATAAGTCAATCTCAACACTCAAGTCGAAAACAACGTCCACTCACTTCCTTAGGTGGCGCGAGAGAGAATTGGTGGTTTGATTTCACAGATATCGCCATCTCAACATCACCAAGCTCAACACCGCCATGACCATTCCTGCCGGCGTACTCTGCATAAACTAGCGAATCTGATAATATCTCGTGCGTGTACCCTATAATATGTTAGAGTTTCCTGTGGTATTCGACTCGACCTCCACCCACTGTTGGAGAAGTCAAGCAACATATGGATCGTTGCTGGTGGTGCATCGTTTATCCCCTTGGATGCGAGCATAAGCGATATCAGATGCGCTGTTCTTGGTGTTGGCTTGTTGTCCGCCATTGGTGATGGTTTTGGAGAGGGATGACAAGGTCGTTAGTGAGCACTAGGAGAATCGCATTGCTTTCTCAAGAGTATTGCTATTATAATCATTCAACTTAAAAGCTACACCTGGTATTTAGCAGCTAGACACAAGATGCAATGGCAACTCATGCCTGAATGGCATAAACCCTACCTTGCCTGATGGATTTTACCGTGTGAGCATCCAGACAGTGGCTCTACCAACAGTAATCATTCTCGAAATTGTATAACTACGTAATCCCCGCTCTATCCATCGGCACACAACTTAGGAGGCTTTACTTGATCAAAGGTTTGCGCTACAGACATTACATCCGCGATTTACAATAGTTACTTTGTCAAAAATTCGATTCACAAGTATAAATCCACTCGTCGCGATTTTTCTGTTGGTTTATGGTTAGTTGGGAGATTGAGTAGAGTGAATGTCGAAAACTGTCGAATCAATCACAATATCGATTCTCATATCGAGTATAGTGACCTTTTATCCAACAACGCATCAATTCTCAGTTGTCTCAAATTTGCACATGTTTCTATTTCGTACGGAGTGGGCAGTATGAAAAGTCGCATAAATGAAATTTCCGCGTGTTTATACATCACTGTTCATATCTGTGAAGGCAAAATCATTCATGTTTACCGGTGAAAATCCGAGTTCGACACAACAACTCTTGTGAGTCTCCGAAACACATTGGGATTGTTGAGCTCGCTGTTGCAGCTTTGAAGCATGGAAAAGGGGCTAATCTCAACTCGCTCAAGACTGTAGGAGTTAGCCCTATAAATCATAAGAGCCCATGTAAACTAAATCAACTTGTATTTCTCAAAATAACATGGAGACATTGCTTGCAAGCTTTTCAAGAAATCAAATCTCATGACTTCAATGAAAGTTGTAAATTGCAGTAGATGACAAACAAAATATTTTCAAGCTGTTTACTCGAAATTAACAGAGATGTTCATTACACACCGATGATGTCTTGATTTCAACTCGCAAAGCAGCTAATATTCTCAAGTTACTCCACAAAAGGAACGCCAAGTGGGGGAAGACATCATCGGAGGAGCAAAGATATCACACAAATAGCATCTGACGTGTGCTGTCTACATATAACGTATAGTATTTTGTATTTATGAAAATTGGTTTCTTACACTCAAACGGTGATGATGCTCTGGAGATGTTGTTGGCGGCGGAGGAAAGACAGCAATGATATAAACAACTCCGAGCAGGATGAGCGTACGCGGTTGCTGGACAATGAAGGAGGTGGTACTAGTGGTGGTGGATCTACGTGAGTTCACAAACCGCTAACACACACCCACTCACCCTTAGTAAATCAGTTACAGCCCAGCGCTACCACCAGCCACACCAAGCTACAGTCGAAGCCACAGCCATGCTCCCGACTCACAAACCACTGAGAACGACAAGGACACAGCGTCGCTTAACGATATAGTCAGCAAGGCTTCAGAACAAATGGTCAACATCACAAACTCCAATTCCTCTCTTAAAGCTGCAACGAGCATCCATAGCCTCAGGGATCTTAATTGCCTGTCTAACTGGCTGCAAGGTGATCCAATCAAGCTGGATAAGGCAACAGACCGCGAACAGGAGCTCATCAAAGATACAGCTTCTGGTCTAGCTGAAGTGTTTGAAAATGCGTTCGATTTCTCGCTCTCACAGTCAAATAGCGAGGCTAGCTCGAGGAGAGGGAGCATGAAGAGTGAGGGGATTGACGATAAGGGTGGTATTGGTAGTGGTAGCAAGAGCAACAGCAGGCCTAATAGCATTAACAACAACACCACCACTAACACTACCATCAACTCCTCTGAACAGCACGGTTTGTCATTCAATCAACGCCGTTTATCGTTAGATGAACAATCAATGCATGAAGAGTTTGAGAATACACCAAGACAGACACTATCATCAACGCCACGCAATACACACAATACACGCGACAACGTTTCTTAGTTTTTACTCCGTCAACATTCTATACCCCTCGTAATACTTGTCGGCGGTTTTATTGACAATATCTTCCGGTATAACTGGTCCGACTGGGCTGTTCTTGTCGAAACCAACAGATTTCAACCAGTCACGTACATATTGCTTGTCGAATGAGTCAACACCCTTACCAACTTGGTAACCCGCCACTGGCCAGAAGCGTGAGCTGTCTGGGGTGAGAATCTCGTCAACGACGAGTAGGTTACCCTGTGCGTCCACACCGAATTCCAACTTGGTGTCTGCCAAGATGATTCCCTTGGTTGAGGCATACTCAGACGCCGACAAGTATATCTTGATAGCAGCCTCCTCGATTCTTTTAGCGAGTGGTTGTGGAATTAGCTTTCGGTACTCTTCTAGTGAGATATTCTCGTCGTGATCGCCTTGATCTGCCTTTGTGGAGGGAGTGAAGAGAGGGTGGTCGAATTTTTCACTTTCTTGCATACCAGATTTAACAGGAGCGCCATTGACAGTGCCAGATTTCTTATACTCGCTCCACGCTGAACCAGTAATGTAACCTCTGACGATGGCTTCGATTTTGACAATATCGCACTTCTTTACCTGCAGAGTGCGATCTTTAAGGGAGTCTATGGCGCTTGCAGGGAGGCCCATTTTCTCTACATTCTTCTCTAGCAAGTGATGGCCGACGTGGGTGCCGTCGCTGAGAATAATCGGGAAAAGCTTATCGAACCAGAAAGTGGAAAGTTGAGTGAGCAGCCTGCCCTTATTTGGGATGCCCTGGGTGAGTTAGCAGGCGCACAGCCATACACACACTACTCACACTCGACAAGATAACGTCAAATGCAGAAATCCTATCCGTAGCGACGAAGAGGAGTGTGTCATTGTAGTCGTAAAGATCCCGCACTTTCCCAGTTGAAATCTTTTTAAACTCTTTTAAATCGGTGGATGTAATCGGCGCTTCCATTGGTGGTCTTGTTGAAACAACCAACACAACTCATCGTAATGGGGGAATATGAATATTTTGGATTCGATTTGAGTTTCTTATCGAGTATTTTGGGTGTGTTTATCATCGTCGGCAGCAGCTTAATCAAGCTACCACAGCTGTACACGCTTTATCGCACTGGATCGAGTAATGGACTCAGTTTGAGTGCCTTCTCATTAGAAGCAGTGGCGTACTTTATAAACTACGTCTACGGATACTCTCATTCATACCCATTCACGACATACGGCGAGAATCTCACACTGACATTCCAAAACATAGCCATTATAGGGTGTATAATGCGAAGAAAGGTGTATACTGTAATATTCGCAGCAATCACTTTCTCATTCCTACTCACCCCGAAACCGCTAATCGACATGACATTCCAACTGTCGATTCCACTCAGTCTGGCGAGCAAACTACCACAAATACACGCCAACCACCGCAACGCTTCGACTGGATCGCTCTCTCCTATCACTACACTCGCTCAGCTCGGCGGGTGCTGCGTGCGCGTCTTGACCAGTGTGCATAATGCCGGCGACATACCCATGACTATCTCCTTCGCTGGAGCTGCCCTCTTAAATGGCATCCTCCTCGCTCAAATTGTCCTGTACGCGCGCAATCGCAGTGTTTACTTACCATCACATACCGCGCAAATTTTACACCCCTCCAATACCAACGAAAAGAGTGGGAAGAGCAGACGTGATTAGAAGGCTGTTTGTAAAGGTATAAAATTCGCATTGCATAATACACTACGACAAAAGGAAAAAGCATCAAACAACTCAAATAAGCAATCCAACGTATTCAAGTTACAATATAGAAATTTCATCCAAATTAGTGTGTGTGTGACTTTGTATATAAATGCGTAGTATGTACTATCTATAATCAGGAAGAAAGGTGAGCAAAAAGAGTGAAAGTATCTATCCTCAGACGCCATCAAGTGTCTGGCGCGAACTTGGACATGGAGCGCAGCTTACTGATATTGTATTGTTAGTATAGTCCACACCTACGCACATCAACTCACGGTCCAAATTTGATCAGTCCGAACGGAATAAAAGACAAGAGAATGGCGAGACATCCCAACAACGTCGATGCCCATCTGGGATTGAGGCGTTCGAACATCTGTGCCGCAAAGAGTGGGAATCCAGCGCCGAAAGCGGATCTGAATGGGATGTGAATGTGAGTAAAGGTGTCCAAAAATGCCCTAAGACAGTCTCAAAAACACTCCACCCACCTAATAACAGTGTTTGCAGCGAGTGCCGAACCTGCTGACCAAAGATACGTGTCGATAATGTAGTTGAAGAGGGAGAGGAAAACGAAGAGGATACCTATTCCTATGAGAGAAGTGGCTATGAGGGGCGACCAGAACGATATGCTGGGGTAGCTAGTCCACCCAAACCAGAAGAAGGCAATGGCGAAGACTATGCCACCCAATGCGCCAGGGTACAGTCTCATCTCTGGATCAGGCAGCTTAGGGGCGGTTTTTTCGAGTGCCTTGGTGTATCTGAACGACATACCAGTAAGAAACAGTTGCCCCACTCGTGTTCTCGCTACTCACTGTGGGTTAAAGTAGAGAATATTGATGGTGCATGCGATGAAACCTCCAATGAACAGCGGCAGGAACATCAATCCTTGTATGCCCTTATTGAAACCGTGTCCTGGGGCACCATATACGAACGGGAAACTGTTGCAATGAGTTAGTTTGGTGCGTCCAAACGCAAGCCCTAACTCACGACTCGAAGAGGAGATAGAGAATACCATAAACGAAGCTCATGAAGAGTGTCAAAGCAGAGAGCATTGGCTCATAAGCGAGGAGAATAAACGGCTTGAAAATGGTATTGTGGATGGTGCTCTTGAAATCCGTTTTGCGGAGGTCGAGCGGAGATTTGTACCTGTCATCGCCCGTCTCCTTACGCTTCTGCTTGGCAATGCGTGCTAGGAGGGCAGGAGCGTATGTCTCGGGCAAGACTAATCCCAGGAGAAGAGTGCAGAAGCCGGCGAAAGCAAAGAGAGCCCAAAAGAGTATGCGCCAGTCAGCGCCCGCTGCAGCTATAAAGCCTGATATGACGGGGGCTATGGCGGGGCCGGCGAAGGGGGCGAGAGCGAAAACAGACATGGCTGGGCACCGTGTGTTAGTTGATACAATAGGTGTCTTATGCATGCGTACCAATTCCGCGTGCTGTTTTTGTTCAAGTCAGTAAGTTCTCATTTAAACATAACAACTCCAACCCACTCTTGGGGTCCCAGAGGTCACTGATGACAGCACCGCAGACAACCAGCGGCGATGCACCTGTGTAGAGGTATATTTCAATAAAAGGGTCATTCACTCAGCATCAACACCTACCGAAACAACCTGTAAGGAAACGAAACACAAGAATAGAGCCGGTGTTGGGTGAGAGCGCGCAACCGATAGTAAGTAAGGTATAAGGAATGAAAGCCATCAGCATGCCATTTTTACGCCCAAGGGTGGTTTCCGAGAGAGGGCCCCAGAGAAGGGGACCGACAGTGTAACCCGCGACGAAGAGACTAACGGCGAGAGTAGCGACCTCGCGGGAGAAACCAAACTCGGCCATTAGTTCTTGTGAGATGCCCGACGGTGCACTACTTGAGAAGGTGGAGTTGAGGACGAGTAGGCCAGCAATGAAGGTTAGGAGCCAGCGATAATTAGTGTTCCAGTTTTTGGGATTGCGCGTATCACCATCGTCGAACTTGTCGATCATGAATGGATCACTCTTCTCCTCCTCAATAACCTCCTCGGCATCCTCGCCAATGTCGCTGTGGCTGCCGCGTTCGACGTCTTTGCCGAATGCGATGTCGGGGGGGAGGACTAGGTCAGTGGCGCCGGCTAGCTCAGCCCCGACACTCGGCAATGGCACACTATCCCTGCGTAGCCCCTTCAAGCTGTCATTCGTCGGCGTTGGATAGAGACTGCCTGCGGAAGACTTGCGGTTAATGGATCTGTTGCGTTTAATGGAGGATTGTCGTGCGAAGTTGGCGTCTGGCAGGGTAACTGAGTGGTTGATTGGTGGTTTAGTTGGTGGATGTTGTAGTGGCTGTTGTGGTTGTTGTGGCTGCTCTGGATGCTGTGGTTGCCTTTGCTGCTGCTGCTCTATCTGCTTCTCATTATCAACCATTCCTAGTTTAAATTGAAATTGAAATTGAGACTGTTATATAAATAGGATGTTGCAGTTACACTCAAAGAACTGCGACCGTCATTTTACCGGATATATGTATTGGAGACATGGACCCAATGGCGGGGCCGTAGAGCGTTCTATCGGCGTTGATTGTGGGGATGTGTGGGATGTTTGGGATGTTTATGTGTGTCAATTCCATACTGGCACTCCTCCCACTCCTCCCACTTTCGCCGGATTTGATTTGATAAATTGAAATTCTTACGCACGAGAGGTAAGATACGTGCGTAAACAAGCACCACGACAAGAACCACCAAATGTACCATCTTCTTCGAGGACTCTACACAGAGCTCACACGGCAGACAGAGTACTCGATACTGGTTATTGGTTTGAATGGCAGTGGCAAGACGACGTTCGTTGAGCATGCTAAAGAGATGTACACAGGCAAGCCACGCTACGAATCTGGTCCAACGATAGGCCAGAATGGTGAGAATAGATTTGGTATCTAGATAAACATTATAACACCTCATTCAGTCGTAAAATTACCCGTCAGTAACACTATCCTCCATTTCTGGGATCTCGGTGGTTCATCGGAATTTACAAATCTGTGGGATAGGTACTATGGTGACGCACAGGCTGTACTGTTCTTTATAGATGGCACGGACACTCAACGATTGAAAGAAAGTTGGGAGATATTCGAGACACTGAAAACACACAGTGATCTACAAGGCATACCAATAGTAGTGTGTGCAACTAAACAGGATAAACAAGGTGCCATGTCTGCAGCTGATATTGAGAAAAAGTTCATCGACTACTCAAACAATACGCCTAATATACCTTACACCAGTCTAAGCAGCTTGAGTGAGAGGCTGGAGAACAGTCACAGTCATAGCAATCAACACAACGACGATAAACGCAATCTAATCCTCAACCTCGTCAACACTGATCAGTCATCGATTAAGAGCGTAATTGATGCTTTGTTTGTGAGAGTACAAACGTCTCCGAGGGGTTGAGAGAGGTATGAACACGAATTATGAATACAGGATTTGAACAGTTTTAACGAAATATAAACACAACACGTAAACACAGTTATAAACATACATATGATATAAACACACTAAACAATCCCGCAATCTACTTCAACACAGTCTCAGACCTGCGTATTGCCAGAAATTGCTGGACAGACGACGGCTGGAGTGTCTTGATGACGTCATAAACCTGCATGCTATTATAACGCAGGCGTGTGCGAGGATCCGTGTATTCACCCAAAAGACCAGTGACATCGCAGTATTTGCCAGGTGGGAGAAGTGAAGGGGGACACTCAATAGTGAACCAATTTGTGAGATTCTCGGGAAGTGAAGAGAGTTGCTGAATCTCATCTTCAGTGGCCTGTACAAGGCCATTCTTAACATCCTCCAGTCGCTGTCTTCCCTCTTTGAGACCTTCTAACTGCTGCCTCTCGCGCTCCCTCTCGATGGCCATCACCTGCTTGAATATCTTGTTACGCTTGGTGTTGCTCCAATTTGGATTCTTGAATGGCCGCGGCGATTCGTAGAAATTGTAATAATCCACCACTTTGTCGGGTGGTTGGGGGGTGGACGATGTGGACGCAGACGCGGATGATTGGCGTGGTTTCTTGCGTGGTGGCCTAGAGCGTATTATTGTAAGCTATTTCATTGGCTATAATTATGGTTTTGTAAATACATTTTATCCTTCTATCCTTCTATCGCGGCGACGGTGACAAAGAAGGAAGAATATGTGGTGGGTGCCTAATATCAATTAAATCTCACCTCACACTCCACACCTAAGCAAACACGTCCTCAACGCACAAGCAGCAATACGCTCTCCATGCTGCAGAAAGTGGTTCGATGTGAGCAGCTTCTATGGTACAATACAACTAACTCAAATCACATTAAAGTGCCCAGAATGCCATGAAGAAAAGGAAGACCATCCCCTCGCTAAATCCATTGAATTGTCCTTCATGTGCAAGAAATGCAAGCGCGCATTTAGGAAGGATATGACTGTATTTGAAGAGAGCGATGAGTATTGCCCTCACTGTGATAATCATTTTGTAGGTGTTCTTAGGATTACTTGTAGTAACCCTCACTCATCCCTCACACTAGGTCATCGACGCTAAAACACCAGAAGCTGCACTGATGGTCGAAGGTGAAGATGCACGCGTCGATAACAGGATCATCAAAGACGAGAGAGCCAAGATCGATCCAGAGAGGACTATCAACGCCCGCAATGCTGAGTTGAGTGATAGAGTTGGATAGTTTGTCGTGTCGTATATCTTTGGATATTTGTAAATTGTATTATGTATACTCATTCTGCCTCTTTACTCATTCTAGTTTATCTCTATAATCATTTGTTTGTCTTCTCCTTGATCTTGTTTGGATATGTTTGAGTCGCTCGAGTCACTCGAATCGCTCGAATCGCTAGACACACTACTTGTATCACTATCACTATCACTGTCACTGATACTTTCATCAAACTTCATCACCTCCTTCGTCCTCCACCGCGTCTCTAGCGGCACATCCGACACCATGAGCACTGCAAAATCTATCACTACCGTGCCCCTCAAAGCCTCTATAATCTCTTCATCTAGCTGCGTTCGTACATTCTGCCCGTCCTGGCTCTTTATGTAGAAATGGAGAGTGTGGAGGCGATGTTGATCGATATAGCCCGCCTTTTGCGTGAGGATGTATTCCACACTCATACACTGGGGTATTCCATGCACGACCACCTTCTCACTTTCCTTCTCCTTTACATTCTCACCCAAACTCACCAGACTCACCACCTCCACACTCAAATTGAGCTGAGCAGACCGGGCATCCCAGTGCGTGCGATCCCGTCGCCGTCTCTCCATACCGAGCGGACTAAGGAGGAGTTCGATGCCCTCGTTTGCGAAGGAGGACTGCATTCTGAGTGCTTTGGCGTGTGGGTGGTGTGGGTGGTGCTGGTGCTGGTTATGAGGATGATGATGTTGTTGCTGCTGCCCATGAGCCACATGAACCCCTGCTGGTGCCTTTTTCCCTGCCTCCTCCACTTCCCGCTTCGCCTCCTCTAGCAGGGCATAGTCATTTACCAAATCCATATGCTTGTAGTCCTTCATCGCTATATATGCCGTCTTGTCCCGCTCTCCGCTGCATCCACGCTCTTCTTTGTGCCTGCGACTGCACGCGAGTGAACAGCTGCGTAACGTGCATCGCGGACACTTGTATTTCGACACTGCCCCGCATAGCTCACACAAGCTCGTTTGGGAGAAGATGTTGTCTATTTCTGCCATTGTTCGATTGTGATGGTGGTGCACCAAGAAGATTACATCACTCTGATAAGATTAAAGTGGAGAGTGTCTTCATGGTGTATATATGTACGATCGTTCACTCAAAAAAAACACATTTACTCTAAGATCGAAAATTTTTGCATGATTTCACAATATACTTAAGCCAAACAAGTCAACGGGTTGCCAGAATCGATAGTATACTCGAAGATATCAGCATAAGTCCCACAGCTGTCCTCCACCCTTACCGACATCCACTAACATAAACATAAACTTCAAAAAGTGCATCAAGAAGAAATACATACCGAGGATGAAGGCTGCTGAATGTTTGAGCATGGAAACCTAATTCAACATTTTGCCGTTTATGACATCAATTGCGTCACGGCAAAGCTAGTATCCAGTGAAATAAATCTTCCACATAGCGCAGTCTGGATTACACCAGAGTTATTCGCCACCAGTCTAATAAGAAATTGCAATTCACTGACTTGCTCAACCATCTTATATGCTAAAGAGTGCACCAGTATTTAAAGCTTTCAGCCAAATTTCGCTGATTTGAGATCGGGAAGATAAAATACATTGATATACAAATAAAATACACATGGTAGAACCTTTTCAGACACGCTCACCGCGAAGTCTACGTGCGAGTTGAATGTCTTTTGGTTGAATGGTGACTCTCTTGGCGTGGATGGCAGCAAGGTTGGTGTCTTCAAAGAGTGAGACAAGATAAGCTTCACTGGCTTCCTGGAGGGCCATGACAGCGGAGGATTGGAATCGCAAGTCCGTCTTGAAGTCTTGCGCAATTTCTCTTACGAGACGTTGGAATGGCAATTTACGGATAAGGAGTTCCGTCGACTTCTGGTAACGACGGATTTCTCTAAGAGCGACAGTACCTGGACGGTAACGGTGTGGCTTCTTGACACCACCAGCTGCTTGTGGGGCGGCTGTCTTTCTTGCTGCCTTAGTAGCGAGTTGCTTGCGTGGGGCCTTACCACCGGTGGATTTGCGAGCTGTTTGCTTAGTTCTGGCCATTTTAGAATACTTGGGTGATTAATGTTTTTCACAGGGAGGGACATACGGCTTAAATAGTGGCGCGCGTCGTTGAATCATTTTCCACTTGGGATCACGCGCAAATCAGAATTTGTGGTGGCGGGCGGGAGTGAATGCGAGTAGTGTACAAAAAAAGGTTAATCTGACAGCCAAAAATTTAGGCTATCTGGTGATTTGTATTGATCTCAGATTTTCCCACTTTACATAGCAGGATCACGCGTTTTATAAAAAAAAAACAAATGATTTGATCAGATCGTGATCTCTAGCGCGCGCTGCAAATGCATAAATAGTCAGTGCGCCTCTCAATTCATCTCCATCAACAACTCTTAGTACAATGTCTGGAAGAGGAAAAGGCGGCAAAGGTTTAGGAAAAGGTGGTGCTAAACGCCACCGCAAGATTCTTAGAGACAACATCCAAGTGAGTTTGAGTGTATCTACCGATATTTCCATCTAACAATTCTCTAGGGTATTACAAAGCCAGCTATCCGTCGTCTCGCTCGTCGTGGTGGTGTGAAGCGTATTTCTGGCCTAATCTACGAAGAAACACGCGGTGTCCTCAAGGTTTTCTTGGAGAACGTCATCAGAGACTCCGTCACCTACACCGAACACGCAAAGAGAAAGACTGTCACCGCTCTCGACGTCGTCTACGCCCTCAAGCGCCAAGGAAGAGTGCTCTACGGTTTCGGACAGTAATTCTCCCATTATATTTACCATCGCATCTATTCCTGTATTAGTAGTCTAGCATACAAATAACTTTATATTGATCATCTTCCGACCCGTTAGAACTGCTTAAACATTTTCCGCTTTAACCGCGCGCGTAGCACCGAGGAACGGTAATGAATGTTTATTGTATATATCTAACTTGATAGGTAAACAACGCACATTCCAATTTAATAATTTCTGCAGGTTTATTTGATTATTCTATCTCTTCTTGCGGTGTTCCGATCGCGATGCCGCTCCAAAAGTCGTCGCTCACAATAGACCTGCCCAACACGCACAATGTAATAGTACTCAAAGAGCCAGCGTTCCTTTCCAGCAGTCGCGTGCCCAACTACAGTTCGCAGGAGGTGTATGAGCTGCGCGGTACGCTTGAGCTCTTTCTGCCTGCGCGGCGGCGCATACGAAGCATACAAGTAAAGCTGCAGAATGTCGAAGAGGCAGTAGTCCACGGTCGCATGAGTCGGCGGTTAGTCCTTGACGAGACGCTCGAAGTGAGCGTGGACGAGGAGGGGCTAGATCGCGGCGTGCATATATACGAGTTCAACCTTCGCATAGACAGCCGCACGCCCAACTACGACAGACATCCACGCGGCGGGACGATGCAATACCTCGAAGCGACGGTACAGTTTCACGAGCTGTTTTCGCGCGCCCTCACACGGCGGATCCCACTCATATTCGTCTCACACCCGAATGGGGAGGGCTTCATACCACTCGATCACGTTCACCGTGACTACGTTGATGATCTGGGACCACTAGAGGTCAGCTTCAAGACGCAGCATCTCACCATTGCTGGGTATATAATGGTCGAGATGTATCTGCCTAGTCCAGCGCCCGCGCTCGAGATTAAAGGGCTGAGTGTGACCCTGGAGCAGCACACGAGCATTCATGATAACGGTCACCTCGTTGAGACGTTGCCTGTCGATACACACACGTTGCTGGAAAAGGGCGGGCGGGAGGACTGCTTAATGCGCGCACCCAACCACAGCGCTGCTATTAGATGCTTCTACTACGTCAAACTCCCCACAGACGATTACTGCAGACCATCTACACTTGAATGGTCGATGGCCCGGCTGCGCCATCAACATTTCATTAAATTCGATTTGCTCTACAAGAAGGAAAAGCTGCGGTGCGCGAGTGTTAACGTACCAGTCATCTTACCACAGTGCCTTCTCTCGGTCGACAGTGTCACCCTGCCCACTTATAGCGACGCCGGCTATCCAGTCCCTTCAAAACGCCTCTGGGATCAGCCCCTGCCCCAATACTACAACAACTGCAGCTGTGGTAAAGACTCACTTACCCTCAAAGCAGACGCCGAGGGAGTGCAGAATCTTGATAAATTCACCCCAAAGAAACAGGGCATCTGGCTCACCGATCTGAGACACAAAGAGGAAAGCATATCGTCGAGAGATTCGTATGAGGAGATACGCGCAGCGAAGCGTGTGAATGAGTATGTAGTGGAGTAACAAGTGATCAAGTGATCAACTAATTCAAGGATTTTGTAATTTTTCAACAAAGGATGTATTACTATTTTACAGTTTTTACAGTGATTCCGGTGTGTGCTTTGTGTGCAGTGAGTACGCTAGTATGCCAATGAGCCAATGTAATTGTATACTTTACTTTCCTGCGCGCATCCACTCTGCTCACAACAGCGTCTCACCCAAAGCGGATCTAACGAGCGAGCATCCGACGCTCACAGTCTGCTTTACAGCGCGCTCATCTTCGAGTGTCGGGTTTACTTCCATAAGGTCAACAGCGACAAGAAGACCAGTCTGATGCAACGCCTCGCAAATATAATGCCCCTCTCTGAAAGTAAGACCACCACGAACCGGTGTACCTGTGCTTGGAGCCACCGACGGATCCATTGCGTCAACATCGAAGCTTAAATGTACCGGTCTGGTTCCATCAGGATTGACGTCGTTGAGTGCCATTTCGACTACCCTGCCAATTCCCCATTTGTCTACATGGTGCATTGAGTACGCGGTGATATTGTGTTCTTTCAGCAGACGCTTTTCGCCATCATCCACATCGCGTAGACCTATATACACGAGACGTGAAGGGTGCAGCTGCGACTTGATCCAGCTGAATTCGGGTATATCTCCGGCAATGCCGAGCAAGAAAGATAGCTGATAAGTAAGTGGGTTAGTTGAGACGTCGCACGCATTCCGCACTTATCACTCACTGGACAACCATGCAAATTACCCGTTTCTGTTGTCTCGGGTGTATTCAAGTCGGCATGAGCATCCACCCACACAACACACAGTTCTGGATGAGCGCTTAAGCTGCCCGAAATGGTCCCCATGGCTAGGCTGTGGTCCCCACCCAGTGTCACAGGAAGCTTGCCTGCTTGGGCGTGTTTCTTTACCTCCTGGTACACTTTCTCAGTAGCCGCGCTGACTGTTCGTGGATACTTGAGCTTGCCGATGTCCGTATCATTCTCGAGCACGCTAAATCCGCTATGATCCTCTATGGCGTCGACTGATAGTCCGAGTGTCTCCACCTGCTGCGCGAGGCCGTGCTTTATCAACTGCACAGGCCCAGTCTCCGTGCCACGCTTAGGCTGTCCGTGACTAAATGGCGCATTAACGAATGCTACTTGTGGTTTTACGAATTTAAAAGGAGTGGACATGGCGGTTAGTGATGAACAGGCGTATCGCGTGTTATCAATGATAAAATAAATTAAAAGTACAAAAGAAGAGCGAGACTAATCAAATCACTCCTCTTCATCATGCTGGTCATCACGCTTGAACAGATCGAGCATCTCATTCAATCCAAGCTTGTTAGACACCGCCTTGCCGCTGAGTGCTGCCTCGGCCAGTTCGCGCTTTTTCTTTTGAAGCTCGAGTATACGATCTTCTACAGTCTGCACCACCGTTAATTTGTATATATGCACTTCGCGTTTCTGTCCGAGACGGTGGGCTCTGTCGAAAGCTTGGTCTTCGAGCGCAGGATTCCACCACATGTCAGACAAAATGACGCGCGAACATATATTCAGATTAAGCCCTGTCGATCCGGCTTTGAAGGATATCAGTATGACTGATGGTGTGTTAGAGAATCAACTTTTGCACTCAAGCATAAGCGTAAGCATATGCCCTAGCATTGGCACTCCCACCTGTTGTCTTATCATCCGACTTTATCTGATTAAGCACAGCCTCGCGTTCGATTGGATTCATAGATCCATCGTATCTTACGTACTTGTAGCCAGCTGCTTTGACGAAGCTTTCAATGATATCGAGGAATGTGACGAATTGTGAGAATATGATGGTTTTCTCTGGGGTATTCGTGATTTTGTGGCTGCTATTTTTGTCCTTGTGATTCTTGTGATTCTTTTGATCCTTATGACCGCTCTTGTTGTCCTTCTTTTCAGTGTCCTTTCTCAATTTCGCTTCCTTCCTTTCCTGCTCCCGATCGTCATCACTTTCACTGAGCACAATCTGCTGACTCTTTTTCTTCAGGATTGATTTCTTGCTTTTACTCTTCTCGCTTTTCTCGTTCTTCTCAACGCGCTTTCTGTCATCGTCATCCGCCTTTTTTATGTCCATCGACGCTGTACGCTTGATAATTGTGTCAAGATCGTCATTTTCGCTGCTACTGATATCTATAGCTTTAGACGGGAGGCCAGCCGGATCGAGGCGCGTTTGAGGGGTGTGTGGAGTGTACGAATCTGTCTGTGTCTGTGTCTTCTGTTGTGATCGCCCTTTGGTGTTTGGTTTAATAGCAGTGCTAGTAGAAGCTGCAGCAACATCAGTAGCGCTATGCACCTCTTCCAAAATACGCATAATAGCTCTAATCTTTGCACTCTCCACCAACCCCGTCGCATCACCCGACTTATCAACTCCACTACTCCCTACTACCTTCGCTTTTCCCTTGTCGATCTGTAGATCCTCATCGACATGCTTCTTCTCACCTACACCTAACCCAGTGAAAAGATCCGCGAGCTCATCCGCCTCTTTCTCATCCTCCTCTTCCTCCACTTTACCTGGCTGTTGTGACCGCATAGCCGGTTCGTTAGCGACAAAGTCATCCTTGCTGTAAGCGCGCGTGACGAGATGTGGATGACAGCAAGCCTGTCTCAAACGGAGCAACAGAGTTAAGACGCTAGTGTACCTGCTATTAATAGCGCCCTCTGTCACGAACTTGCTGATAGTTTGCTGAGCGCGATCGTGAACGTTATCGTAGAATCTGCGCTCCTCCTCATCGAACAAGCACGCAACATCCGTAACATGCTTCGGGGGTAGTGTGATAAGCGCCGATCCGTCCTCATTCAAGGTGTTCTTTGTACGTCGCAGCATAACCAATTTGAGAATCAGCTGTAAACGCGCTATCGCCACTTTGACACGGCCACTTTTCATAGGCGTGCTAATGCGCGTCTTGAACTCGTCATAATGACGAAAAGGCTCTATGCGCAGGAAACGTAGCAACGCATAGAGCTCGTCGACGTTGTTCTGGATGGGCGTACCCGTCAGACACCATCTGTAGCATGCAGATAGCCCCGCACATGCTATGCTCGTCTTACTCGTCCGGTTCTTGATGTTCTGTGCTTCGTCGAGCACAACGCGTTGGAAATTGCCCTCAAAAAGGGCGCAAAGAGGCTTCTTCTGCTTGCCAGTTTTACCCGTTTTGCTTTTGGTACCGCTACTGCTCTTACTTTTGCTGCCACCTGGCTCCTCACTCTCGTACACGCGGTGCTCAGATGACACCGTCTGGTAGCTCGTTACGACGACATCGTAATTGGCAAAGGCAGCAGCGTCGCGCGTGCGTGCTGCGCCGTGGTGTGTGAGTACGCGCACGCCGTCGCACTTACTTTTGGCCTCCGTCTCCCACTGCGCCACCACAGCTAGAGGTGCTACGATGAGGGTAGTTTTGGACCACTCACGTACAACTTGCTTATCAGAGCTATTGGAGAGGATGAGTGCGAGAGTCTGGACAGTTTTCCCAAGTCCCATCTTAACGCTGTCAGAGTGAGCGAGTTGGATGTAAAACGCGCAACTCACATCATCAGCTAGAATACCGCCATGCTTATTAGATACGCCACTCTCGCGGTCGCGCATCCAAGCTACACCGGCTATCTGGTGCTGGAGAAGGGTGATGTCGGGCATTCCAGGGATAGTTGCGGTGGATGGGAGATCAACATCGTCGTAATCAGCAGTCACGCCTGAAATGAGCTCGTTGAGGTGTTTGTTCGCCTCGCTGGAAGTCGTCGCCGTCGTCGTGTCTGAGGATGACGGCGTATCTTCTCGCGGGAGCGGCGTGACTGGGGGCAAGGAAACACTTGCTAGTGGGGGTGGCGATACCTGGTGGACTGCTACACGTGATGCCAATGGTTGTGGCGGGCGGGCGTAAAGGTTCTTGGATACAGGCGCTGCCCAGCCATTAGGTGCACGCTGTGGTATGCCGTATGTAGGTGGTGGTAGACCTGCTGGACGTGTACTCTGTGTACCTTGTGTGTTGTGTGTTTTGTGTGCACCGCGTGCGCCCTGGTTACCAGTATACATGACAGTATCTACTTAAAGACAAAGACACTACCCTGAAAACAAAGCAAATGTGAAATAAATTTGTATCAACACGCTCATGACATTCAGATTCATACAAAAAGTATAGCTTAAGCCTCGCGAGTTTGTTGAGTACCACGTAACAAACCGGTACGTCTGGCAGCAATAAGACCAGCCTTTTGACCAGAAGGAGCATCTCTGGCGATGGTAGAGGCGTGACCAATGTGTTGGTGGTTACCACCACCGTGAGGGTGGTCTACTGGGTTCATGGCAACACCACGAGTACGTGGCCAGCAGTTTCTCTTGACCTTGAACTTGTGGTGAGCGGCACCAGCCTTGAGGAGAGGCTTGTCAATACGACCACCACCAGCGACAATACCAATTGAAGCTCTGGATGAACCGACGACAGCCTTCTTAGCACCGGATGGAAGACGGATTCTAGTCTTACCGTCGACCTCAGAGTGACCGATGATGGTGGCGTAGTTGCCTGAAGCTCTAGCCAATGCACCTCTGTCACCAGACTTCTCCTCAATGTTGCAGATGATGGTACCTTCTGGCATTTGGGAGACAGGCAAAACGTTACCGACGGCGAGAGCAGCCTTCTTACCGCAGTAGACGAAAGCACCGGTGTAGAGACCTTCGGTAGCGATGAAGGTCTCGGTACGGAGCTTGTAGCGGTATTGGTCACGGAAAACGACACGAGCCAAAGGAGCACCACGGCCAGCGTCGTGGATGATCTCCTTGACTATACCACGGATGTAGCCGTTACGCTCAGCATAGTCGTAAGTACGGAGCTGGGCTGGGGCCTTGTTGTGGTGGGTGTGAGACTGGAAAATACCACCGTTTTTACGCTGCGATCTGATGACTCTACCCCTGTTTAAATTGTGAGAATATGTTAGGGCGCCTGAATAAATTTTACATTTCGTCGACGCTGTGGCTTGAAGCTAAGAGAGAAGGATTTTTTAGAGAAGGATAAAAACTGAAAAAATTGAAGGTAAAAAGAGTGAATGGAGAGAGATATAAAAATGAATACAGATACCCATAATAGCCAGCTAATTGAGTTGAATATGCGTGTGCGTCATGGTTAGTATGGCGTAATCACACCGTTAGAGCTGTTGTGGATATGTGAGTGGTTGTACACTACCAGCACTCCCACCCACCCTCTCATTGGACCTTGTTCAAATTGAATATTGATTTCTTCAACCAATGGCAATTTATTTGGTGATCTTGCGTAGAGAACGATATTCCCGTCGTTGCTATGGTATTAGTAGGTGGCTGATTGGAATAAATAGTACTCCCGCGCACCTCATCGTTGGCTGCTGCGTTGAAACTAGATTAGCTTCCTCAATCCCAGGAAGACGTGGTTTGGCGCCTGTCTGACGACGATGACGCGAGATTGTAAGTGGGTTGCTTTGGACGTATCAATTGAGTTTCATCTCTTCCAATTGCCTCCCATCTCCGCCCATCAACCCAGAAATGGCGATATCAAGAGATGGAAATGAAGCACTTACACGTCGTAGTTGAGTGAATGCGTTGAGGGCGTTGCGGGCATAGAGTTTAAACCACTCGTGGTAATATGTGCAGCTGCTGCGATTGCTGGAGGTGTGTCAAGTGGTGTGATGTGAGATGTGTGTGTGTGAGTGTTATCAGTACCCACCGATAAAGGGGATCAAGGAGAACATCGATGTAGCTGATAAAGAAGGAATTTAAATAAAGAAATCAATTTATCAACTTTACATAGACGACGGGGGTGTCTAGATTGAGATGCTCACAACCATGACGGGGGATCTCAATAGGATCTACAATACGCATAAATCTAAATCAAATGAGAATAAACTCAATAAATACAAAATACTTGGTTTCTTGTCCTCCGGGACTTACGGGAAGGTGTTCAAGGCAGAGGCTGTAGATGACGCTAATAAGGTCTACGCGATTAAAAAGTTTAAACCTGATAATCAGTTGTTCATGGGAATATCTCAGTCTGCTATTCGAGAAATCAGCTTGAATAGCGAGATTAACAGCGAAAATTTGGCAAAGTTAGTCGAAGTGCTGCTCATGGATGGAGCTATCTACATGATATTCGAATACGCAGAGCATGATTTACTACAAATCATTTATCATCACTCTCAAATTGTTAGAAATGATATTGATCCACTCGTACTGAAATCATTCCTTTACCAGCTAACAAATGGTGTACACTACTTGCACTCAAACTTTATCATCCACAGAGACCTCAAGCCTGCCAATATCCTCGTCACAAACACTGGGGTTGTTAAGGTTGGTGATTTGGGTTTAGCTAGGGTGTTTAAGGCTCCCCTACAGCCACTCTACAACGGCGACAAAGTCGTTGTTACTATTTGGTACAGATCCCCCGAGCTTCTCCTAGGCACACGTCACTATACGCCTGCCATTGATATTTGGGCTATTGGCTGCATATACGCTGAAATGCTATCTTTACGTCCATTATTCAAAGGTGATGAAGTCAGGCTGGATAACAAGAAATTGCCCTTCCAATCGCATCAAATGATCTGCATTATGGACTTGCTAGGTTTCCCAAACACGACTAGATACCCAGACATAAAAAACCTGCCTGACTACAACGAGTTGATGCAATTCAATCCCCAACAATTCTCCTATAAACTCAATCACTGGTTTGCACAGCGATCCAACTCACTCCAAGGATTCGATCTGCTTGATAAGATGTTACAGTATGACCCGACACAGCGACTGAGCGCCAAAGACGCGCTCAACCATCCATTCTTCACCACCGAACAACCCCAACCTCTTTCAGCCCCACTTGCAACACACAGCGAGAATATCTACCCAACGCGGCGCGTCACACACGACGGCGAGCTCGATGGGCTTAGTAGCCAGCACAGTGGTGTCTCGGGCGCAGGCGCAGGAGGTGGAAGTGCGCAGAGTGGTCCATCACGCAAGCGAAGTCGGTTAGTGTAATAAAGTGTATTTTAATATGACCACATGATATATCTTGATCTTCACCACCACCACACGCTGCACACAACTCAAACGCATGTCGAACAACCCCGTCTACACATATCACGAAAAACAGCACTTCAATCTCGGTGGTAACTCGCGTAAGCGTAAGATCGGGATTGAGTCGCTGCGCCGATTCGACCATTGTGCGCTATGCCTCGGCGTAGCACGCGAGGCGACGAGTACCCCGAGGGGAATTATATACTGTAAAGAGTGCATATATGCGGATCTGTTAGCGCAAAAGCAGGAGATAAAGGCTGCGAAAACCACCCTGAAGCAGCTCAAGCAGGCGCAGAAGGATGGTTCAGCAAGACGAGCAGAAATTAGCAAACAGGGAAATGTGGAGAGGTTCGATAAGGCGCAGAAGCTGGGTGGGGACAATTCACAATCTCAATCGCAATCGCAACCAAACTCAAGCTCACAATCTCACCCCACTCTACCCAGCTTTTGGCTGTCTTCTCTCCAGCCTAACATCAGCGATGAGCAGAATATTGCTGATCGGATACGCGCGTTAGAGGCCCAGAAGATGGTGACTCTCTGTCGACAGGCTACCCCTCCTCATCCACTCACACTCAAGGATCTCACGCCTGTCAAGATTAAGTACACTGACAGCGCACGCGATGTTGCTGTGTGCAGTGGATGCAATAGGACACTTAACAATTCAACTAGAATGCTTCTCACTAAATCTTGTCATAATCTTCTCTGCGGCTATTGCATAGACACTCTCTACACACCATCGCAGCAGTGCCCTGTATGCGATGAAAAGGTTGATACAAATCCAGACGATTTGATTAGGATATCCGTTGAAGGTTGGCTATTTCATTTGATTCTATTCACTCACTCACACCTTCCAGGCACCGGTTTCGCTGGTGGTGGCGGTGTTATGCTCAAGAAGAGAACAGGAACACTCGGGCTCAATTAGTTTGCTAATGTGTATTATTTATATAGAGTACATTTCTCGTTGCATCGCTTTCATGTCCTGTTTTCTTGCATTAGCTAACGCGCCAACGCACCATACACACCCCAGTTACACCAGTGTATCAGTAAAAGCGTTTAAAGTTTGACTTCATGTGTTTGCAGAGATTGTTCACAATACCATCATGTTGTGTGCGCTGTGGGGTGTGCTGGATGTACACAAACCCACCTCATTGTCTCATCACCATATTTCGTTAACGTTTACTGGAAATTCCTGTCTTGGTCGTTTGTTAGTTGGGTTCAAAACGTCCCTCAGACTCCGCGACCGCTCTTCAATGTCAGCGAATAAGCGTTATAAAGAGTTGACTTCATGTGTTTGCAGAGATTGTTCACAAAACCATCATTCGAGAGAGCGGTCTGGATTCTGAATAAATTGTACTCACCAATTGCGTTAGTTTTGCTTCTCAGTTACACCAACTCCTTCGCTCTCCACACATGATTACATTTCAGTTAGAGCTAATACATTTTATCCCTCCTCTTCTCAATGAGAATCGAGTGATAATAACTTTTCATCCTTGTAAACGAGTGTGGAGTCGTCGAAGAAAGTGATAAAGCAATGGTAAAACTAACTTACATCTTCATCCTAAAAACGATAATTAGCAAGAACACTAATAATAACACCACGCAAGACACCATCACAAACACCCTCAGAGAGAAGATTTATCCCTGATAATGTCGGTCATCAATCCGCGAGTGATGAATCACACCAGAAATCCCCACAAGAATGAATAGCGATTATCATCTTGGAGTGAGACTAGCGAGTGGTGTCTAGCGTGAGGTGTGAATTGCACTCACATTGCAACTAGACATCTTTCACGATTGGTGAGTTGTAACGCTGTGCGTAGCCAGTCCAGCTTTCATCGTAAATGGAGCTATGACCTCCAATAACTTCCAGGGCAAGAGCTACGATCGCGGCTGTCATCCCTGAGCCGCAACTAGTAATGACATCTTTCTTCCCTTCGAGGACCATATCCAGCTGCTGCTTTCCGAGTGTATTTTCAAACACCGCACGAAGCTCTTCAGGGCTCTTAAGCTGGCCATCCTGAAGCAATTGGGGAAAAGCGAGCGAGAGAGCACCAGGCATATGACCCGACGACAGGCCCTGTCTGGGTTCAGGCGCCGCGCCCGCAAAGCGAGGCTGCGGACGAGCATCGAGTATGACGCTATCTTTACGCTCAATGGTGTTGAGAATATCTATGTGGTCCTTGATAAAGTTCTTCTCCAGTGTAGGTACGGGGTACTCTGAGCGTTGGGAAACATACTCTCCCGACTCTACAGGTAAACCTTCCCTCTCATAGGCTGGGAGACCACCGTCGAGGACAGCGACATTTGGATGACCCATTGCGCGAAAGGTGAAAGCAGCGCGTGGAGCGCTAAAAACACCGACTGTGTCATAGAGGAGGACTTGAGAGTTGCGCTCAATTCCCAATTGGGAACACGCTGATGCAAAAATTGCAGGTGAGGGGAGCATATGACCGACAAAGCCATCTGGGTGGTTCGAAGCAATTTTGTCGAGATCCCAACGCCTTGCTTGAGGGAGGTGCTTGGAGAGGTACTCGTCGTTTGGGTTGCGCGCGCTGTTAGGCATGTGCCACGAAGCATCCTGGCAGAGATGAGCGTGAGCAAGAGCAGAGACCATCTCAGCTGCTCAGCTTGCTCACCAACGCAATGAAGTGCTTGAGGTCGCGCAGCTGGCGTGCTTTGACAATTCTCGTAGTCATCGTCGTTGCAGTTCAAGAAGCTTTTCTTGATTTTCTGTCAAATAACTTGAAATGGAAAATAAAAAGTTGAACTTTGCAATCGCTAAATACCTCAAAAGCGCACAAGCTGGGTTAAGCGGCGAGAAGCAGGAATCACTCAGCGTTGCAATTGAGTCGTTGGAGGATGTCTTCGAGGTGGATGACACGCAGGCAGGTGCTTTGGATAGCCCAGTGGATTTGGCAGCCTTGTTCAAGAGTGCGCAAGTCGCTGAGAAGCCACAAGCAGCAGCTGGGCCAGCTAACCAATCAGAGCCATCCGCTCAAGACATGGCCAAAGCAGACACACTCAAGGCTCAAGGCAATGCCCTCATGTCTGCGCAGAAGTACCAAGAAGCTGTAGACGCTTACACCCAAGCTATAGCCCTGCACTCCACCAACAAGATTCTCTATTCGTACGTGTACACTTCCTTCTAGAATGTACCCTGCTCACTTGCTCACAGCAACAGAGCAGCTGCGTACTCGCAGGCTGGTGACCAAGACGCATCCATCGCAGACGCTAAGAAGGCACTCGAAATTGACCCGGCTTTCGCCAGAGCGTACTCGAGATTAGGTCACGCGTACTTCAACGCTAAGCAGTACGATAATGCCGTCAGCGCATATGAGGATGGTCTCAAGTATGATACCGACAATCAGACCATGAAGTCTAGCCTCATCACCGCTAGATCCAAGGTAGGCGGCTCTGTTCAACAGAGAGAATCTCAGGATGCCGGCGCAGGTGCTGGTGCTGGTGCTGGTGCTGGCGGTGGTGGTATGCCTGATCTCTCAGCTCTCGCAGGCATGTTTGGCGGCGCTGGCGGTGGTGCTGGCGGCGGCGGCGGCGGCGGTATGCCTGATATCGGTGCTTTACTCAATAACCCAATGATGCGCCAGATGGCTCAATCGATGATGTCCAACGGCGGTATGGAGAGACTTATGTCTAACCCTGGTCTCAGGAACATGGCGGAGAACATGAGAAGTGGTGGACAGATGCCATCCATCGAGGAGTTGGCAGGTAACCCCGAACTCAGAGGTCTCGCTGAGTCTTTCGGTGCTGGTGGTGCTGGTGGTGCTGGCCAAGGCAATCCTCCACCAGGCAATGCTTAATTTCCATTAAATAAAGGTTTATTAGTAAAGATATCTATATGTATACATCTATTCATCATCTTCCTCCTCTTTCTCCTCCTCTTCTTGCTCCTGCTCCTGCTCACTCTCATTCTCCTGTACGTCTTGGTCTTCACTCTCTTCTGCATCTCCCTCATCTTCATAGCCCGCACTGGCAACATCAAGACATGTGAGTCTGGTGCCCTTTGTGTTATATGCCGCGACACACTCCAACTGCACCTGCTTGCTTGACTTTGTGAGCGCACTCAGATCGAAAGCTCTTACGAATCCATCCGATGAGATAGTGATAGCGAGTAGTAAGTCAGCCACCAATCCAAACCTGACACTCTTGATGCGGTTTTGGTGACCTACCAGCTCAGCCACGAAAGCACTCTCTTCACCCTCTTTAATTGCATAAAGCAGCACCCTCTTGTCCTCGCTTGCAACGGCAAAAAACTCAACACCATCGTCAAATCCCTGTGATTTGAGTGGTCTAGCGAAGCCAATGTCATTGAACTTAGTTGTCAATTTAGCTGGCAGCCATGGTAAAGGAGGGAGCAATTCGAAACCCTGCGTATTTCTCATCTCAACATGTTGTTTGAACATGATTGCGATTATGTTCCCAGATTTACTAAACTTGACCACTTCCGGATTACCTTTGCGACCCTCAATACCTAATTTCGTGCCTGCGATTCTACCAACATGGCCAGCTTGTCTATTCGACTCCTTCGAGTTCTTGCCCAATCTCCACAGCTGTCCCATTCTGTCGCTGCCGACAGTCATTGCGAAGCCTCCCTTAGGATGCACAGCTGCTGAGTCTACGCTACCCTTGTGAGCGCGGAATGACTTAAGCAGCTCCCATTCACCGCATTTAAAGATATATATGTTCGAGTGCGTCGTACCGATTACGAGGTGGGCATGATTGACGAAAGACATTGTGAGTGGAGTGCCTGTGTGGAGTGTGTTAGCCGTGCTAGTCTTGCTAACTGTGTCTGCTGCAGTCGTAAGACCGCGCAATGTCGCACCTTCTGTACCAGTCAAAGAACCGACTTCGACTCTTCTGCGTACATCCCACACTTTGATAGACTCGTCAGTACCTCCGGTAATAAGCCACTTGCCGCCCTTAGATGAGCCTGGCGGCGGCGGTGATAGCGCGACGCTCTTGATACACGTGATGTGCGCAGGGAACATAAACAGCGGCTTGAATTGGAGCTTGCCAGCTTGCATGCGTAAATTGAATCCATACAGCAACCGCTCGTAGCTCCCTACGGCAACATTCACGCTCACTGGGCCACTTGCAGCTTTTTTGGCTTCAGGATTCTGAATTTTCGCACTTTTCGTTGGCACGTCACTGGCAGCCTGGTTCTGTTGAAATCTAGCTCTCTTTTGCCCGCCCATTTATGCACTCTGCTGATCGTTGAGAGGAAGGAAGAGGAAGATTCTCCAGATTACATCATAACAGAGTGACGAGTTAATCAATCTAGATTTAGCACTCTCTGAGCTACTTATATCCTTGCCAAGTATTGTAGCGGTCTATTACAGCTTAAAATAGTAGCTCAAAATTTGCACATTCCTCGGATACTGCAGTCTTCAACAATCGGGATGTCCCCAAGCCTTTACTGACATGGGACTTGCTAAATTCACGTAATACCAGTAACCACGGGCATTTCCCAGCGTGTGCCTCGTTCGTGCTGGAATTAAAGACACCATACATGCATTAAGCGAAGTATCTTCTATAAATAATACATCCAAAAATAAATACATTGCACATATAAAGCCGCATTGCGGTCATTACCTCCCTTTTTCATTCTATCTTCCTATGTTCAAGCAAGTTGTCTACTTAGGATTATTGGCGAGCGCAGCGGCGCAATCTAACGGAACAATTGACCTCACGGAGCCAGAGGCAGGAAGATGGGGTGGCAATAATGGTAAGACACCCACGCAGCACTACAACGACTTCGACCATGAAGTCTTTCACAACCGCACCTACACCCCACAGCCCATTAGGTATGAAATGGGAGAAGTATATACGGTGAAAGAGAACGCGGACTTAGATAGAATGTCTCCAGATACACTCGCACCGCCCACCGTCGATTTCGGCAGCATTGAAAATCCAAGATGGCACATGTCTGACTCGTACAACCGCCTGGCTATTGGGGGGTATGCAAGACAACAAACAGTCAGGGACCTACCTATTAGCAAGGATATTGCCGGTGTAGATATGCGCTTATCACCACATGCTTTTAGAGAGTCCCATTGGCACACACAGGCCGAATGGTCGTATATTTTTTCAGGACGAGTTATCATCTCAGCCATTATGCCAGATGGAAAGACCTTCATGAGCGAGCTGGGACCAGGCGACGTTTGGTTCTTCCCTCCATCCACCATACACTCCATCCAAGCTCTTGACGAAGGCGCCGAGTTCCTACTCATCTTCGACAGCGGAGCATTCGACGAGAACGATACCTTTTTAGCTGCGGAGGCACTATCACGCATCCCTAAATCTGTGATCAAGTAGGTGGAAACTCGCTGACGACTAAAATTTTCCGCTCACATGCACCAGTAAAAATTTCGGTTTGAGCAAGAATGCAACTGATTTCGACAATATTCCGGCAGAGCAGCTCTACATTTTCAGAGGAGAAGCACCTGTACCATCTTTCAAGGAGCAGAAAGCGTCGATCAACAACCCCTTTGGCATGCTCGAAGACCACACTCTCGCGCTCAAATTCTCTGAGACACCATGGGAAGAGCATGACGGCGGCAAGGTGAAGATCGCAGACAGTAAAATTTTCAACGCGCCCAATCTCGACATTTCAGTTGCGCATCTGTCACTTGAAAGCAACAGTCTGAGGACACTGCACTGGCATGAGACTTGTGAGTTTGGAACTGTCCATTCGAGTACGAATACTCACAACACTCAGCCGAGTGGGATTTTGTCTTAAAGGGCACACTTAGGGTGACCATCTACGCCGGCAACGGTAACAGCCGTACATACGACATCAACTCTCTCGACGTGCTCTATGTGGAGGCGAACAACCTTCACTATCTTGAATGTGTTAGCCCAGAGCCATGCGAGTTCCTCGCTGCTTTCAAGATCGACACGTACAACGACTTTGAATACGGTCAATTCCTCAGCGCCGCTCCTCGTTACACCGTCAAGCAGCATCTCAGAATCAGTGATGAGACACTAGACAAAGTCCAGGGCAGTGTTGCTAACAAACAGATTATCATGCCTGACAACTGTTAAAGGAACAAGTAAGAAGAAAAAAGAGTTGTGATTCATGTGTAATAATAATCTTTTCATTACAGATCGATTCTGATTATCCTGTTATAGTTAATTTATGTGTGTCATGTCTCGCTCACATTTTCACATCTCAAGCGATCACCTCAGTGACAATACCAGTACCAATCGTCTTGTTGCCCTCTCTGAGCGTGAATCTAGAGTTGTTTTCCAGTGGCAAGTCGTGAACGAGTTCGCCGACCATCTCAACGTTGTCACCAGGCATGATCATCTTCTCGCCAGCGTCAGCAGTGCCTTCTGGGAACTTGAGAGAAATGGTAACGTCAGAGGTTCTGATGAAGAGTTGTGGGCGGTAATTCTCGAAGAATGGAGAGTGACGACCGCCCTCTTCCTTTGTGAGGATGTAGAGCTGAGCCTTGAACTTTTTATAGCTCTTGATAGAGTCAACTGCGGAAATGACTTGACCACGACGGATTTGCTCTCTCTTCACACCTCTGAGCAAGGCACCCATGTTGTCACCGGACTCACCACGGTCCAACTCCCTGTGGAAGGACTCGATACCAGTGAGTGTGGTCTTGAATGAGTTACCGAGACCGAGAATTTGAATTTCCTCACCCTTCTTGATAGTACCTCTCTCAACTCTGCCGGTGGCGACAGTACCTCTACCAGAAATGGTGAAGGTGTCTTCGATAGGCATCAGGAATGGCTTGTCGAGATCTCTCTCTGGGATATCCAACCAGCTATCGGAAGCTTCCATGAGCTCATCGATTGAGTTTGTACCAATCTCAGGGTTGCGGCCTTCGAGAGCAGCAAGTGCGGAGCCCTTAACGATTGGGGTGTTATCACCATCGTATCCGTACGTAGAGAGCAAGTCACGGATTTCCATATCTACGAGTTCCAACATTTCAGGATCATCAACTTGATCGACCTTGTTGATGTACACGACGAGTTTCTTGACACCGACCTGCTTGGCAAGGAGAAGGTGCTCTCTGGTCTGAGGCATCTGGCCGTCTGCAGCGGAGACTACAATGATAGCACCATCCATTTGGGCAGCACCAGTAATCATGTTTTTGATGTAATCAGCGTGTCCTGGGCAGTCAACGTGTGCGTAGTGTCTGTTCTCGGTCTCGTATTCGACGTGGGCGGTGGAGATAGTGATACCTCTAGCCTTCTCTTCTGGTGCCTTATCGATTTGGTTGTAATCGAGGAACTGGCCCTTGCCAGATTTCTCAGTGAGGTACTTTGTGATGGCTGCAGTGAGCGTAGTCTTTCCGTGATCGACGTGTCCAATGGTACCGACATTCAAGTGTGGCTTGTCGCGTTGGAAAGTTGCGTATGTGCGAGCTGAGTGGGTGCTAGCTCCGCGGGCTGGGTTTTTGGCGTGAGGATGAATATTTTCCCAATACCTAAAACTCACCCAATGCAGTTGGAATCACTGCAGAGCGCATGCTCATACGCTGGAGACCATTTGCGAGTGAACGAGTGGCTAAACCTGGGTGTTTTTCTCAGAAGCGTTTCCTCAATTTGATGGTGCAACCAACCTCTAGCAACGCCTCTAAATGGCTGTGGCTGGACGAAACGTCTGCCTGCTACACGCACAGCTGGTACCCTGAACATTTTGTAGATGGTTGGAAAGAGAAGACGACGCGGACGAGCTCCGAGGGATTCAGTTTAAAAATTGAGTGGAGTATAGTAGTATAGGGAATAGCTGGAAGTGGTATTAGAAGGTCAAATGGATTCCTTCTATTGGTATTGCTCGTGGTGCCACTCTGGGTGTTTGTTTTTACATCAAATGACTTGAATTTGTTATATTTATTGTGCACTGTCTTTGAGGTTCAAATACCTTTTATCTTGTAGCCTTCATGTCTGCATCATGCTGTCCAAAAATTTTGACTTTTGTTGGCCGAAACATTCCAGAGGCCGTATGGCTTTGGGAATAGCGTGGACTGGGTTTTTCGAAGCTTTGTATTATGTTGCTTTAGAGTTCATGCGCAAGTTAGTTGTTGAAAAGTGTCCATCTGTGAAGTAAATAATGTGATGTGATTCGAGTACTTGAAAGTATTCCATATAACGCCGACAATTAACACGCGCTATCACTTAATACACGCTAGCTACGCCCAAATTTACACCACTTGTGCGTCTTAAACAAATACCATGACCACGATTACTTCCCAACCTTCGGCAACGACAGCAAGTATAAGATCAGACCAATCCAGCAACCTGGAATGTCGTATCCCGAGCTATACGATCGAACTTGAAGGCACTTCGAACCAATTCGTCAACTACAACGTCGCTTACACCTCCAACTCAACACTCTACGCCAGCAGCCACCAAGAGACCCAAAGGCGGTTCAAAGACTTTAAATTTCTCCACACGCAGCTCTCTCACTCTTTTCCTGCCTCTGTTATTCCCCCCCTTCCCGATCAGCATAGACTGGAGTATCTCACAGGCGATCGATTCTCCAACGACTTTATTCAACGACGCAAACAGGATCTAGAGCGGTTTTTGCAGCGCATCAGCCGCCATCCGATACTCAAGCGCTCCAAGCTTGTCATAGACTTTTTCGTGTCGACAGAGTGGAACACAGTGATGCACAAACTCGGATCCCAGCCACTGTCTTACTCAACCAGCTCGATTGAATCGCACACACTGCTTGACAATATATCCGACAGTCTTGTCAATGCCTTCACAAAGGTCAAGAAGCCAGACGATCGCTTTGTTGAGCTGAGAGACAATCTCAACAGGCTAGATGACTCGCTTAGTAATATAGAAAAGATAATTCAGAAGCTGCGTACAAAAATCAGCAGTCAGTCTTATATGCATATCAATCCCGAGAACTATGCACTGACGTACTTGTCAGGTGTGGACAATACAGCCATCGACGTTGACCTGAATGGAGACTACGATGATGGTGCGGGTGCTACACAAGCGCTAGCATACTTGGAATCAGGTATCACTGAGCCATTAAATCGATTCGCTCATGCGCAGTTGGAAATGAGCAACATTCTAAAAGAACAGACTGTCTTAGCTTTCGAGCCTGTGCTCGATCATATTCACTCTCTTAGAGCATACGCTGCCGCTCACAAGTATGTTCTCAAACTGCGCGATCAGAAACAACTGGATTTCGAACAGTTGACGACGTATCTCTCTCAACTCGCCCTGCAACACCAAAGACTTGTATCTGCACAACATATCAGCAGTGGTGGGATTGGGGGATATATTCGCGATAAAGTGGATCACTTGCGTGGACAAGATGATGAGAGTTTGCGATTAGAGCGTATTAGAAAATTGGAGGAACAGATGAAGGAGCTCGAGAAAGCAGTTGAGAATTCATCGAAACAAAATGTTGAGTTCAGTCAGGCCGTGTTGAGAGAACACTCCATCTTCGATATGGCTAAGAGGATCGAAATGAAGGAGATTCTTCACCATTTGGCTGATGGTCATATTGTGGCTTATAAGAAGGTGCGCACGGTGGTTTGTTCATCGCACGACTAACATCACCCCACAGACGTCTGAGGAATTCGACAGACTGATACCACATTTACAACGTATACGCGTCGATGTCTAATTACCAGAAGTAGAGTGTAGAAGTAAATGTATTGCTATATATATATATATCACAACAGCCCATCAAATCTCATTTTGGCAGTTTGGAGAAGACCTAGCTCATCATTGCGCATCTGCATGAGCAGAGGGTTTGCTGCCTTGGTGTCAACCTGCGGTGGGTATTCTCCCAATCTCTCGTCTATCCTTTGGAGGAGCTGTTGAATTAATTGTCGCAGATAACCATCAGTGATAGTCTCAGATTGCTGATACGCCAATACAATCAAATTAAGAACGTCGGTGTCGCACACCCCGAACAAACCGAGAGACACTCTGGCTTGTGAGTCAATAAAGGCATCTGGATGAGCCACAAAGAGATCCTGATCGTCGTCTTGGAGCGTTTGAACAGTATAGATTGGTGGAATCGCGTCGAAAGTGACTCTGTCAGAATCGTTAGCCTCCAACACGAATCCGTACTCGATAGCGAGGTCCACGTTATCGAGCGAGTCACCGTAGCTGTTGAAGAGTTCTTCAGCGGGCTGAGTGGTGTGTGTAGTGACGATATCCAATGTTTGCGGGGGAGTGGTGAGATAATCTGTATTTGGCGACTGAATACACCCATTCAGCCACCCACAACAGTCGCAGACAACTAAATCAGACTCTATAGCCACAGTAGGCTCTTCTAGGTGATTGAAAAGGTCTGCAACAGGCACCAAACCAACTTGGTGGTGTGTGTCAACTTGAAACAATCGTGATGAAGTAATGGCATAGGCGTATAGAAATGCTTCGAATGTACTTGTGATGTTTAGCGTTGAGGCGTGTGCGTCGAATGTATCTTTGAGCTTCTGTTTCGTTTGCCTGCCTCTTATACCTTGATGCGAGTTGAGCATGCTATACCGCTTACACAGTTCAGTGCCAGCCATTTCAGGCGTAAAGGGCCAGAGAGAGGCAATATCTGGAGGTGTCAGGGGTAGGGATTGTATGTAGAGATGCCATTTTGATTGATTGGCAGATTGAATTTCGAAGACAAGTGCAAAAGAGAGAGCTACGACGTGAGTGAGTGGAATCTGAGAGAGTTGAGTTGAAATAGTAGACGTTTTAAGCGTAAGCAAAGAGTCTTTGGGTATTCTCGCCACTGAATAGAGTTAGATTGAGTAATAGGAATGGTACAACAACCAACCAACGCTGTCTTTGAGTATAAAATCGTTTGATAGTATCTTTTCATCGCTTATATCCAATCTACCATCCAAATCAACGCCGTTTGACTCGCACCAGCTAAGTAAACAACTACGACGACTATTCATCTGCGTTTTATACAAGGAATACAATACAAAAAGCTTAGCTCATTCAGATTCATAAATTGATTTCCTTCAATATTAAATTAGGAAAGACTAATCGTTGAAACATCATGTGAGCAATTAAGCTTAGAGTATCGTTGAAAAGAGAAGCTACTGGTTTTAAAAGGGTTAAAAATTTACTACGAGATAAGAGCAAGTAATAATATAAACAATACTGTGTATGGTAGTAACATTCTGAGGCTGAATATTGAGCTAAATTTTATCATTATAGACATTTTAACATATACAATTTGTGGTGAAATATGAAGAGGCGGAAAAGAGGGAAAATTTTGAAATAAATAAGCGAAGAAAGAAGAAAGATTTGTAAATATAAATAAAATCCCAGCTAATAAAACACCTATTATACCTTTTAAATTGTTGTTCACAGTGATTTTTAATTTCAGAGTACACCACGCAATGGTTCGTGGTGAGCTGGCTTTAACTGACACAGTCAAAGGTGAGGATATAAATTGAATAAAGGGGATAAAGAGGACTCTACTAACATTCATTTTTAGTCTCGTTTTAAAGGTATTTCAGCTTTACTTTACTTGGGTTCACTCCACTCACTCACAGCACACACCTACAGCCATGGAAGAAGAAGTCGCAGCACTCGTTATTGACAACGGTTCTGGTATGTGTAAAGCCGGTTTCGCCGGTGATGACGCTCCAAGAGCTGTTTTCCCGTGAGTCTTATTAATCTTCCAAGGACTTCCACTTACCTATACAAATCAGATCCATCGTTGGTCGCCCACGTCACCAAGGTGTCATGGTTGGTATGGGCCAAAAAGATTCTTACGTTGGTGATGAGGCTCAATCAAAGCGTGGTATCCTCACTCTCAAATACCCAATCGAGCACGGTATCGTTACCAACTGGGATGACATGGAGAAAATTTGGCATCACACCTTCTACAACGAACTCCGCGTTGCTCCTGAAGAACACCCTGTCTTGTTAACCGAGGCTCCCCTTAACCCAAAGGCAAACAGAGAAAAAATGACTCAAATCATGTTTGAGACATTTAACGCTCCTGCTTTCTACGTCGCCATCCAAGCTGTCTTGTCTTTGTACGCTTCCGGTAGAACAACTGGTATCGTTTTGGATTCTGGTGACGGTGTGTCACACACTGTTCCTATTTATGAAGGTTACGCACTCCCTCACGCAATTATTAGATTAGATTTGGCCGGTAGAGACTTGACTGACTACCTTATTAAGATATTGATGGAAAGAGGTTACCCATTCACCACTTCAGCCGAACGTGAAATTGTTAGAGACATTAAGGAGCGTCTGTGTTACGTTGCTTTGGACTTTGAGCAAGAGTTGCAAACTGCCAACCAATCTTCTGCTTTGGAGAAGTCTTACGAGTTACCAGATGGTCAAGTTATCACTATCGGTAATGAGCGTTTCAGAGCTCCAGAAGGTCTGTTCAAGCCATCATTGCTTGGTTTGGAAGCAGCTGGTATTCACGAAACTACTTACAACTCCATCATGAAGTGTGATCTCGATATTCGTAAGGATCTTTACGGTAACGTTGTCATGTCGGGTGGTACGACTATGTACCACGGTATCCCAGACCGTATGCAGAAGGAATTGACTGGTTTGGCACCATCCTCAATGAAGGTTAAGATTGTTGCCCCACCAGAGCGTAAGTACTCTGTATGGATTGGTGGTTCTATTCTTGCGTCTCTCTCAACCTTCCAACAAATGTGGATCTCGAAGCAAGAATATGACGAATCTGGTCCTTCAATCGTTCACCGTAAGTGCTTCTAAGCGTAATTCTCGCGGTGGACCTCGTACTGGTCTCAATCACGAAATGAAAAATTCAAATATACGTTATTCCAAGTTTTTTCTTTCCAAAGTTCTTTATATTCTCTTTACCCTGTGTTGCAAGAATCAACAAATTTAAAAAGTGCTTTTGTTGTATTGTGTGAATGTGCTGGTGTAGATGTGCAAGAACAATACATATGGTGCTAATGATACAAATAATTTAAAGGTGAGTTCATATCAACCCACTCAATCAATATCCCCAGTCTGTATCTCATGATAAATAACATGTGGACCTGATCTATAGTGATTGTTGGTGGATTTCAGCGAACGATTCAACTTTGGTAGAGTGAGTTGTTTGAAGAATTCATTTGAAGCTGTGTCATTTATTTCATTTGCCATAACTTGAGAAAGCATCCTATCGTTTTCCTGTTCGAGTTGTTCGAGGACGTTTCTTTCATTATTGAGAACCTGACGAATAAGCTCATTGTTCTCTTCAACAACTTGAAATTGAGCAACAGCGAGAGTATATTCTGGGTAAAAGGGAGGTTCACCTGGTGCAGTGAGAACAGTTTGAAAAGCCATTTCATCAGCTTGATCGATAAATAAAGATTCTTCTTCCTTCCTTTGATCATTTACTTGTTGTGGGTGATCGGCTTCGCCATCCTCACCATCTTCATTCTCCACTTTAGATTTTCTAGCTGATTTCTTCTCGCTTGGAGGTGGTGCTGCACCAGAACCTCTTACAGTTGGAAGGGTATCAACGTGATGCTGCATTCTCATATGTTTAGCCAAAGCGTCAGACCTAGTGAAAGATCTATCACATTCTGCTTTCTCTTGCTGTAGAGTATGTGAATATGAAACACTCGCGTACACCAATAAAACTCACGCAAATAAAAGGTTTATCGGTGGTGTGAGATCTCAAATGAGCTATTAAAGCTTGTTTTGAAGACTGATTCTTTGATTTGCGTGAACAGCCAATCCATTCGCATGTGTATTTAGATTTATCGCCAACGTGGTCATTGTAGATGTGGTCAAGCATTAGATGCTGATCACCGAATATCATAGCACATCCATCCCAATCGCAGGTGGTTATCGGACCCCAATCAGGATTACCGTTTAAGTCAACTTGATTGGTTTGATTGGATTTATCTGATTGTGGATCTGGACTTGGTGATCGTGATAGAATTTCACTCAAGTTGTCATCTTGTAGATATTCAATTGGACGCTTGATTGGTGTGGCAGTGGATAATGACATCTGCGAACTGTCTCGTCTTGGTGGTTGAGGTCAGAGAGGCGAAGTGAGGGAAGGAGAGGAAACCTAGTAGGAGTAACGCCAAAGTAGACTTTAACGGACTTGCAGGTCTTCGTTGAAGTTCAGAGAGAGCTAAGCGGGTGGAAATACAGCTTACTGGGAGCAGCGCAGACTATTTACAGGGAAAGGGTTATACCCGCCTTACTATGGCCCCCAAGACGGCGAACCACAATGAAAAGAGGAAATGAGTGTGGGCCGCTTGAATACCGTAGTATCAGCCGGGAAGCTAAATTTTCTTTGGATCACGTAGCTTGTGCCTTGCCTTTGTTGTGTTTCACGAATCCCGCTACCCTCGTTCCTAATCATCCGGTTGACGGCATTCATAAAGTTGCTCAGCTACTTATACTCAAAGCCTTCGATGTATTCATTCGGTCTTAATGTTGACTGTTGGTTCTCAAGTGCTCTCGCTCCTAGTCACATGGCTATCGGCATGCACAGCATACGCTAAGGCGTAGCAAATACACGTTCGTCTATACTGTTAGTATTTGCAGGGCTTTCTTTATCTGGCTTCCTGTCCAATTACGCAAGCACATCAAAGACATTGTATCAACAATGGTAATCTTCCACTAAACACATCGCACTCAATTCTCAGATGAGAGAATAGATATGAAGATGTGTAATGTGTATTGAATGGATCATCAACGTTTTATACACGCTAATATTTAAACAAATAAGCTTAAATTGAGTTAAGTTCTAGAAAGTTAACGAAAACTGATGAATAAAAGAGATGAATTGTTTTGGTTTTTATATCTCCTGTAAATATCGCGGAAATCAATAACCATCTCTCAAAAAAGATGCATCTCTCTTTCGTCATCAGTTAGCTCCGTAGATTTACATTTCCGAGGAGTGAGATTACTAGAGGCGTACACATATTTACGTATCGCAATCTTTGAGTGGTAATTCAAATTATTTTATTTTCTTCAATTGGAGATGTCTGCTGTGACGCACACGCATGCGTTTCTTAGCACAAAACAACCATGTCCAACGATCCACAAGTTAAGAAGGAGGAAGCTGCTGAAGATACATCCACGGCAATCCTTAGACCAAAATCCAGGTGAGAATTTTGTAAGGCCAATTCTACGCATTCTCACAAACACCAGTCCAAACCGTTTAATCGTTGATGAAGTCCGTTTTTAGTAAAAGTGATTGAATTTCTATAATAACCCGATTCATAGGCAACTGCTGATGATAACAGCGTGGCTACCATCAACCCAGCCACCATGGAAACTCTTGGCTTGTTCCGTGGCGATACTATCATCGTACGCGGCAAGAAACGTAAGGATACTGGTGAGTATTCTTTAACATCCTCAACACACAATCTTACCTACAAAATGTCAGTCCTCATCTGCCTTTCCTCCGATGATGTCGACGAAGGCAAAATTCAAATGAACAAAGTGGCGCGTAACAATCTCCGCGTCAAACTTGGCGATGTTTGTAACATCCATGCCTGCCCTGAAATCAAATACGGAAATAGAATACACGTCTTGCCTTTCGATGACAGCATCGAAGGTTTGACTGGTAACATCTTTGACGTCTACCTCAAGCCCTACTTCTTGGAAGCTTATCGCCCTGTTCGTAAGAATGACACTTTCTTGGTCAGAGGTGGTATGCGTACCGTTGAATTCAAGGTTGTTGAATGTGACCCTTCGGAATTCTGTATCGTTGCTCAAGACACCGTCATTCACACTGAAGGTGACCCAATCAAGCGTGAAGATGAAGAATCAAACCTTAATGAAGTCGGTTACGATGATCTTGGTGGTTGCAGAAAGCAACTCGCTCAAGTCCGTGAGTTGGTAGAATTGCCACTCAGACACCCTCAACTTTTCAAGTCTATCGGTATCAAGCCTCCACGTGGTATTCTCATGTACGGTCCTCCTGGTACCGGTAAAACGTTGATGGCTAGAGCTGTCGCTAACGAAACTGGCGCTTTCTTCTTTTTGATAAACGGTCCAGAGATCATGTCCAAGATGGCTGGTGAATCTGAGTCAAACCTCCGCAAAGCTTTCGAAGAAGCTGAGAAGAACAGCCCTGCTATTGTCTTTATTGATGAAATTGACGCTATCGCTCCAAAGCGTGAAAAGACAAACGGTGAAGTTGAAAGAAGAGTGGTTTCTCAATTACTTACTTTGATGGACGGTTTGAAGGCACGTTCAAACATTGTCGTTATGGCTGCTACCAACAGACCAAACTCTATCGATCCTGCTCTTAGGAGATTCGGTAGATTCGACAGAGAAGTTGACATAGGTATTCCTGATCCAATTGGTAGACTTGAAATTCTCAGAATTCACACAAAGAACATGAAATTAGGCGATGATGTTAACTTGGAACAAATCGCCGCTGATACACATGGTTACGTTGGTGCTGATATGGCTAGTTTGTGTTCTGAAGCTGCAATGCAACAGATTAGAGAGAAGATGGATCTCATCGATCTTGATGAAGACACCATCGACGCTGAAGTTCTCGATGCTCTTGGAGTTACCATGGAGAACTTCCGCTACGCCCTTGGTGTTTCTAACCCATCTGCACTTCGTGAAACTGTGGTTGAGGTTCCAACTGTCACCTGGAACGACATCGGTGGTCTTGACAAGGTCAAGCAGGAATTACAAGAAACTGTTCAATATCCTGTCGAGCACCCCGAGAAGTTTATCAAGTATGGTATGTCACCATCAAAGGGTGTCTTGTTCTATGGTCCACCAGGTACTGGTAAGACACTCTTAGCTAAGGCTATTGCGAATGAATGTCAAGCCAACTTTATTTCAATCAAGGGACCAGAATTGTTGACCATGTGGTACGGTGAATCTGAAGCCAACGTTAGAGATGCATTCGATAAGGCAAGAGCAGCAGCACCATGTGTTATGTTCTTTGATGAGTTAGACTCTATCGCAAAGTCTAGAGGTGCAGGTGCAGGTGGAGATGCAGGTGGAGCTTCTGACAGAGTACTCAACCAAATACTGACAGAGATGGATGGTATGTCAGCCAAGAAGAATGTATTCGTCATTGGTGCCACCAACAGACCTGATCAGATAGATCCTGCATTATTGAGACCTGGTAGATTGGATCAACTTATCTACATTCCATTACCGGATGTACCTTCAAGATTATCAATTCTCAAGGCTACATTGCGCAAGTCACCAGTTGCACCATCAGTTGACCTTGAATACCTCTCTAATCAAACGAATGGATTCTCTGGTGCTGATCTTACAGAAGTTTGTCAGAGAGCTGCCAAGTTGGCTATTAGAGAGAGTATTAGCGCCGATATGCAAGCAAAGAGAGCACAAAAAGAAAAGATTGAAGCTGAAGGTGGAGACGCTGATGCAGCAATGGAAGTTGGTGACGAGGATGAAGATCCTGTGCCTGAAATAACTATCGCACACTTTGAAGAAGCAATGAGATTTGCTAGAAGATCGGTTAGTGATCAGGATATTAGAAGATATGAAATGTTCGCACAGAATCTCCAACAATCAAGATCGTTCGGAAGTCAATTCAGATTCCCTGGTCAAGGTGAAGGTGAAGGATCAGCTGAGCAAGGTGGTTCTGGTCAAGGTGCATTTGGATCTGGCGGGGATGATGCTGATGATCTTTATGCTTAGATTTGTATCTATTTATAGCATTTAAATTTCTTTCCTAACATTGAAACAATTAAGCATTCTTAGATTCAAATTCAAAAATTCAAACATTCTCACATTACCAGAAGTATATAAATAAATTAGCAAAATTAACTTTACTTTCCACCAATCCGCTTGGATTTACCTGGTCTAGATTTCTTATTACCCTTGAATGGAGCATTTGTAGAGTCTTTAGTGTTTGACTTTGCGTGCTTCTTTTTACCTCCATGGCCAAATTTAGCATCGCGTGCACCTCTTGACATTTTCCTCTTTTTATTGTCATCTTTACCTTCTTTACCACCTTCAAGGGCATCTTCTAATTGGATATCGAAGTCATCATCACCAGCTTCAAGGCCATCAACGCCACCTTTCTTACGCTTGAGAGATTTAACCTTATCGATCATATCCTTCTTGGATTGCTGTCTCTCCATCATCTTTTCATTCTGGACCTTTTTACCGACCTTCTTCAATTCGCGTTGCTTACGTGCCTTTTCAGAAGCTTCAATGTTAGATTTCTCATCCATCATCTTTTGACGTATCTTCTCCATCTGTACATCAGTCTTGACCATTTCTGCGAAAAAGTCATTCGGTCTACTGAAAGGAACGCCAGCTTTGAGTACTTGTGGCTTAGCTCTCTCGACGGCTTCTAATGATTGCTTGTAGAAGGCTAATTCACGTGAAAGATCGTCATACACGTCTTCTGCACCTAAGTCTTTGATGGATTTTGACGAGGTTACTGCGAGTGTTTCAATGAAAGGTAACTTATCTGAGAGTTTGAAGTCGTTGAGGATACGTGTGATTGCAGATTTGTTATTGACTGTTACTTTGGTTGTTATTTGTGCTCTAGTATCTTCATCGACGTCTTGAGCATCTTCAAGGGTGAGTGGGTGGGTGGATTCGTCTTCTTCTTCTTCAGAGTTTTCTTCATCGTCATCCTCTTCCTCGTCGTTGATGAAACCAGCACCGTCTTCTTGGTCATCCTCTTCATCCTCATCGTCGTCTTCGCTATTGTCATCACCTGAGACGAGAGCTTCATTGTCGACAAGGTCTTCTTGATCCTCTTGATCGTCGTCATCGTCGTCGTCGTTGTCATCGCCATTTTGAGACTAGAGTAGGTGAGCAAAAGACTAGATAAAAAGCCATAAACTAACTCCTTCTAATTGATTCAAGTAAGCTAATTGGTCTAGAGCTTGTTGATCTAAGCCATCCTCACCTAAAACTTTAATAAGCTTCTGCATTGATTCCTCGCTAACGCCGTCGAAATCTTCTTCGCCTGAGGAAGAATCTTCTAATTCATCTTGTTTGAGGATGTTCTTGATATTCTTGTTATCCTTGTTATCCTTGTTATCCTTGATGTTGGATTTAGTTGATTTAGATTTTGGCATTGTTGGGTGTAACAAACCACCAAGTCGAAAGTCAAATATTCAATGCACCACCTCCCAGATTTAGCTCAATTTAAGAAATTACTTGATAAATTTGATACTTTCTTATTCGATTGCGATGGTGTCCTTTGGAGGGTTGGTAGTGTGCTCTAGGTCTACGTCACTCACTCTACAACTCAGGGGAATGAACTTATCCCAGGAAGTAAAGAATTCGTTGATAAGATTAGAAAAGCCGGAAAGGATGTCATCTTTGTTACAAATAACGCTTCAAACAGTCGTAATCAATATAAGCAAAAATTTGATCAACTTGGTTTTAAAGTTGATGTTGATGAGATATTTAGCAGTGCATACGCATCTGCTGTCTATCTCAAATACAATCTAAAGTTCCCTTCCGATAAGAAGGTTTTCGTCGTTGGTATGTCTGGATTAGAGGAGGAATTAGATAGCGAAGGTATAAAGCGTATTGGTGGCACTGATCCAGCCTACAATAAACTCGCGCCTCATGTCAACTTTAAAGAGATTAAACAGAACCTCGATAAGGATGTTGGTGCTGTTATCGCTGGTTTTGATATCATGCTCAACTATACAAAGTTATCTTACGCGCACTCATACCTCACCAGCCCAGAGCATGATGTTAAGTTTATCTTCACTAATGATGATTCCACGTTCCCTCAAGCGTGTGGAGTGTTCCCTGGTAGCGGTGCAATGAGCTCACCTTTGGCAGTGTCTTCTAAGCGCACTCCAATCGTCGTTGGTAAACCTAATGCACCAATGCTTGAGTGTATTCTCAAGAAGAAGCAACTTAAACCAGAGCGAACACTGATGATTGGTGATAGATTGAATACTGATATTGCTTTTGGGCAGCATGGTAACGTCAAGACAATGTTAGTACTCTCTGGGGTTTGCAAGAAAGAAGATATAATTGGTGAGGGTATATACCCAGATTACATAGCACATTCACTTGGACATATACATTAATTGTTGTGTTAAAATACATAAACACCTGAATGAAATTAGAATTGATATATCACCAGTAAAAGACCCCTCTTGAAAGATAACGCAGTTTTTGTAGTGATCATATTACGCATGCGGCTCTTATTCAAAGCTGGGCAGCTTCACACGTGTTGTTGTAAATTTTCAATCACCGGGGTCTTGTTGAGGATGGCTTACCTGTTGGCGTTGTAGGCGCTGAGGTATGTCTATCTGGTTGGAATACCTCAACGCCTTGTCTTTGCATTTGTCTGATTCATTCCTCAACGTAAGTAAATCACCCGCAGACGTCCAGACATCCGAAGAAATTCCTCAAATTAAAAATCTCAGTGTGACAAAAAAACTGAAATACGTAGCGCTGACGTTGGACACTACGCTTATGATAAAAAAGAGACAAGAAGAGGATACTAGTAGCACTAGTGGGAGTACTAGTGGGAGTACTAGTGGGAGCAGCAGCAGCACTAGCAGTAGCAGCAGTTCAACCACATCATCATCGTCTTCGTCGAGCAGCTCTTCGAGTGCTTCGCCAACAAGCAACACTCCTAGCAGCTCTAGCAGGTACGTGTGGATACCCCGTACACTTAGTTCCTGATTGACATCACTAGTGATTCCAATAGCCCAACCCGCACATCCAATGATAGCAGCAGCAGCAGCAGCAGTATTGATAGTAGTAGCAGCCAGAGCAACACCACCACCAATTCAGATAGTACTGCATCATCCACTCCAAATCCCACCACCTCAATTGTTACAGTAACGCTCTCAAACGGTGGGCAAATATTTATTATGAGATAACAAGTTATAACACAAGCAGGTTCATCAACAACATCCGCAACCACCATCGGTGGTACCACTGGCTCTGCTTCCGACAGCGGCCAGGATATTGGTGCGATTGTTGGCGGTGTGAGTGGATTTCTCATTGAAACATCGAAATCCTACTAAACTGCTTTTAGAGCGTCGGTGGTGGTATAGGTGCCATCCTTATCCTCGTAGCTGCCATCTTCTTCTTTCGTCGCCGTGTCGCCAAGAAGAAGCACGACGAGTATGACGGTGATATCTTTGATCCTCAGCGCTTCAGGCCGGATAATGAGGACGAATTTGGTATTGATGGTGCTCCAACGCCCTACACGCAGCAGCCAGCGAGTGTGACTGCGGGGAGTGGTAGTGGGAGTGGGAATGTACCGGGGAATGTACCGGGAATGACAGGCATTGGTGCAGCCGCGGGAGGTGCGGCATCGATACCAAACTCATCAACCCATCAACCCTCCAACCCCTCCTCAAATGCTGCTGCTGCTGCTGGTATCAAAACTCGCCCACTTCCCACCTCTAAACCAAGCCAGGTCAACGTACACACAGACGCTGGTCGATACAACGTCAACAACGGCGATGACAATCCAGCTAATCTCCACTCAGATATACCCCCGACTTACGACTCTATTCACGTATATCCAGATAACGCTTGATGACCATGTGAATATTTATTTATTATTTAACATTTCCTTGTATCGACCCATTTATGATTGTTTGTTTGCTTGTATGAATTAACTCAGTTGGCGAAGTAGTGTAATGGAATTAGCACGTATTGTTCGGGTGAGGAGCGTCTGCATCAATATAGTCTGGGTTCAATTCCCAGCTTCGCCCCTAAATAATCATTTTTACGACAACCTCACCTCTCACACATGTACGTCAATGTACGCCGACTATCAAATGCCTACAAATTTCGCAACTCGCTTGGTGTGTGGTGGTGTTATTTAGGCGGCTGAGCTGAGTAATTAAACCCAAACAGGCACGGGCTCTTTCGCAGTCGAGCCACCTAAAGCGGTAGGTATGGCCATGAGCAGAGGTCAGCGGCTATATCAAGAGGACAGCGTGTCTGCCAAAGTGCTCAACCTGCCCATCACTCCCCACACACTTGACTCTCAATGCGCCTACTTCGGCATATTCGACGGACACGGTGGTGATTACGTTTCCCGCTATCTCCGCGATAGTCTGCCAGGAGTCATTGAAAGAATAACCACGCGTGACTGGAACCTTATCGACTATTTCAGAGTCTACGGTAGGCGTTGGCGTTGGCGGTTAACGTGGTCTATCACTCACAACGTCACGACGTCATCCAGGCAACTATTTCCCTCAAGAGGAATTGGACGCAGAGAGTGCTACGAGAGATTCTCACTCTCATCTTAGTCTCCACGATAGACTCAAACTGGCTTTTTTGAAGGTGGGCATGGTGTTGCGATCCAAGACACCGCTCACACACTCCTCACAGGCAGACAAGAGGACAATCACCGATGCGCAGAACCGCGGCTACCTGTGCGGATCGACTGCCTCAGTTTTGTTGCTGCACAGTCTCGATGATCCACCCTCGCCGTACGCATTCAGTCGTCGTCTGCAGCTCACAACGGCGCACTGCGGCGACACGTGCGTGGTGCTCGTGAAAGCGCACGCTGGCAAAGCCCACCGCCTCACGCTCGACGACCATGCCGACAACGTCGGTGAGATGGAGCGATTGAAATCCTTCCACGGCGCACTCGTGCAGGACTCTTACGGCGAATCCCTTTTTCTTGGCCAGCTCGCCAACACGCGCAGTATCGGCGATGCCAAATATAAAAGCTGGGGCGTCACGCCCGAGCCCCATACCCAGAGTGTGGAGGTAGATGGAGATGCTTATAGCATGGCTATCCTTCTCAGTGATGGTGTCACTGGCGTCGTTGGTGTGCAGGAGGCGGCTGATGTCGCTTCGAGCAAGTTTGGCCAGTCTTTGCAGTTCGGTAGAGCCGCTCAGGCAGCCGCGCAGGCTGTCGTCGATTTCGCTATCGATGTTGGCGCTGATGATAACTGCTCCGCTGTCGTTGTTCCGCTTCCAGGTTTCGCTAATGCTGGTAAAGGTAGAGATAGGACCCGCGATTTGCGCGATTATCGATTGCAGGTTGCCAACGACCCTAGCAACGTCAGACAGAAGAGGCAGTGATGGGGTGGGGTGGTGGTGGGTCTGAGCCTGCTGCTATGAGCAATGCTATGCCTTCCACGCTAATATAACGACGATGTAATTATTCTATGTATTCTATCCATTATACCACCTCCTTCCTTTCCAACTACACGCTCATCCACCCCGACTGTCGCGCCACGTCTCGTATGCTGTGAGCATCTCTTGCGTGATGCGCCGACGCACGTTCCAGCAAGCCTGCACAAAGTGCTCCTTGCGTACATAAGCAGCGTGGAGATCCTGCTGCATTGCGCGCATCGCTGCATCTTGACAGACGCTGACTATCTCAGCACCACTGCATCCCTGTGTCTGTATGGGGTGTTAGAATACCCCACTCAACGAGACAACCACCAACCATAACAGCCAACTCGTCAACATTCACACCCTCTTCCACTGCCATCTTGCTCAGTCGTATACTGAACAGCTCCCTGCGCGCTTCCAGCTCAGGTGGGCCGACGTAGCTGTGATTGTTTTTGTTAGTCTTTTGCTCGCAGAGGAGGGAGGAGAAAGGTGAGTGGATGCTACTCACATAATACGGTCAAGCCTTCCTGGACGCATGAGGGCGGAATCCTGTCGAGCAAATGAGTGAGTGAGCAAGTAAACAAACAAGTTGTTTATGCGTGCGCAATGCAATCACTCCGTCAGACTTACGATGACTTGTGGTTTATTCGTAGCAGCTAGAACAGTGACACCATTGAGTTCCTCTATGCCGTCCATCTGGTCATTGCGCGCGTCAGTCGGGTGTCTAAAGCTGACTACAATGTGCTATAAACCCACCTCATTGAGCATGCTTGCTACCATGCCCGACGTTGTAGATGTGTTGTCATCACGCGCAGCTGCAATGCTGTCCATTTCATCCTGTCAGTGAGTGGTTGAGATGTGTAAGAGGTGAGAGAATGGAGTTAAAGTGACGCACAAAAAAGATTATTGACGGCGCGGCTGCGCGGGCTTTGGCAAAAATATCACGAATAGCTTTCTCAGACCCGCCAACGAATTTGTCAAGCAGCTGTGTAGTATTAGCCATACCGACAACACCTCCACACGCATGTCATACTCACCTCTGGTCCCTTAACAGCGAGAAAATTGATTCCGCTTTCCCCCGCGAGAGCCTTTGCAGCGAGAGTTTTACTACACCCCGGTGGACCGTAGAGCAGCACGCCTCTGGGCGGTGTGAGGCCGAGGCGAGAGAAAGTATTTGCGTGGCTGAGTGGCCACATGACACTCTGCGTCAGCTGCTTCTTGACCTCTTCCTGTCCTGCTATATCACCGAAGCGAATCTCGGGGATGGTGAGCTGCACGGATCGCAGAGCGGACGGGCGGATATGAGGAAGGCTATCGAGGAGATCCGTGTGTGTGAGATACGCCGATTGCTTACCTAAGATAGCACGCTTGATTGCAGTAGTAGATGCAGCGCGCACGAGAGATGCGAGATCCGCTCCAACAAATCCATGCGTCTTGCTTGCGACCGAGCGCAGATGCGTGTCGGAGGTTTGTGTGGGCATGTGTGCGAGCAGGTTGTGCAGAATCTCTAATCGCTGCGTCGAGTCAGGGATTCCCACTTCTATCTCCCGGTCGAGTCTACCGGGTCTGCGCAGCGCATCGTCGAGCGCATTCGGCCTGTTGGTAGTGCCTATCAGGAACACCTTGGCGTGGGCGGCGTCATTGCTTTTATTCATCCCGTCTAGCTCTGTCAGGAGAGTCGCTACTACCCGCTTCTCCACCTCGCCCGTGCTGCCGTCGCCATCGCGCGATGGACACAGCGTGTCGAGCTCGTCTATCACTACTATCACGCCCGCCTCATCAAGCGAACGCGCGTGTTGAAATACACGCCGCAAATTGTCCTCTGTCTCGCCGTGGTACGCGGATGACAGCTCAGGCCCGTTGACTAGTAAAATCGGCAGCTGCAGAAGCGTCGCGGCAGATCGAGCGAGCAGCGTCTTACCGGTTCCTGGAGGGCCGTGGAGGAGGAGACCTTTGGGCGGAGAGATTGCAAATTGGTTGAAAAGGTCTGGGTGCTTGAGGGGGAGACCTATGAGGTCAGATATCTCGCCAATTTGGCGTGATAGACCGCCTATAACAGGAGGATCCGAGGAAGGACGAATCAAAGTTGCTTGTGATGTAACCGCTTCACGTTTGTCGGATTGGGTGGACAAATTGATGGCGGTTGTCGGGGTGACTTGATAGACAGCGTGTGTGTCATCGAGGGAGAGGTGTTGGAGAGATAGAGAAGGGCTTATATCTTGTATGGTTAGGTGATTGAGCTTGGATTTGAAGTGGAGTGACACCACCAAACCGGATTTAACGAATTGGAGCTGAGTAACGTAATCACGCACGAGAGCGCTGAGAAGACGCGTCTGTCTATCGTCGAGAGGGAGATTAGTGAGGATAGAGAGTGAATCGATTTCGATGAAATTTAGATGGCTGAGATCGGGGGAGAAGGAGGCATCGACGGTGCCATCTACGCTGCCATTAACACTCCCGGACAACTGGTTAAACAGAGGAAAATGAACACCAATTTGATCCGATTCGATAGATGTATTCCCGGGCCAAGCGGTACCTATCACGAAGCGATCACCGGCGGAAACTCGGACAAGTTGGGAGATGGATAGGCGAGAGTCGCGGAGAATACTATTGTGTAGATAGACACGCTTGAGGTGTTTGGTGGTTGGAGGAGTACCGAGGTTTACAAGGATCATGGGAGTGGGGGAGAGAGAGTATGGAAATACAGAAATAATAAATAAGGTATAAACATAATAATAGTTATACATATTTATCGATTATGTCACAATTGATTCATTTCGTTCGTAGATATCGTCATCGGGTCACGTGAAACCTCGGCGGAACCATAAATTAAGCGATGTATTCCGACTCGACATTCCTTGTAGAAACACAATCAAAATGAGCCACAATTTGGAAGTGAGTTGGATGTTTGCGGGTGGATACACGCTTACAGGGTTCATAGCACAACAACCACAACATTCTCGCTGAAGCTGACCAACTCGCAAAGGGAGTGGGTTCCAATGGGTTATGCAGCCACAGCCACCCACTAACACCCTTATAGCCACGCTTTGACAACAATTCACTCACTCAACTTGAATCACTCGCTGTATGTTGTAATCAGTCACTCTTCTCACGCTAACAATCAAATTAGAACGAAAGAGCTAATTTAGTGCACATGCACAGGAAGCTTGATGAGAATACTGAAGAGGATGTCACTAGCGTGGGTTTCCTTGTTTTGCCCTTTCAATCCCACTCAAACTGATCAAACAGGTCCACCTCTACGGTCAACGCGCTCGTGGTTTATCAATTGGGCACGAATATATCCACCGTCAATCCATCTCAAATGATAACTAACTTTATGTAATCACCACTGTATATTTAACCCAGCGATGAATATTTTCACCTTTTATAAGAAAATCTTCATTTAAAGTTGTCAAACATTGTTAAGGTTATCAAAATCTGTCAATATACGCACTACAATAATAACAGTTTATTTAACCTTGCTTAGAACTTTGCGAAAGCCTTAGCAGCAGCCTTGTTCTTGATGACACGGAGGACGTTGAATCTAACAGTCTTTGAGAGTGGACGGCATTGGCCAACGACGACCGAGTCACCTGCTTCAATACGGAATGCAGGTGATGCGTGCACTGGGAGGTTCTTGTGACGCTTCTCGTATCTGTTGTACTTTGGTACGTAGTGGAGGTATTCTCTTCTAATGACAATAGTACGTGTCATCTTGGTAGAGACAACCTTTCCAGTCAAGATACGTCCTCTGATTGAAACTTCACCGGTCCATGGGCACTTCTTGTCGATGTAAGTTCCAGTGATAGCATCTTGAGGCGTCTTGAAGCCTAAGCCGACGTCCTTGTACCAACGACGGTCCTTGGTAACCTTCTTGTTACCGCGGGTCTTTGAGTTTTGGAAGATAGGTTGCTGTATCCCATGTCAGCTGCGTTTCCTCATCCCCTATTCCTCTCCTACCTTTGGGAAAGTCTTGAGATTTTGTGCCTCCATCACGCCTATCAACTCTTTGCGACTTAGCGACTGCCTGAGAAGAAGAAACGATGGTCAGCACTCAGATTTTACGCTCACAATCAAAAATTCAATTCGACTTTATTTCTCAATATTTCTTTTTTCTCGTTGCTGCTCGTTACAATTATTCTTTTATTTCTTCTTCTTTCCTCTTTTATTCGCCTTGATTGCTTGCCTTTCTAATCATTCACCCAAACGCTATTCGAGCACGCAACTAAATGATTGAACGCATCATCTCGTCTAGCTACGTTTGTTAGTCTCATCACCTTGATTTCTTCCCCTTCTTCCCAGCTCACTTCAAGTCCACTCGACACCTCCACACCCACTCTTAGACTGCTGTGCTTGCTAATCCCAACCAGCGCATCCAGCCCTACCACCACATTCGGTCCCTTGAATGGTTTGAATGTTAGCTCACTTGAGCTGAGTACGAGTGTACCTGGTGAGCTCTTTAGTATCCCAAAGTGACTCGATTTCAGCGGTAGATAGGCTAAGCGTGAAGGTTCCAATCCAATGCTGCGTTTTGTTGTCATCACAGAGCTATTATCTTCATCGTTTTCATTATCGTTGCCCGTCAGTAATCGTGTTGTGCGCTCCGAATCACCATCGTTGCGACTAGCCCAGACTTCTCTAGCTTGACGCACAAACACACCTTTGTCGCCATTCACGACTTGGCTCAGCATGTCTGTACCACGCTCCGCTGCTTTTCCACCTTGCTTGAGGGACGATGCTAAACGAGACCATTTGCTGCCCTTCTTTGGACTCTTCACCTGAGCATCTGCGTTTGCATCTGCATCTACATCGCTATCACCATCCCCTGATGCAGCAGTATTGTTCTCTTTGTCGTCGCCTTTGTCACTTTCTTGGGTGATGCTCAGATCAGCTGTGCTCTTCTTCGCCTTCTCCTTCTCCTTCTCCGCCTTGTCTTTCTTACTGTTGCTCTTGGCGAATGGATCGACGAGAACAGGTAGAGGCTCATTTCTGCGTACTCGCTCACGCATCACGCTCAATGCATACTGTGCATCTGTTGGCACTTCGGGTATGTTCCACGCCATGCGTCTGTAGCGAGGGTAGTGAATCGTAATGGGTATACCGACGAGAACGAGCAATCCAAGTCCTGCCAATGCGCCTCTAACCAATGCTGCGTGTGATATAAACTGCAATCCAACGATTGCGGGTAATAGAGCTCTCAAGACAAAGTTGCGACTAGCTTTTGGGTTTCTCCAGAGGTATAAACTGTGAGTGACATGTGAGTTTATCTTTCGTCACATGCTTCAGATCAACTACACTCACTTTTTCATCTTTTCCACAAAATCGGCTAGGTCTCCAGTCACTAATTGAATTTCACGTCCGTGGGACTGCGTGATAGCTTTGTAGGCTTCTTTCATATTTTTCTCGCGCTTGCCTGGAGCGTTTGTACCTTCTGCGCTCAGACCGTACTCTTCCTCGAGTTCGACTATCTCTCGCGCGCGCTCGTGTTCATCCTTTCGACTGGCCAGCTGGGAGGAGGAGGTTGGGGGAAAGATTCTCCTCGCCACGAGCGCAATCAGCGCACCGCCGAGCGCAACATTCAGCAGCATATCGGACATGACGAGGATGAGGTACACAACCAACACTGCAAATGTCACAGCACGGTTCTTCCACATAACTACATCACCAAAGCATTTCATACCTTCCGCGACAGCGTTACCGGAGAGATTGACATACAGACGCTCGACATTCGACACAAGCTTGGCGTATCTGAACTTTTGGTGTGGGTTCTGATCCAGCTCGACCGGAAGGTATTGCTCAGCCTTGAAGAGAAACCAGGCTAGGCCGTAGGCGAGGTAGTCTACGCGTTGCTGTGGGTTTTTTTCATCTTCATTTTCGTCTGCGTCCGTGTCTTGGTTTTGGTCTTGGTCTTTCTCTTTCTCTTTCTGTGTGTCCTCCTTCTCACCCTGCACATCAACCAAGTTGGTGGTGCTGTGCGAGTAGACATCTGCGCTGGACCACGCACCCTCCTCGTGGTCAGCACCGTCGCGCGTCTCGTGGTTAATATCATCCACAAACCCGTCATTCGCTGCCTTGTCCTCGTACTGCTTCCTCTCAACTTCCACATCTGCTTCTTCCTTACGCTTTGCTGCTGCTAATGTCCTCTCCTTGAGCAGCTGTGCTTCAGTCTTGTACGCGTAGTCACTCAACTTGGGTGCGTCCGTGTACGATTTGTACGCCTCGCTCGAGCTGTATGCCGCTGAGACGGAGCTGATATGTCTGCCGAAGAAGGTGAGGTAGTTAGCGATAAAGTAGTCATCGATGTTTTTATCGGCTGTTTGCGTCATCGAGGGTGATGTTGTGGATGCCGTGGATGTCGCTGGTGCTGGTGCGTTGGACTGTCTAGCGGCGACATTTTGGTGGAGACGGGGAGCAGATTGCTTAGATGCTACGGAGTGCACGGACTTTCCACCGCTCTCAGCCTTGTCTTGTGATGATGATGCCGTTTTCGATGGAGGCGCTACGTACGAGCCTGGGGCTTGGGTGGATGAGCTCATAGAAGCTTCATAATTGCTATCTCCGTCGTATTCCTGCTTTGAGAGCTGCAAAGCTGTTTGGAGCTGTGGATGGTGAGATTTGGAGATATGGGGAGCCAGCAAAGCATACATCGTCGTCTTGCTGTTGTAGAGAGTCTCTTGAGGGCAATGGAGGCTTATCTGACATGGCAGTTTGTAAGAAACGAATGAAAGAGATGTGCAGATACAGCAGCGATACACGACCCACACAACTCGTTGTTACCAAATAAATGATAAAAATGATATATTTTATTATTTATAGAAATCCTCCACAAAACACAAAAAAACCCTTTATCCCCGACAATCACTGCTTGTGCGTTCTTTGTATCGCATGGAGGTGGAAAGTACGCAAAATAAAAATACAAGCGAATTTTACGCACAGAATGCACAGAAGAAGCCAAGTAGATCTTCGAAGGCTTGCTTGGAGTGCAGATCAATGAAATCTCGTTGTAACGGTGACGGTGTCCATTCATGCGAGCGGTGCACGAAACGAGGCGTGAATTGCGTCTATGAGCAGACAGTGAGGAGAAGAGGCAAAGATAAGAGGCCGAGGGTTGTAACAAAGCGTTTGAAATCCGAGTCATGTGATTTTGAACCAATGACCAACAAGCGTTTGAGGCACACGCACAGCCATTCATCCGATAGCGTGGATGGCAACACGGCCGACAACGCCGACGTATCCCACAATGCCGATAACTCTTTCCAGCATTTGACTCACTCTCCTCAACCAATTAGCGGATCAATTGGCGCACCTCCACAACCTCCACCTCCCCCACGTTATAATCACAGTGCTGCACCTGAAGTTATCAATGGAACCTCCTTTATTCCATCGCAAACACAGATTTCACCTCACTCAGCTCATTCTCCTCTCTCTCCTCACTCTCCCATCCTAATTACTCCGAATATGAACTACCAACGAGAAAGCTTTTGGGATATCTTGATTACGGATAGGTGCACCACTCACAACCTCAAAGACAGAGCCAAGGCCACAAAACTCATTTCCAGCGACTTGTGGTTCACATTTTCACGCTGTGATTTCATAACCACTCTCTTTAATATGCACAAGTTCTTCGATAACCTGAGCTGCTCAAGTAAACGATACAACGCCGAGCCTTCCCTCATTCAAGCTCTTCTCGCTATCAGCCATACCTTACAAGGTCAATTCCAACTGGCTTACCTCATGGCTGACCGTGCACACTCCTCACTTCGCACTGCAATGATGACTGGCAGGTTCACCGTAGGCATAGCTCAAAGTGCAATCGTGCGTTTACTTATCCCTTTGTCCCCTGTCTCACCTGTCTCATCTTCCCATTAGGTACTCCAATATTACGAATCATTCCCACTCGGAACTTTCAACATTAAGAGGGTCGCTGCACCCCTATATGCCGCAGACGCTGTCATAAAGAACCTTGCTCTCACCTGCTTGGACGCAGATAAAGTTTCTCATGTGTTCGATGATGACGCTATACCAATTAGTACCTCAGACCCTCAATTTTCGGGTCAAGATCTAAATTTAGCTCCAAGCAAGTCACATCATCACCCTTCTTGTCCCTGTGAGTCATGGTCCATACCCGCTCACATGACACGCAAAGAGGAATCTGTCCGCTTCAGGCACATACCCAAGTTCTCCATCGATGATACTCAAGTTCCTGACTCAGATATTCAACAAGAGGAAATCAGGAGGGTGGTCTGGGGTACTGCCAACAATGGTTGGTATTTACAGATGCTCGATCCACATGCAGTTTCTACATTGCATACATCCCAAGCGTCCAACTATGGTGTATTTTATACTGCCGAATCTTTCATTCTCTCAATACCTGACGATGGAATGAAGAGTTGGTCGAGGTACACGTTGTGGGCCTTTTTGGATAGATTAAAACTGTTATGCCATGCAGCTACAAGATTATCACGTAGCCTTCCTCCATTCGAGTTGCACATGCGAGCTAGCAAGATATGCAGTGAGGTTGAAAAGATTGAAAGTGATTTAAATGCACTACACAGTTGTCATAGAGGTGTTCACGGTTGGCATGTCAGCAATGTTGCATTCATTACTCGACTGATTCTCACTGCTAAAACTCGTCAGTTCACTAATGCTAATGTTACCAATTTGCAGAAAAATGCTTCTGTTCCATCTGCTTATTACACGCGCCAACGTGCTCGTGAATGGTTGGATGCACATTCGTTGATTTGGGATAATGTCATCAATAAGCATTCAATTAAGAGACAGCCAATGATCTTCGTTGCTTTGGTTTGCCAAGCTCTCCGCTGTCTAGATTTGTTAGCCCTCGACTCAGCTTTCACAAGGGCAATATATGTTGCAAGAAGTTTGCTCAAAGGGATTGATGAGATGATATCAATTTACCCCATCAAAGAGTCGGCAGACATTAATAGAATATTGCTCAAAGTTCACATGAATTGTGATGAATTGGAGACCCGCACTAACGTAGCGCCATACCATACTGCAGATAACCACGCTGCGGAGCTCTTACTAGAAAATCTCAAGAAGATTAAGAGTGAACCGTAGTGATTAGTTAGATATATAACCATCTCACAAAATCTCATTAATTCACGGGCTTTTCTTTTTCAAATTTACGAGACATGAACAAGACAAAAAGGAAAAAGAAAAAAAAAAAATCAAATTAGCTGCATTTGACACACACGGATTACGGAAGCAGTCAAGTTTCACTAATTCATTCTTCTAGACAAATTGATATCTTTGTATGTACTGAATAAACAATATATTAGAATCTTTGATAGTGTGAAAGAAATTTTCCGCGATTGATGCTACAACTGAGTAGAGATGACTAGAGAATCAAGTGGTGACTTGCATATTCCCGACGCCGTTTGTTACATTTGCAACACTGTCAACGTGTGAGTGCTCGCTGTTGGTGTTATTGGTGTTGCTATTGCTATTGCTGTTGCTGTTACTATCGCCGGAGTGAAGGTATTGCTGCTGTTGCTGAAATTGACGCTTCTGCTGCCCAGCTCTGACACCACCTCTTCTGACGAAATCACGCATCCGACGCACCTCCTCCTCGACTCTATCGAGTACTACGCCGCAGAATGCCTCACCATCCCTTAACAAATCGCCATCAGCAGCAGGAGGAGCGGCGAAAGCAGCTTCTAGAGAACGTGTAGTAGATTCTTGAAGAGATGCGAACAGCTTTGCAGTTGATCTCCGCAAAGCTGATGATGCGGGTGGAGGAAGCATTTCGTTATCGTAGATATCATCGTCGATCATATTATCATCGTCATCTTCATCATTCTCGTCATCATCGTCACTATCATCCATCGGCTCTGCATCTGAAACCCACACCCACTTTCCACCCTCGGCCATCACCCACTCACGGTCTTCGTCAACACCGCATTCTGGATCAAATTGCGTTGGTTTCCACGCTTCTTCAACCTCCCACCTTTGCCAATCGCTGGGTGGACCAACGTCTGCACCCAATCCGAGAACCTCAACGAGCCCCAAACCATCGCGGTCTTTGCCCCACAGCTTATTGTCGATCTCGAGTCTGGAGAGGTGAGGGAAGAGGGGTAAAAAGTGCATGAAATAAGCCCTAAATGGCATGGATGTTGTGTCATCAGCGCCGTCTAAAGTGGGCGGAATGCGAGGATTTCTACTAGGCGGAAATGATCCATTGAGAATGAGAGTGTGTAAGTTACGCGAAGGATGAATAAGATGAAAGAGACCGTGGGGGGAAGTCCACATGACGTTGCGCAGTTCAAGAAAGCGGATTTCAGAGAGAGAAGTGTTACGATCAGCGAGGAAAGAGTGATTGCTGGTAGAGTGAGTGTCTGTCAAGTTAACGTTAACCAAACGCAAGCTTTGTAGCGAGGTGTTTCGTCGTAAAACAAGTGTCAAAGCGTCTGACGATATCGACGGAAGGTTTGAAAGGTTGAGTGATGTGAGGAGAGTGAGACTGTCGCTCTTAGGCGGCAAGAGGCTACTCAAATTGAATCGCCAGCTGAGTCCGTTTAGTGAGAGGTGTGTTAGCGAATTTGGTAGATTTGCGAATAAACTAGGTGGTAGGTACACGCTTGGAAGTGATAGCTGGGATTTAAGTGAGTTTAGACAGCATATGCAGACACTCTACTCACATCTAATCCACGCAGTTGCTGCGCTGGTCCTATACATCGACTTATGAGACGTCCTAATCGACCATCGGCTTTAGCGCCTACAGGAGCCTCACCACGCCAGTGCGTCGCTTCTGCCCAATCACCATCGACTTTAAACCACTTCAAGGCCTGGGCTGGCGTCCAATCTTTCTCCAGGTACTCCCCATACGCAACAACAGCGGCTAAAGTGGGAAGATGGAGCGCGCTGGGTGCTGGAGTTGTACGATAGAGACTGGTGTACACGGGCGGCGTCTTCTTTGTTGGGGTCTGCGTCGGCATCGTCTGCCAAAGATTAATTTTGATCTAAGCTGTTTGGTATCGAAGAGTGGCTGCGTGGATTAATAGAAAGCGAGGCTTATAATTTTATAGGGAACAAATCAATTTTACTAGGAGCTATTGAAGGAGCTGTGATTGCTAATAACTTGTAGCTTATCAACCACCACCACTAGCACCAGCAATGGGCAGATCAGAGAAATTGTATGTCACACAGAGCGAGTGGAGTGGAGAGAAGGGCCAGCATCTTAGATCTAAAGGCGCTTTCAATCCAATGCACAACGCAGAAGCAGGATTCAAGCCATTGCCATTCGATTGTTGCGCATTGAGTCTAGCGCCTTTTGAAAATCCAGTGATGATCAAGGAAACTGGCACTGTGTTTGACCTTATAAATATCCTACCTTACATTAGAAAATACCACTCAAATCCAGCTTCCGGGAATCCAACCACTATTAAAGACCTTATCAAGCTTCATTATCATAAGAATGCAACAGGCGACTATTACGATCCTGTGACCTTCAAAACCTTTAACCAGCACACTCATATTGTTGCTATTGCCTCCTCTGGAAACGTTTTCTCTTTCGATGCTATCGATAAGCTCAACATTAAGGCTAAATGTAGGTTTTTGTAATCACACACAACTCTTTCTAACACCGCCGTAGTCTGGGAGGATCTTCTCACTGGCCAGCCATTCACCAAAGCTGATATCGTCACTCTTCAAGACCCTCGCAATCCACCCAATTTGAACGAGTTGGAATTCATTAAGAACAAGAAAATCGTTTCTGATAAGGAAGCTGATGAAGTACTCAATGACCCACTCGGAACTATCAACGTTAATGCAACTGGTGGTGCCAGTGCTCTCCTCAAGAAAATCTCAGATAAGCAAAACGAAGGCAAAGAAACGAGCGACAGTCAGTCAACAGACAATAGCCACTTGGTGAAAGCACCCACGCATTTCCCCAAAACTGGTAACCAACCAGCCAGTGGATCACTCACTGGTGTGAAAGCCTACAACGCTGCGAAACACAGCACAGGCCGCACAGCTGCCTCCTTCACATCCACCATACTAGATCCACAATCACGCAACGAATCAGCCCTGATAGATGAGGATGAGCTTATGTTCGAAGAGGTAGAGAAACTAGCTGGTGCACGCGGGAAAGACAAGGCAAAAGGAAAAGCCTACGTACGCATAGTAACAAACCACGGCTCTCTCAATGTAGAGCTACATTGTGAAAAAGCTCCAAAAACTTGCTATAATTGGCTCATGTTAGCACGCGGTCGCAAATACGACGGTGTGTCATTCCACCGCAATATCCCAGGATTCATGATTCAGGGTGGAGACCCGTCTGGTACAGGACGCGGTGGGGAGTCTTTCTACGGTAACCCATTCGGCGATGAGTATGACCGTAAAGGTGCCTATAAGCATGATGCACGCGGTGTATTTGCAATGGCAAATGCTGGCCCTTCCACAAACACTTCACAATTCTTCATAACATATAGACCTACACCGCATCTCGATGGAAAACACACAGTCTTCGGCCATCTCGTTGGCGGGATGGACACACTGGCCAGTCTCGAATCTATACAGGTCGATAAGGCGACAAGTAGACCTATGCGTACTATTAGAATGGAGGAAATTCAAATGTGGGTCATAACGTCGATTACTTGGTAGAGATTCTCTTCTCACCTCGCACACATTATAGCTTCTCGGATCCGTTCGAAGAATACAAAGCTAATTTGGCGAACCGTATGAAGAGGGAAAGAGGGGATTACGCAGATGAGGAAAGGAAAGCACGCATGAAAGCGAATAAAGAGAAAAACAGGACGACGTGGTGAGTTTAAATGTCTTTCAAAATGCTGATATACTCATCAACCCACAGGTTTGGTACGGATCTTGGTGAAAAGCAAATTAGGTCGCAGCCCGCTACCAAGGAAGATGACAACATGAAGGAGCTGCTAGGTGGTACTGGCGGAGGAGGTGTTGGAAAATACCTCTCTCTCAAACGACCCGCTAATCCTGATGCTGGGGTGCCGCCAAAGAAAAAGAAGGATAGGAGTGGATTCAGTGATTTCAGCTCGTGGTAATGTCTTGTTTTGTGACTTGAATCACATTTGTACGTATAGTATACATATTGAGTGTAATAAAAGTAATTTCAAATATAGATCTTGGTTAATCACTTTCCGCGAAAACGATGTGATGTCAAAATGGAATATGGCGGATAAATTGATTTCTAAATGCTATTCAGTCTGAGCTTATAGTGGAGCTACACCAACCAATCGCTCTCATGACGCACTGCTGCTCTGTCGACTCAACGAGAAGACAAATTTTGTAGCAATCGACCGAGAAGTTAAAGTCATTTATCAATTATGATTATAATTACTACAACACCCGCTATTTATCTCAAACCAATTAAATATCCTGTGTATTGAGATTGATAGCGAATTTTGCTAGTGAACGCAGAAAGGCTATATCCTCTACTAGACCAACTTGTTCAACGCGAGGAATGAAATGGTTGGTATTCCTTGATGGAGTTGCTTGAGATAGGATAGCTCGTTCACATTCGTTGTAGAGTCATTCCTGAGGCAAAAAAAGCTGCTGAATGGTATATTCGCTGTATCTGCTCTCTAGCGATCGTACACATTCAATCACCTCAATGAGACAATAAGACAAGATGAGATCACCGTCAGGCTCTCCTTTCAAACTCCATTTCGTAGCTTGGAGGTCCCTTAATAAGGTCACTTGAAGCCCTTTTTCGATGTGTACAGTCGGAACTGCTGTTAGCGGTATGGTCGTATCTTTATTGTCTTCCTCCTCATTCAGATCGCCTTGATAACGGTTTTCGACATGAACGCATTATCATCTGCGTCAGTAAACTCTATCTTATATTTGGGCTGCGTTTGGTTTCTTCAATATCTAATAACATTCTCACAAACACACACTCACTCGTGGTGTCGAAACTGGCATTGTGCTTATTTTGGTATACTGAAAGCTGCTGGTGATTACTTGCTATGAAATTCCCTCTAGTCCGACGAAAGTGCACTACAAACATACTACAAACCTCGCTTTAGCTCTAAATTTATCATTTCCAATCAAGAAACCAAGTATATTAAGATTTTGAACACATTTTCATGGACGAAGGTTGATTACAAAACAATTAAACAATTGAAGTATCTTGGTTGTGAAGAGCTCACAAGCACAAGCACACAAAATCTAGCACTCAAATCACTGCGTGTGGAAACTGGAAGTCTGGCTTAGTGAAGGCGTCGTCGCGATAGAATTCGAGTTTATATTGGAAGGCTTCTAATTTGCTAATCATAGACTTAGTGAGAACACCTCTTGTTTCCAAGTCAGCCAAGATAGGAGCATATTCGAGCTCTTGACCGTTTTCGAGTTTGTGGGTTTCAAGCGGTGTGTAATTTGGTGCGAATCTGCCTTTGTGCGCTTTGGTATATTCATCTTCTTCTGTTTTATCTTTGCGATTCTTCAACCACACACTGGCGCCCTTATTGTCGTGCATAACTTCTTGAAGGAACGCCTTAGGTTGGTTGCAGTTAACTTTATAATAGATCGAGCAATTAGTCCTTAATCCCTCTCCAAACGCGCCTCACTCACATACGACACTCTTGTATCTCTTGATGTGATGCTGTGTCTCCAAGAGATTCCTGATACGCCTCAAGAGACGATCCATATGCTCGTCATACAGTGCTGTACAGCGTTGGTTGAATTTTGCAGTCACGAGCTTTATTTCGTATTGCTCATTCCATTCGGCCGCTGGCACTTTCCGATCTTCAGCCCAGTTAGCAAACTCGACCTGTAGATCTGTCTTAAGCATATTCTTCATTCGCTCATGAACTTTATTTTCAAGGCGGGTGAGTGTAGTCTTATTGCCTAAATTGGCGCCCTCACTTCTGTGTCTGAAGTTTTTCAACAGGATGGTAACAGACTTGCCCACTGACGAAACGAAAGACTGGATGCCAGTTTTTGAAGACCTGAATGATCCACGAGCACCACCGATACGATCACTGAAGTCGGTAGCGATGCGCTGGAGCTTTGAAGGCTGCATTTCATCTGTTAGAGCGGTTCGACTGGCAGAGCTCATTTGCTCGTCGTTTATCTGGCGCATTAGGACCTCGTCCGCTCTCGCGATCTCTGTTGTTGTCAGTTGATCTGAACTATAAGTCCAACCGGATGGTAGTTCGCTCGGCTGCGGTACCTCAACACCGTCCTTTGGAGATGACTTTGGCTGCGTATTTCTCATGGACTTAGCTCAACAACCGACTTACCAGGAGATGCGCTCCCTACTTATAGCTCAACAATCCTTACAAGTAAATGCGCTTCTTATTTAGCAGCTAGGTTGAATATTTTCCATACGAACGAACTTTTCTCGTATTTTGCGATTTCGAAGAATGCAAGTGGGGATATACAGACAGAACTTTTCATTTGTCGTAATCTTAGGTCTGAAGTCTCCTTGTTCGCCTAATACCCTTTCCATGGACTGAAAATCGGGAATGCGAACATACTTGAAGATGTAGCACGCGACGAAAGCCAAACAAGTATTATAAAGAGATGCATTGATCAAACAAGATGAGATAGAAGTCTATTTAGGTACTAAGTACAATAGTAATATTGAAGACTGCTATTCTATACTCCCACCTTCCCTTAGTCATGCGAAGGAAGCTTTGAACAGTCCACAGGATGCAGAAAATATTCAATTTTACTCAAACAAATTGCAGAGATACCCTATCATCCTCATTTTTGACTTGGACAAGAAATCGCGTTTGTTCTAGTTGAGTGATTATGAAAAAAAGGTCCCTGAAGGAAGGAGGCTCTACTAGCGGTTTCATGAGATATATCTGTTCACTTTCGAACCTGTCTTTGAGCACTATCTTTGAAGATTTGTATATATTTCGGTCGAGCAGCTTCTTCTTGTAAGTGCTGTAATCTTTTGCGAAGGTTAGATTCATAGCTGCATCAAGAAAGTTACGCCCACAGTGGAGACTACTCAGTAACGGCGTGTGTTTCTTGATAAGCATTCGTATGCGATCCCTAAGTAACACGCAGTAAAACTTTGCGAACTTGCTATAAAAGACGAAGGACACGATCTTCAAGCTAGGATGAGCAATCAGCTTTATCTTATGCTACCCTGGCTATTTTAGCAGCGTGATCATGTTATCCAATACCACTCTGTCATGAGCTTTGCGCAAGTTAATGAACAAATCTCGGTACTTCAAGTCTCCTTCTCTGTCGCTACATGATAGCTTGGGAAGGATAAGGAAGTATAGCTTAATGGTATTTAAGTCTACCCTTGTCGTTATCTCTCTCTCCCTCTCCGAAGACATCTGGCTCGATGTATAACTGTATCAAGCCGGTGCTGATTTGCAATGGCTGTGGTGTAACCTCCGCCGTGTTGATTAGTTGTGATTGTTCAGTCCGTCGGGTCTCTTTCCGAGGCTGCTATTGACGCTGCTCTTGAGCTTTTCCAGCTTCGTAGTTTTCATTACGGGTCTTTATCATGCTGTTTCTTTCACTCCCCGCTGTGAGGGTAAATTGAAGATCAATTGAGTCTGTTGACGGCCGTGCTGGTGAGGGAGTTGGGTCTGGTAACCATTTCTCGAAATTTGTCAGAGTTATCTCGACACCTGGTGCTCTGGGATCCAATCCGAACTGAGAACCATTGCTAATTGGAGAGCTTGGGAAAGCGCTTTCGATAGATTCAGGAGCTGTAAACACTTCCATTATTGTTTCAAGTATTATGGAATTAGATGTGGCAAAGCGCGCGATTTGTCACGTTATCTTGACAAGTGAAAATCTTCCTGACGAAGGAAACATATCAACGAAATTCACAGAGTCATTACAAGATTTACTTGAGCAAGTCTTACATAGATTGATTCAATCACGCCTGTAGCGGTATCTTCTAGATGGACGAGGTGTGTCTGCTGAACATCTTGGATCGACGTATGGTGGTGGATCAGGATAGAAGAAATCTTTGCGCCTCCATTCCAGCAGCCAGTGTAGGTATTTTAGGCATTCAATGTCAAATTTACTAGCCCTCTCCATGTCGTCGACGAGATCGATTCTGTCGACGACAGCCAAATTTACAGTCAGCTTGTTGAGCGTATATATCTCATTTGCGCTTCTAGGTAGGGTGTCTTCTACCTTTGGCTCAGGTTTCTTCTTCTTGAAGCTATCAACAAAAACTTGCGCTCTGTCTGTTGGGGTTAATATCAATTTAAGTAAAGCAAATCGTCGGATATCAACTCACAGATTAAAGAGCGTTTAAAGATTCTGTTGCTTTCTTTGCTGAGCGCCAAGTGTACTCTGGCTTGGAGGAAATCGAGTACGTCGCCGGCAAAGTCTTCGAAGTACTTGTTGAATACCATGTGGCGTATAGAGGCCTCTAGATCATCACATCCGTTAACAGCACTACGATTGCGAATTCTATCAGATACAAAGCCAGCTTTGAGGAGAACTTGGGGCGTGATTTCCTGATCGACTTGTTCTCGAACTTCAGCGAGGAAATCTGTGATGATATCCTTGTTCCTGTGGTATCTCAGGTCTAATGGTAACTTATCGCATCCTCCACAAACGCATTCATTGCGAAATGCTTTACAGTGAAGGACCTTGGTAGCTGGTGGGAGGTGAGTATCATAAACAGCAATCCCTATAGTGCCCACATATTGATCGTGGTATAGAGTTGGTCGTGAGTTGTCGTCTGCTGTTTGTTCGTTGAGGTTGAGGAATTGGGGGAACGAACACGGATTCAACCTTGTGAGAGTGTCTTCTTATCATCCTTCAACGCCTATTCGACTGCAAAGAACAAAAGGAATCGCCTCAGTTATTTATGTCATTTCCCGGCGCTGGAATGGGGGCATCATATCTTAGAAATTTTAAAGAAGTGTCAGGAGTATTAGTGTATGTACTAATTAATTGCGGTGTAGAAAAGAAATATATGAGTATGTCTAGTATCGCCTATTATCGTCCTTGAAAGAGCTGATTATTTGGTGTAAGCTTCAAATAAGGTCTTAGTACTCGATATAGCTGAAGTCGAGGGAGAAACACTTCAAGCTATTCTTCGTATAGACCTCCATACACTTGATTCGTTCGACCGTGACAAGAGATGAAAATTCATCGCTATTTTTTTCCCTTGAATACCCCAGTCACTGTCGCAGAATTAGTAGGCCTCACAAACAACACCGCAGACTGACTTAAGCGCTTCACTCTAACGCCATGAATGTGAAAAGCGATAAGACTGCGTACACGCACACGCACATCCACGAAAGCGACTAATTCTGTCTCTACTAATTGCATTTTGCTGAGCTTGATATTTAGGAGTGCTTTGATAGTGAGGAGCTTGAAGCAGATAGTTTTTTGTTTATTTGCAAACATTGCAAAGGCGTACTGTGGCATTTCAATGAGATCGTTCTTGTCTGTGTGATCTCGAGAGGAGCTTGGCAGGGGCTACTAGATGTTCTGGGTGATTCCCCATCGAGAAGCAGCTGCAAGCTGATTTGCGTGCCACTACACAGCGCTCGAAACGCCTGGATTGGCCAAAACAGCTGCTCTCAGACGGCAGAGCTGGTTTTCCATGTAACGAGATGTCGCTTTAGCTTTAACTTTCGTCTCCGACAAACAACTCATGGCATATTTCCAGATACTGTTGGCAAACACATTAAGAAATTGATGTTGGTTAATAACAATAATCGTTCTTGGATCCGCATCATCCGCACCCATTGCAATTCGCGACTTGTGATCTGCAAAGATCTGTGCTTCGGTATATTCCAAGATGCCGACATATGACATAATGGGAAATGTAGATCACTTGGCTTGGCTTATGCATGTGATAGTCACAATCTTAATATATTCACGTAAAATTCAGTCGATTACAAGGTTAATTTGAGGGGTGTGTTAGAGTGTTTCATTTTATGACACAACACATCGAAACACGACTCAGATAAAGTCACGTATACGATGAGTGACGTTCCTGACTCACTTGTCTGTCTTTTGAGCTATCTTTCACTTGCAATAAATGATTTGATGTACGCATCGATTCTGCAACTTGGACCATGTTTGCTGAAGACGATGCAACTGCGCCGTGGGTGAATTGCATATTTGGAACGATCATTGATGTTGAAGGTACTGTTGATACTGACGTTAAAGCTGATGGTGTTGCTGCTTGGTGGAGCACACTGGCGGTATCCCCACCTCTCGACGCTTCTACTGTCGTGCTGCTAGCTGAGAGGTTCTCCAACTTGATATCATAGAGGGTACGCTCAAAGCTGATTTTTGGCTTGATACTCTTCGGACTTAATTTTTTGCGCTTGCTCATAGTCCATTTTGCTAACCTGTCTAAAACAATCTCAAGCATGATGGCGTTAGTGTCACTAGCGTGAATTCCTCAAAATCATCGACAGATGAAAGCATTCCTAGATGCTTGAGCTAGCTCCAAGTTGGCGTCATTCGTGATTTTCCTTTATAAATTATACATGAAAAATTTATACAACAAACAAGAATAAATAGTCTAAAACCATCCCTGCCCTGCAAACTGCTCGATCAATCTGGCTTATTGACTCCTTGTCTTGGGAGCAAACTTGCACTCATCAAGTGATGGCTTAGGGATCCACGTCTCCATTGCGAACTTGCGATACTCTAACGGGGTGTAGTTCTACGCATTCTTCATATACTCAAACCATTAGCCTTTTTAGTTGATATCGATACTTGGCTTGTTAAGCAGTGAGCGTTCCTCTTCAATTTTCCAGCCTGCATTCATCTTTGCGTTGTGCTTTATGTACAAATTCACGATGTCTGAACACTCTGCGCTTTTTACTTTTCCATCATCAACAGAATCAATTACGAGCGGAAAAAGCTTTGGTATGCGCTGCGACAGCGAGTAGTTCGAACCTTCATTAAATGATGGATAGTCATCTACCTCGGCTGCACCCTCTAATGTTCTCCATTTCGCTAGCACAGTCTTACCAGCAGCTTCTATCACCAACAATAATCCAGGCTGGTTTGCTACTCGCATCAGACACTGGCTGTCTTCGTTATGGTTCCAGCAATGCTCATTATGATGTTCTTTGAAATCTGTCATCGCAATTACGCTTTCAACTTTAGGGTATTTGTCTTTTCTTTCTTAGCGAATATTTCCAAATACACGTAAAGCTTCCACTGCTTTGCCCTAAGAATCAATTTTGTGGTTTGATATACCCGTCCATGCCAAGTTTCCCATTGATGAGTCTCTCAGCGTATGTAAACGCTCTGTATATGGCTTTTCAAAGCCTTTGTGATTAAATGAAACGCCATTAGCGTGGAGAGATGACAGCGTGTTAGTAAGACATAGTGTGTTTCTCATAACATGGACACCGTCATCCACAGTTATTTCAATGTATGGTTTGATGTAGATGTCGTCATAATTTTTAATTGGATTAACTTTGCGCATTTGTGCTCGAGCTTTCTTCTTCTGACGTCTCTTTATAGCTTTGTTGTTAGGCAGTTTACATGTTACAATTTCACCTTTCTGAGCCAAGCTATCAATGAACTCGGCAGGGGCTAAATCTTTTCCTTCTTCTTCAAGTTTGTTAAGTAGTACATTCAGATTCATCTCTTTGAGACCAGTTTCCAAGTCTACGCCTCTGGTCTTGGTATCGCAAAGAATATCAACAACCTTCTCAACCGTCTTTCTTTTCAGGTTTCTTCTGATATGTCAATTTCATGCTATCACAATAAATTCAATGTCCTTGTTCTCATCATTAGATTCACCTTCCGCCGATGGCAGAGGAACAGAGACATCCCACCCAATCCATTCGTAGGGCTTGCATTGGGTCTCACATCTGCGCAGATTAATATGGAACTGAACCTTATCACGTTGATCTTCTTCAATTTTGAAACTAGCTGGTGTAGGAGCAGGTAGCTTGATAGAATGAAATTCTACATCCTTGTTGGTGGTGTATATCCGATATCTTTGCAATCTTAAACAAGGTGGATATCATAGTGTGAGATAGAGCACCAATGGAAACCTTCAGTTCCGTGCATGGGGCAGTCGTACTTGTTGAGCCATTTTCCGAGCCACACCTTGAATTCATCATTAAGGGCACAAGATTCTGCTAATTTGACGAATATTCAGCCCAGATCTGTGCTCTGATTGAGCACGGACCTAACACAGCATCTGGATGCGATTTGGTCGAATATCTGTGTAAGGTTACCCAAGATGTTCAATCTCCGAAACATGGAACTACTGTCTTAATTCTCATTCGATACTTGCTGCAAGGGTCATAGGTCAATGTCAGCTACGTTGCAAACGAAAGTTTTGAGGAATGTTCAACTGCAATTGCCCAAAAACTAGCTGTGAATAAGTTTAGAAAGTTAAATTAATCAGAACAACTTTTTAAAACAAAAGAAAGAAGATAAAGAAACATGAGGGACTTTCTGGATAGGGGTAAGAGTGGTTAAGTGTTAGGAAGTTGGTAGTTGAATAGTTGTTCAAGTGGATTGGGTTGGCGATATTGCTATTCAATTGGGTAAGTTGAGTATAATAAATAGGCGTCGTATTCTGTTTATATGTGGCTTATGACATCGCTGTGAGGGAATTATGAAACAAATAACCAAATGCTCAGTTGAAGGATAAAGTAATTAATTCTGCTCCAATCTGACTTGTGCCAGCACTCTCGATATCTCATTAGCTTGATCAGTCGACAAACCATCAAAGTTACCTGATGGCGTCTCTATCCTGCTTGGAATCTGTTGTTGAGAGAACGTTGCAGAGGTTGCTGAATTTGGATTACTTATATTCGAGTATTGTTGAATGTCCGCATTATTAGTTGGAGGTATTGAGATAGGATTTGGGATATTCTGTAATTTATTACGTGGATTGGTAGATAATGATCTAGCGTGTCTTAATCCTGTTGGATGATTTGGTTGACTTTGCTGCGCATATATTGAGCCTGAGCTCCCAATCGCTTGACTATTGTTAGAAAGTGGTGGTGAGATTGGTGAAAAGAACTGTTGCTGATTCATTTGCGTATCCAATTCAGGTGGTGTCACTTGCGGTAACGATCTAGTGTGTGCGTGTCCACCCAAAGATGCAGATGATCCGAAAAATTTAGGATCTTGTTGCATTACTCCACCCACTGGTCCTCCGATAGAATAGTGGGATTGATGTCCCAAATGGCTCGGGCGCTGTGGTTTGTTGAACTCCCTCGGTGATGGCCTGCTCGAAGGGTTGGTACTTGAAGCATAATTACCGGTGCCTGCAGATGGATCTCCAACTACACCAGCATAACCTTGGTTCTGACCGTTGCTGCCAGTCGCATTTGGAGTCTTTCCAACCAATGCACCAAGGTCAAGACTCTGAGCTCTTTGTGAAGCTAACGTACGTTGTGGCTGCTGTGGCTTCATCTTGGCCTCCATTATCGAATCTGTTCCTCTCTTGGCCGCCGTGTCTTCAGTAGTTTGGGCATAAGACTTGGTGGCGTCGGCAGCAGGTGGTATAGTAGGTCTACCATAGTGAGTTGGTGGCGTTGGCGGGCCCCATACGTTTTGAGTATACTGTTGCTCTTGAGCTTGTTGACTAGCAGCGGCATAGTAAGCAGCAGCAGCTTGAGTTTGCTGAAGCTGTGCTTGGGAAGAAGCCGAGTTAATGGCCTCCTCACCGATTCCACCATAAGGCGATGACATTGCAGTATTTGAATCAGGGGATGACACAGTCGATCCTGGATAACCACCGCTACCATCGTTACCAAACAGTGCTTTGACGTTAGGTGTTGATACAGCTGCACGCAATCTTCTGCCCGATCCAACAGCACCTGTTTTGGTACCACCAAGTGTAGACGATCCAGAGAAGTTTGGCTTTTGACCCATTAACGCAGCAGCGGAAGATCCACTTCCAATACTGTTGCTACTCAAAGTATTGTGACGAGATTCACCTGGTCTTGTAAACTGGGCACTTGCATCTTGGAAGCCATCGAAGGTTTCATTCGTGGGACTTTCTGTTGCAGGAATAATCTTTGAGTTAAATAACGGGAAAGCGCCGGCAAGAACATCCGCACGCATTGGCTGCTGTGTCGGGATAGTTGGTCTGGCGTGGAGAGGTACACCACGGCTTTTCAAGTAATCTTCGAGAGCATCTTTTGCTGCACCCAACATATCAATGTTAGAGCGTTGACAACGAACCTTGAAGGCCAAGTCTTCATCATCCTCGGACGCGCTGCTGGAATCTGATTGAGGAGAGCTGTTCTGGACATTATCACTTGGCTTAGACAGCTGAGCTGGTGCAGAGATCGACACGTGTAAATCACTACGAATGGTGTTTAATAGCTCAGCAAATCTATTATCGTTGACAGCAGTCTTGATTTGGCTAGAGCGAGGAGCCAAGTATTCAGCTTCGAATGGTACGTGATCCTGCTTATGGTTAGCCAAGTTAAGTTGCAAACGTGCAACCCACTAAAACCATCGTCTTTGCAATGTTCACTTGATGCTCAGGACCAAAAATTGCAACCGAGTCAGTTGCCAACTCCTTGTCAGGAAATCTGACAATACATCCAGTTTTAGATTCGATGTCGTGCAGAAAAATGGACTTTTCTCCAAGCAAAGTGCGATGATATTTCCTAGGTATCATAATACTTTCATTCGTATAATCTTTATCTTTAGGATTGACTAATTCCATTACTGATTGTTTAAGATTTTCCAAATTCATGGCATTCTTCGCAGGCGTTCTTGAAATGACATTGTCTTCATTATCGCAATACCCGCCTAATGCGGCGAACTCATCAGCGTTTGAAAACTTGACGTACACGCCAAATTTCTTCATGATACGCTGGATGTTTTTACCCCCAACACCAATGATACGCTTGTGGTACACTTCAGGAACGTGGAAAGACATCTCTGCAGGTAACTCCTCTTGAAGCATAGACAAGCCACTCAAAGCACCAAGGTCTGAGCCGGCGACCTGGGATAATATGTAAGTTGAGCTGAATAGGGTGACAAAAGTAACCCACATCAATCAAGAAATTGTATTCAGATAAAGTCTCATACTTTATTCTAACGTTTGCAGATTTCATGATCTTATTGATCTTTCCATTCTTTTTGCCTGAAATGAAATCACGGTGTTCATTGGCCAATTCAACCTGGAACCTAATTTCGTGGTGAAAGCCTTGAACAATATCCAAATCCAAAACTCTCGCGATAGCGTCTCTAACAGAGGCATCGGAGCCGTGAGCCTCAAAGCAATTAGACTTGAGTACGATCTCAGCACCCGATTCTAAAGCTAATTTCTCGAGATCGCCTGGTGGGACAGTTGAAGGGTTGATAGAAGGAGGAGGAATCAATACGTCAAATGTAACTGGTAATAACCAGACACTCGCAACGTAATAAAAGCAGGCTAGTTGCATGACCGACCTTATGGTCCTTTCAATCGAAACTCTGTTATCGCCAAAGATTTGAATGATGGAGGCTTGTGAGCCAATGACGGGGAATTTGATGAAAGTACCGTTATCAGCCATGATAGTGCGCAGCTCATCAGCTTTTTCGAGGACCAAAGCATCCAATTTTCTAGGTAAAAGAGCAGCGTCGCGACTCAAAACAGACTTTGAGTTGACTTTCTGTACGGCGACTTGTACAAGCATATCCTTAGCTCTTTGTACACCGAAGAAATCACCAGTAATGTGGATAAAGTTCCTCTGATCAGGTAAGCTAGCAGCTCTTGGTGAGGCATTACCGAGTACGCCTGCTAGAGGAGGAGGAAGGTAGATGTTTGTTTCAGTCTCCTCTTCAATGGTTCTAATGACAGAGCGTTTCTTTGAGGCGATAATTGGGTGTAATTTAAAGTCGATATCAACCTTATCAGCGTGTAAGCCGTTCGATTGATCCATGGTAACTAGAACAGCAATCTTTGCATGCTCAATGGCCTCTTGGCCACCAACAATAGTGAACTGGACCATACGCTGCAATTGAAGACCATGCTGGAAATTTGAAGGGGGAAGTTCTTTCAAAGCAAAGTTTACACCAGTGAGGGAATTGAGGGAGATAATCTTGTCCTTGAGGGCGGTGGATAGACAGTCTAAGGGATGGCTGGGATTAAGGTCGTGTACGAGCAAGTCAGATTTTGGAATTTTGAGTTGCAAAAAAGACTTGAGGGGCAAGTCCCTGATGAGTTGTCCTCTGGCGTTGAGAACATTTTGGAAAGAGCCAGATAAGTGCCAGATAGACAGATTCGATTGTTGATGGTGGTTTAGAACGCAAGACTGAGATTGAGTGATGGAGCTAGAAAGCTTATCATAAGAATCCGTAGAATTATCAAATTCAAATAAGTAATCTTGATTGGGTAAATTAGGTAAAGGCAAGCTGAGAGATAAGTTGTAGAGATCTGCTAGGAAATGAGTGTGTGAGAATCATACGAATAGAATCGCACTTACCCATAGAATCTAAAAATTGTAGTTTTATAATACCTTAGCTGGGTATATATTTTTAACTTTCACTGACGCTCCTTGACGGTCGTTCTTGTCTAAAGTGTGAACGGCGCTCTGAAGGGAGCAAATTGGATAAAAATTAAATTAGCAATTAGCCGGATAAGCTTCCTTTTCGGCGTTTTTTCTATTTTAATTTTATCCAAATTAAGAATTTTTTACATTTCATTTTTAATGGTGGTGAAATTCTTAATCCGGAAGTTTAATCAACATTGTAGAAAAGGGAAATTTAATACATTTTGCTTTAACCTACACGCTTATTATTATCAATCTTAATCTTCTTTTTTTGTCTTTCTGCGAGTGCGTCTGCATCTTCTAAGCGTTGTTGAGCGGCAAAAATCTTGTAATATTTCTTATCTAACTGCAAACTACCTTGTTTGAATGTATCTATGGCTGACTCATTCTCTTTCTCAGTGAATGACTCGGCTATGTATGTCTAATGAGTCAGGCACAATCACCCACCTGTTCTGCCTTGGATGTCTGTATATCATTATCATCATCCTCCCATGGGTTTTTCTTTCTTTTTTTTAGCTACTGCGCTTCTTCTTGGGGATAACGGCATTCCATAATATCTTCAACCAGGTTGTTGCATTTGTGAACGCGGTCTTGGTTTTGTGTGAGTGGATTCATTGTAATAGTACTTGTAATCTTTGTTACATTTTTATAATAGACGCTTGCCCCCTTTTTTATATACTTATATTTGCCTAAACCATTTAGAACATCTCATGTCACCGCGCAGCGCAACCTCCCTGCAAACAACCCAAGCAATAAATAAACGTATGCATTTATGGGATCTATCTATATGACATTAGCCAAAACCAACTAAATCTCAATTTAAGCGACTCTTTTTGGATTTCGACTTGACGCTTTGTATCAGCGAATCGATCGATGGTGCGTTGTTGGCAGCAACATCGTCTCCATCTCTCTGCGATCTTCTCGATCTCTCCGCTAACAACTTTTTCATGCTCTTTGTCGGCTTGAAGCTGTTTGATAGTTAGTGGGTGAAATATGAAATATTTCTCAGCACTTGACTCACTTTGGCAGTGTTGGATCAATTGCATACTGGTGATCCTCCAAGACGTTCTTGAATCTATCATCATCGACGTTGATTTCAAAGTTATCTTCAGCATCACCGTCATCGTTACCTTTCGATTTCTTGTTGTGTTTGCGCTTTCTGCCTTGCTTCTTTTCACTCTTGATGATATCGTCCATGTCAAAGTGTTTGGCATCGTCTTTCTCATTCGTGAGTAGCTTGAGTTCGTCAGCTGTTGACTCCACTCTGCCGCTATCCTGTGCATCCTCTTTATCCTCTATCTTGCTCTTCCTTTCATCTTTCTTGTATGGCTTTGCGATGGCTGCACGGTCATCCTCAGCAGCTCTGTTGTCGAAGGCAGCCTCATCCTCACTGCCAGACTGGAAGAAGTCGTCGTCAAAGCCAGCCTGGTCGCTAGGTTTCTCTTGCTGCTCCATTTGCTCTTGATGCTCGCTATCGTCGTCTTGCATCTGGTTCTTTCTCTTGTCTTTCTTAGCATCCTTCTTTGCCTTCTCCTTCTTCTTGTATCTCTCTAGCGTTGTCATGTTCTCATCACCATCACTATCCTTACCCTTCTTAGTGTTCTTCTCGCTCAACCCAGGCGCAAACGTAACTTCCATCTCTCCTTCTCTATCCTTTTTGCCACCCCTGAGTTCACGAGCGTCACCTTGTTCTCCACTAAGAGCAGCTCTCAGCAAAGCCGCTCTTCTCTGGTTTTCCTGCTCGTTTTCGCTCTCGTCCTCACTCTCAGAGGCGAGATAAGCCTTAAAGTCATTCTGCTCGATATCTTCCTTGTTCATACGCTTGCGCGTGAGAGCCACCCTCTTGTCGTCATCCTCATCCCAAGTCAGCTTGACCTTGGAGTGGCGCAAAGCGGGTGTCTGGAAATCGACGCCTCTATAAGACTCACTTGAGGTGTTAGCCTGATCGCGTATATCATCTTCCTCAAACGCCACGCCATCAGGCACGACCTGGAACTGGAGAATATTTGCAGTGCGTTCGATCTCCGTGTTGTGAGCTTCACTGAACAGCTTGTGGGCAGCCTTGCTAGACGAGAGTGTGACGATAGCGTAGTAGTAGCGCAATCTGCCCAATTGATACTCCCTCAGTGCTGATTCAGGGTCGAGTTGACGTTCTTTACCTTTCTTCGTCTTGTTGGCACCTATCAGAGTGGGTCCGGATTGCTCCTCGTGCTCTATACGGTTCTTGCCAAATTGCGACATGTACACACTAACATTTTTCAGCGCCTTCTTGTGCTCTGTGCCTTGGAGAATGGAATCAAGGGCGACGTAGATGTCCTGTGCGGAGAGGTGGTCCCAGTCGAGATTGGTGACTGCTAGACGAGAAGTGAAGTCGATGGTATCGTCATCGTCTCCGTCCTCTGCGTTTTCATTATAGGCTTTAGCCTGAGCGTCTAAACGACGCATTTCATCTTTGATCTCGTCGTCATTCAAGGATTGGGGGATTTCGTCGTCATCATTATCATCGTCGTCGCTGTCTTCGTCCTCGTCATCAGAACCTACGAGTTGGTTTTCGTAGTTTTCAGGCTGGAGCTCGACCTCGTCGTCAGCGCTGGAGTCTGAAGAGGCAGAATCAGAAACTGAATCAGAGTCTGAGGAGGAATCAGAGTCAGAGTCTTCCATGATAGCTTCACCGCGTGCATAATCCATGGCAGATTTGGGTTGTTGTGGTTGCTCAAGTTCGTTCAGTTGGTCACGCTGCTGCCTTTCCTTCTTAGCAGCCTTCTCATCATCTTTATTGATATTATAAAACTGCTTAAGCTCGTGTGCGCCATCCTTAGGCTTAACTTTACGACCAAACTTATCGACCTTGGAAGTAGATTGAAAGTCGAATAAATCTTTGAATCTATCGTCTAAGACAACTTTCTGTTGATTCTTCTTTGTTTTATGGAACTTTGGGTTGCTCGCTGTCCCGCTGAATCTTTTATCTCCGGTTGGCGGCATCGTGGTGGGAGATGAAGGAAGACGGGTGCTCTACAATACCAGAAATGCCAGTAAACCTAGTAATCCCAGTATTCCCGGCACAACTCACACTATCCTCCACTCCACGCCCTTAAACCGCCCTTAAAATTTAAAGTCCCCCACTTTACCCTTTTTCCTGTTCACTGAAGATCCTTGAAGAAAACAAGACAAATGTCATTGATAGGGGGAGTGTTGAAGGCATTTACATCTATTCAAGCCACACAGCCACAACTTGTTTCTGCAAACAACGTTAAAAGAGCTGCTGTTGCGCTGATCCTGCGATTTAGATTGGTTGATAGTAGTCGCGGTGGTGATGGCAGTCCCAGTCCTAGTCCCAGTCCCACCAGTCCTTCCGATAGCGATTCTTCTTTGGAAGATTTATTCAATCAGCCGTGGATGCGCGATGGCAATGTCATTCCAGAGGTTCGTTGACGTGTTTTCTATATCCGGCGTCATGCTAAGTGCTCACACCAAATAAAACCAGATTCTATTTATCCAGCGTGCTGCACGTAATGGTGACCGATGGTCTGGTCACGTCGCCTGCCCTGGTGGGCGCTATGAGCCAGACGACGAAAATCTCAAGTATACCGGTGAGAATCACCATCAGCATAAGTACACGCATGCCTAACAAACGCATTACCAGCCATGCGTGAATGCTGGGAAGAAATCGGACTCGATATCTCTGACCGACGTCATTTCCTCCCTCTTGGCCAGCTCGATGATAGGGAAGTGACCAGCAGTCTGGGGAAAAAGCTGCTGATGATCCTCTCCCCATTCGTCTTTATCCAGACGAGGCCCGTCGATCACACTCTGCAGCTCGAGGCGCAGGAAGTGGAGTCTGTGCATTGGATACCGGTTGACGCACTCACTGATAACGCCGTTTATACGCACGTAGAGGTAGATCTACCCGCTCGTCTCTCTCCTAAATCGGAAATGGGACGCTGGGTTCTCGCGAGTGTGCTGTCTAATTCCTCACTCAGCTTTCCTGCGATAGAGCTCGCTAATAGACCGGCAGCAGTCGCTAGCCAGAGTGGCCTCGCTAGTGTGGCGCTGGAGGAGGAGAACGACGAGGATTTTGCGCCGCCTATGCCCGCTGAGCTGGACGACTCCATCAGCGAGTTACGCCAACGTACTGTACAGAACAGGCAGGTTGCGGAGGACAGAAAGGAGAGGAAAGTGGGGAAAGACATGACACAGCTATCCAAACGCCCCTCTCTCAGACTGTGGGGTCTAACACTAGGCTTCACACTCGATTTCCTCAGCCACATACCAAGCAAGGCGAGTGAAGATACTCGTGGCGCGAAAAAAACACCGCAAAACGTCGAAACTACTCGACATCTAGCCACCGCTCACGTCATCAAAGCACTCTTCCCGTCGTTCAACTCACCCGATATCAACCTGTGGATGTGGGTGTGCGGGAGAAGATACCGCTCCATCCGCCGCCAGTGGGAGCAGGCGGCACGAAACCCAGGCAGTGCTGATAGGAGAAAGAATTGGAGTGGCACTATACGCGCTGCTCACTTTGCGACTATAAGAAGGGCGTTGATGTTCGCCGTCGTCTTTCGTATCTTGGCTGCATTCACTACTCTCTCCATCCTCGGTAGGTATTTGCAAAAGGTTGTTGCGTGGTTTGTTTGAGGGGGACTGAGAGGCGTATCTGTTGATTTTCTTGTTTGCCCGCCCTTCTACACGCCCTTGCACACTGCCTTTGATTGGATTAATGGATTGCACTACACGACACAACACTATATCACACCAAACCACACCACGTACGCTCGCACACCTGTGCGGTTGACACAGTAATAACGATAGATAGTAAAAGATTATTGCATGTGCTCATGTGCGATTTGCATGATGGCCAGCTGAAGATCGAGGCCGAGGACATCGTCATCGTCGAACCCGTTGTGATACGCGATGTCATTGTAAGGATTATCCTGCTCGACTTGCGCGCCATCCTGATTCTGGAGGAGGCCATCAAATAGCTTCTGAAAGCAGTATGTGCCGGGAGTATTGAAGTGTGGGTAAGGGTTGGAAGGAACGAGGCGACCACCACAGAGGAAGCAGAAATGAGTGCCGCACCTACAACTCATGTGGTTACATCCGGAGCTCTTCTCCGTCCTGACAGCACAGTGGGGACAAGCCTGCGCGGTGTTTTCGATAGTCCTACGACTCGCCTCCGACTCGAGAAAGTCAGCGAGGAGGCGCTGAAGGTACTTTCTACCGTAGCGACTCTCCAGGGCGAGTTGATCGCGTGAGTTTGATTGTTCCAGCGCATGAGCGTAAGCGCGAACGTAATGGAGCGTCGTCGAGACGGGACAAGCTGCCACGGGCCCGTGGTATGTGCGGCGGCAGTAGCAGCAGAAAGCGAAGGAGCATTGAGGACAGACGCGCAATCGCTGTGCACCCTCATCACTCTCGCTGTCACCTACGAGTGCGTTCTCGGGTGGACGCGCAACGGGTGTGTGGCAGAGGGGGCAGTACACGGTGCGCGGATCGTCTTCTGCAGCTTTCTTCTGACGTAGATACACCACGCGCTGGTGGACTCTCTCCCCACTCACCTCTAGGATGGTTGCATCGGGTATGGGCAGTGTGCAGGTCGGCGAGGGACAGATGAGACTGTCTAGCGAGCCTTCGCGCACGTGCAGCTCGGTCATGTCGCGTAGACACGCAGCGCACACCGCACACCCACACGGCATCTCTGCCCCGTGCACTCCCTTGCGCCGCCGCAAGCAGATGGGACAGTCGTAGCTGCTTTCTGCGAACACCGTGGCTGCGTGTGTCCGGTTGTACGCGCGTAGTGTGGCGGCGAGTGTCGCGAGCGCGTGTGTGTCTTGCACTTGTATTGAAGCGGGAGGGTATGCGTGCAGAACGTGCATTGTGCGTAGGAGCTCTCCTTCTCCTTCCTCGCTTTCTTCCCGTATTAGCCTCTCCAACTCCGCCTTGTTGCCAGCCGTGCCCGCCACTGCTTCGATATGGGAGAGCATCGGCGTCGGTGAGCTGCTGCCGTCCAGCGTAAATGTGACAGACGTCGGTGGCAGCTGGCCCACATTCAGCTTAACGCTCTGGTTATCAAGTCGCGTGCGCAAGGTGATTCCACTGTCTACACTGATGCTTGTGCGTAGACGAATATTCCCATTGTCCTTAGTTGCCGACCCTTCCCCGTAAATGGCATTGACAATTTCGATTTCTTCTGCAATGTCGAGCATCGAGGTATCAACCCATCAAGGAATATAACGGGTACAAATCCAATAAATATATCAAGTCTATAAGATACAAGTTACCTCAGTCTCAGTCTCACTCCTCACTCCTCACTTTTTCCCCCCTCGAAATGTTTGAAAGCGTTGCGAAAGTCGTTGGCGATATCCGTCTCTTGCTCATCGGGCAGGGTGCAATTACGCCAATCAGCGCGCTGCGGGATGTCGAGGAAGGAAGCTAGAGCGAGTCTAGCGAATTGCTGATTGAAGGGTGCAGGGCGAATGAGATGAACGAATTTTCCGCCATTAGGGAGATCAACTGGGAGTTTTATTGAGTTAGCTGTCTATTGTCTAACCCCTTCCCCACTCACCTCTCAAATACGATTGTCCATCTTCCAGCTCATCGAGCGCCTTTTGGGGATCACTCTCCCATTCCACGCCCTGTGCTACGCCTTCGTTGGTGAGATGCGCGCCGAGTGCGCTTATGATCTCGTTGGGGATTGGTACAGCTTGGATGTGTGCGTGCCCACCGCGCGACCAATACCGCCCCAGCTCGTAAGAAACGAGAGAAGAGTTGTATTTAGCGTAGCAGCGCGCGAGCGCATCGCGCCAGTCAAGCAACTCCGATTGAACACGCTGCGCTATATCCGCAGGCAGCGAGAAGAGATTAGGGTAGTGGGAGATGGGTATGATCAAAACATGCCCTCCGCCCGGCACAGCCGATGTGGCGGGGTCGATTAGCTGTCCTTTGGGAAGGGTGATGTAGCACTCTTCTCCTATTGACACGATTAGGTGTTTCGTTACGCGGGGGTTGGAAAGACAGAACCAGCACTCGTCCTGTGATATTTCACCCTGGTGCCGCTTGTTCTTTTTGCCTCGTTTACTTGCCTCATCGTAGGCTGACGCTTGCTGGGCGAATATGTAGCTATTTCCACTCTCTTTCCCCTCCTCCTCGGCACTGCGTTTCTGGACTTGGGTAAGCGCAGGCAGGGGAGAGGACGTCGAGGCAGGTGGAACATCCTCCTTGCTGTGCCCACGTGGTGTGATGGAGAAGGCGTAGAAGGAGCGTTGTTTCTGCGTATTGCCGAACTGGCCGAGGGAAATAAAGCGTGTAGATAGGCCATTAGGAGAAACGAAAGGCTCCCTCTCCCAGAACACACGCTGACCGCCGCTAAATACGTACTTGGGGGTGGAGTAGCTGACGGCGGAAGTGACGGCGCTGCTGCCCCAGGAGTGCGCAGGTGGGTGAGCAGCAAGATTGGGGAGTGGCTTGTTGGAGAGTAGGGTGATGCTGGATGGCCAGGAGTGTGTGAGGAGGATGTCTAAGTTGGCGTTGGAGAGAGACTTGGCGTGTGCTCGGGCAGCAGCTAAAGAGGAGCTATCGGAGGTGTTTCGACGGGGATCAAAGAATTCTGTAAAGCTGTTGAGGGTGGTTTGAGTAATGGCGGGGCTGTTGTTGTCGTGTTGATCACCTTCAACCAAAGTAGATGTATCGTGCACACCACCAAAGGCACCAATACGCAGACCAGAACGGGTGGTGAGTACAGACGATTTGGCCAACATGAAAACACGCTGAGCAATAGCACCACCACCGTTGTCGAGTTTATCGAGTAAGGAAGCATGTGGGGGTTGACGCCCGAGAGTGTAGTAAACGTCGATGGGTGGGTTGAGTGAGCCATTAATCACAGCGTCAATCTCATCATCATTGGCAGATTCGAATAAATCACCAGCCACCAAGGTTAAATTGAAATTGTGTTTGCTGGTCAGTGCAGCTATCTTATCGAATAACGCGTGGATGGAAGTAGAAGGAGGACCAATCACAAGGCTGATCGGGAGTTATAAATTATCATTTAATATTTTTAGTTTACTCACACTTTCGTTGATTCTACGCTCATCACCGTACACCACCAAGAATGACATCGGCAATTTTATTCGGATCTACGGGGGCAGTCGGGAAGCACCTTAAGGCGTGTTTGTTGAATAGCGCGGACATCAGCCACGTAACTGAAGCAGCTAGATCCGTGGATAACACCACCAACGGCAAACTCACCCAAATCAAACTAGACGCAAACACCAAATTACACCCCCAATACGATCTAGTATTCATTACTCTAGGCACAACAGCTAAAAACGCTGGTAGTTCAGAGAAGTTTGAAGAAATAGATAGGCATTTGGTCGTAAACCTAGCCAAGCAGGTTTCTAAAGATAGCGCGCACGTAATTTACTGCTCATCTGCTAATGCTAATCCAAATTCGACCTTCTTATATCCACGTTCTAAGGGATTGACAGAGATGTCGTTGAGTGAACTCGGGTATAGCTCGACAACCATTTTCAGGCCTGGGTTTTTGAAGCACGCCAAGAGATCAGATAGTAGACCTGCTGAGAGCTTCTTTGGGTATCTCACTGGTTTCCTCGGTTACTTTACATCTGCTGTAGAGATACCTGTACAGAAGCTTGGTGAAAGCATGGTGTTAGCTGGATTAAAGCAGCTTAAAGAGAAATCTAACAAGACCATATTCGTATCCAACAAAGAAGCCCTGAACCTCAATTGATTGTACTCATGTCATCATCATTTACACTTAATTCATGTCCAATCCATCCATATTCAAGCCAACGTCTATCTTCTCCTTAATCCTCCGATGCTATTATAAAAACACCACTGACCTCCCAACCACGATTCAGCCTAACTTCCAGTACGTCAAGAATGACTTAAGCAGCATACAAACTATGGATACACAAGACGAACACAGCTACAAGCATCTCTTTTCATCTTTTTAAAGGCCTATATTCATTTCGTTTCTGGAGTTACACTACCAGGTAAAAATCCCTATCTAGTGACCAGCGGGTTAACCTCACCGGTCGGATGCTTTGATTGCAGAGCTTCCAAGACCTCTGTGGTGAGCTTGGCACACCCAAAGATCCACCAAGAACGTTTGACGCCGATCCTGGCCTTCCTTGCTCCACATATCCTTCTGGTGAGATTATGTTTCTGGCTTGATCAAAGCAGCTTTAAGAGAATTCAAACAAGACTACATTCATGTCCAACAAACATATCCTGAATCTTGGGTGATATTTATTTATACCCATACCATCACCATTTGCACTCAATTCATGTCCAATCCATCCATCTTCAAGCCAACGCCTGGCTTTCTCCTAAATCCTCCATCCCTATCAAAGAACATTACTGACCTCCCAACCATGATCCAACCCAACATCCAGTACATCAAGAATGACACAAGCAGCATACAAACTATGGATACACGCGACGATAACGGCTACATGTACCTCTTCGACGACAAAGCTGAGCTCAACGATTACGAGCACAATGAATCACACAAACTAATTCTTCATAAAATTTTCCCAAATAAACTCAAACCAAAGAAAGTTCAGGGCTATCAAATCAAAGAGAGCAATATGAAACTCTATCACACTCTCACCTCCATATACCCAATCGTTGATGAGGATATCAACTACACTCCCGACTCTGCACTTCAAGGCTATGACCATATGGAAAAAACACTGTGTCTGTAATATTATACATGTATTCAAATCTACCTCACTTCCTTCTCCTCTTCTTACGAATTTCCATCATATCAGTATCAACATCCACCTCCTTCGCTGCGGTGAGTCCTGCATTTATACTCCTCCCAAGTCCCAGAAATGGTCCCGTCATCCCTGCTGGTCCTGCCGGCATTTTCTTCTTTTTACCGTTCAAAACGCTGCTGATGGATGACGTGCCTAGAATATCCTCAAACGGCACACCTAAATAGCTACTGGGGGGAGCATTCAATTCGCTCTCCATTGTATTTCCATTCCCGTTAACGTTTCCACTACCACTAGTACTTCCATCTGCTTGCGTCGGTGTGCCACCTTGACTTGTGCTTGCATGACCTGATTTTCTATTGCGACTTGTGCGCGTAGATCTCGAGAAAGTGGAAGGATCAAGGAGGGAATCAGAGCCAACATCAGCGTCCTTCTCCTCCTTAAGTTTCCTCCTCTTTTCTTCAATAGCCTCGCTCAGCCTAGTTTTGATAGAGCGCTGTACGACGTCGTATTCCTCCTGTACGCGTGCCCGCTCTATCTCATACAGGGAGCGAGCCGAGTCCATTGCGTATCCGTGAGCGTGCTTCACTGCCGAAAGCTGCGCGTCACGCTCTAGACTGAGTTCGTACAATCGGAGTGTCTGTTCGCGGCATATCATCGGTGCTCCTGTGCTGGGTGCACGTGTTGCATCGTATGCTGTCGTCGGCGTCGTTGATAGGAGGTGGTTGTGCACGTCGAGCAATCTGTTGTGTGTTTCGAGGAATATCAGGTCACGCTTCTCGTAAGTCTCCCCCGTTTGTCGGCTTAGTTTCTCCACTAAATCCCGCCGCTTCTTATCCCGCTTCGTCTCCGGCGCTTCACTCGTCCAGCCCAGCTCGTTTCCAACTTCAGACGACATTGTGGTGTGTGTTGAAGGTGTGGGTGGGGAATTAAATTAATTTGATTTTCCATTTAAATTTAATCAATTATATCCATATTTACATTTCTTCTCCTTGCTTACACTCGTTCATGGTCAAACGCACTCAAATGGCAAGCATCGCATAGTTTTGGGAGATGGCTCACCTGACTCCCCCTATAGGATTCCAGCGATGGTGGCAGCGAAAGCGCCAGCGATTTCGACTATGAGGCGATGAACGCTATAGCTGAGGACAGCTATAAAGAGCCAAACGAATTCGAGGACAGCGACAGCGACAAGGATAATATGAATGTCGACAGTGAAGACGCTCAAACTCTCAAGTCAAACGGTGGTGCATTCAGAGCACCAACTAAAGACGAAGTTCAATCACTCAAAGAGACAGGAGAACTATTCAAATCAAATCTATTCAGGCTTCAGGTGGGTCAGTGGTTTTTACGGTCGATGCGCTAAATAAGCAACCCAGATTGAATCCCTTCTCGAGGAGATACAACAGCCGTCTTCTCAGGCTGAAAGTCTGACACACGCACTACACGCTATCAGGAACCTCATAATAGATCTTAAACCCATTCCTAAATCACAGGATGGCAAATTATCAACCAAAGAAGCCAACAGCTATCTCAAAAAGCATCACCTCAGCTTGCCTCTATCCAGGGAAATCCCGCTAGACGTCAATTGGGGAGTCGGATTCGATAAACCTCACACTGTTCAAGTTGGTGGTGCATGGCCACTTAAAACCGGCGTCAAAAGGCGGTCGAGCAAGAAGAAAGCTTGGCAAGTCACTCTCGCTGTATTCCTCCCTTCCCACCTCATCCAAGAGAAGGATCATATGAATGACAGGTGGCTCTTCAAACAAGCCTTCTACGTTACCATATTGGCTGAAGTCTTGGCAAACAGTAAGCTGGAGGTGGATGTACAAGTGACGCATGAGAATGGTTTGGAATTAGAACCGGTAATCAACATAACCGGTAAGAAGGGCAGCAAATTTATTCCCAGCAATGCAACAATCACTATTGTCCCTGCATTAGGTCATCCTTGTCCATTCAAACCCCTCAGCAAAATATCACCTGCTAAGATTGGTTCGAAATTGAGCAATGCATTTATCAAGCCATCATTACTAACAACTCACCTGTCGTACTTGTACAATATCGCAGAAACAGTCCCTGCTTTCAGAGACGCTGTCAAATTACTCAAAATTTGGTCAAACCAGAGAGCCCTTGAGTGGTTCTTGGAGGGTTTTAATGCTGAGTTTTTGGTTGCGCTGCTTGTTGAAGGTGATCAACATGGCAGCAAACGTGTTGGAAAAGGACTCAGCTCGTATCAGCTTTTCAAAGCAGTGATGGATCTTATAGCCCAGACTGATTTTAGTAATGTCTTCATCAAGAGTACTTCTGCCAGTGGGTTTTCACAGGAGGATTTTGTGGGTAGCTCTACTTTACTTTTCGTCGATCCTACACGCACATTTAATTTCATGGACGGTCTCTTGCCTGAGGATGTCCAAGTGATGGCCTTCGAAGCTAAGATGACACTTGACGCACTCAGCGACGAAAGTGATAGATTTGAAGAGACATTTATGCGTGACTTGCGCAACCCCATGCCCAGATTCGATCTGTTAGGCAAGACGACATTGCCATTGAAACTGATGAAGAAGATGAAGAAGGGTGTGAATGTAAGACAGTCCATCGCATCAATTCTCACACAGGCACTTGGTAATCGGGTAAAAGTGATCAATTTACAAATCCACAATGACAACATAGTCATAGGGTTGATACTTGAATCTGAAATGGCTGGTAGGATGGTCGACCATGGGCCGCCCGCCGAAGATAAAGAGGGATGTGAGCAATTCAGAGCATTCTGGGGGGAGGTGTCAGACATGAGGCGATTCAAGGATGGAAAGATAAACGAGAGTGTAGTATGGACGCAGGGAGGATCGAAAGAACACATTCCAATCCAAATTGTGAAATGGATTCTCGGACGTCATTTCCACATGGAAGGATTCACATTCATAGCTGAAGAATTCGACGGATTGCTAGACGCCGGTGCGGTAGATGGAGTTACGACATTCAACGATTTTGACACACCCCTGCAATCCTACGATGACTTCCAGAGGATGTTGCGCGACATGACCAGTCTGCCACTGGAAGTAATGAACGTTTCCCCATCTACACCCCTCCTACGCCACACATCACCATATCCACAACCCACGCGCGATATGAACAGATTCGGTCTCACGCCTACTTCTGCGCGATACATTCCGGCAGCCGAGATGAATGTGCAGTTCGAAAGCAGTGGTAAGTGGCCAGACGACTTGGGGGCAATCCAAGTGACGAAAGCCGCGTTCCTCGAAGCATTAGGTGAAGAGCTACAAAAAGGGGGTGAGTACACAGCGCAAGTAGTCATCGATCACCCCCTTCCTTGCGACATAGAAGATGCGGTTTCACTAGAAGTCGTCAACGACCGAGGCTATGCATGGAAGCTACGCATCCAGCACGACAGAGAGCTGACGCTGCTCGAGAGGAAGCTCAACGACAAGAGCGGTACGACAGACACTCAAAGACAGCATTTGAAGGGTGTGCGCGAGAGGTACATGCAGAAATTTTCCCATAAACCCCGCCACCACCAGGCCGTGATGGCTCTCACGCACAGGTTTAAAGCCTACGCTAAGACGGTGAGGCTCGTGTCACGCTGGGTGGATGCCCATCTCCTTTCCCCTCACGTGACCCACGAGTTCGTCGAGCTAGTTGTGGCTAGTGTGTTCCTCAACAGTGGCACATACGCACCACCAGCGACAGCAGCACTCGGTTTCCTCCGCTCTGTTATGCTACTTGCAGAGTGGCAATTCAAACAAGAGCCCTTGCTCGTGCCTCTTTACACAGCGTCGCAGATGCAAGAGGAGCACGTAGACAAGAAAGTAGTTTTCCCTGCTCGAGAACGAAGTGGAGCGGAGAAGGCGTTTGAAATACTGCGCAGAACGGATCCAGACGTCACTACGACTGCCATGTTCGTAGCTACAGAGCGCGATTCTTCAGGCGGAAACTTCACACATCGCAAACCAACCACCGTCGTCGCTGGCCGTTTGCAGGCTGTCGCAAAGGCTGCAATGGATGCACTGGTGCATAAAGATGGACTGGAAGTTATGGTGCGTTAGCGTGTACTGCCGTCTTCCCTGCTAACGGTTTCGCTATAGCATCTGTTCAAATCTCCCACTCATATCTACGATTTCGTCGTCTACCTCAAACCGATTGCTAACACCCGTCTTTATCAGTCGCTCCTCGATGATAGATATAAGGCTGGGGATGTCGATATTTCGAATGAACCGCTCGTCGGTTTTGACCCGACTGCCTTACTCGTCGAACATCTTGAACGCGTTTATGGAGATGTACTTCTCTTTTTCCATGATAAGTGCGGTGGTTGTATAGTGGGTGCACTGTGGAATCCTACATACAACGCACCTCGCAAGTGGAAAGTTGGACTGCATTATCCAGTCAAGCCGACCGATGTGAGTGATTTTTAATCATTTCTCACCCAACTAACCACCTTTGTAGCAGGGCAAAGATGAAGTAGTCATCGACAAGCAGGCTATTATTGCAGAGATAGCTGCACTTGGTTATGACATGATGGATAGCATCGGACACGCATAATTTATTAGAATTAGTTTTAAAATCATGCATTCTCAACGGTTAAATATTACTGTAGTCAATTGGCGTTTCGTGTTTCTTGTTGTCTTGTAATTTACGCGCAGCCTTAGCAAAGTCGTCTTGTCTTACGAAGTCTCTCTCATCACGAATAGCAACCATACCAGCTTCTGTGCAGACATTACGCAAATCGGCACCATTAAAGTTCTCACAGAGTTTAGCAACCGATTCAAAGTCGATTTCACCCTCTTTATTTATATCCTTAGCGTGAATTTTGAGAATTTCAGTTCTTCCAGTTGCATTTGCGAGAGGGATAAAGATCTTTCTATCCAAACGACCAGGACGCATAAGAGCAGGATCGAGAGTATCAGGTCTGTTTGTAGCCATGATAACTTTAGTTTTACCAAGATTATCGAAACCGTCTAGCTGGTTGAGTAGCTCCATTAAAGTTCTCTGTATTTCACGATCAGCGGATGTACCTTCACTAAACCTACGGCCACCGATAGCGTCAATTTCGTCCATGAAGATGATGCAAGGCTCGTGCTCCTTGGCGTAACCGAACATTTCCCTAATGACTCTGGCTGATTCACCGATGAACTTGTCAACGATGGCAGATGAGACGACTTTGAGGAAGTTGGTTTGGAGGGTAGCAGCACATGCGCGTGCGATTAGAGTTTTACCTGTACCAGGAGGACCGTATAAGAGGACACCTTTAGGGGGATTGATGCCAACTCTAGAGAAGAGTTCAGGGTTGTTTAGGGGTAACTCGATGACTTCTCTGAGTTCTCTGATTTGATCAGTTAAACCACCAATACCCGCGAAAGAAGCTTCACCAGGGTTTTCCATGGACATGTTATACACCATTGGATCAACTTCACGTGGGAGTATTCTCATGATGGTGAGTGTGGTCATGTCGAGGGAAACTCTAACACCTTGTATGAGTTTTGATTGGTTGATTGTCGGTCTAGCGTGTACAACGTATCTAGGACCGGAAGAAGCTTTAACGATGAATCTCTCGCTGTCGAGTTGCTTAAGCACTTCACCAATAATCTGACCAACAGATTGCAACGATTTCATGTCTTCCTCTGTTTGATTGAAAGAGCCATCCATGTCTTTGATATTCCTGCGTATATTCCTCAGCCTCTCACTCAATTGCTCATGTTCTGTGATCTTTGAGCGATATTCCCTAAGTGCATCTGCGCTGTGTGTAAGATATTTACTCTATAAAAAATCAATAAACCAACCTTCCTGTGACATTTCCTTCAGTTTTTGGTGGTATTTGGTTGAGATGCATAGCCGCGTCATCAACGGATAAAAAGTTTGAAAAGATAATTACAATATTTAGTATACTTAATTTAAGTTTAATAACTCATTGATATTTACATTTATTCTTTGATCCATCTCCCATCTCTAATCCACCTCTTGAACAACCACCACAACCACCAATTCCCTTGATTTATAAAATATGGCCGAGCGCCCCATCCAAGTGAGATTTATAATTTATATCTTATAATCCTGTCTTACGCGTTTAAGTTCTCTGAACATTTACAACTCACTGCTCTGGGTATCAACCCCGCCAGCATCAGCTTCCAGACACTAACCATGTCCTCTGACAAGTTCATCTGTGTCCGTGAAGGCGATGGTGGGGCAACTCCAAAGCAAGTCGTTATCGTCGATCTCAACGACATCAACAACGTTATCAGAAGGCCTATATCTGCTGATTCTGCTATTATGCATCCAGATAGAAAACTCATCGCGTTAAAAGCAGGTAAACAGCTACAGCTTTTCAACCTTGAGCTTAAGCAGAAAGTCAAATCTCACCTCTCAAACGATGACGTCGTCTACTGGTCCTGGTTGAATCAATCCACTCTGGGTCTTGTCACTGATTCATCCGTTTTTCACTGGGATATCGATGCTATCGGTGAAAATGCCCCTGTCAAAGTTTTTGATCGTCATCCAAATCTCGCCGGTTCCCAAATTATCAACTATAGATCCACTGAAGATGGTAAATGGATGGCCCTCATTGGTATTGCCAGCAACTCCAACCCAGACGGCTTTCGCATCAAGGGCGCAATGCAGCTTTACTCACGTGATAGAGGCGTTTCTCAACCAATAGAAGGTCACGCTGCTGCCTTCTCTGAACTAAAACTCGATGGAAACGCAAACCCTTCGAAGCTCTTCGCTTTCGCTGTCCGTACTGGCTCAGGCGCCAAACTTCACATTGTCGAAATTGACTACCAAAGTGGTCAAACGCCATACACAAAGAAAGCTATCGATGTCTTTTTCCCCGCCGAAGCTGCAACGGATTTCCCCGTCGCAATGCAAATATCCAAGAAATACGGCATCATCTATTTGATTACAAAGTTTGGCTTTGTTCATCTCTATGATATCGAAAACGGTGCTTGCATCTACATGAATAGAATTTCTGGTGATACCGTCTTTGTCACTGCTGAACACGAAGCCACAGATGGTTTGATTGGTGTAAATAGAAAGGGCCAAGTTTTATCCGTTTCAATTGACGAGAATACCGTAATTCCTTACATTCTTAGCACTCTCAATAACGTTGAGTTAGCATTCAAGCTCGCAAGTCGTGGAAACCTTCCAGGTGCTGATGACTTGTATTTGGCTCAATACCAGAATCTCATGGCTAACCAACAATACAATGATGCTGCCAAGATCGCTGCTAACTCTCCACGTGGCATTCTTCGTACCCCAACCACCATTGAACAATTCAAGTCTCTTCCAGCTGTACCAGGTCAATTATCGCCTATACTTCAATACTTTGGTATCCTTTTGGAAAAGGGCGAGCTCAACAAGTTTGAATCACTTGAGCTTTCTCGTCCTGTTCTTCAGCAAGGTCGCAAGCAACTCCTCGAAAAGTGGTTGAAAGAGAATAAATTGGAGTGTTCTGAGGAGCTTGGTGATATTGTCCGCTTGCACGACATGACTCTTGCTCTGTCAATTTACTTACGCGCAAACATTCCGAACAAAGTTGTTGCAAGCTTTGCAGAGACTGGTCAATTCAACAAAATTCTCGTCTACTCTCAAAAAGTCAACTACACGCCAGATTACGCTTTGTTGATGCAGCACATTGTCCGCGTCAACCCAGACCAAGCTGCCGAATTTGCCAGTCAAATTGTCAACGATGAGGCTGGTCCAAAAATTGACATTGAGAGGGTGGTTGATGTTTTCCTTGGTCAAAATCTCATCCAGCAAGCTACTTCCTTCTTACTGGATGCTCTTAAGGAAAACAAGCCAGAGCAGGGTCACTTACAGACTCGCTTGTTAGAGATTAATCTCATCAACGCTCCTCAAGTAGCCGATGCTATTCTTGGAAATGCCATGTTTACTCACTTTGATCACCCACGCATCGCAAACTTGTGTGAAAAAGCTGGTTTACTTCAACGTGCATTGGAGTTATACCAAGATACCAATGACCTCAAGCGTGTTGTCGTACATACTCCATTGCTCAATCAAGAATGGCTCGTAAATTACTTCGGTCAATTGACCGTTGATCAGACCTTTGCTTGTTTGAATGAAATGCTAAAGGTGAACATCAGACAAACGCTTCCAATGGTTGTTCAAATTGCTACAAAGTACAGCGAACTGCTTGGATCTCACAAGCTCATCGAGTTGTTTGAAAATTTCAAGACATTTGAAGGTCTTTACTACTTCCTCGGATCAGTTGTTAACTTAAGTGAAGACTCTGAAGTTCACTTCAAGTATATTCAAGCTGCTACTCGTACCGGTCAAATTCGTGAAGTTGAGAGAATTGTTCGTGAATCCAACTTTTACAATCCAGAAAAAGTCAAAAACTTCCTGAAAGAAGTTAAGCTTCCTGATCAGCTTCCTCTTATCATCGTTTGTGACAGATATGACTACGTCCACGATCTCGTTCTCTATCTCTTCCAAAACGGACTCACACAGTTCATTTCTACATATGTACAGCAAGTCAACTCAGCTCGTTTACCTCAAGTTGTAGGTGGATTGTTAGATGTTGATTGTGATGAGCAAACCATCAAAAACTTGCTCTCATCTGTCTATGGGTTGTTCGATGTCAACGAGCTCGTTGATGAAGTTGAAAAGCGTAACCGCCTTAAATTGATCCTTCCTTGGCTTGAAGGACGCATCAACGCTGGTCAGGAAGATGCTGCTATTTACAATGCTTTGGCCAAGATCTACATTGACAGCAACAACAATCCAGAGCATTTCTTGAAAGAGAACAACATTTATGAACCACTCGTTGTTGGCAAATATTGTGAGAAGCGTGATCCATACCTCGCTTTCATTGCCTTCGCTAAGGGATTCTGCGATGACGAGTTGATTGCTATCACTAATGAAAATGGCATGTACAAGCACCAAGCACGCTATCTCGTCAAGCGTCGTGATCTCGATCTTTGGGCTCAAGTTCTGAACGATGTCAACGAACACCGTCGTTTACTCATCGACCAAATATCGGCAGTTGCTATTCCAGAATCGCAAAACCCAGATGATGTTTCTGTTGCAGTGAAGGCATTTATGACCGCTGGTCTGCAGCAAGAGCTCGTTGATATTCTCGAAAAAATCATTCTCAACCCAACTTCATTCAGCGACAACGGTAGCTTGCAGAACTTGCTCTTGTTAACTGCAATCAGAAGTGATCAAGGTAGAGTGATGAACTACATCAACAAGCTTCACAACTACGACTTTAACGAGATTGCCAAGATTGCGATTGACAATGACTTGCACGAAGAGGCTTTCACAGTATACAAGAAGCACGAAGCTCATCTCGAAGCACTTATCGTTCTCGTAGAGCATATCGTCTCTATCGACCGTGCCTTTGACTACACGAAAAAGATTAACGAGCCACCTCTCTGGGCTCGTCTTGCCAAAGCTCAACTCGACGGTTTAAGAATTACAGATGCGATTGAGTCTTACATCAAGGCGAACGATCCATCCAACTTTGTGGAAGTTATTGAGATGTCAGAGCGTGCTGAGAAGCATGAGGACTTGGTCAGATATTTACAAATGGCACGTAACACAGCTCGCGAGCCAAAGATTGACTCTACTCTTGTCTACTGTCTTTGCAAGACGGACAGACTTCAAGACGCCGAAGACTTCCTCCACATGACCAATGTTGCTGACGTACTTGAAGTCGGTGAGAAGTGTTTCAACGACGGTCTTTACTTGGCAGCCAAGGTTCTCTTCACCTCTATCTCCAATTACGCTAGATTGGCGACGACACTCATTTACCTCGAAGACAACCAAGCTGCAGTTGAGTGCGCTCGTAAGGCGGGCAATACACAAGTGTGGAAGCAGGTCTGTCTTGCTTGTGTTGATAAGGAAGACTTCAAATTGGCTAAGATTTGTGGTCTTAATTTGATTGTTCACCCAGAAGAGCTCCAAGCTATCATTTCACTTTACGAGTCTCGCGGGTTATTCCAAGAAATGCTCGATCTCTTTGAGGCTGGTCTTGGTCTCGAGCGTGCCCACATGGGTCTCTTCACCGAGACTGCCATTGCATACGCTAAATATCAACCAGAGAGCATGTTTGAGCATCTGAAGTGGGTGCTATTTTCACTCTCGCGCTCAACTGACAATTATTGCAGGCTTTACGGCTCTCGTCTCAATATTCCTAAGGTCATCAAGTCCGCTAAAGAAGGACACCTCTGGTGGGTAATAAGTTACTATTTAATGATATAACTAATTAGCAAACAGGAGAGAGCTTGTTTATCTTTACATTGCGTACGCTGAGTGGGATAACGCTGCACTCAACACTATCGAGCACAGCGCTGATGCATGGGACCACCAACAGTTCCGTGATGTACTCAGCAAGGTTGCAAATGCTGAGATATTCTACAAAGCACTTTCATTTTATCAGGAGCAGCACCCAACGCTTCTGACAGACCTTTTAACAGCTCTCATTTCACGTATCGATCACTCGAGAGTAGTGTCAATGTTTAGACAATCAGACAACTTGCCATTGGTACGAGCATACTTGATTGCAGTGCAGAACTTGGATGTTGCAGCTGTTAATGAGGCTGTTCATGATTTGTTGATTGAAGAGGAAGACTACCAGACGCTATTGGATGTTATTGATCAATACCAAAGCTTCGATCAGCTTGGTTTAGCTGCAAGATTGGAACAGCATGAGCTGTTAGCTTTTAGAAGAATAGCAGCACATCTTTACAAAGTCAACAAAAAGTACGAAGAATCTATCAACCTCTCTAAGAGCGATAAGCTTTACGTCGATGCTATACAGACCGCATCTACAAGTGAAGATGTTCAGGTATCAGAAGATTTATTGACTTATTGGGTTGATATTGGCAACAAAGAACTCTTCACCGCTCACTTATACCTTTGCTTTAAGCTGGTGAGACCGGATATCGTCGAGGAGTTGGCGTGGTTCAATGGACTCGAAGACTTTGCTAAACCATATCAATTTGAGTTGAGGAGACAGACTCAAGATCGTATCAAAGCACTTGAGAAAAAGGTCCAAGAGCAGGCTACTAAGTCTGCCAAGAAGGAGGAAGATGAAGATTCACAGCCAATTATGGGACCAGGATTTAATGTGAGTTTGCGTGACTGCTACGGTGGATTCTCTGACAAAACGCATTAGCAAACGCTCATGATTGGTGGTCCATCAGGATGGAATGGTGCTAACGGGGTGACTCCTCAACAAACAGGTCTGATGCCTCAAGGTACTGGCATGATGCCACAGGGCACCGGTATGATGCCTCAAGCGACTGGATATCAAGGAGGTGTAAGTGGTGATAGTGTTGTGTGTCTTAGCTGACGGTGATCATAGTTTGGATACTAAAATGACTACAAAAGCTGATTTTTACTGAACTACTAAACAATATGTAAAATACATAACATCATTTCTGTTTCATCCGTGTGTCCGTCTCGTGAATGAAATGAAAATCGCAGGCCTGTGCGCCAAAAAAGGGTTGTGCAGCTGCAGGGCAAGAAAGAGAGGGCAGTATTCGATAACTAGCTGCATCAATCAAACACCTTTCTCATTGTAACTTCTTGTGTATTATTCCACCCGCGTTACTCCGATTGAGCTGTGAACTGACTTTCTTCGTAACCACCATCACCATCACTTATGAGTGAATACAGTTTAGGCGTCCGCGTGTGAGGTGTACAGCAGCAGCACAGTTCTTTCTAACGGCGAGCAGGTGGATCGCAGACAAAGCAGAGGGATGGATTGGTGCTGAAGTCACTGCCCGCACTGAGGACGCGCTTACCTTTGTGGATGAAAGGGGCAACGTAAGATTCATATGTTGTATCTCTCTAGCCGCCCCTAACTACCGGTCCCCAGGAAATCACAAAGAAAACGTCAGACAAGGACCTTCCTTTGTTACGAAACCCCGTTTTACTTGAAGGTACAGACGATCTTGTCAATTTGTCATATCTGAATGAGGTGAGCTGTCTTTACTGGATGTTTTCAATCTCGCTCACCCCTCTGACAGCCAGCTGTCCTCTATTCTATTAAGCGTCGCTACGCTCAACACTCCATTTATACCTACTCTGGAATCGTCCTTATAGCCGTGAATCCTTTCGCAAAGTTATCCGTTTATGGCCCTGCTATTATGCAGGCTTACTCTACGCGCAGGCGCGGTGAGCTGGAACCTCATATTTACGCTATAGCCCAAGATGCTCATGCATCCATGACAAGAGACAATAAAAATCAAACTATGGTTGTCTCTGGTGAATCTGGCGCTGGTAAAACCGTATCCGCTAGGCATATAATGCAATACCTCGCCTTCTTAGGCCAAGACGGTCCAGGCGGTGCTTCAAGTGGCACTGATGCTAGTATTCTCGCTACCAATCCTGTCATGGAAGCTTTCGGTAACGCCAAAACCATCCGTAATAACAACTCAAGTAGATTCGGTAGATACCTCAAAATCCTTTTCGATAATCAATGTAACATTATCGGAGCTCAAACTAGCATATACCTTCTCGAGAGGTCTCGATTAATATTTCAGCCTGAAGGTGAAAGAAATTATCACATCTTCCATCAGCTCTGCGCAGGTGTGCCACCTAAAGAGAGAGCTGAGCTACGTTTGGGTGCAAGCAGTGATTTCCATTACCTTAATCAAGGCGGTTCTGCTTTAATCCCAGGCGTGGATGACGCCGCTGAATTTGAAATAACACAAAAAGCCCTGTCTACTCTTGGTATTGGCGTTGAGAAGCAGTGGAATATCTTCAAACTTCTCGCTGCTCTCCTTCACCTCGGCAACGTCAAGATTGGCCAGACAAGAACAGATGCAACTCTTAGCGAAGAAGATGAAGCATTCCAAATCGCAACTGAATTCTTGGGTATTAGTCTTTCTGACTTTAAGAAGTGGACTGTTAAAAAACAGATTATTACACGTGGAGAGTCTATTGTTAGTTCACTCAATGCCGCTCAAGCGAGCGTTGTCAGAGATTCTGTTGCTAAATATATCTACGCCTGTCTCTTTGATTGGCTGGTTGCTGTCCTCAATGAAGCTTTGTACAAGAAAGAAGACTCTTCTAGGTTTAACAGCTTCATCGGTGTCTTGGATATTTATGGTTTCGAGCATTTCAAGCGCAACTCTTTCGAACAGTTTTGCATCAATTATGCTAATGAGAAGTTGCAACAAGAGGTGGGTATTAGTAATTTTGCATGATGTTTTGCTAATTTGGCATTAGTTCAACGCGCATGTCTTCAAACTTGAGCAAGATGAGTATATCAAGGAGGAGATACATTGGGAATTCATATCATTTTCTGATAATAGACCAACCATCGACATGATTGAAGGAAAACTTGGGATTCTTTCACTCTTAGATGAGGAGTCTAGGATGCCATCTGGAACCGATCAAAACTTCCTCGAGAAACTCCACACACAACTCACCAAACCAGAATACAAAGACATTTACAAGAAGCCAAGATTTGGTAATACTGCATTCACTGTTGCGCACTATGCCCACGATGTTGCCTACGAAGCTGAAGGTTTCCTTGAGAAAAACCGGGACACTGTACCAGACGAGCACCTTCAACTTCTTGGTAGTTCATCAAATGAGTTCCTTCGCGAGGTCATCGAGATTGCTGTTGCATCAAACGCAGCGGCTACTCCACCTACATCTACCGCGGCTAACAACGTAGCAGTTGGCCGCCGACAAAACCTCAAGAAGCCAACACTTGGATCTATCTTCAAGAGCTCTTTGATCTCGCTGATGGAAACTATCAACGACACCAATGCACATTACATCCGCTGTATAAAGCCAAACGAGCACAAAAAAGCCTGGGATATAGATTCACAGCAAGTCTTGTCTCAACTTCGTGCGTGTGGTGTTCTCGAGACAATCAAGATATCGAGTGCAGGTTATCCGACAAGATGGTCGTATGCAGAGTTTACTGATCGTTACTACCCACTTGTTAGCTCAGATCACTGGATGGGTGATATGAAAGGTCTATGCCTTCAAATTCTGCAAGATAACATTAAGGATGAAGACAAATACCAAATTGGTCTTTCTAAGATATTCTTCAGAGCTGGAATGTTGGCCTATCTGGAGAAGTTACGTGCTGATCGTCTCAATGCTCTTGTCACTCTGATACAGAAGAATATCCTGAGATTTTTACATGTCAAATATTACAAAAAGATTCGTAACGCCACGCTTACTATCCAAACCTGGTGGAGAAGAGCTCTGGCTATTAGATACGTCGAGAAGCTTCGTCGTGATACCATCATCTTTAGATTACAAAGCGCTGGTCGTAGGAAGTTGGCTGTGGGCAAGTTCCAAGCAGCTCGCAAGATAGTTATTCTTAGTCAAGCTCGTAAGTGATTAACCATGCGAACAAAAGACTTTCTGACCATTTAACTAGACATTCGTGGTATGCAAGCAAGAGTTGGATTTGTAGACTTCAAGTACAGATCATCTGCACTCACATTGCAGCGCGTTGCACGTGGAGTGTGAGTGGAGCTTATTTGTTTTCTTTTTACATTCCCAGCTAATTATATAACAGTATCGTACGTCGTGAACATGATAAGTCGCTTCGGGGTATAATTCACTTGCAAGCTTGCTACAGACGTATACTTGCTCGTAAAGAGTTCAAGCAGCTCAAGAGCGAAGCACGCTCTGTTGCACACATCCAAGAAGTCTCCTACAAACTTGAAAACAAGGTCGTCGAACTCACTCAAAATCTTCAAAAGACTCGTGAGGAGAAAAAGGATCTCACACGCCGTTGCAATCAACTTGAGAAGCAACTTGGAAATATGCAAAATCGTCACGAGGACAGCGATCAGCGTTTGAAGGAGATGATGAATGAGTTGGCTAAGCCTACTGTGGGATTATCTGACTTCAATGAACTTGAATTATTTAAGCGTGATCTTCAAACTCAAGTTTCGACACTCAAAATCGATGTCCAGGAACGTGATAAACAAATTAGACAACATAAGGACGAGTTGACCCATCAAGCACAAGAGATCGACAGTAAGAGTGCACAAGCAGCAGAATCTGCTGCTCGTGCAGCTGACGAAACAATCGTAAATCAACTTAAGACTGAGATTGTTAGTCTTAAGGACCAGCTTCATCGTGCAAACACTCTTAATGCACTAGAGCATGGAAGTGCGAAATCGAAACAGATCACCGCACCAACGTTCTCAATGCATCTCGGCAAATCTAATGAGAACGTTGCTGCACTTGTGAATGGTGCCAACAGTCCTACAGTCGAGGGTAATCCTTCTGATGCACTCGAAGCTCTTGGTTTACCTCCAAACAAACGTCGTCAACGTAGACACTCAGCTAATGGCGCTTTCTTGGAGCAGAACGGAGAAGGACGGGATTCATCAGATGAAGCACTTTCTGCTGGTAAACGCAATGAGGCCACCCCACGTGCTGTGTCGGTTGCATACCCGTCAGCTGAGACTGCTAACAAGCTGAAGGGTTTGAACGGACGTGCATATTTCCCAGAAGTGCTTGACGATCCATCTGAAGAGATGATCAAGTTGTTGGAGGATGAGCAGAGTATTGATGAAGACATATTGGTCACAATGATTCATGAACTCAAAGTACCCCTCCCAAGCTTGCAGAACCCACCTTCTGCCAAGGAAGTACTTTTCCCAGCCCACATAATGTCACTTGTCACCAACGAAATGTGGAAGTACTGTCTTATCATGGAGAGCGAGAGACTATTGGCAAACGTTATGCAAACAATCCAGCAGCATGTCATGAGCTTCCAAGGGGAGGATGCGATCGTACCAGGATTATTCTGGTTGTCTAACGTACACGAGGTATGGTCATTCGTGTGCGTGACTGAGGATGATATGCTCCAGGGCATTGTTCCAGGTGGCGATGACCCAGACCGTCCGCTTGACTGGCCAGCTTATGAGCAACTCATCACTGTCGTCAAGCACGATCTCGAGAGTTTGGAGTACAACATTTACTTTGCATTTATGGAAGAAACCAAGAAAAAGTTGCGCAAGATGATTGTACCTGCGCTCATTGAATCACAATCACTACCAGGCTTTATCACCTCCGACACTGGTGGTAGACTGTTCAACAGACTGCTGCAAGGCAACTCACACCCAGCCTTCAGCATGGATGACATACTAAACTTGCTCAACAAGGTATGGAAGTGTCTTAAATCATACCGCCTTGACGAGCCGGTCGTCCTGCAAGTAATGACTGAATTATTACGACTTATTGGAAACGTTGGCTTTAATGACCTGTTGATGAGACGCAATTTCAATTCATGGAAGCGTGCAATGCAAATTCAATACAACTTGACGAGGCTGGAGGAATGGTGCAAGAGTCACGATCTTCCAGAAGGCTGCTTGCACCTGGAGTACATGATGCAAGCCACCAAGCTTCTTCAACTGAAGAAAGCAACTACCCAAGACATGGAGATCATTTTCGACGTCTGTTGGATTCTGTCACCATCTCAGCTCCACAAGCTTATCACTGGCTACATGATCGCTGATTACGAAAGCCCACTGTCGCCGCACGTCCTGCAGACCGTCAGCGCTAGACTGTCCAGTGACAGAAATGATCATCTTTTACTTGCAGAAGAGGAAGGTTCGAACTTTGAGCTACCGCAGCCACGTCAAGTCATAGGATTAGATCTTTACATTCCTGGAACGGTGAGCGTTCCTCACCTGCGCCGTATCGCCGGCTTGGCTGCTTAGAGATGTGGACAGTTTTTCACTTTGATTTCAATCTCACTCCGTAACGATATGTGCATGTGCAAGAGGATTTGTGTTTAAAATACTATGAATTCAAATAATTTTCTGATTTATTTCGTTTTTGTGAGGAGTGTCGGTGTGCGAATGTTGAGGCTGAAGAAGATTTTCAAGTCGCAGCACTTCGGATCATATCAAGTAGATTTCCTTATTAGTGATTGAAACTTTAGTTGAGGAAGTGCACCCCACCCTCTAAAATATTTATGTCTTAATAAAGTCATCATAATAACATCAAAATTACAAAATACAATATCTTTATTCACCCTTAACGAGTTGAGGCAGCTTACCCAAATCCTCATGATCAGCTCCAGTTTCATTGGCATACTTCTCCATATTCCTACCCTCATGCAGCCAATTCGTGCCGTAGAGGTGAGCGACAGTGGATGCGTGTGACTGTGGCGAGTAGTGCGCGACTTCTTTAATAGCCCTATCCGCAACTTGGAATCTGGATACCTTGTTCCAGTGAAGCATCAACCAAGGTGTAGTTGTGGTGCCGTTCTCCTTGTAAGAATCAATTGAGAATCGTCCCCTGTTAAGTGAGTGTTCTCTCTGGAACAGAAGAGAGGAAACTTGTAAAGCATAACCGTGGTAACTGATCAACACTGGCTTTTCTTTGGTAAAGAGACTGTTGAATGAGTTTTCATCTAATGCGTGTGGATGATCTTGCTTGTTTCCAGCCAAAATCATAAGGTCGTAAATGTTCACCACCCTTACTCTCACTCCAGAGTTTCTCAAAAGCACACTCGCAGCTAACACTTCGAATGTAACCTCTGTACCGATACCGACGAGTACGACTTCTGGATCAACACCTTGGTCTGTTGAGTACTCCTTCCAAACACTAGCACCGGCAATACAATGCTTTTCGGCTTGGTCTGCGGACATCAATACAGGTCCGGGTTGCTTGCTGCCGACAATCTGCACGACTCGTTAGTTAGTTGATCGCAACAATCTTCCGTACGCACCAAGTTGAGGTAATTTTTTGACCTCAAGCAGTGAGCGATGCATGAAAGCGTAGTATTGACGTCTATTGGGAAGTAGATTCTCGAAAGGTGCGCAGGGAAAGTCTGGAAGGTGGATATTAATCCAGGCGCTTGGTGTGAGTAACCGTTGTGTTCTTGTCTCCATAAGGTACTCGTCGCAATGTAGTTAAGCGAGCTGACATCACCTCTGAACTGTACCTCTTTGCACGACTTGATAAATTTGGAATACTGAGTCATCATCGTGGCTGCAATGCCTAGGAAGGCTTCATACGAAGGGAATAAACCTGTGCGGCCTGTGAGAGTGTATCCTTGCAAGAAGCCTTGAAGTGTGTGTTCTGAGAGCATCTCAATTACTCTGCCTCCCTTGTGTGCACTTTCAGGGTCCCATTGGAAGTCACGGCTAGTGACGTCGAAAACTTTGTGCAGCTTGTTCGACTCCAGCTCATCAGGACTGAACATTCTAAATGTTTCTGGATTTTGCTTCATGACATCGGCAAGGAACTCGCCTGTAGCAATCATTGGCGAGTATGTTTCACCTTGACTCTTAGTGTGATTCTTCCATTGAGGAACATTGAGCGATTGATGTGCGTCGTAAGTTTCTTTCACTTGGCCAAGTCTGAGTGACTCTTTTGCTGGGACAATCGAGAGAGCTTCTTTATCGACAAACTCACCATCCTCCTTCTCAAGGTTGAAAATTTCATCCGGCTGGTACGACTTCAACCACTTACCAAGAACTGAGAATTCCTCATCATCTGATTTACACTTAGGAAGTGGAACTTGGTGGGAGTGGAAAGAGCCTTCGAGAGGTGTGTTGTGGATTTGGCGTGGACCGGTGTAACCCTTTGGAGTTCTCAACACAATGAATGGGAAGCGAGGTTTTTCGATTGGGTTTCCAGATCTAGCAGCGTGCTGAATTTTGCGGATCTCACCATAAGCCCATTCCATAGAAACAGCAAGATCGGCATTAACTCTGCGGTCTTTCTCCGTATGCTCCTCAAATGAGCTAGCGAGCGGTCCGTACTCAACGAAACGGACCTGGTAGCCATATCCACTGTACAGTGCGACAAGCTCAAGATCGTCAGCCGCACCTGGAATGGTACGTTCGCTAATTTTGTAACCGTTTACATGAAGAATAGGCAACACTGCACCTGATTCTGCCGGATCGATGAATTTGTGTGAGTGCAAACTAGCAGCCGTAGGCCCTGTTTCAGATTCACCATCACCGATGACGCAAACTGCGATCATATCCGGCTTATCCATGATAGCGCCGAAAGAAACAGCAAGAGCATAGCCTAGCTCACCACCCTCGTGAATACTGCCTGGGACTTGTGCGGAAACGTGCGATGGGAAGGTACCGCCTGGGAAAGAGAAGCAGCGTGCGAAAGCTTCGAAGCCATCCTTGTTCATGGTGTACTGAGGATAGAATTTAGTGATGGAGCCTTCCAAGAATAAGCTGGCGAGAATTGCAGGTGCACCGTGACCAGGGCCAGTGACGAAGATGGATTTGAGATCGGTGCCTTCTTTCTCGCGGCGCTTGATAAGCGCGTTGGTGTGGGCGTAAACGAGGTTTAGGCCCGGGCAGGTACCAAAGTGACCAAGCAAGCGTGGCTTGATATCGTCCTTGCTAAGCTGGCGGCTGAGTAAGGTGTTGCTTTTTAAGAAAATCATGGAAACAGCGATGAAGTTGGCGCTGTGGGTAGTGTAAGCGTGAATTTAGCAGTGAATATGGAACTCACGCTCTCTGGAAAGCTATCAAGCCATTCAGATTCCAATCAGCCTCGTTCTTGAGTACTGAATCTACATTCAAATCAACAGCGAGCTTGCTAAGGTCCTTAGGTAGCTGCGATGGGCGAGGCTCTTCACCTCTGTTTTGGGCGTCGATGATATTATGTGTCATGAATGTTTGGTGCAAGGAGCGATTGGTTGTATCCACACGGGGTGTAATCATTGATGACATCATACAAATAAACAAATCTACAAACTCAGAGTCATCTTGGCTTGACGAGCTGCTTCTCCCTCCTCATCTGTCCAGCAGACGTATGCTGGAATCTTGCTTGTGTCGTTGCTGAGTGCAAATGCACCGTCTGCTTCTCTATCGCCCGCCTGTTCATTGAGCGAGTCGACGACAGATACGCCGAACACACTAAGTCTATCCGCGACATCTTTCCTCAACCTTGCTGACTTCTCTCCGATGCCACCGCTAAAGACCAGCGCATCGATCGCCTTCTTTGGGTGAGTCCCGAAGGACAGTTTCTGTAGATACGCGAGAAGATACTGTGTGAGTCTGTCCAAATAAACAGCATATGCCAGAGCGAAAGCATTTGGCATTTCCTCTTGATACCATGGTTTCCAGCATTCAGCATCCGCTTCTGGAATTTCCTCTAAAATTTTCCCGAAGTTGGACGTACCGCACAAGCCGACGAATCCACCTTGCTTATTCATGACATACTCACCTCTCGATACGCGCATGCCATTAACGTCGACAGTCTCTGCGACGTCGCGAATCAAGTGGAAGATAAGTGTAGGGTCGATCGAACCTGTTCTGCTCCCACCCGGCAGACCTGCTTTATGTCAGAAAACACCACTAATACACTTCAACACACCTTCCAGTGGTGTCAGACCCATCGTTGTGTCGACTGAGATGCCATTCTTGATCGCGCACGCACTACCTCCACTGCCTAGATGTGCGACGACAATACTGGTCTCTGTTTCCTTTTTACCTAGCTTGGATGCCACTGACCGGAGTATACTGTGGTAGGACAGACCGTGCGCGCCGTACTTCTGCAGCGGAATGCGTGGCTCGTGGTCCGGCTTGCCGATCGCATACTTGCGCACTGCTTCCGGTAGAGTGCGATGGAAAAGCGTGTCGAACACTATCACCGCTGGCGATGCAGGCAAATGCTCAAGAACAGCCTCGAGCGCCATCAGTGCTGGTTTGTTGTGCAAAGGGGCAAACGCGCTGATTCTGTCGAGGTCCTTGAGTTTGTCGGAGTGCTCCTGCGTCACTACGATTGGCTTGTCGATGTCGCCCCCGTGTACAACTCTATGTGACGTAGCGGTGATGTCGTTCGGTTGCAGCTCGAGTGCACGGAAAACCTTATCAAGAAGCGTCTTGAAGACATCGTTGTAGGCTGTGCCTTTGCTAATGCTCTCGGAGACGTTCGCTCCGCTGCCGCTGATCTTGATCATGGGCTCCTCAGAAATGTTCGACGCTCCACCGGATGCGAGTGGCGTGAGGTCTGTGCTGAAGAGCTTGAATTTAATACTTGAGCTCCCACAATTAAATGCGATAATTTTTGTCATGATTGTTGAGCACGAACAACTTTATCCATCAAATGACATCATCTGGGAGTACTGGTCAGGATCTCTATTTTTAACCACAGTCGATAGAGTCAATTGTGTAAGAGCTATTATAAATAACCGAAAGCATCTATTCTCGCATTCTGAGCGATGAAAATTTCATCTTGTTGCTTGTCTCAGCGACTTCCACCGTGCTAAAACGCGTTATTACAAGAAAAATATTCATTACCACATTCTACACTGCTCCTCTAATGGCGGATTCATGATACTCCCCTGGGTGCAACCGAAAGCCTTTGCGAATTCAGGTGTGTTGCGAAGTGTACCATCGACTCTCCATCTGTTATTGTTACGTGAGTCAGTATTCACGCCAGTCATATCTCAGTACTCACTTAGTTGGTGCGTGCGGATCCGTCTTGATACGCTTGAGGTTCTCTTCCAAGCGTGTCTTGCGCGCCCAGCCTCTAGCAAACGAGATAAAGAATAACTGTTCGTCGGTAAATTTGAGTCCTGGAAGTTTGGCAGATTCTTCAATCTCCTCTGCGTGCTTCCACGCGTTGTATGCCTGCACTAATCCCAGATCCCCTATAGCCTCGCCAATCACGAAACGTCCGTTAACGTTGAGGTCCTTGCCATCGGGTCCTGGTACGGTGAACTGGTTGTATTGATTGATGATACACTCAGCTCTTTCTTCGAATGCCTTGACTGTTTCGTCACTCCACCATGAACCATCGAAGATTAGTCTGCCGTCTGCTTCGTACTGACGTCCAGCTTGGTCAAAGGCATGACACAGCTCGTGCGCTGCTACACTGCCTGCTGATCCGTAATTAAGAACCTGCGGCCAATCCGCCTTGAAGAATGGTGGCTGGAGTATCCCAGCTGGGAAAACTATCTCGTTCTTTGATGGCTGGTAGTAGGCATTGACTTCAGTTGGAAACATATCCCATTCGCCTTCGGCGACCTTACCTGCTTTCTGGAAGAGTCTGGCTGCGTCAGCTTCTTTAGCTCTCAGAGTGTTGCCGAACCAATCATCCTCAGTGATTTCGTTCATGTCGTAGTATCTGGCTAGATCAGTGGGGTCTGAAGTATTTGGATGGGCGGTTGGGTATCCGATCTTCTTGTTGTCGTGTAGTACTCTGGCTTTGTTAGCTGCCGCATCGACTGTCTTGTTATCCAACCATCCAAGACTTGGTAAGCGATTGATGAACGCATCGATGATCCCATCTACTACTCCTTCAAAATTAGTCTTGCTCTCACCTGGGAAAGCTTCGAGGACAAATGGTCTGCCGGCTAAGAAACCAACTTGATCGACCACTCCGTTCAAGCAGTCGAGATCAATATCCTTCTCAGCCTTTGGGTCGGTGCCGCTCATTTTCGCTGTGAAATCATTAACTATCTTGGCCATGTGGGTCTTTGGACTAAGTGAGGAGCCCAAATTGAGAACGATTCTGAGGAGGAAGTAAGTTTCGAGCGTGGCATCGTCGACTTCAAGGACACTGAAAGTATGTTTAAGAACTAAGTCCTTTCATAAACCCCAACACACCTTGCTAAATCCTCAAAGTAGCTTGGGTTTGCTACGATAACTGGCTCTACTATAGAGTCGTCGTCACTTGTACCTTGCAGGGCAAAAAATTCATTCCAATATACGTATGGAGCAAGCTCAGAGAGCTCAGTTATGGTCTTGGGGTTGTACGTCTTGAGAGGGTTAGCTGAGTCAACCTGGCTCCAAGAGATTCTTGCGAGGTCTTGTTCAAATCTAGCGACATCGTTGGCTTTTCTCCTGAAGTAGCGTGTTGGGAGCTTAGGAGGTTTGTGATGTTTATTTTTTTTGCTCTTTTTGCTTTCCGTGATACCCTTGCTGTGAAAATCTCTTTCGTGAACAGCAACCAATATCTGATAAGTGATTTCAGCGATAAGGTTTACATTGGCGTAGTCCTCATAGTAGTCTTTGTCGGGAAGTGATAAGGCATCGCTTTGAGATAGAACAAGTACCTGTCGGCTTGGATCCTTGCCTACGTCGCCATCCAGTGAGAAAGAGAACAAACCGCCGATGTTCATAGATTGTAAAAAGGCGGTTGCATGAGTCAGCATGGTTTTGCGATAATCGCCCTTCACCATGTGCCTTTGATGGATCACAGATTCGAAGTCGTCGAGTACATCGAGGATAGGCTCAGCGCCAAGCTTGTCTTGAACCTTAGTGTTAGTGCAAGAGTCGTAGAGAGTCTTGATAGATTTTAAGTTTTCTTTGTCTTGAGGAGAGTATTCTTGCGTGCCGACGTTATCAAAGACTGCTGATTTGACAGTTTGGATATTCCTATCGCCGAGCTCGTTGAATATGGAGTAAACGCTCTTTGAAGGTGGGATAGGGTGAGAATTAAGCCAGCCGCCATTAGCGTAATCGTAGAAAGAGTCGCATGGATCGATGGAAGTATCGACAGACTCGAGGATATCTTTTGCAGCTCTGAAGCAAGATCTGGTGAGGCAGAAATTGGATGACTACGATTGTTAGTGGGAAATAATTTATAAAGTGTTTGTGCTTACTGGTGGTTGTTCTGGCCGCTTAGGAGGATGCGTGGGTTGTGGTTTGCCAGGTTGTATGACAGTGACAGTCTCTTTAGATTCCTGCGCTCTCTTGTAATTAACTTCAGCGCCTGCAAATAAACCAACGAAAACGCTCATCAATACAACGAGCCCAACGATGACAGCGATGAGGATTCTATTCAGCTTTGAAATATTCTTTGGTGGCCCTAGTTCCTCTTTACGACGTCCATTCAGCAGTAGTGGCTCCCTTTCAAGTATCCCTGACTGCCTCCTTGAATTTGAATGTGAGTTCATGGTGGTCGTAAGCCAAGACGTCACCGCCAGCCAGATAAGGTGAGATTTGATGTTCAGGCTATATTTGAGAGGCAGAAATGATCATAAAATTGAGCCCAGTTCAATGACGTTTTCGGATTGTAAATATCTCCTGTCGATCACCCGTCGTCATCAAAATTTTCATGGACTATACATACAGTCTTTCTAGGATTATTACATCTTTCAAAGCAACAATCATCATCTAAAGAAATACCTGGAAGATATATGCAGTTGAAATACCTCATCACACTCGCAACCCTTGCGGCTTTTGCCTCTGCGAATTTGGTTCCGCACAACGTCGCTTACACGAAGAGATCTCCACAATACGAGTACGATACAGCGGCGTAAGTGGGTAATATTGAGACGATACAATCTAACACGCCTCAGACCATCTCCAGATTCACCTTCGCCATCACCAGCAGGTCCTGGAGACGATATCGCAATTTGTGTTAATAGTGAGTGAAATAATCACAGTTTGATAGCCAACAAAATTTATACATAGACTGCGACTCTAACGCTTACAAGAACAATGGAATTAATGGTAGTGGCGGTGGTATTGGCGCTGCCGGTGATTATAACGCTGGTGGCGATAATCCTGGTGGCAACAATCCTGGCAACGACAACAACGAAAATTCTCCCAACATCGGTGACGACGACGCCAACGACAACAACAACAGAAACGATACTGCTCCATCGCCAACTACAAAGTACGTCGTCGTTGCACCTTCTCAGGGCGTTCTTCGCTTCGTTCCCTTTGCCATGCAAGCCGATGTCGGTGACAAAATTCAATTTACTTGGATGGCAAACAACCACGGAGTAACCAAATCTTCAATGACTGGTCTCTGTAACGCCACAGAGGATAAGCCATTCAAATCTCCTGTACAGAACGCAACCACTACGTTTGAGATTACTGTCGATACCACCGACCCAATGTTTTACTATTGCCCAGTTGGAAATGTGGGAAAGATTAATCATTATAATTAACACTGACAGTACATATAGCACTGTGCATCTGGTATGTACGGTATGATCAATCCACCAATGGCACCAGCCAACTTGTCAAACGTTGGTAATGCTATGAGTGATTGGGAGAAGGTCAGAGAGTAGCTCTGTGCCACTTCAACACCCTCTAACATCTCACTAGGACTCCAAGAATGCCATTATTATGAAGAACGCCGGTAATTTGATGAAGGATGCCAACATGACCACCGAGCAACTAAACTGGGGAAGCAACTGGATGGACATCGCGAGTGACAAAGATCAGTTGTCTTTGCTTATCGAGAATATTATGTGAGTAGTTGTATAATCAGAATTAACCCTCTGAAAATCGCAGCACCACGCGTCTCGCTATTGCTTTGAATCCAGGCTGGACACCTGGAGCTGAGATTGATACTGGCAAGTTTAATACACCACCAGATATGAATACGCTTGCAGAGTCCAACACCGACGACGATGAGACTGACGATGATCCTACTACTGATTCGAAAGACGGAGGTAGCTCAAATGACTCTGGATGCATCAGAAAGGAAGCCCAGATTACCAGTCTTATTTTCAGTTTAATTGCGGTTTTCGCATGTGTTCTTTAAGTTTAATGAATACTCTTTTCAATATTTACATCTACGCGGTCAGGTTTAAATGCCAGGATGGCCTGAATAACGGTCGTGGATGTTAAATGTCAATAGTACCTGGGTCTTTATGTGCTAAATGAGCTGATCTGGTAAATTTCACATGCAATTGTTATCCTCTTAAGATGTGTAGGACTGAACATGTTTCAGATAAGGGCATCAAACTGCAAAGAAGGTGGCTAAGCTGAAGAATACAAATTGCTGAAAAACCTACAGACAGAAACACCCTTGCTTAGCTGTATATGCGCATTTGTACTTCATCCAGCACACATCTCCTTATCGACAAAGCGGTGCGAAGGAAACTACCAAACTTAGAGAACTGAAAACCAAATTATAGCACACAGGTAATTAACTCGATATTCGTTTTATTCGCCTTTTCACCACAATCCACCGGGCTTAATACTTTAATGTTAGTCCAATCCCAAACTTGATGTATATCCCAAGTAATCCTCATGGAGAAGTTTTCGCTAAAGTGGATTAACAATCTCATTAGCGACAGATACTCGTTAAGAATTGATAGATCTTGCGGTTCAGGGTATTATCCGCTTGTGCCAAGTTGGCAGAATAACCAAAAGACCCACTTCTCTTTCAGGCGTGGAAGAGTCATGTGTTCGAATCAAGGTGGTCGTAAATATTGCTGAATCAACTTTCTGATGATAAACTACGCGTCTTCCACCCTGCGTGCATCCGTGATCACCAAAGCAATCGCCGATGTTTGGAACTTCTATCTGACGAATGTGTGGTTGGATCTAGTCAGGCGTGATCAACTGACTGAGTGTCTGCTGAAGTTAACAACATCATAAAGGAACACCACCGCAGTGATTGTCCCCCCCACTTCGACCGCCCATCCTGCCGACAAACACGCACTCGATTATGTCGCTGGCGTCATAAGCGTACAAACAGAAGAGACAAGACGCTTGCGACCATCTCTATGCGTTTAAAATCAACAAAAATCGCTAATAACCTCATATTTGACATTCGATATCTGAGTGACATCATGTCGTCCACCCACATTATCGCCGAATCGCTTATCCTGATGGTCCGGTAAGGAATTCCTGATGTCACATCAGGATGTCCTTTGATTGCAGATAAAGTTGCTCTGACTATCCCACTTTCTTCGCGTCCCTATGTGGTTCGCAGGAATGCATAACAGCATGCCTGAGATATAGGAATGTTGGTTGTGATACTCCTCTTTAAATGTTACTGCATGAAAAGATTATATCCCATCTTCAAGAAGGCCTTTTCTTTTAATGTGGATAAAATAAATAACCGTAACAGCTTTATACGGAGTAAATGAATCTCACACGGATTTCACTGCTTGATGGACTATCGAAGACAATCTAAATAGCCTGCCTTGTCCAGGATTCGAACAAAGGTCGTACAGGTCCTCGCCTCAAAACAAAAGGCAAAAAATGTTCGCGTACCGGGAATCGAACCCGGCTCTTCGGTGGTCTTTCAAGTGAAAAACCGATATGATAACCACTACACCATACACGACTGATACTTTTGCTTCACCAAAAAAATACTTAACTTCAAGATTGACAGAAATCAAAGCGTACTTATTGCAAATTTTCATGGCTTGTTAGTCTTTATTAGTATAAGCGAAACAGCACAAGAATGCCTTTAATTTCCGGCAAGACTGACTCATCGATTGTTTCTCAAAGCCTAAATAATCATTCGAGTAGCAATAGTAAACTGGCCACTTTGTGCGTTTGTAGGGGATTGAGGATGGTCCCGATCTGCGCGAACACATCCAACTATGATCCAGTCGAAACCAACACTGCCCTATCATTCGTAGCTCACAACTTGAGACGAAAGAATTAATCAACATGGTGGGTGCGTAGGAATGACGTGGTGGACTACCTAAGAAGTCGTGCATATTGTCGGTGTTAAGTGACTTGGACCTGTTTTGATATCAGCAGACCGAGCCGAGAAGCATTGTATTGCCGGTGCTAGTGTTTGGCAGGAATACTCAGCGGAAGAAGGTGAAAGGTGCCGATACGCAAATAGTGCACGCCAGTATCGGCAAAGGTGGTATTCGAATTGTTAGCCGTGAGTGTGCTGCTGAATAGTTCCTGAGAGATAGGGCGATGAACGTGTATGGTGAGGGTGCAGGTGACAAGGGTGATGAGACGATAGGGTGGTAAAGTGTAAATGCAGCTATTCACATGCATTGAACGAACTTGCAATGGATATTCTTTCACCAAAAATAGAGCAGTGTTAATCAGTTACCACCGGCTACGTATCGTAAGCAGTTACTGCTGATCGAGTAGTGAGACATTCCGATAAACAAAGCACAGGAATCAAATTGATTGAATCGGAAAATATATCGGAGTCGGCATCATGCACTGTGAATGTATCGAGATATCGAAATATCCAGGTACACAGTCGTGTGGATGCGGACAGGGATTTTAGAGAGGTTGTGCACTGTTCGCTGGAGTGCTATAATGCTCCAATGCTCCAATGCTCCAATGCTAAAAATGATAGCCAGCGTAATCACCACTCTGTGCGGATTGGAGGATGCAATATTGAGTGCTAGCGTCAGCTGCTGAGCTTAAGCAAGCCTGAACAACCCGCCAAGTGATAAAGGGCTATTTTTAGTTTATTTTACAAGATGATTCATTGGGGTTTGAATATGTTTAAGAGGGTGGAGGGGTGCATGGGCCTCTAAATGGGCCTCTGCGAATGAAATGTCGAATAATTATTGTGCCAGTGAGATATATTCACGCGTTAGCGCGTTTACGTATTCGCGTTTCAACTCGCGCTCGTTCCGTTCTTGAAAAATCTTCAAACAGGGCGAGGAGGGGAGTGAATTGGAGTGATATACGAGATATTCACAGAAAACGCACAAAGCCAGCTTATTTTTGGCATTTTTTTCCTTTATTTTAGGTTCCCGCAGCAGAAAACGTAAATGGGGACTGGCGGACGTTCTTCTCTCTTTAACACGAACTACGAGGAAGTGAGTTTTGCGTGTTTCTACCGTGAGAGCAGAACTGACGCGTAATAGAAGTAGAAAAATGTCTTTGAACACATCAAACACGTCGTCGATCAAGCGCCAACCATCTGCAACCGACTTCAAGTCAGCTACTACAAATGTATCTTCACGCTCCATGAAGCAGGAATTAGATAATCTTGTTCAAGTGAGTGGGTTAGGGAGCGTACAAAGCATTCTAACGCGCCCCTTCAGTCAGTTGAAGACCCAACAAAGAAAAAGCAATTCAAGGCTGAAATGGATGGCTTCTACAACCTTTTTAACCGCTTCCTCGATGAGAAGGCTAGAGGTGAGAAGATCCAATGGGACAAAATCAGACCACCAGCAGCAGAGCAAGTAAGACCATACTCAGACCTTCCAAAAGCCAGCGACCACTCAATTCTCGATAAATTGGCTGTGTTGAAGCTTAACGGTGGCTTGGGTACTACCATGGGTTGCGTCGGGCCAAAATCCATCATCGAAGTGAGAGACGGTATGACTTTCTTGGATTTGTCAGTGAGACAAATCGAGCATCTCAACTCAGCTTACAACGTCAACGTCCCATTCATCTTGATGAATTCGTTCAACACTCACGAAGACACCAAGCGTCTTATCCAAAAGTATGAAGACCACAACATCCAGATTCTCACTTTCAACCAATCATGCTACCCAAGATTCGGCAGAGAGAGTCTTCTCCCAACTGCCAGAGATTTGGACTCACCAAAGGACAACTGGTACCCACCAGGACACGGAGATATCTTTGAGGCACTCTACAACTCCGGTTTGCTCGATGAGCTTATCAACGCAGGCAAGGAGTATATATTCGTATCAAACGTAGACAATTTGGGTGCTGTTGTCGATCTCAACATCTACCAACACATGATCGACTCACAAGCCGAGTACTTTATGGAGGTTACTGACAAGACCAAGGCGGATGTGAAAGGTGGTACCATCATCGATTACGAAGGACAAGCGCGTCTGTTGGAGGTTGCGCAAGTGCCAAAGGAGCACGTCGAGGAGTTCAAGAGTATCAGCAAGTTCAAGATATTCAACACGAACAACTTGTGGATGAACCTGAAGGCAATCAAGAGAGTTGTAGAGAACAACCAGTTGAGCTTGGAGGTGATTATTAACAACAAGGCACTCGATAATGGTACACCGGTTATTCAGCTGGAAACAGCTGTCGGAGCAGCTATTAAGCACTTCAAGGGCGCAGCTGGTATCAACGTACCTAGATCAAGATTCTTGCCTGTCAAGTCTTGCTCTGACTTGCTCCTCATCACATCAGACCTCTTCAGCTTGGAGCATGGTGTGCTGAAGCGCAACCCTAAGAGAGTGTTCGATACCACACCAGTTATCAAGCTCGGAGATACTTTCAAGAAGGTGGCTAACTTCCAGGGTAGATTTAAGTCTATCCCGAATGTGTTGGAGCTCGACCACTTGACTGTGTCTGGAGATGTTGTCTTTGGAAAGAATGTGGTGCTCAAGGGCTCGGTTATTATCGTTGCAAATGAGGGCAACAGGATTATCCTCCCAGACAACTCAGTGATTGAGAACAAGCTGGTGACTGGTAACCTTGCCATTATCGACCACTAGAGAGGTTATTTATAAGACACAATATTCCCAGTACATCCTAATTGATTTTTACATTTCAGACTGCTTTGGTAGGTGTGGATGATTGCATATTGCATTAAAATAATTGCCTTTAAAACTCGTACAATTCTGGTTTATCTGACTGGAATGCGACTCTCCTGGGGCCTTTAGAGGGGGCTTTAGAGGGAGGAAAGGTGACTTTGGGAGTGTTCTGTGTGTTCTGTGTGTTGTGTGTATTCTGTGTGTGTGCTTGAGCACCGCCCTCTATTTGCACACTACCGTCATCATGAGTGCACTCACTGCTATGAATATGTTCCAAGTGCTCGTGCTCATGCAGCTGCTCCTGCTGCTCCTCCATCTCCTGCTCATTAGCCCGTTTAACTCTCTCACTAGTATCCTGCACACCAGCAGCGGATTTGCTTGGAGTGGTACGTCTCTCGCCGACGCCACCCTCAACATCGAGATGAAGAGTCTCAATGACAAGGCGCCTTCTACGCAACTTAAAAGCTAGGTTATTATCACCGGCCACGAGTCCACCCCGCAAAACGCTATGGCGGTCACTAGGTGCCGTCAGAGCGTGCACAGCAGGGCGGGCGAGGCAATGAAGGAGACCATGACTAGGTGCGAAAGCGCGTGCGCGATGTGGCGCATCGCTGAAACTCTCCAAAGCTACACAGCCATCTACGACATGCAGCAGCTGAGGTAACACCCCACCCACCCCCTGCAAAGTCTGCATGTGCGCGGACGTGTAGATGGTCGTGTAGGGCGTCGTGCGTGCGAGGTGGCGCAGCTTGTAGAAGAACCGATACAGCACTCCGTCGCCGTCGCTGTCACCGTACCACAGACTGCCGACGTTGCGCACTACGATGCGCAACATGTTGGGCGCGTGTGTGTGTCCGTTTGCGTCTGCTTGCGCTTGCGTACCTGCATGGCGCTTGCAGGCTGCTTCTATGCGTGCGAGGATGGCTGTGTAAGAACTCGCCTCGCCCTCACTCCCACTCCCACCAACATCATCGTCCACATCCACTCCCACCTCCTCCAGCAACCCGCGCTCGCGTGCGTGGGCGAGAGTGTGTGCGGGGATTGTCTGTGTGAGGTCGAAAGTACTGAGGAACGAGCTTTCGTCGCTGCCGTTACTATTGCTAGGCGTGTTGATTGAAGTTTCGAAGCGCTTCATGTGCGTGTATCGCCAAGCGATGGTGCTGTCTCCGCGGCCTTGGGTGTGCTTGGGAGTGTGAGTGTCCTCCTTATCCGAATCATTTTCCTGCTCTTGCTGCTGCTCCTTGCCGCCCTGCTCACTCAGCGGCAACCACATGGCACTGTTCGCAGCGAGCCCGACGGAGAGGACGGCGTGTTGGGCTGCGATGCCCTGTGCTAGATAGTACCGAAGTAGAATATCGGCGTATGCGGCGTGTGGGTCCGTTTCCACAACCAGCGTGAGCGAGTGGTCACTCAGCCCTAATCCACCTCGCCCGCCTGCGCTGCCTGTGTACACATCGTCTAGGGCCGCACTCCCACTGCTTACGTGCGCCAATCCGCTCGCTGGCGATACCTTCGTTCCCCTTATGCGCCTCGCGTGCTTCTCGTCTCGCCGTTTGAAAGAGGACATGGTGGTGCGGAGAGAAGACATGCACACGATTACCCAAGAGAAAGACAAAGAGAATAAGAATAGAATATGAATAAGAAATGAATATATCTACTGCAACTGCACTGCAACTGCTTAAACACCCTGCAGAGAAGACGGGTGGGTCATAGCGACACCGACTTCACAGACATCCTTCAGTCTCCTGCTAACACAGTCCATCTGTCCCTGCAAGACGAGGCTGGGCAGTTTAGTTGGTTCTTGGGGGAGTTTGAAAGCGCGTGCAATGTCAGCCTCACTGAGAGCACCGAGTCCCTGGCTAGCACGCTGTTGCTGCAGCTTGCTAATTTGACCCTCAACCTTGCTCCTCTCTCTGAGTGCGTGTCTGTGGGCGAAAGCGAGCTGCGACTGCTCGTCTCTGTACGCATCGACGCTGTCGACCAGGCTGTCTACGTTGCCCTGCAGTGGGGACTCGAGGTTGATCTCAAGTGTTTTGGAGGGGTTGCGGGCGAGAGTGGTGCGTTTGTCCAAGTGTTGAGCATGAGGAGTGGCCAGGGACTGTACATACGCGCTGGTCAGCGCCGACGCCTTGATTTCCACGGGAAACTCGATGAGGATTTGGTGGAAAGTGAGCTGGTTCTCGGTAAGACACCTCTCAGTGAACTGGTTATTGCGAAGAGCGTGAACAAAGTGCTCAGCAAGTCTGTATGCTCTGAGGTTGAGATTGCCGTTGCGAGCGGAAGATTGGTCGTACACCAATACGAAGCCCTTGTTCTTGCCGAGACCACTGAGGAGTGGCGCGTAGCTGATTAGAGTCTCGCTAATGGTGGCACCATACTCTACAGCCATGTACACAGCGACAGGCTGGTCATCGAGGTCAGCGTCGTGGAGGTTACGACACATTTTGGCGTTGTATTGGTTGCGCAGAATTTTGGCTTTGCGCTCGTCTTCTTCGGAAGAGCCGAGGAATGGCTGGTAGGAGGGGAAGGCGTTGGAAATCTCGAGCGTCTGGAGTAAATCGAGGCCGAGACAAATGCCGGTGGAGCTTGTACCGGCTTCAGAGGCATGTTTGGCAATCTTGGACAGAGCGAGGCTGTCGACGGAGATTTTGTCGACAGGTGCAGAATCGTGGACAGCGTTCTGGAGATGAAGAGGAAGAGATATGCGGTGATCGTTGTCGTGTTGAGCAGCCAAAGCATTCTGCGAGGCTTCTTTCGCGGCGAGTCTCGAGGCTAACGACATGATGGATGGTTGTGGTTAACGTTCAAGGGGAAAGAGAAATAAAAATGGAATTATCAAAGGAGGAATATGACAGTGAGCAGATCAGGTGGGTTGGCTGTGTCTTTATCGGTGGTCTTCTCTGATTGGTCAAGGCTTATGGAGGAACGGTGCATACTGCTCAACCCAGATGATTCAATTGCTGGGGATGTTTCAAAGAAGGAATGTCATCTCATGTCGAATATAGAGAAAGGAATGCTTCATAGGGCTTTCTCAACTTTCTTATTCCGAGAGAGTGATGGCAGGTTACTCATGCAGAAACGTGCCCAAGAGAAGATAACTTTCCCTGGTTTATGGACAAACACCTGCTGTAGTCATCCACTCAGCGTTGTTAGCGAGATGGATGGCGTTCTCGGCGGCAAAAGAGCAGCAGTTAGAAAGTTAGATCATGAATTGGGGATTAACCAGATCAACGTCGATGACCTCGACTTCCTCACTAAAATTCACTACTTGGCGCCTTCAGATGGCCTTTGGGGGGAACATGAGATTGACTACATATACTTTGTCAAGAAAGATGTCTCTGTGGAGGTGAATGAAAACGAAGTCAGTGATATTAGATGGGTTAGCGTGGATGAGTTGAAGGAGATGCTGTCAGATGGTTACTCCCAGTTCACCCCATGGTTTAGGATTATCGTTGAAAATTTTCTATTCAAGTGGTGGGAGAAAGGGGCAGAAGCCAGTCAAGATGGTTTGTTACACCGACTCATTTAAGAAGTTTGAAATGTGATTGAGTAGTTTTGAGGAAGTGTTTGTCGTTGTGATGTAATCTTGGTTGTTGTTCTCCGTAGTGTGGTTGGTTGTAGTGGGGAGATGATCAACCAACACCTTGAATTGGTTAGACTGTTTAATCAAATCGGTTGTGAGTTCGAATATGGCTGAGTGTAGTTCATTCTCATTTAATTGATTTGGGTTGCTGTGAGTAATATCAAATTCTTGGTTTACTTGTTTAAACTGCGATTTATCTGTAGCGAAATTGATTGTTGAGTAGATGACCATTATAATACTATCCAGTGTGAGCTGCATCTGCGTCAGTCTGTCCATTTCCATTTTATACGTTGATGATGGCTGTTGGTTGTCAACGTCGATGAGCCTCTTACCTCATAACGCTTTCTACAACGCATCGAGGTATCGTAACAGCAATTCCATAAAGCTAGCTGGCTTGACTGGCGGTGATCTTGATATCCGTGGTGATAGTGATGGCGACACACACACACAAACAACCGCACCAACTCACCCTGCCATCTCCACTACCACCGCGACCCGTTCCCTTTCTTCTGTTTCTTCTACTCCCCCTCCAGACTTCTCTAGCTCCCCTCGAACCATCCCCATCCGCAGAAACAACCGTCTTCTGCGCAACTACCAGCTATCCCCCGCCAATCTACGTTTCTGTTGCTCTGGCCATATTGTTACCAGCAAAGACAACCCAATTCCCTTCATCTGTTCCATTTTCCTCGTTTTGGCCATCCCCGCTGTCTTCTTTGGTCGGATAGGCGTTGACTTATGGTACACGCTCTCCCCCGCCGTACCTATCATAGCTGCGTATTTAACCCTTTTAGTCTGGTGCTCCATGTTCAAAACTGCCTTTGCAGATCCAGGTGTTCTACCCGTCGACATTGACAAGAACGCTGTCGACACATTCCCCCGCGATGTTTCTCTGCGCCATACGCATTTCCTCTCACTCAAATACTGCGAAACGTGCCACATATATCGCCCTCCACGCGCGAGTCACTGTCGTCTCTGCAACAGCTGCGTCGACGGTATAGACCACCACTGCTCCTTCCTCAACATATGCATAGGACGACGCAACTACCCGTCTTTCCTAACTTTCTGCGGTCTGACAGTGGTGACACTCGCTTACTACACCGCCTTCGCTGCGGTGCACCTCTACCAACTTACGCAGGACACGCGCGTGTCGACCTCGCAGTCCTTCGGTGGGGCATTGCGTCAGGATCCCGCTAGTGCCGTCGTGTTCGTAGTTGCAATACTCTTTCTCATTCCCCTCGCTTTCCTTCTCGCTTACCACGCACGTCTCACTCTCATCAATAGCACCACTATCGAACAGCTTCGAGAGAAGGCTGTCGATAGGGCTAGGAAGGATGGTGAGCTAGGAGGTGGAGGTGAGAACCCATTTGTTGGTGACGATTCTAACCCTTTTTCCCTTGGCCCTGTCGCTAATGTCCAGTGGATGGCTTTTCGCCCTGGCTCCAATTATTCCCATGCACGCTTCTCGGCGGTTGCTCAACGCGATGCTAGAAGGGGTGGTGGAGGTGTTTAAGTGTGGCTCTAGCTGCTCTGGTTACTTTCATTACCCTGATTACACTCATTACCCTCATTACCCTCACCAACCCACTCATTACCATAGAATTGTACTATCTATATCTGCGATACCTACCATTCCTACACTAATACAACATTTAATGCGCAATAACCCAAAATTAAAATTTGCTACATCGCGTCATAGGAGATTGACGCGTCGCGTCGCGCGTTGACCAACACAACGAAAGAAGCGAGAGAAAGGGGGAAGAATGAGCGAGAAGGCAGTAAACGCGAACAGCAACAATAGCGCCATCAACTACGCAAATTATGCATCAGAATTCCTCACGTGCCATCTAGGCTACACGCCGCTGGCGCTAGTGGACGACTATGTGAACCACTTCAATGAGCCGGTGGGGGGGATAATGGATGCGATAGAAGATTTCTTCGTTGCGCTGCTAGCTGAGCAGGGGCTGGACCTCGATGGGGATGGGCGCGTACAGGGCGAGGTGCGCGCGGGCATACACCGTCTTCAAACCCTCCTCGAGCATCTAATCGATAAGAACGTAGACAAACTCGAGATATACCTCCTCCGCAACATCCTCACTCTCCCCTCTGAGCTCGCGTGCGTTCCCACCGCGTTTCTCCCTCACTACCGGGAGCTGGATCTGGAGGCGGCGGGCCAAGGCGCAGACGACCACGATTCCGACACAAACGCGCTGGAAATAAGCCTGGATGGCAAACGGGGCGAATTGGCTAGGCTGGAGAAGATTAACCGGCGTTTACGCGCAGTCGAGAGGGGGAAGAAGCGCACTGTGGATCGCTCGCTTGCTCAATCTACCCACCGTAAAGCCCTCCTCGCCCAACTAGCAAGCGTCGCCGACAGACACGTCACCCTCGCTGCTAATGTCCGCTCCATGCATAGCTCCCACCTCCTCCTCAAGGATGCTGAGCCATTTGGTGTCGTTTTGGGTGGTGCGCAGGATCCACAGGATTCACAGCACTCCTCCCATCCCTGGCAATCCGGTCGCATCGGCTACCTTAATTGGCAGACTAGCCGGCTCGTGAGCGACGAAGGCGTCGGGTTCGTCAAGGGCCAGCTCGAGCACGTCGCTGCAGTTGGCGATTTACAGCGGTTGCTCGGTGTTTGAGAGGGATGTACTATGTCGTATTCGCTAGACTGCTAGATTGTAACATGATTGCTTGAGATTGTTGTATGTATTTATAACTTTATTTGATTACATTTGATTCTGTTCATCTGTAGCCCGAGTTTTATCTATCGTAATGACGCCGACGCCGACGCCGACTCGAAAACGGAAAGCACCGCCCGGTCCACTCTACGTGGTGCGCTCACACGAGCACAGCGTCACGCAGGTATCGCTCGCGCCCACAGCGCACCACCTCGTCAGCGGGGATGACGGGGGAGGTGTGTGCATCACGTCTCTGCGCACCATGCGCTGCGTGCGGCAATGGGCGGCTCACAGCGACAGTGTCCTCACTTTGCAGTGGCTAGATAACTACACGCTTCTCTCACACGGCCGAGATAATCTGGTTAAGGTTTGGAGCGTGTCTGGGGCGTGCGGTGACAGCGACGACAACAACGACAACAACGACAGCGACGACACATACACTCCACCTCCCCTAACGCACGAGTTTCACGTCAATGCACTCAATTTTTGTAATGTCAGTGCGTGCACGGTGCAGACACAGACACATGCACAGACACAGGCACAAACGCTCTGGGTAGCAGCTCCACATCTGGCAGATTCAGCGAGGGTGAGTGCCAAGTGCCAAGTGCTAAATGGGCACAGCGAGCACTCTGACGGAGACGCGCACACGCAAGCACATACTCACACACGCTCACACACGCACAGATTGATGTCTGGGAGTTACCATCGACGAAACGCGTACACCGCTCCATTGGTGTGGGTGAAATTAGCCACTTTCACTATCCAGACGGTCGCGGCGAAGCTAAGACAGGTGGGTGAAGTGTTGGAGTGGTTGAGCGGCTTTGCGAGGCGCATCTCACCCTTTCCTCGCATTTTATATCTCACCCTCTCTCCACAGGTCTCTGCATGGCGCTGGAGATGTATGAATATAGTCAGTGTCGGCAGCACGAGCAAGAGCAGGAGCACACACCCTCTCTCAGACTGCTGGCGGCTTACGAAGACGGCAGCTTGGTGCTTTTTGAACTGGGTCACTCTCGCTGGATCCAGCTCTGGCGCGTGCGTTTGCACAACGAGGCTAGTAAGTGGGGCTGTTATCAGCCGAGCTGAGCTGAGCGTCTTGGCGCCGTTGCTGACTTCTCGCTCAGTCATGGACTTGTGCGTCACAAGCGATAAGCGTTACGCGTATACTGTCAGTGTCGATAGGTGTGTTGCCAAGTATGATTTGAGGGATGGGCGAGATGTGCAAGACGTGCAAAGGGTGCCAAAGGTGCAGCATAAACAAAGCACTTCAGAGATACCCCTCGCAACCCCTCTCACACACTCCTACACCACCAAATCGAATGGCCATTCGAGCATTAGCGTGCGCATGGATGGGAGGGTGCTCGCTGTTGGCTGCTGGAACGGTAGTGTCGAGCTGTATTCAACCAAAAGCATGAAACTCGTTGGTGTACTGGATATGCATCGCCAGTCTGTGTCAGCGTTGACCTTTTCGACTGTCAACTCACGTGATATACTTGATGACGGCATTATTGAGGCTCCTCTAAACGCACTTCTAGTCACTGGTGGTCGTGATGAGCGGGTAGCTATCTACGAGATTGACTTGTGAACGCTGAAAGATGTAAAATATGTATGTGAATATGTACAGGTATCCATGTGTCCATGAGTGAATGTGTCCATGAGTGAATGTGTGTGTGTGTGTGTGCGTGTGTTGTGGTTGTTGACCGTCGTCTATTGGGAGTCCTGGAAAAGTGAGACAAAGATATAAAAACCACGTCAAATTAATGTATCTCGTCATGCGAGTTCTGGCTGCTTCTTAGCAGATTGGATTGAGAGTGGTTGTTGTTGTTGCCGAATAGCGGTGCCACAAATTCATCGAGGAGGAGAGTGGAGTTGGGTCTAGTAGGTGAGTAGAGTGTTTCTGGTCTCGGGAGGTAGTTGTTGTCCGTTTTGATACGCGGGAGTGGCCTCGGTAGTCGTTGCTCGAGGTCAATAGCGCTGTCTTTGCTGTGCTCACTCCCGTCGCTGCCCTTCTCCACCACCTCTTCCACATTCTCGCGCCTGGTATTTGGTTTCCTCTTGTTGAAGCCGCGATAGAAGTTGTCTGGATCTGATGCATGTTAGCATAGCGGCCAACATAATTCGCCTGATACTCACAATACGACTGACTGTCCTTATGGTGCTTCGGCGTGCGCTTGACATATTGCTGCACGCCCCACATTACCAACATCAGAAAGAGGAGGATACCTACGATAATAGCAACAATTATCGCGGGGAAGTACTTGTTGTCTGGATTTGTCACGTCGCCCATTTAATTTATCAATGCAACTTGGACGCACGCTCTTGAGGACGTGAATATCGGACGCGGTAATTGGTAATTTTTTTGACAAAAAGCGTATTTCAGCGGCTGTAGAGTGGTTTAGGGTGTTATTGACAGTTTATTTGTACTATACGCGTGCTTTCCATTCGGGGCTTTTTGGAAATTTGTTTGGCTAAAAATGGAAGGCGGTGATCTACACGCGGATATAAACGCTAATCTATGCGCTGACCACTTCCACTCAATACTTTTCCATCTTTGAGGACATGAGGACGCCGCCTTAACTTTGTAACTGAATTGGATCGGTGTCAGTGCGTAATTGTGTGAGTGCATGAATATGGACTATTATACCACGTGCAACACTCTTCTCAAGGTATTCTGGGTTCTCGGGCCATTTGCTTTATTCTACGATGCCCCATTTGGAAGATTTGGGGATGGTGCTAGCAGGTTTAGCCTGAATGGTGGGTATGGGTGTGGTTTACTCTCCTCTAACCAGCCACAGGCAGAATTACATGGTTTATAATGGAGTTGCTGTCGCCGCTGTCTTTCGTAGCAGCTGTGGGCACTAGTGTTAGTACTCCACTCAACACCCTTCAAACCACAGCCACAGCCCTCTTCCTCGCACATTACCTCAATAGAGCTGTAATCTACCCACTTCTGAGCCCCTCTTCATCCCCATCCCACTTGCTGGTACTTGTATCTGCAGCCACATTCAACATAGCCAATGGCAGCCTGCAGGGGAAATATATAGCCGAACTAGATGTTTTTGATGGATTCGGCCGCATTGGTGTATTTGGAATACTCCTTACGCTGCTTGGATTCGCTGGAAACGTCTACCACGATTCAATACTCTTCAAGATAAAGAGGGAGTGTAACGGCGGCTATGAAATTCCCCAGCGTGGCCTATTCAAACATATCAGCTATCCAAATTACTTTTGGTGGGTGCTGTGTGTTTACCAGGTTACGTCACTAACCAACACAACCAGCGAATGGATCGAATGGTCGGGATACGCACTATTCACCCACTCTACAAGCACAAAAGATCCTCCAATCATGTTCATAATCGCTCTCCTCGCTACAATGGCCCCACGCGCATACAAAGGTCATCAGTGGTACAAATCCAACTTCAAGTACCCAGAATCGCGCAAGATTGTAATCCCGTGGCTCTTTTAAGTGGCCACGTACAAATAAATTGATTTATCACCAAATGTCCTCTTGCACCTTTACGCCAATCATCCATCTCAACAAATCCTAAGAAATGGCTGTGCCAGTTGAAAAAGAGGAGGCTGCTGCTAATACGCAGGCTCCCACTCAAACTACCCCGCCAAATCTCCTCAGCGCGCCTCCTTCCCGCTTCGAGAAGCCAGCCGGCGTAAATACGACAAAGTGGGCAAACGCAGCTCAGGCGCACACCCACAGCTAACAACTCCGCAGCTTTCCAGGACATGCCAATCCGCCACTTCCTATCGAGGGCAACGGCTACTTCAGCAATGCGCAATTCATCGCTCTTATCATCGCTGTGCCATACTTGCTCAAGCGCTTGATTCCCTACTTTAACACTGGCTTCAAGACCTACGTATTCCTCTTCATCCTCACTGGTCCCTTCTCCGCTATCGCGTATTGGACTGTCATGTCCACCTACGGTCCACGCAAGAACGACAAGGTGGCCCTTCCTAACCGTCCAATTGAAGAATACCTCGATATCAAGGACCCTGAAATGAAGCAGCACTTCCACGGCCACAACAAGATCAATTACCAGCAATTTCACGACGCTTACTTTGAAGGCAAAATCGATGTAAAGGGCGACATGCTCGACACCCTCGAATACCGCCACGACTGGGCAACCTTCAACTTCACCCCTAAACTCTTCAAGTATGTTGTTTTCAAGATGCTCCCTGACGTCATCTTCCACTCCCAATCACAAGACGAAGATCAGATCCAGGATGTGTACGACCGCGGTGATGACTTCTACGAATGGTTCCTCGGCCCCCGTATGGTATACACTAGTGGCATGGTTCGCGACACCACCCGCGCTGAGACACTCGAAGAGCTCCAGGACAACAAGCTCAGTATGGTATGCGAGAAGCTAGACTTGCAGAAGGGTGATAGGATGCTTGATGTGGGATGTGGATGGGGCACTCTCGCAGCGTTCGCTGCTAAAAACTTTGATGCGGACGTCACTGGAATCACACTCTCCAAGAACCAGGCGGCCTTTGGTAACGAACGTATAGCAAAGAATGGCATTTCCTCTGAGCAGGCTAGGGTGCTCAATAAGGACTACCGTGATATCCCACGCAACACTTTCAATAAAATCAGCTGCCTCGAGATGGCTGAGCATGTCGGTATTCGTCGCTACGCCTCTTTCTTGAATGACATTTACAACCTCCTCGACGACGACGGCGTGATGGTTTTCCAGGTTGCTGGATTGCGTCCTCATTGGCAGTACGAGGATCTCGTCTGGGGGTTGTTTATGAACGAGTACATCTTCCCTGGTGCTGACGCATCTTGCTCGCTCGGCTGGGTCGTCAATCAGCTTGAAAACGCTGGTTTCGAGGTAAAATCGATCGATGTTCTCGGTGTGCACTACTCGGTCACTATATTGAGATGGTACAATAACTGGATCGCCAATAAGGACAAGGTGATAGAGAAGTACGGTGAGAAGTGGTTTAGAATCTGGACATTCTTCCTCGCTTCCTCAATTATCATTGCCAGGAACGGCGGGTCGTCGGTGTTCCAGATTACCGTACATAAGAACCTCAACGCTACGCGTCGTGTCGATGGCATTGCTAGCCACCACGCTCCTATGAACCGGTTCAAACCATCTTATGCGTCTGTGGCTTCGGAGTAGATAGTTTACGTGCTGCTATCATGTATACGAATCTATATTACAAGATTATTCTATAGGTGTGCTATAGAAATCATGTCAAGGTGTTATTAGGTATTTCATTTATGCACCAATCCATCACACCATTTGAATATATCCTCCCATATCTCACTCCTCTGACTTTCATTCCAGTAGCCCAAGATGAGAAGATCGTGTACACCATCTGTGGCGACATTAGTAGTGAGATCTACTTTATTGCGTTCCATGCGCTCCACTAGGACCTTTATCTCATCTTCCAGCCGCTCGGCAGTACCGTAAGAGACAAAAGCGGGCGGGAACTTGTCGAAGAGGTCCTCCTCATCCTTGAGGTGCTGTGACGATGGACTGATGTACGGTGAGTGTACGGATATGTGCTGCGGCAGAATACTGTGCCTGAGGCTCTTCCTTCGCTTGTCGTCTCCTCGCTGCTTGAACAGAGATTTGTTGATGAATGTATGAGATTGTTGTTGTGTGCAAGTGGGGCAGCCTTGCCCGTTTCCGGCCGTACATCCGATGAAGGACTCAATTATGATAGCGCGCGGCATTGGCGTGTCCATGAGATAGTCAGCCCCTGCATTCGGACGCTTCCTCTTAGCAACTGGATCGAATGGGTAGCTGAAAGAAGGATCACACCATGGCGATAGCAGTAGTAGGCCGGCTGGTGTATCATGCAATCTCTCATCGCGTATAAATCTCCCCAATGCCAACGCAAGATTTCCACCGGCGGAATCACCAATAATCACTATCCGCGAAGGAGGCACTTTGCGTTGGTTGATGAGATTGTCAAAAACACTGGCAACATCGAGCAGCGCACCGGGAAATGCACTGTGATGGATAAGTCGATATTCCACAGAGTGTATCTCGAGAAAAGACCCTGCCTCCATTAGCCGCTTCGGGATGATGGACGTTGAACAGTTCTCGTCGGCGGACATGTGCACATAAGCACCCCCGTGTATAGCAATACCCACTAGAGGGAGAGTGGCAGATTCCATCTCAGCGCCATTGCGATCCCGATCGCGCTCATCCTCACGGTCGTCATATGTCTTATCGTGGCGATGACGCGGCCAAATGTATGTACCCACTTTGGAATGGGTATCCTGGCCATCTACATCGAGCACTCCTATCTGCTTCTCGATGGGCAATGTTGGTACGAATTTGAAGTAGGTGTGTTTGCCATGCCTGCCAAATGAGAAAGGGTCCTTCACATGGAAAGAGAGGTTTGAAAGCTCAGTCATTCTGTGCATCCTCTGTAGAAACTTGACAGATATGGCTTGCATAATACTCCATGTAGGGCGTGGTCGGTTACGCTTGGACAGGAAGGTGACAGCATGGATAGGCACCATCAGCAGCGCGACAGAGACCATGTAAGCGCAGTAGAATACGCGCATTACGCTCCCCGAGTACTTCAAATGGGGGTGGCGCATTGTTATGACAAACGATGATGATGATTGGGGTGAAAAATGGCGCTCCAAGATTCTGAGTCATTCTTACAAACTCGCACCCATGAGCTCAAACTCAACAAACAATATCAGTAAAGACAAGGTTGCTGAGCTCATATCAGCAAATGAGAAGTACTCCCCAGCTACGTCCTGGCTCGAAGACCGTTACAGCATCTTCAACAAAGGCGACAACATACAAGGATACATTCAGCAGGAAGGCTTCCAGTTCTACTGGGGGGATCCTATCATTACACAGGGCACTACTGGCGATTTCGTAAAGCAGATAATCAACTTGGCTAAGGAGAACAACTGTACGCCTGTATTCTGCGAGGTGTCGGAGGACCTCGAGGAGTTGTTGGCTGGTGATGATTTTGGATACTCGTGCTTGTCGTGCACACACGAAGACGTCATTGACCCAACTCAAGTAAATCTTGACGTAAAGGATGTTCAGCAGAATGTCCGTCGGTCGCAACGAGCCGGCGTGACCGTATACGAGCTGAGTGGTGAGCCAACAGAAGAGCAGCACAGGGCCATAGATCAGGGCGTCGACAAGTGGAAAGAGGGCAGGAAGGGTGAGCAGATCGCCACTGCTTCGATGGATCCTTTCCTCGATTCCACCCATAGACGCTTCCTCGTTGCCCAAGTGGAAGGTAAAATAGTCGGTATTCTTATCCTCACCCTCCTTAAAAACCACGGATACCAGATCAAAAATTGCACTTCCTTCCCAGACGCCCCGAAAGGCACATCAGAGAGACTGATTGTGGAATGCTTGGAGCTGCTTAAGAAGGAAGACAACCACTTTGTCAGTTTTGGGATTAGTGCTAGCGATCACATGTCGCCAGTGAACAACCTCAAGGGCATGCGCGTAACGTGGCTCAGCGGCACTTACAAGTCAATTCTCAAATCTACAGGAATATTTAAAAGAGCTGACTTTCGTAGCAAGTTCAACGTCAAGCATGATCCATTGTATATTTGCTACCCTCAGCATGAATTCGGACTGGATGGTGTACATTCTATCATGAAAGCACTTAAAACCAAGTAATTTAACGACCTGTATATGTTTTATAGATCTTTCTCATTTCTACCTTGTTCGATGAAAATTTTCTGTAACAATAACTGCGAGACAACCCACAGCAAAATTCTTTATTACTTTTAAACTTCTCTTTAGCTTCACGCGGATACAACCAATTGCCACCGACATTTGTCGAAGAATCCCGCTGAAATATCCTTAACAAGTCGCTTCATGGCAAAAAACGCAAAGTCATCTGCAACGGCAGGAAGTGAGTGTAGCTGCCGATATTAACACCACTCTAACGTTACAGCGCGTAAAAAGCAGGCCGCTAAGAAAGGCGAGGGCGAGCAGCAGCCCACGAAACAGCAGCAACAGCAGCAGGGAAAGAAGAAGTACACAAAGAAGCACGGTATCGGTCAGTCTAAGCCACCGCCACCGCCAAAGAGATACATTCCTCCCCCAAAGCCGCCACGCCCTGCTCCAGATCCACTCGAGGCTTGGGGACTGGCGAGTGTCCTCCCAGCGGATTTGGTTGTTATTTTAAAAAGATTCAGTAAGAAGGACGCCACCACTAAAATTAGAGCTGTCGAAGATCTACAAAGCTGGGTCGCTGACGTCGACAACAGAGAAGGCGGCACAGAGAGCTTAGTGGTGGCGTTGCCAGTTTGGGTGTGTAGTGGTTTCATTGAAAGCACTGAGCTAACCACTCACAGCTTCACCACCTCCCTTCAATGCTCCTCGCTTCGAATAGAAGACTGAGGCAGGTTGCCTTGAGCCTCAATTTGGCACTGTCTTCGCCCAACATTAACGACGTTAGATCCAATATGCTCTACACTATTAGCGAATCTAGCTACGAGTCCTCGTTGGGCGCGTGGCTGCTTGCTAATCCACAATCATGGCTCAGCAATACCACATTCGAGGAGGTCCCAGAAGGAGACGACCGCATTCAGCTTCTCGAGGAATATCAACTTGAACCTCTCATTAATTACATCAGCGCAGCTATTCGCTCTCCGTACCTCCTCCTGCCGACTGCTGGTACACCTGGTACACCACTCACAGAAGCTAAAAAGGATATAATGGCTGAGCAGGAAGAGAATTACAAGTCTAAAGACGCTCGTATCAAATCAGCTGGTTTGAATGCCTTGGGTTATCTCATTACGACCATTCCTCAAGGCTTCGACGTGCAAGGACTGCTTAGGGACCTGATTGACTCAGGTGCAATTGCCGAGTGTTTCAATGCTCCCGAGGGTGAAGAGATTGTCAGGAGGTCTGTTTGGAGTCTTCTTCTACCGCTCTTGAAAAGAGACGAAGGTAAGCTAATCGAAAGCAACCTCCATTCGTTCGCTCCAGTCATTATCAACAACGCTTTCAACGAGAATGACTCCACTGTCACATCTGTCATGTTTGATGGTCTGCTAACGTTCCTCCATCGCTTCCCGTCTGCATGGACTATCGCAATCGATGAGGAGCAAGATGATAACCAAGATGGGGAGAGGATACCAAAATGTCTTAGCAGTCTGCTCACCTTTTTAGAGCTCGGCTGTAGAGCAAGTCCACCTCAGGTAGCCTACTCAAGCTTGCTGGTTATTCTCATGACTATGCCAAAGGAATACCTCACTCAATCAACACTATCAAGACTGTTGGTAGCCTTCTTAGCACCTCTTTACTCAAACATATTCCCTTCACCGCCTGTCCTTCAAGCTAGACATGCTGAGGCTCTTTTGAAGTCAATTACGGAATGTTTGGTGGCGATTGTTGCAAATGTAGTTGAGTCAAGAGATACTGGCCTTGAAGTCGCAACAGAGTGGATCAAAGCTATTTGGGAGGCGTTTGTCACTTCACCAACACGTGATGCTAAGCTGCTCAAGGCTAACGTTGTCGGTCCTACTCTCCAAAATGCATTTAAAAAACTCCACACAGTTCAGGAGCAGAATCTCGATAGTGCTGTAGATACAGTCGAGGAAATTACATTGGATTCTGAAGACGTCTCAAGAAGCACTGAAGTATTGTGTGAAATGGTGAAATCAGCCGATGGCGCGATTGAAAATAGATTTGCAGGTCTTCTAGAGAAATTAGTAAATAATTCGCTCAATGAACAAGCCGAAGCCAATCTCGATGTCATTGTGATTGCTTTGAGAGGCATCGAGTGTATCAGCATCATTGAGGGGGTCTTGCAACAGCTCGACGACTTTATCACGGTGACCTTGCCAACTCTTGTCGCTGGCCAGAGCTCATCAGAAGCAACTGACCTGCTACTTGCCTATATCGCCAAACGCGACAATGGTAATATGATTCAGCAGGCTTGGAAAGGCGTACTTAGTGCTGAACCATCACTCGATGTCGTCGCTAAGCTTCTAGATGCAAACGCCAATGGTGACCTGGATGGGAAACAACTCGAGGGCGCCAGCACAATGGCTGGAATTGACGAAATGGCCTTGCTCTTGGCCAACAGGGACATTGAAGGCGATTCAGATCAAGTAGAGAAGCGAGTCATTAACGGTATTCTACAATCAAGTGATAAGTTCATAAGTACAGTAATGCACGGATCCATCGAGCGTCTCTATATTGATTCTTTCAGAGGCAGTGTTTACTCCAAACTCTATCGCAATTCAAATCACCGTGATGTCAATTTGTCAACTATCAAACATGCAAGCATCGATGTTCTCGTACAGCTTGCCAAAGAAATATTTATCGAAGCTTACATTGTCAATGAGGACGCAACGGCTAGAGACCTTTGGAGCAGAGTTTATAATGTGGAGAAAGTTTTCTCAGCTGTCAAAGATTTCGTTTTTGGCTTGATATCAGATGTGAATGTTTTGGCGGAGTAAGTGGCGGTTATACAATGCTGTTCACTTTACTGACCTCCCCCCACAGACCCAAGACGATATTTAATGCATTTTATCAACATTTGATAAAGTATGAGTCTAATGATGAGCACGTGGCTCAACAATTCATCAATTCCCTTAGCGCTCAATATGATCTTCAACTGGACCTTCCATTGCCCTCTGCCTTGGCCGTTCTTGACGAGCTCGTCCCTCACACCTCCGAGTACGATGACACCGCACCAAACCACACCGAGTACGACGAAAGGGGTCACTCAAGTCTCATTAGGAATATCGAAGGGCTTCTCAGCTACTTTACGGCTGATATGTCAATTGCTGTGAACAACGCAAGTGCACTCATCAACTTTTTCGGCGCATTGAGACTCGTTGAGGATGAGATGAGCATTAGAGGATGCACTAGTGCTTTCTCTAAAGAGAGCGATATGGAATCATTGGCAACTATACACGATTCTCTGAGGACGAGCGTTGCTTACACACTCTACAAAATTAGTTCCAGTGTCGATCAAAGTGCACTGATAAGGGTAATTAGGAGTGGCGGAGAGGCAAATGATTCACTTTCAGTGGCTCTCAAAACACTTTATTACGATGGAAGAGTGAACAGCCTGAGACTCTTCCGCGACATGCTTCATGGCGTGCTCCAACGTGTTGAGGACGTCGATGGCGACAGGTGGTTGGGTATGACTGGTGAGGAGTATACAAAGGCCAATGGAGAGCACAGGGCAAAAGCTCTGCTGTTATCTGTCAAATCTTACACCCTGTCTTCACCACGTCTGGCAAGACTGCAGAATGAGATAGCATCCAAACTTACCAGCATCTCGGCAGCTGATGCCTCAGAACAAGGTTTACCATTGTTGAGATTGCTGATCAGTGCTGCGCCACCATTGGACGCTGAAGAAGGTCTGCTTCCTCAACAAAGAGCGCTCTATCTGCTTAAGTGCTTGCGCGAGTGGGTAATGAGTGATGAAGATCTAGATGAGGAACTTGACGGCAGATTGTCTGAGTTGTTTATTCATCTTGTTCCGGTTATACAAGGAGTCGACGGTTCACACTGGGATTTGATATTCGACTTGGTGGAGGCTAACATTGAGATCGCATCGTTGGACGAGGGCGTACTACTCTATAACTCGCTTAGACTGTTTGAACAGCTTATGACTCTATCAAAGACCAACTCGGCACTCAGCAACATCTGGAAAGATAGGCGTGCAATTGCATTTGAGCACCTCCGCACTCTGTTCTTGAGCTTAGGCGACGACAACGGCGTTACATCGACTAGGCCGCGCAATGTATGCGAAGATCTCGTTCTTAAATTGGTCCAAGCTGTTCCTAAGGATCTTATCTCTGAGGAGAGTTTCGATCCGATGGTCAAGATGCTCAACAGCTACTCTACAGAAGTCCGCAAAGTGGCACATAGGTTGTTATACAGACTTATCAAGACTCAAGTTGAGAAAGCAGCAGTGGATAGTGCAGTGGATAGTAGCTACGAAGTTAAACTACCGGAAGTACTAACGGAGAAAATAAGCGAGAGAATAACTTACTCGATAGACGATGTGGTAAAGAATGAGAATGTCAGAAAGCACGTCTTCTACTTATTGCTGGTGTGGGATGTTACATTCTGTCACTTCAATCACGCTTCTGATGCTATGCGCGCTAAATATAACGAGCAATTCCGTCAAAGTGGTGTCATCGGAAGCGCATTTTTGCCGCTTATTTTCACTGTGATGGGACTATTTGATAAGAACAAAACGATCGATTTATCCGGATACCTGATTGATGAGTTTTACGTACAGTACTACGAAAGCGACGAATACACGCCAACTGCTGTACTCGCCGCTTTTGTTTTTTATAAATCATTGAAGTATAGCTCTGGCCATGTTAGGGCGTGGTGGACATCTAACCAGAACAGACAACTGTCTATGGTAGTTAATGGGGTGACGTCAAGGTATTTCAGTCCTCAGATCATACACGAAGAGCTTAAGCAACTGCGTAATCCAGTCTCACTGAAGGAGTTACAGACCGAGGCGTTTAGTATAAAGGTTGCGCAGAACGCAAGTGAAGTTACAGCCACTTACATTGTCGATGAGCAGCCGATGGAAATGGGAGTAAAGCTACCGCAACTATTCCCGCTTGAGCCGGTTGAGATAAGGAATATAAGGAGAGTTGGCGTCAACGAACGACAATGGAGAGCATGGTTGTTGGCCGTACAGCAAGTGATTGGCTCACAATCTGGACCTTTATTGGAGGCTTTGAGTTTGTTCAAGAGAAACGTCAGCTTACACTTTGATGGTGTGACTGAGTGTGCCATTTGTTACTCGTGGGTGGTACTACTTGTTCTCATAGCCCAACTAACACAGCAAAGTATCGTTCAAACTTCTGATCGCTCGCTGCCATCAAAGAAATGCAAAGTTTGCAGTAACAAATTCCATGGCGCTTGCTTGTACACGTGGTTCCAATCCTCGACTGTGAGTTTCGATGTCCTGTAGATGGCGAAGCTAACCGAAATACAGTCATCTACATGTCCGTTGTGTCGTCAAATATGGTAACATTGTAATTGATTTAATAGACTTTATATACATTGATATTGCGTAATACATTCTTGTTGGAAGCACACCGCCATGATCCCGCGAGGCGCTGGAATAGCGACGAGAGTAAGAAAATAATGTTTGCTAAAGCTTCTGGCTGACAATATTACTAGGGCTGTCTGCGATTACGGTTACGGCCTTGTGGCAGCGGTTATCAGTCATTGCGGATACAGTTACCGTGGCAACAACTGAGATGGCACGCACATATGTCCAACAGTACACCCAAAATTGAGGCGAAACAGCCCATCAAAGCACAATCACAGCAAACGGAATCCGTCGAGAAACCAACGAATGATATCACCACGAAGCAGCAGAGACAGATGGACTGGAATATAATAAAGTTGCTCATAAAGAATATCTGGCCTAAAGGAGACAACAAGACGAAAGTCCGCGTCAGTTTGGCAGTAGCTCTGCTCATTTCAGGCAAATTGCTTAATGTGCAAGTGCCATTTTTCTTCAAGAGTATAGTGGATACACTGAATATAGAGCTAGATCCGAGCATGACAGTATGGGCTGTCTGCGGCTCTGCTATTGCCGGCTATGGTCTTGCGAGGATTGGATCGACGACATTCAACGAGTTACGTAATGCAGTATTTGCAAATGTAGCACAAAGAGCGATAAGGAGAGTTTCAGGGAATGTATTTCGTCATCTTCTCAGTCTCGATTTGGGCTTCCACTTGAGCAGACAGACTGGCGGTCTCACTCGTGCCATCGATAGAGGTACAAAGGGAATTTCATTCTTACTTACATCTATCGTATTTCATATTATACCAACTGCACTCGAAATTTCGATGGTATGTGGAATTTTGTCTTACAAATTTGGACCAAGTTTCGCTGGTATTACTTTGGCTACTATGCTCGCATATAGTTGGTTCACTATTAGAACAACTTCGTGGCGTATGCGCTTTCGCAAGGAGGCTAATGCGGCTGACAATGCTGGTGCAAATGTTGCAATTGACTCGCTGCTCAACTACGAAGCTGTGAAACACTTTAACAATGAAACCCACCAGGCAAAATTGTACGATGGGACGTTGAAGAAATACGAGGATGCATCACTTAAAGTTGCAACATCGCTAGCTTATCTTAACAGCGGACAGAATTTCATCTTCTCTACTGCACTGACTGCAATGATGGTACTTACTGCACAGAATGTACTCGCTGGAACAATGACGGTTGGAGATTTGGTACTTGTCAACCAACTCGTTTTCCAACTCAGTGTGCCTCTCAATTTTCTAGGCACAGTCTACCGCGAGTTGAGACAGAGTCTGATAGATATGGAGACACTATTCAATTTACAGTCTGTAGATATAAACGTAAAGTCGAAAGAAAGTGCGCCTCCTATTCAACTCAAAGGTGGTAACATCAAGTTTGAGAATGTACAGTTTGGATATCACCCAATACGCCCGATATTCAAAGATGTCTCATTTACGATCCCAGCTGGGAAAAAGGTAGCAATAGTGGGACCATCAGGTGGAGGAAAGTCAACAGTTTTTAGACTATTGTTTAGGTTCTACGACCCAACATCGGGTAGAATAACGATAGATGGGCAGCCAATTGAGCAAGTTGATATGGAAAGTCTGAGGAAAGTAATAGGAGTGGTTCCACAGGATACAGCGCTATTCCATGCTGACGTAATGCAAAATGTGCGATATGGAAGACTGGATGCTAGTGATGAGCAAGTAAAGGAGGCAGCTCGGAAGGCGCAAATGGGTAAGTTGATAGAGAGTCTACCTGAAGGGTGGAGTACGAGTGTTGGGGAGAGAGGAATGATGATTAGTGGAGGAGAAAAGCAGCGACTGGCGATTGCGAGGGTCTTTTTGAAGGATGCGCCAATATTATTCTTCGATGAGGCAACTTCGTCGTTGGATACAGAGACCGAGAGAGAGTTGCTGAACAATATCAAGGAGGTGCTTGGCAGCAAAGCGCGTACGAGTGTGTTTGTGGCACATAGACTTAGAACGGTCTCAGATTCAGGTGAGTGAGTTTGAGTGTCAAGTATGTATCGACTAACACGATACAGATCACATAATAGTACTCAGGGACGGATATGTGGATGAGGAAGGAGATCATGATGAGCTGATGAAGCGTGGAGGAACATATTATAAAATGTGGCAGCAGCAGCAGCTTGAGCAAGCAGTTTGAAATGAATAGAGAATGAATGAATATCGATAAGAATTACTCTTCTGACTCGTCTGAAACTTGTGAGCGATGGAAAGTGCCTCTCTGGGTTGTGGATTCGCCCTTTCTAGCGCCAATCCAGTCCCATTTCTCCTGGTTAGTATATTAGTGTGTAAGAATAACCAAAAACCAATTCAACTAACATCAGTATACTTTGCCAATGTGAAAATACCCGCAGGAATAACCAAACCAAAAGCGATAATCTTATTTGAGATAGGTCTAGTCATTTTGAAGTGTTGGTAAGTGTGTTCGCGCTGTGTTTAATTAGACTGGCTGTCTGCGCCTATTCAACCAAATGCTAACCATATGATTCCATCTCTCTGCAGCTGGATCGAGCTAAAACTAAAGTTAATCTAAATTATTTAATTTAATATTCATCTCACTTTAACCGTGTGGAATTCTCCGTGTCCTCCCATTTTTGATGTTGGTTGTGTGTGGATGAGAGTTATTCTGCCATTTGCTCCTTGATCAGCTACACCCATGAGCTACAATGATTATGACAATGATGGCTACTACGACGCCTACGACGATGAATATTCTACACGTTCTCGCAAGCCAACCAATTACAGCTTAGGCGTCCCCTCCTACAATCCCCGCTACAAAGGATCTAATTACCGCGAAGAGCCAATCAAATTGAGTGCAGAAAATGACCACGTCATTATCCTTGGCTTTGAGGATTACTGGACTGAAGATGACGTGCGAAGATGACGCTGTTCCTCACCCCAACACTCACTGACTGTTCCACACAGCTGAGGCTTGCTATCGAGACCCTTGGTGGTAGCGTTGAAACCACTACAATCATCAAGGAGAAAGGCACTGGTGGGTTGTTATATTTGTTTGTCGAATTCCACTCACTATCCCACTCCTCACCAGGTATCAGCCGTGGTTTCGGTTTCGCTAAATTCACTTCCACCGCACATGCCTCCGCTTTCGTCAAACCCCGTTTCCCCAGTTTCCAGTTGCCTGGTTCTGCCCTCACACAGAAGATCGACTTTAGTGCTTCTGCTCAAGCTAACGAACAGCGGCGGACAGGTCACAACAAAAACGACGGTACCCGCGATATTGGTAATGTTCCCAGTCGTATCGTACTACTCCGCGGTCTAGACGCCGACAGCACCGAGTTTGATGTCGAGTATGCCCTCAAATGCGCACAAGCCAAGCCTAAACGCGTTGCATTGATACGCGATCGCGAGAATGACCTTAGCTTTGGCTTCGCTTTTGCAGAATTCCCAAACGTTGCCGCTGCTCAGGCATTTATTGCTAAAACCCTTTCTCCTGATGTCTACCCAATCGGGTTCAGAATACAGGATAAATTGGTAGCATGTACTTTCGCACTCGAGTTGAGTCTTTCAGGCTTAGAGGCACCTAAAGGTCTCAATGATGGTATTCGCTATTGGGACGGCACCGGGAAGCCGTGGATAATAGATTGCGATGAGGGCTGGCTCGAAGCTGCGCAGAAAACAAAGAAGAAACAGAGTGAGTGTGAGACGATTGCATTCTGGGCAGCGCGCTGAGTGGTTATTTAGAAGTAGACAACGGTACTAGAGGCGTCTTGCACGGCTTGGTACCTCAAGGCCCGCCATCTAAAGCAGAGCAGAGCAAGAAACCAAAGGCATTGAGCAAGACTTCGACAGGCCCCATTAAGATTGGAATAGGTGGTGGCGCTGCGAGTGCTCTGGCATCTGGTTCGGCTACTCCGGCTGCATCTGCTACGTCTGCTCCGTCTACTGCTGCCCCTCAACACAACCCAGGCAAGCCGAAACACATCTCTATATTGGGACAGGATGAGTCAGACGATGATGATGTTAGTGGTGTCGATCCGACGTGAGTAGAATAGCGTTGTTTGACTTGTGACTTGCTCAAACATTCACAGCGCTCCTGACGATAAGTCAAAGAAAACAATTCCGCAACTAGCTACCAATAAGAAAGTAGGTTGAGTCGGATTTTTTGTCACAGGAACAAGCTGACAGTTTAAAGACTGCGTCTAAAATCAATCTATGGAATCAAAAGCAGGGGGAGTTGAGAACGACAATGAATGAAAGTGGTGATGAGACGAAGGCGACGGGTGAGGTAGGTGTTGTTGGTGTTATTTTGGCAAGCACTGACGTGAGATTAGAATAGAGCAGCAGCAAATGGACCTGAAGCCGACGCACCAGCGGTCAATGCAACTCCAGCATCCAAAGACAGCAATGAATTAACAAGCTTTGATTATTCAGATACGTCCAAAATGGCTTGTTTACTCTGTCAGCGTCAGTTTAAAGCTTTAGATATACTGCGCAAGCACACTGCACAGTCCGATCTGCACAAGGTGGGTTGGGAGCGTGAGGAAACTTGCAAGCAATCTCACACATGCATCACAGAACAACCTCAAGAATGAGCAAGCGTGCGAAGCGGGCAAGCAGCGTAAATGGACAATCAGCCCCAAGTACACTGACAGGGCAGTGAAGCGTCGTGAAGTATACGGCCAGCCTGATAACCCAGTTGGAGGGCCAAACAAAAAGAGGAAGAGTGAGGGCGTAGACGTGAGTGCGGCTGGACCAAGTGAAGAAGCAGTGGATAAGGGAAAGAATCTGCTCGAGAAGATGGGATGGAATCAAGGAGCGGGATTGGGGAATAAGAATGATGGGATAGTCAACCCAGTTGAGAGTCTCATCTATGAAGGTAAAGCGGGTCTGGGGGCGAGTAAGGGCAAGGATATTGGATATGCTGGTAGGGGATATCTAGAGAATGCTAGAGTAGCAGCGAAAGAGAGGTATGAAGATGATAAGTCGTAAGGTATTGATGGATTATTTTGTATTGAAATGCTTGATAATCAAATTTTCATGAGATGATTTATAGAGTTAAATGATGATGAAGGAAGGAAAGATGACATTTGAGTAATACTGGCTTACTTTTAGTTATTTAAAAGACATAAATGGTTTCATAAGATGACAATCACGATTGAAACTGCGGTTGGAGATAAAGGCGAGGTGTTTGAGGCGTGTTTAGGTATACGAATGAAGGGTCAGTAGGGAACACATGTGTGTGATTACAAGTTGAGATATATTCAGTATTCGTACAAGAACAAGGGTTTGTAGATGAGATTGATAAGTTAGTTTCTGCGTCGGGTGTTTTAAAGGCTTACGTGTATTTCAGTAATGAATCAGCTGCGATACACATACTAGCTTTAGATCAAGGTAAACCAGTTGGTACTGTTAGATTGGTGTTGAAGAATGAAGAGAAATGTAAATTAACAAGGTTGGCTGTGTTAAGTGAATACAGTTAGTTATATTTCCTGCTGATGAATCCCTTTAAATCTTAAACACTTGAACTTACAGGAAAATTTAAACTTGGTGGAATGTTAATAGAGACACTGATAAACAAAGCAAGACAACTCCAATTGAAAGAGATTATCTGCCATTCTCAATTGCCTGTCGTTGGTCTCTATCAGAGGTATGTCACCCCCACTTGACTCATATTCCCGATGTCAATCCATCCCAGGTACGGGTTTCAAGTTTTTGGTGGTAAATTTGATGAGGATGGTGCACCACACCTTCCACTAAACTTGCACTTGTAGATAAATCAAAATTTTCAATTTTATCATCTAAATTTATGCCGCTGCTGACTTACATTCATCAGGAAAATAAAAAAATAATGAGGGGCAAGAAGACGGTAAAGCAGCCACAGCAGCCACAGCAGAGGCGTAGATCTTCAAGGAGCAGTGTAGTTCAACAGCGCAGGGATTCAATGGATAGCGCCAGTGCTAGTGCGAGTGGAGCTAGCACATCGACACCAACAAAGCCAGTATCACCGCATTCATCACCTATTATACAGAGAGTATTTAATACGACTTCAATACCTGCTATAGGCGCATTACCCATTCAATTCGATCAAGAAGGTGATCCAATTCCTTATACAACAACAGCGAATTCTGCAACTGCAGGCAAATCTACAATCCCAATACCACCATCCCAGCCATTGGACTTGAATAGAGTTAGATTAGAAGCTCCACATGAGCCTAGTAGAACTAAGCACAGAATGTTCAATTTGCCTCATTGTCCTGTCTTCTATCCAACTGAACAGGAATGGAATCTTAACCCTTTTGAATACTTGGAATCCTTATCCGATAATCATAAGGCTTATGATTACGGTATTTGTAAGATTGTACCACCACCCAACTGGAGACCTGAATTCAGCTTGGATTCCAGTAGATTTAGGTTTAGAAGCAGATCTCAGAAGCTAGACACTGTCACTGCTTCTGCTAGAGTCAAGCATAATTACTCAAAGCAATTGTTTCGCTTCCATGACCAGAATGGCTCAAATTTATCACCTAATCCACACGTAGATCATCGCCCAATTGACCTTTATAAGCTCAAAGTTGATGTTGCTAGTTTGGGTGGTTTCGATATGGTTAGTTGGTTTAATCATCTTGATTCCCACTCATTTCCACTTTCACAGGTTGAAATCTCTAACCAATGGTCACTCATCGCTAAAGAACACGGATTAAAAAAAGTCAAACCTTTCGTTCAACCTTTTAGACAAGCTTACATTGATTACATTAAGCCTTACGAGACTTTTATCTCAACTTTCAAGGCTAAATCTGACAAGGATCGTCAAGGCGAAATTGATATGAGTTTTGATGACATGGACAACATCAAATATAGGCTCAATGGCGAAAACAGCTATGATGAAATCAACAAGTCCGAGATCAACAACGGCGGCGATCAAATATTGCAAAATGTCGACCTCGAACAGGGCTCGGCGCTCCCGAAAAGACTTGTTATGGATCAATCCCCACAAACTCCAATGATTGCGTCTCCTTCACCCAACAAATCAAGCATCAACTCCAAATATCACCCTTGCTCAAATTGTCAGCGCAAAGACAACGACGTAAAACTCCTCGAGTGCCATGAATGCGAGAAATTTTTCCATCTCAGTTGTCTCATCTACCCACTTAAGATGAAACCTGCAGTTAGTGAATGGTTCTGCGATGGTTGTCTTTATGGTAGTGGTGAATACGGTTTCGACGAAGGTGAAGACCACTGCCTCGCCAGTTTCCAAGCACGTGATGAAGAATTCAGAAAGTTTTGGTTCGAGACACACCCACCACTGATGAAGGGCCGTGTCGCACCTAATGGTATTGAGCAGCGCCTTGGCAATCGCATAGTCTCCGAAGACGACGTTGAGAAAGAGTTCTGGAGGCTCGTTGACTGTCCTGAAGAAACAGTACAGACTGAGTATGGAGCTGATATTCACACTACGGAAACAGGCAGTGCTTTTCCTACTCTCAAGACCAACCCCACAAGTAAATACGCCACTAGTGGATGGAATCTAGAAAACATGCCAGGATATGAAGGCTCAATTTTGAGTTACATTAAGAGCGATGTTAGTGGAATGACCGTGCCTTGGATTTACGTTGGCATGATGTTTTCTACTTTCTGCTGGCACAATGAGGACCACTATACTTACTCTGTCAACTACATGCACTGGGGTGAAACCAAGACGTGGTACGGCGTGCCTGGAAAGGATCATGAGGCTTTCGAAGAAGCTATGAGGAATTCTGCACCTGATCTTTTTAAACAGCAACCAGACCTTCTCCTTCAGTTAGTCACTCTTGGTAACCCCGGTCAACTTAAGGAGGCTGGTGTACCTATGTATGTATGCGACCAACGTCCAAATGAGTTTGTTATTACGTTCCCGCGAGCTTTCCACTGTGGCTTTAACCATGGGCTGAATTTCAACGAGGCTGTTAATTTCGCACTCCCTGATTGGATTCCTGAAGGAAAAGCATGTGTGGAGAAATACAGATCTCTCAAGCGCAATCCCATTTTCTCGCACGATGAGCTGCTCATTACTATACTCAATAAAGGATTCGAGGACTCGACTTGGATATATCTCAAGGATGCCGTACTTGATATGCTCAACGACGAGGTTGAAAGTAGGAGGCGGTTTGCAACAATTGGAGGGAGTGTGGAGGCAGTCGAAAGATATGTCAATGAGGATGATTACCAATGCTGCAACTGTCGCGCTTATACGTATCTCTCACAGCTATTCGATAAAGAAACCAAGAAGATATATTGTCACAAACATTTTGACACTTTCGTCGAGAATACCCAGCCAGATAATAGACTGATGAGAGTCAGATACAGTGACGAGGAATTGGATAGCTTTGCAAAGATTGTGACCGATCACAAGCAGCAGAATCCGGAATGGATTAATAGCACTAAAGAGCTATTGGGCAGTGAAATGAAGCATAAACTACAAGACCTCAAGAATCATCTTAAAGGAGCAGTTGGAGTTCCGCAGCGTTCACCAGAGTACGCTCAATTAAAAAGCCTTATACGTGAAGCTGAATTGTGGATCTTCCAAGCAAACAACTTCTGGCTAATGAGACAGAATGAGCCTTTTGATATGAGGGACACATTCGACGGTAACACTAGCAAATTTAACAAGTACGAAACGTTAACAGCTTTGGTGTACTCGCCACTCAGACAGAGAATCGACGTTGATACGTATTTTCAACATTTATACTCTTTAGAGAAGATCAAAGAGGAGCTTGACTGGGTGATTGAGACGTGTGGAAAATACTCTCGCACTACCGTCATTGATGCACACAATAAACCAGAATTCGAAAGGGTGTTGCAGGTACTAGAATGGGCCAATGTGAGGGGTATGAGTCAATGTCAACAGATGTATTATATCAAGAGAACACTCGAATGGTTCGACGCGGTAGCTGACTTGAGTGCTGTAAAGTATGCACAACAAGTAGACGCCCTTCTTCAGGAATCTGTAATGCTGCAGCTCGATTTTCACCCTCAGGTCGATCTGCTCAAGGTGCTGAAAGCATCAGGTTTCACATGGCGCTCAAAGGCCCTCAAATTGTGCTCTCACGTCGCCATCTCTCCAGAGGAAGTCCAGAAGTTGCTCAATGAAAACGAGATTAAAGACGAAAATCTGGAAGCAGATTTCGAGCGGATGATGGTGTTTAATGGTCATGTGCGTAACGCTCTCGATCATAATGTCGACAGCCTTAGCCATGATGGAGCCTTCTTGGAAAATGCCAAGACGGAGCTCGAATTCGTTAAGAAATATCGTTTCAAAGTGAAGAACTACAAGAATTTCGACATGCTGATGAAGCTCTATGAGACGTTTATACGGAAATTGAGCAACGCACTGCGCATCGATCTCGTTGGTTTTGACGAGCTGAAGTTGGAGAAGCAGGCACAGTTCGAGATAGAGAAGGTAAGTATGATTGGGAAAGATGCTTATCGTTTCTGACTGTTTGATCACAGTTACATAAACGACTACTCGAGCGCACTAACACTGCAGATGGCACCGAACGCATGTGTGTGTGTAGAGCAGAGAAGACCAACGTAAACGAAAGTGATGATAATGTGATGGATTGTAATACCTGCGGTGTGGCTTTCCACAAGGCTTGTCTGCCAGATGGGCACTTAGCAGCACAGACAAATGACACATTCGATTGTCTGGTTTGCAAACCGGTTGTCAAAACAATTGACCAGGACGACCTTCCTAATTACAAGCAACTCGCATCGATCAGAAAGAACAGCATCGATGGCTACTACGACAAAGTCAGAGTACGTACCGTACCTGTGAAGTGTTTAGTCGATATTTATGAAAGGTGTGAGGGCGACGGTTATATAAAGATGCTAGGGGAAGCTTCTGCCTCGGAAGATATTGGAGTCTTGCGCAATACCGCTCTTACGCTTTTAGGACTCGGTGTCACATTCGAAGGCTTCGACCCAGCTGTGTTGATAGACAAGATCCACACTCTCAGCGCGGGTAAGAAGAGGAAGTCAGAGGTGAATGCAAATGGCTTTGATGACCCATGGGCAAGGACGCAAGGACGCACGCGCAGACCCAAGTTTCTCTTCCATCAAGATCCACCAACGGTGAACGAAGCGGATGACAAAGGCATAGTGAAGCATTGTATATGCCAGAAATTCAAGGACAAAGTACAAAATCAGATTAGTACAATGATTTTGGGATGCGATAGATGTAAGAATTGGTTCCACGTTGAGTGTATGGGCGGCGCCCATCAGCTGGAGAGGCTCTCTGGTCAGAAATTCAATTGTCCGTGCTGCTCGCTCAAGTTTGGTAGATCGTTCCAGTTTATTCCAGTGTTAGTACAGGATCAGGGTAAGTAATGTGGTGCTGCGTGTAGATAGAAAAGCCTAACACACAAGCAGTCGACATTGGTAGCAGCATATACGTCGATATTGGCCAGACTGTGAAAGCATTAAACCATCTAGTCAAGTTCGAGGCTGCGCCAAAATTGGTGGATGAAACCGTTATCGTGTTGCATCTGCATAAGTTTATTATAGGTGCAATTGAGCTGCCTACTCAGAGCAACGTTTCAAACAAGAGCGCTATGAGCACGCCGGATTCTACCGTGGACGGTGTTAAGAGGAGAAAAATCAAGGAAGAGCCTGATCAGCAGGAACAGCAGGAACAACAGGAGCAGCAGGAAGAGCTAGAACAAGAAGAAGAAGAAAATCAGGAACAACAAGAGCAGCAACAGGAACAGCAATCAGCAGCACGTACAACACGCATCGGTAAAATCACAGGATGGCACCCTGCTGGTGATAACAGCGATATGGGAAGCGTAGATATAGAAATCTCAGTATAAAGAAAATAAATTTAAATTATTTCACATAACTCTTGTATTTCTGTAATCTATCTTTTAGCAATTGACGTCCATCTTCAAAGTCACAGGAGATATCGATGGAAAGAGAAGGCGATGACGACGGCAACGGCAGCAAATTGGATTCGGCCGATGGATCCAACAGTCCGAATCCACCACAGTCTGCGGAGCTTAGCAGTCCACCAAAGGAAGCAGACAAGGCTCCAAAGACCGACTCACACGACTCACGCGACCTCCAACAACGCGACAGCGGGATATCTCCGAAAGACCCCAGCTCTAGTCCACCGCCTTCAGACGCTGCTCGACGTGTCAAGATATATAAGCTCACTACCCAAGACTGGGTCGATCATGGCACTGGGTTTTGCACGGGAATCTACGACTCAGACCACGACGAGGCGATGCTTGTCGTTACCAACGAAGACAACCAAGATCAGGTACTCCTCAATCATCATATAAGTCCCGCCGATATATACTCGCGGCAGCAAGATACTTTGATAGTATGGACAGAGTCTGATGGCACTGACTGTGCTCTCTCTTTCCAGGAAGCTGATGGCTGTCTCGAAATGTGGGACTTCATCTCCCAGGTCCAGCGACACGTTCAGAAGGCTGATGATTATCCGTATATCATCGATTCACCCGTCCAGCGGAGACAAAAATCGAGTCAAAAACTTAACCTGCCGCCGGAACGTCCAGACTTGGGAAATTTGGAAGACGTGTGCTTCTGTATAAAGGAGTGCCTTACTAGGACCATCACCAACATGCATCAAAAAGAACGGTTCATCACTTGGCTCATTAACAATAATTACATCGCTCAGCTTATTTCAGTTTTCAATCAAGCTGAGGACCTAGAAGCACTGAGCGAATTGCACGTACTGTGCACTATCTTCCATCAGCTATGTGAGACGTCTTCTTTACCTCGTGGATGATTACTCACACTGTCTCACAGTATCGGCAAATGATAGCGTTGTTTTTGAGTATGTCCTTTCCGATGATATATTCTTGGGCATGTGCGGTGTGTTGGAGTATGACCCTGAGTATCCTACTCTCAAAGCATCGTATCGACTCGATCTCACTACGACATCGCGATACAAAGAAGTAGTGCAGATCAATGACCTAGGCTTGAAGTCTAAGATACATCAGACCTACCGTCTCCTATACCTCAAAGACGTAATTTTGGCGAGAACTCTAGACGACTCGACTTTCACTTTACTCAATTCATTCGTCTATTATAACCAGATCGATATCATAAAACATATCCAAAACGATAAGGATTTCCTCGATAGGTTGTTTGGGATCTTCAGCGATTCATCAAGTGATACTGTCGATCCGCCACCTACTTTACGTCAAGATGCAGTCTTGTTCCTTAGGGATTTATGCACGATGGGCAAAAACGTACAGATACAGACAAGGCAGGAGCTTTATAGGGCGTTAGTCAATCGAAACTTATTGAACGTTTGCAAATGGTCAATCAAGAGGAGTGAACCGATCTTGCATAATACTGGGTCAGAAATCCTAATGATCGTCATTGACAATGAGCCTAATACTGTCAGACTTTATATTCTCAACGAAGCAAATTCGACAAAGGAGAAATCCAAGGAGAATTACACACTAATGCAGGAGATGTGCTTTAGCTTGGATAGCAGTAGAGATCTAGGATATAGGAATCAAATAGCTGAGGCTATCAGATTGCTTCTCGAGCCGCCGCTATCTGCGTCAGAAGCTGCGTGGACAGTCGCTAAACCTAAGGCTGATCCTACGAGTGATGAGTTCCTCAGCTATTTCTATGATACATGTATCAATGGACTCTTCAAGCCACTGCTCGATATTCCTGACATATCTCTACATGAAGGTAAGTGAGGACATATTATAGTTGACGCAATCTAACTATATCAAAGCACCTCCTCAACTTGACTTTGACAAAGCCACTCTAGCGCTTGCTCTCTGCGATCTCCTGTCTTTCTTCGTCTTGAATCATCACTTCAGAGCACAATACTTTATCCTCCAAACGCCTATCTCGGCTAAGATAGTACAATTACTGCGCGTCAAGCAGAAGTATTTGAGGCTTGGTGGGTTATTTATTAAAATTACGGTCTTTGCTGATATAGTTTAGCCGCATTGCGATACCTCCGCGCTTGCGTCTCGCTCAATAATGAGTTTATAGTGCGGTACATCGATAAGCAGGACATATTCAAACCAATGCTCGATGTTGCTCTAAGAGAGGGCCGTAAGGATAACCTGATCAGCGCTTCTATTCTGGATCTTTTTGAAACAATTCGAAGAATTAATAACAGGACGATGATTAATAGTCTAGTTGGAAATCATGAGGACGATGTGAAGCAATTGATTAAATACCCCCTACTGAGTGAATTATTCACTAAATTGTACTACAGATGGGAGCAGCTCAATGAACCAGCCCAGCCAGAGGCGTCAACGAGCACCGTGATTGATAATTCGGGCGGGTTCATTCGTGAACGAAAATCAAGTGATGCAACAGCTGAGGATGACTACTTTAATAAGGATGACGGTGAAGATGAGGCTCGTAATTATATAAACGACGATCCTGGCGGAGGAGGATTAGGGCCAGGGTCGGGTTCGCATAAAGTAACGCATCAATCACTTAACAACACGCCGACTGCCACGTCGACAAGTCTTGTCGATTACATGGATGAAGACGAGGAAGAGAATACACGGCCTTTACCTGAAACACCTAAAAAAGAAGAGGAGGAAGAGGAGAAGCAGGAGCAGGGAGAGAAAGAAAAGCCAGCTGAGGATCGACTTACACAAATGGAAGTGAAGCTGTCGGAGAAGAGGCAGCGCGAAGATGATGAAGATGACCAGGTTGCTCAGTTGATGCATAGTAAGAAACGACTCTCACCGAATGTTAGTGAGACTCAGACTAATGATGATAAATGTTCAACGAGTAGTTCGAATAATAGTGTCAGCAGTTAATGATTAATTCCTATAACATTTATACACATATTTATTGTCATTGCCGATATTGCCGCCATTATGTTTGATAAAATACCATTTAAGTAACTTCTAAAGCCTTTAAATGCCTTGAGCTAAAGGATTACGACATTCTTGGATCTGAAGACACCTTGTTGTTTATGACCACCAACACGGAATGTATAAATGCTTATTCCGAGATCTACAAATATCCCAAGAGGAGGCACTTAAATCAAAACTCTCATAGTGAAAATATCGACGCCACCACTCAATCTCTCCCTTCGAAATCACAGCCGTCGACTTCGACCCACGCCGCAACCGTATCGGGAATTTCATCACCATCCAACGGCACCAAACTTAAAGACAGAGTTTTGTCTAGGCTAGCTTGGTCAAAGAGGGAGGATATACCATCACTGTTTGATGAGCGTGCTTCCGTTAAGTTCGCATTAGATAGGTGCTATGACTGGGAGGAGAGTATTGCGATATACAAAGACAACCGCGTGGAAATCTACGGTGATCATTCAATGCCATTCAGGATGAGCAAAGAAGTCAAGTTGAGCGTCGATTTACAATCAAATGGCACCAGCGTCAGCTTGTACTCCGCCACAGATTTCTGTCTCTGTATACGCACCTCACCGCCTAAACACCATTTACCCAGACGATACGCTGGTACTAATCTTATTTTCCTCAAATTCAAGACTATCAAGATTGCCAAGACGTGGTTATGGACAATGTGGACAATTAAGAATTCAAACAAACTTCCAAAAGAATTAGATGTCAAGCTGCCAGCTCTTGGTTCCCACGTCAGGTTCCCAATCGACTTTACTGATCACAATGATGTCAATAGCCACGCGATAGTTGCAAGATGTAGAAACATACTTACTAGAATGGACATCAGAGGTGTCACTCCAGAAAAATCTACACAAACAGGCTTCTCATTATGCTGGCGTAGAGGTAAGTTCGGTCTAGAGTGGTTGAGTAACCAAGCTACGTACGAAGAGATTCTCGTTGGTTGTTGCATGCTCCAAACTCAGGTATTTCCAAAATTGGAACTAAGAAGACGAGCATTTGAAAAAGTTGGCATTAAATACGACGCCAACACCACACTATACCCTCCTCAACCAGTTGAAGGCCATCTCAGTAGAATAACGCTGATATCACAAAAAAGAGTAAAGACATACCTCAGTACACATGATTCTCTTATTTTCGTGCTCAAAAATACAACAGCGTCGCTGAAAGCATCACATGATGATGAGTTAGACAAGATGCGTTGCTGTAGACAGATCAGAGAGGCTGTTGGTTTCATTGATATGGGACATATCGTATCAATTAGAAGGATTTTTGAGAGTCCAAAACGTAAAGACGAATACCCGATCTATATCGACGACAAGCTCCACAACGGCGATAAGGTCTGGGACAAGCATGAGGAGGGTGACGAAGGAAGTGAAGAAGTGTTTGGAAAACTATCTCAGAATGAGAAGAACGAGCTACATACAAGGAGGCAATTTGGACTGGAGTTAGTCTCTGGTCACTTTGCCAAGTTTGAAGTGAGTATCGGGAATTTTAAGTTTCCGCATAGGCTAATCTTCAACAGGCACCCTCAGTTAAGCTTTGCTTAGAATGGATTGTAAGCTTAGGAGAGTTATGCTCGTATTGGAATAAACGAACGAGAACAGACGCAAATCTGTTGATGGAAATATCGAATTGCGGACTAGCTGCACCTCATGCTGCAAACGCAATCAATCAACTAGTCGTACCGACGAATATACCCCATAATGATGATGACGGACCAGCTGTTGAAGATCCAGATGCCGGTGCACCGCTCCTATCACAGCTTTGGAACTGGAGTGTACTTGAGAACATCAAACCTATAGTGAAAATCGGAAAATGCTTTATGAGGAAGTCTTTTAGAGGATCTTGGAGGTGGGAGCATTACAATCGCATGTTGCTACTTCTGACAGTTGCAATAGTGAATACATACTTATTCTTACTGCTGATGGAATGCTACATAGATGGCAGATAGCCCCACTCAATCCATCGAAAAGTAAGAAAGCCAATGAGATACTTAATAGAAAAAAGTCTTCAATAAGTCTTTATCACGCATTCGTATTAACATCAGATGATTTGATACTCGTTAATTCCAGCGACGAGATACAGACACCAACAAAAGGGCTGCGAATGTCATCAAGGAGAGCAGCTAAAGCTCCTGATAGACTGTATGACGATGGACTTATCGCATGTGAATCTGAACCCTCAGACCTGGCATTCATGCTGTGGTGCAGACCTAAGTCGAAGAAGGCTATTGATTGCTTGGATAAGGACGCGGATAAATTCGAAGTTAGAACTAGATCAAGGTTGGAGAGGGATCACTGGTGCTGGTGTTTGGAATCAATTATTGATAGAATCTCAGAAGAAAACAATGATGTTTTTAGAAACGTTTCTGGGATTTCCTAATGTGTTTTGTATTTGTACATTTCTTTTTAACTATACATCCTTAGTCAGCTCTTGCTTTTCCTTTTCCTAAGTCTTTCTTAGTGTTATCCTTCTTGACATTTGTGAACTTTATTTGCGCTTTTCGGTAGTTTTCCATCTCAGCTTGAGAGACACTTGGAGAGAGATCAGCCATAGCATCACTAAAGTCTGCTTTGGAGACGACGATATCAATGTCTGTAGAGGATGCCATAAACTCTAAGTAGTATTGCGGCGTAATGGGACGCTTATGACTGCTACTATATCTAGCAACGAAATCTCCTTCAGACATATCATTAATCTTCTTCAACTCATTCTCGATTTTCATCACTCTGCGTGTCATGCATTTCAGCATTGCATCTGAACATAAAGCGTATAGATCAGCGCCAGTAAGGTTTAGAGGGAGGCGGTTTGTTACGTCTTTCAACAAATCCAGCCTATCCTCCAATTTAAATTTACGCGTTAGTGCTGCAAGGATGTTTGCTTGTGCAGTATGCGTAGACGGTACATCTAAATAGATCATTCTATCGAATCTGTTCGAAATTTTGAGAATGTAAAACTTTGCTGTGAATCGCTGCCTACCTTCCTGGTCTAAGCAGTGCTGAATCTAACAAATCAGGCCTGTTGGTAGCCCCAATAACAAATACCTGGGCATTAGTTGAAGACATGCCATCTAATTCGGCAAGTAGCTGCGACACTATCCTGTCCATTACACCACCTGAATCGCCCTGATTACCTCTTTTTGGAGCCACCGAATCTAACTCATCGAAGAATATGACTTGGGAGGCTTGTCAGCTTATAAGACTCAATATATCATCTACCAATACCCACCACATGGGCTTGCATCTCTGGCTTTTTGGAATATTCTTCGGACGTTTGCTTCAGATTCACCGATATACCTTTAACAGTTAGCATTGCTTTGAAACTAAAAAGAGAATTTGTTGGTTGCTCACATATTCAATAGCTCAGGACCCTTGACAGAGAAGAAATTGAGTGCACACTCCGTCGCGACGGCTTTAGCCAGCAGAGTTTTACCAGTACCGGGCGGTCCAAAGAGTAGAACACCTGGGATGGATTGTGTGAGCAGAGTAAATCTCATTTGATAAAAACCTACCTGATCTCTTTTTTAAACCTCCAGCAAACAATTCAGGTTTCTGGAGCGGTAATTGCACAGTGTCCAATATCTCATCTTTAACGTCCTTCAGGCCACCGATGTCATCCCATTTCACGTTCGGTATAGAGGGTGCCCCAATACTGGATGCATAATTATCCTTTGTCTGTTTCAGGGCTAAATGTATATCTTCAGCGGAGAGAGTGATACCAGCGCTCAATATATCGCCTATATCACAGTTCAAGCTTTTAGCCATACGCATAACCCTCTCTAATGCAATTATCTGAGCTCGTGCAATGAGGTTGGAGATGTCATCAGCGAATAATGAGGCTGTTTGATCAGCTATCTCAGCTACTGAAACATCATTAGAGAGTTGCATATTTGAGAGAATTGAGGCTATATACTCTAAGCGTTCTGATCTCTTGGGCGCTTCAATTTTCACTTCGTGTTTGAAACAGCTAACGCACTCATTCGCTAAATTGGTGGAGTCGTTCGTAGTAGCTGTGAAAATGTTGGGGAGGCTGGAAGATCGCGATATGCTTCTTAAATACTCTAAGCATTCTTTCAACGCACTCAATACACGCCCAGCCTTCTTGTCTTCCGAGTCGGAAAATAAGGCATCGATGTTTTCGAATTGCACTACTAAGGGTAAGCAGCTAGCTGCTTTTTCAATAGTTGCTTGTATCGATCCAATCACTTGCGACTGATTGTCGTCTGCTATATCATAGCAGTTCAGATGCAAGTAGTGTAATCCTAATGCTGACGAGGCAGCTTTTAAAGCTTCGGAGCTTGACTGTCCGACTATCAGCAATGTCAATTGCATATCCAACCCAAGTTTGAACGACTTGACGGCAGACTTGAACAGACTTTGGATCTCCTGGTACGATTTGAAGGGCGACTGGTGTGCACTTGCCGGTATATAAGACTGATTCACGCCAAGCATAACCATTTCAGTTTGGTCTGGCAGCACCCATGCGCCTAGGTTGTCGTTCGGAGGTGATGCGGTTAGGTTCGTAATCTTGAACCAGACTTTACTAATTTTTTTGGAGCTTTTGAGCGGATGATTATACTCGTTATTTTCCCCATCCTCTTCAAATCTTGGCTTGTCGACTAACTCATCAGATATATCGACCTCGATGAGATCACCACGCTTGTAGAGGCGGGGTTGAACGATAAAGTGATGATGGAGTGCGGCGTAGAATCTTTGCTGGTATTGCTTGTTGAGTGATATTGGTGACGATACCCTTGATATTGTAACAGAAGAAGCGGTTGGAATTATTGGCTGGTTAATTGACTTGAGGATGAGTTTGCTGTCTGGGGAATTACTGCCACTGTTGAGATTAAAGAGGAGTAGCGGTGAGAGTTGGGCAGAGTAGCTGTGCAGTGGTTGTTCGGATAGTTGTAGCTGCACCAATCTGGGTGAAGAGAGAGTCGTTTGAGCAAGTACCTTGGGTATTTAGTCAACAATTAGACCCGGATTCGAACCAGAAACCTACCCAATCACCGTTGTACACTTCTAAAGCCGCCAAATGAGATGGCTTGATGGTTATTTGATGAGATGACGTTGTAGGCGATAGACTGACATCAAGGTGCAATTGACTGGCTGCAGAAGGCGTAGATAGTATGGATTTGTGTAGGAATGAGTGTGAGATGTTTAGCTCTTCATCATCATCGTCGTCGTCATCGACATCGACTACCGGAAAAGTACCCGAGGTGAGTACGCTAAATATCCTCGTACGCTTACCAACAACGCCAGTTTTGAATGGCTGGGTGTGTATTGGCCTATACGCTTTGTGATTGATCCTGTACAGCGCATCTCTCCGAATAAAACGCCCTACGAGGTCTTCTCTGTCTGACTGAGTGAGTGCTTCAGCCGTGTGGAGATAAATTTCCTCAAGCTCAAGCTCAACGTTGCTTCTGTGCTGGCTAAATATCAAAGACATTCCACACTACACCGTCATCGACGTGATTAAAGCGATAGATATAGTATAATACAAATTAATATTCCGATAAAATTAATTTGCGTGGGTGGTATAGCGCTCGTAGCATGTGAAATTGTCGTGCAGCTTGTGTTTGCGATTGAATACGTGTGCAAGCTAGCCTTCAGTTGGGTGGTGTTGTAGTAGTAACAAGTCGGTTGAGTGTGATTCTGGCATTCGGTACTTTGAAAATCTCCGCCAACGGCGCTGCAGGCCATCTTTATAGCCTGGCGCCGTATTTCCGAATCGTTAGGCGTATACACGAAAAAGGTGCCTGTGCACCCCCTATCGCCGTCGTCGAAGCATGTAGAGCTTTCCATTTAGTGGTGCAACTGCGAACGCGTCAGCCTTATTACCGCTGCCAATTTCCTGCCTACTATCCCAGTCCCACTTTGCGGTTTGGTGTGATGAGCAACATATAAAATGCCTGGACGAACGTAATTGATCTCAGGAACCGAATTAGAGATACAAATTTGACCGATTTTATATTTTCTCATAGATGCGAACGATGCAACGCGCATTCTCCAACTTGATGGGATAATCTATGCTTTCAGACAGCCTGAACCACTTGGAATCCTCGGAACACACCTTGTTCCACTTGCTCTGCAGGGTGTGATCGAGTATCATCGTCAGCGGGTACTCTCGCCCACCGCCTCCGACTTGTATATTCGATAAGCCAACGCTCTCCGCAACAACCAGCTTTGTGCCAGGCTTAGACTGCTCAGTTATCTTGTTGAGGAGCTGCAAAGTGGACTTCTTGGACTGAATAAAAAGCTCTGATATTGTAAACAGTATCGTTATCATATCCACTCCCTCATAAGAAATACTGCTGTCACTTAAGACGTTTTTATTGAGAAATTCAACGTCTACGCCATCCTTGAATTCAGTTTGCAGCCTATTAACCACCTTGTCCCACTTTCCAATGTCTATCAGCGAAAGCTGCACGTCGCTTAAACCAATCTCTTCTACTAGATGCTGCATTCCACTCAGCTCAGATCCTGCTCCTCCTCCGATGCTGTTAACACGCATCCCGTCTCTCAGTCCAAGCAGCCTGCTGTGTTCCTTCATCATCCTGTAGTACACAATAGCCCTCGACGGCACGTATCTCGCCAGATACGCATCGAGATACTCGTCATTCCCAAACGCTTCCAAGTAGTTTTTGTTGTACAGGTCACGCTTCAAACATTGCAATATACTGCTGAAATACCTGCTCGTAATCGTAGATGATGTAATTTTCTTGAACTTATCGACCAATGCTTGTTCTCGATCGGGTGATTCGGAGATCATGATATATCTTGATGATTTGAGTTAAAGGGGTAGGAATTTGCAATTCGAGGGCTTCTGAGAGTAGCATGTAAAAACTTACAGAGAGAGTAGGAAGTCTGTGACTGCGACGAACATTTGGCCGCAAAAGTTTTTCCGCGACAAAGACACAAAGTACTAAATAGGAATAAGTCTAAATGCATCGAAATATATTACAAGTATCCGAAAAATCCATAATCTATGCTGTTACTGTTTTATCCGACTGTTCGCTCTTCTCCTCCAAACCCAGCATCTCCTTCTCGCGTTGCTCATACTCTCTTATAGATTGGCTAAACTGCGACTTCTGTCTGATCTTCTCCCCGTACTTAAACAGAATAAATGGTACCACCCCGAGCAATGCCGCTATGATTGCTATAGTGCAGCTCGTCCAGTTGAAACCCGTCATTGAGTCATACCACCGGGTGATATAAAGCGGTGTAGTTCCACCCATGAGATTTCTAAAGACATTCTGTGCAGATATAGCCGAAGACGCATAGAGTCTGTAAGCATCGCTCATGTACGCGAAGGAGGTATTGTAGATGATGTAGATACTGAACAGGATGACAGTGAGTCCTACACACTGCCCCATCCAATGGACATCCGGATAAGACGTCCATGCATAGATGAAGCATCCAACAGGGAGGCAAACACCACCCACCATAGCCAGGTACAGTCTAGCTTCCGGTGTCCTCTTTTTCTGGTAGAGTCTCTCCTGCAAAAAGTAGTTGGCAATACCGCCAAGGGCCAATCCCAATACGAATGTGATGTAAAGCAACCCGATTGAGCCAGGTGACCAATCGCGCTGTGTCTGGAATATGTGTCCGATAGAAGAAATGATAGAATAGAAAATAAACCACGCGAAACCCATCCATAGCGAAAACGCGATGACTATAGGCTCGGTGAAGAGAATGTAAATAGGTCGCGTCACAGACACTGTCATGAGTTGTTTGAAGTTTGGTCTCTCCAATTCCGATTTGGCTACATAGCGATTATCACCTGTCTTTTTGCGCAGCTTCTTTGCTTTTGCGTTAAGTACAGCAGATGCGCGTGTCTCTCCCATTGCAATGATGAAGAAAAACCATACGAATGTAGCGATGAGCTCGACGTATTCTATCCATTCGTAACCGAGGCCCTTCTCCATCATCCACGAGAAACAAAGTGGAAAAATTCCAGCCTGTTGTCTTCATTAGAACGGTTTGTTTCAACAGCTGGTTCGCACTCACACCCTGCAATGCTGACATAGAGAAAAACGACATGGGTATGCCCCTAGTCTCGTCGTCGAAAATGTCAGCAATAGATCCACCGACGAGTGTCGAACCTGCAGTATGTTAGTTTTGGCTGTTTGTTTCGAGCCGAACATACCGGTCGACGCTGCCAAACCGCTTATTAGTCTACCCAGCACAACTCCGGTTATGGTGGGCGACAGCGAGATAGTGATAAACATGCACATAAAGATAAAGTAGCTAACTACGTATACTCTGTATCTGCCGATTATTTCTGAAAACGGAGCCAGAAAGAGCGGTCCAAGTGCGTAGCTGGGTTTGAGGTGAGTTGTGACGCTTTGAGCTCGAAATCTCCATACCCAATAACATAAATGCTGCGTAAGAGTATTAGAGGTGCTTATCATCGTTCGTTCTCGCACTCACCCTAATCCGAGCTCGAACAAGGTGGAAGAAGTGTTGAGCTGCTCAATCAAATCAGCTTCAGCGCCAGGAGCTGCATAGCCTGAATAGTATAAATCAGATACTCTATCGCCGTTTTACAGAGCTATTTCGTACCACTAGACGCCCCGCTAACCAAAAATGAGAAGCCACATAAAGCCAGCGTTGTAAAGTACTTCCGCCTTAATCACAATCTTAGACGCCTGCTTCGAAAATCTACGTAACCCACGGCTTAGACCAGTTAAAGGGATTCTCGTGCTCCTCTAACGATACCCAAATGACCTCGCTATCCTTGCTGGCCTCATTGTCATCTTTGCTCATAGCTTGATTTGCGTTTCGTCGTAAGAATTAAACCGATGTCCCGGTGAATGTAACTATGACTGTTTCTATGACTCACCCAACCGAGCTTATTCCACTCTAGCCGAAATCGCCTTTCATAATCACAATCAACCTAAAACGGAAGAGAATGGTAGCCACCGGAATTGATCCTGGTGATGATAGCTTCAGCCGGAGTTTAAGCAGATGCAGCACAGTCCACGATTCTACTCCGCCAGAACAGAAATCAGTCTCAAATTGGGTGGAAATCGACGACAGTGATGACCCTCAACGCTGGCCGCAGTCTGAGAAGCTCAAGGTTATGATTGCTACAATCGGATTTTGTATTCTGGTATCAGGTGCATCCTCTTCGTTCGCTGTCGGAGTTTCAAGTATGGTCGACGATCTCCATACTTCGACAGAATTGGGTAGCACGGCGTTGGCTATTTTCGTTATTGGCTTTGCTATAGCTCCTATGTTCTTCGCCGGGGCGTCCGAAGAGCTCGGTAGAACTCCTATGTATGCTATCACGTTTACTATCTATGGCGCTATGTTTCTACCTATAGGATTATGCAGTAGCATCACTGGCATCATTATTTCTCGCTTTATTCAGGGTCTCGCTGGTAGCTCTGGCAGCACTATGGTCGCCGGTTAGTTGGCTACCCACTCTAGAGCAACTTTTGACGCTTGGTTGCAGGAACAATATCAGATCTATATGGTAGCCATGAAAGGGGCATCTATATGAGCTTTTTTGCCTTGAGCACAATGTCTAGTAAGTTTGACTGCAATTACAAAATTCTCAATCTCATCGATCACTAGGCACGGGTATCACACCTATGGTCTACTCATTTGTGCCACTAAAAACATCGCTCAGTGTTGCAGGTAGCTCCGGTCAAGGTGGTTGGCGCTGGATTCAGATAATACAGTGTATAGTGACAGCGTGCTACGGCATAGTCATGGTTTTGTTTCTGAAAGAGACGCGCATAAACGTCATAATGAAGAAAAAGGCTAGGAGAATGCGCAAAGAGACTGGAGATACAACAATCAAGGCACATGCAGAAGTGTTCAAGCCAACTAAGAAGGAATTACTGCAACAAAGTCTCTTCAGACCCATGCAATACTTAACCCAAGAACCTATAGTAATCGCTTTTAGCTTCTTTATCGGATATGCCTGGGCTATCTTCTACTCTTTTATTGCCAGTATCACTCACGTCTTCCTCACTCTTTACGAAGATAACTACGGCATGAATCAGGGTACTGTAGGATACGTTTATGCTTCGATCGTAGTGGGTAGTGTGTTTGGTTTCCTCTTCAACTACTTTTTCCAGGAGAAATTTTTCTTCCAACGTTTCAACAAGAGTCGTCCCGTTGAGGCAAGACTAGGCGGTGCGATGGCATCGGGAATTATTTTTCCAATTGGTGCATTCATATACGCATTCACTCTATACCCACACGTCCACCCAGCCGGACCTTGTGTCGGGCTGACCGTCATCCTAACAGGCATGTTTTCCATCTACCTATCATCTATGTCATATCTAGCAGACTGTTACCAAGCAAACGCCAGTAGTGCATTAGCTGCGATTGCTTTGATTCGTAACCTGACCGGAGGTGTAGTTATTCTGGTAATAAGGCAGTGGTATGATGGGATGGGATTTGTTTGGGCTGGTTTACTTATTAGCCTTCTGGCTGTAGTGTTTGCTACAGTACCCATAGCGCTCTTCTTCTTTGGCAAACAATTGCGAATGAGGTCGAAATTCGCTCAGGAGATAGCAAAGATGTTGGAGGACGAGCGACTTGCAGTAAAGCAGGAGCAATTCAGTGAGAACCCCGTTGAGATAGACAGACGCACGTCTATACAGCAGGTGTAAGGGTACATCTGTATATTTTGGATTATTTGGATTATTTTCGGATCATTTACAGCATTTTTCACCTCATTTAGAGCATTTTTCCACATTTTTCGCACTTTTCAAGAATCAGCCAATTGCATTTACATAAATTCAAGCATTGTAAAATACATTTTGATGAAATTAACGCGTTTTTTTACGCGACTTGTGCTGAGTCAATTCAAACCTTATCGTTAAAATTCGGTAGGGTATCCGAGTGAGAAGATAAAAATAGATTGTTTATCTGGCGACGTCTACAAAGAACTTGTCAAAGATCCTTAATCACAATTAATTCTTCTACTTCACGCGTCCATCACCTAAACGCTCCTAGCGAGCTAAGCCGATCAAGTAGCAGCACAATAGATGTGAATTTAGACACTCGAGAGACATACAACGACAATTCAAACTATAAATCAGACACGGATAAGGACAGTCAGCATGTTCAGCACATATTCATAGAGATTGACGACAAGGATGATCCGATGCGATGGCCCAAGTATAAAAAGATGAGGATAGCGATAGCAGCTATTGGTTTCTCAGTTTTCGTGTCTGCCAGCACGGCTACCTTTGCACAGGGATTGTACCAGCTCGTGACCGATCTGGATACCACCACCGAGCTCGCGAATGTAGCTCAGGGAATCTTCGTCGTTGCTTTTGCTTTCCCGCCCATGCTTCTGGCAGGGCTTTCGGAGGAATATGGAAGGAGTAAGATGTGAGTGGTTGAGTGATTCGCAACACAAGTCTAACAAGACTTAGATTCCTCGTCTCTTACGCTCTCTACACACTTTTGCACCTCCCGATAGCCCTATCGACGAATATTACAGGCGTTATCCTCGGTCGTCTCTTCCAAGGCTTGGCAGCGAGTACAGGATCGACGCTGACGGCTGGTACGATAGCTGATATTTATACGGGCTATCATCGAGCACTGTGGATGTCAATTTTTGCAGCCTCTTCTCCTCTAGCCACCGGGGTTGCACCAGTTGTTTACTCATACGTACCCTCCAACTACGCGCTGCACTTCAAAGGTAGCAGTGGTGTTGGCGGATGGCGCTGGATACAAATTATCCAGATGATAGTGGCATTTGTGTGGGGTATTGTTCTGTGTTTATGGTTTAGGGAAACGCGCGTAAACGTAATCATGAAGAAGAAGGCTAGAAGAATGCGCAAGGAGACTGGCGACCACTCTCTCCAAGCTGAAGCGGAGCAGTACCGGATGTCGAAGCATCAGATGTTTCGTAATAGCTTCTTACGACCGTTGAAATTCTTACTGACAGAGCCAATAGTGGCTGTAATGAGCATGTTTATCGGGTGAGTTATAATTAAAACCGACAAGCCTGCACGCTTGTTATGTTGATAGTTCTCTTACTCCGACTTAGGTTCGCCTGGGCTGTCTTTTTCTCTCTACAGGCTAGCATATCGCACGTCTTCTTGACTCTGTATAGCGACAACTATGCCATGACTCATGGCTCCGTTGGTTTCGTCTTTATCGCCATCATAGTGGGTACTGTTATTGGTTTTGTTTTCAACCTCTACTTCCAAGAAAAGTGGTTTTACGACAAGTTTCATCCGCGCTACTCTGTCGAAGCTAGGCTCGGCTCGAGTATGGTATCCGGTATTGTTTTCCCTATCGGCGCTTTCATATATGCGTTCACAACGTACAGTTTCGTGCACTGGATTGCGCCGTGCATCGCAATCACGGTAATTATGGCAGGTATCTTTCCAATCTACTACAGCTCAATGAATTATCTCTCTGAATGTTACGGAACGACGGCATCCTCAGCACTAGCGTCTATAGCGATGGTGCGAAATCTGACAGGTGAGGCGTTTGTGGATGATTGCGAGGTTTTTATTTCTAACTGCTCTCTCTCTCCTAGGCGGGTGCATTCAATTCGTTATTCTCCAATGGCTCGACGGACTCGGGGATAGATTTCAGTATGCGCTGCTTATGATAGCAGTGATGGCTACAGCGTTAGCAGTGATACCGATTGCACTCTTTCTATTCGGGTCTCGTATACGCCAGCGATCGACGTACGCGCAGGCTATATCTGCCAACGAAAGCGCAACAGTTGCTGAAAAAGATTAGCTTGATAGACGCGAGTCTGTCAATCAGGCGTAGTGTCGATTGTGATTATAGATAATTAGCAGGAATGTCTTGGGAAAAGAAAATTGTCTTCATCTATAAAGGATTGATTGATATTCTAATATTTCATCTATAAAAGTCTGATATCTAAAATTGCACGCCATTTACACGCCACTCGAGAGTTCGGCATACTGTCTGCTGCTCATCTCGCTTAAACGCGAGACAGCTCTAGCGAAAGCGAAGACCTCTTCCTGGCCGGTGAACATAGACGACGCCCCAACAGTGTCAGCGTTGAGGCCCTGAGTGTGTGTGAGGGGGGTTACGAGAGGGAGTCGAAGCAGCACCATCGTGCCAGTGTGCCAAGAATCCACTCACCAGATCATCCATCGCAGAACGCATCACGTCGGTGATTTCACCTGCGTTGCTTGACTCATCTGCGAAAATAGCCTCAATCGGCACCTGCGAAAGGAGGAGGAGGCGAGCTTTCGATTCGTAAGCTGCGTCAATGAAGGTGATGAAACGGCGGGCCTAGAGGTAGAGTGGAGAGGGAGTAGATGTTAGCGTAAGCGTCAGCACTACTTATACTACCAAAAGCACACCCACCTGATCCTTCACATTGAGGGAGAGCTGCGGGATATCGTCTACAAAGATAGTGTTGAACGTGGCCACTATCTCGAGATAGTCCGCAGCACTGAGAGGCATTCCGCAGAGCTGAGAAAAGGAGAACCGCGCAACGTTGCCGTCGGAGCTGCTAAGTGGGATGCGCAGTGGACGGCCCCACACGTGCAGCTCTCTATTATGGATCACATCAGGAGTAGCATCCGCAGTGGCCTCCCACATCTTTTCAAATTCCGTTCTGTTCGCTGAATCGATAGGAGAGAAATAAACCTTAGTACTGGCGCGTGGTAATTTGCGGTAATCAGTGCCCGAGTTTAGAGAAACAACATCAAATGCCGTCTTGAGAAGGGAGATGCAAGGAAGGAAAGAGTCGCGCTGAATGCCATTTGCGTACAGCTCATCGGGATGTCTGTTACTAGTCATAACCGCCACAACACCGCGATCGATCAGACCATCGAACAACCTGCGCAGGATCATCGCATCGACTATATCGACCACTTGGAATTCATCGAAGGAGAGCACGGTGCATTCTTGGGCTAGCAACTCTATCACGTCAGCTAAAGGATCAGAAGAGCCTGCCACGCGCGCTACGTGTATCCGCTTGTGCACGCTCTGCATAAACGCGTGAAAATGCCACCTCTGCGCGCGGTCGCGGAGGTGGGACGGGACTGTGTTGTGGAAGAGGTCCATGAGCATTGATCTGTGTGAGTGTGAGAGTGAGTTTGTGCTATATAAACAACCTCAACTCACTTCCCCGTGCCTACGTCGCCGTAGAGATACAGACCATGTGGGATACGGGAGCGTTTATCTTCGATGGCCTGTGCGCGTTCGGAATCAAGTAGCGCCTGCGATTTACCTCCAATGACCCGTTTCCACCACGGCAGCGGCGCGGTAGATGCACTAATGCGGCTGTCTAGTGCAAATAGTGCGCTGGGATTATACGTCGTCAGCTCGCAATGGAGATCATTGAGTCGGGCTATAACCCGGGATTGGTGACTATCAGCATTGAGAACACCCGTTTTAACGAGGTCTTTGTATTTCTCTATTGGCGTGTTCGTGGATGAAGCTGTGTGCGGTGTGTTGCCCCCTCTGCTTCCCTCTTCGCCCGCATATCCATCCTCTGTCTCCTCAGCGCTGAGCGTGGTGTGCGTGCTGTAAACTCTACCACTAATTCTGCCCATTTTATTAAAACTCGTGTGCCTTATCCCACTGCGAACACTCCTCGGTATTCCTCGAATCACCTGCGCCAATCGCGACGTCATCATGGAAGCAAAGAGGGGACTGAAGCGAGAAGACAAAAACAAAAAAGTCGAGTAACAAATAAAACAACGCAAAAGGATCGGAAGAATGCAATGTGTATTATTATTTCGTTAAGTGACAGATACATCTAAATAAAACATGAAATGGTGTGTAGGGGATAAATACAGCTAACTAATTTAGTCAACCTCCTCAACAGATGGGCCATCACCGCCACCTTGGCCTTCAGCACCTGGGGCAGGTGCACCACCTGGCATACCGCCTGGAGCACCGCCTTGACCGTAGAGCTTCTGCATGATTGGTGAGGCAACACCCTCAAGTTCCTTCTGGCGACTCTCAAACTCATCCTTGCTAGCAGCTTCAGAGTTGTCGAGGAATGAGATTGTCTCGTTGACAGCCTCATCCAACTTCTTCTTGTCATCTTCACCGAACTTGTCCTTGAGGTTGTCGTCATTCATTGCGTTACGCAAGTTGTAGGCGTATGACTCAAGTCCGTTACGTGCGTGGATTCTTGAGGCTGCTTCTTCATCCTCAGCCTTGAACTTCTCAGCATCACTAACCATTCTCTCAATGTCCTCCTTAGTAAGACGACCCTTGTCGTTAGTGATGGTGATCTTGTTGCTCTTACCGGTAGTCTTGTCAGCAGCGTTAACGTTCAAAATACCGTTAGCGTCAATGTCGAAGGTAACCTCGATTTGTGGTACACCACGTGGTGCTGGTGGAATACCAGAAAGTTCGAATTTACCGAGCAAGTTGTTGTCCTTGGTACGAGCACGTTCACCCTCGAATACTTGGATAAGGACACCTGGTTGGTTGTCGGCGTAAGTAGAGAAGACCTCAGACTTCTTGGTTGGAACAGTAGTGTTACGCTTGATGAGTGCAGTCATCACACCACCTGCAGTTTCAATACCGGTTGAGAGTGGAGCAACATCGAGAAGGAGCAAGTCTTGAGTCTTCTCTGAAACATCACCGCTGAGGATCGAAGCTTGGACAGCAGCACCGAAAGCAACAGCCTCATCAGGGTTGATGGAGCGGTTAGCCTCCTTACCGTTGAAGAAGTCAGCAACGAGCTTTTGGATCTTTGGAATACGAGTAGAACCACCAACAAGGACAATGTCGTGGACAGAGGACTTGTCAGCCTTGGCATCACGGAGAACGCTCTCGACAGGCTCCATGGTGTTACGGAAAAGATCTTGACAGAGTTCCTCGAAACGAGCACGGGTGATTGACGAGTAGAGGTCCATACCCTCGAACAAAGAGTCGATTTCAATGGTAGTTTGAGCAGCAGATGAAAGGGTACGCTTGGCACGCTCACATGAAGTGCGGAGACGACGCATAGCACGAGCGTTGTCGGAGATGTCCTTCTTGTTCTTACGCTTGAATTCTTGAACAAAGTGGTTGACGAGACGGTTGTCAAAGTCCTCACCACCAAGGTGAGTGTCACCAGCAGTGGACTTGACTTCGAAGATACCCTCCTCGATGGTGAGGAGTGAGACATCGAAGGTACCACCACCCAAATCGAAGATAAGGACGTTGCGCTCACCCTCAGTCTTCTTGTCGAGACCGTAAGCAATAGCAGCAGCGGTTGGCTCGTTGATGATACGCATGACGTTGAGACCAGCGATCAAACCGGCGTCCTTGGTAGCTTGACGTTGTGAGTCGTTGAAGTAGGCTGGAACGGTAACAACGGCGTCCTTGACGGTGGTACCGAGGTAAGCCTCAGCAATGTCCTTCATCTTGACGAGAACCATTGCGCTGACTTCCTCAGGAGTGAATTGCTTCTTCTCGCCCTTGTACTCGACCTCGATCTTTGGCTTGTCGGCTGAGTCTTGGATGAGCTTGAATGGCCAGTGCTTGTTGTCAGCCTGGACATCGTCATCAGAGAACTTGCGACCAATCAAACGCTTAGCGTCGAAGACCGTGTTGTAAGGGTTCATAGCCGTTTGGTTCTTTGCGGCGTCACCAATCAGACGCTCAGTGTCTGTGAAAGCGACGTATGAAGGGGTAGTGCGGTTACCTTGGTCGTTGGCGATAATTTCGACTCTGTCGTTTTGCCAGACAGCGACACAGGAGTATGTTGTACCCAAATCGATACCTGGGATATTTGTTAGTTTAGCTGCTATGAAATTCCTATAACCCTCACCAATTGCTTTGCTAGATGTCATTATTTTATTTTGTGATGGTTATGTGAGAAGCCCCTTCGCTGGCTTATATTTGGTGAAATTTTGTCAAATTCCCGAAGTTAAGAGAAGATGAGAGAATGTTCCCGAAATGTCGTGGGTGAGGGTGAGAGGGGTATCATTGAGATCGCGCGGATTCGGTGATTCTGTTGGTGCTTTACATGTGTACAATTGGTTTATTGTGGGTGCGCCTATTGACGTCATCTGCGGACTGCGTCGTCTTCTTGATTGAAAATACGAATATATTCATCAATTGTATTACAAGATATAAATCATTCATTCTCTCCTAGTAAAAGTGCTCTGCTTGAGGTATTGGGTTGCGAATAGCATCTGGAGTAAGTCTACTAATATCTGCCGACAATTTACACTCTGTGATAATATCAGCGAGTACTTTGCCTGTAGCAGGGCCTAATAAAATACCCCACACGCTATGTCCAGCGCCGACGTGAATGCCCGGTGAGATGGTCCCTATAAGTGGATTGCTTGAGCTACCAGTAGGTATTGGCATATAGCAGGCTTGTTCGGCGACTACCTCAGTCAGGCTACCTTGGTATGTAGAGAAGTGTTGTGGGGAGATAAGTGCGGCTTCCTTCTTGAGCTGGGCGATGCTGGCTGCATCTACCTCAACCTCCGCCGCCGTATTCGGTAGCCTGGCGTCATCTGCACTGCCACATACAAACGCCGTACCATCTGGCCTAGCAAACAGCTCTGGCTCTGATGGCTGATGGCCGCGGACTAGTAGATTGACAAATAAACAGTGGGCTGACATATGCAGCTGGCTCGGTGGCTGGAGGATAATGGAGTGAATGCGTTGGCCATCGACGCGTGCAATGTTTGATTCTTCACGTGTGAGTGTGTCAGCTGCTAATTTGCCTGTCCATGGACCAGTGGCGAATACGACATGGTCACACTCAATCTGCCACTCATTTTCACCATCTGAGACAGTTGCTGATCTTGGTCTATTCTCCTTGTCTTGGTTTCTTTCAATCGATATCAAGTGGGCTTTGACGAAGGTGGCTTTTGATTGTGCTAATAACATTTCCACTAACGGACGCGGATTCACCTGTGCACACATATTCGGTGATCCTAGCAAATTGCACTCGGAGACAATCACATTCGGATCAACCCAATTTGTACCAAACTTCTTGTGTTCATATTGAGGGCATTTTCGATGACCAATTTCTGCAGATAAGTTGAGTGCTGTTACTCTGCGATAACCCCAGTTGCGTGGACCGTCCAACTTGTCAGCGAGATCTTGGTGTATACGCCAGCTCAATTGAGATAATGAATTTGAATCAGGGCCATTCCAATCGGCAGCAATGAAACCACCTGCTTTTCCTGAGGCACCGGGTGCAATGCCTGAGGAATCGATGATAGTGATGTGAGCTGGATCCTGAGACTGTGATAGGAAGTAGGCAGTTGAAGTACCAACAATACCACAACCAACGATTAAAACGTTTTTATTTGACATTTATACAGTGGATGTTTAAAATGAAAATTAATTTATTTTGTACCTTGTAGTACACATACTTATGGGAGTAGTACATGATGAATTGGCTGTGGTTAAGAGGATCAGATATAAGAATATAAATGCTTTAAGAGGTCAAATTTGGTTTAATTGGCTCGATTTATTCATCAATTCAGTCAGTAGGCTGCTCAAAGAAAAGACAGCAGCCAACCAATCAAAAGCCACGCACGCAGCGCTTAAACTCACGGAATTCCTAGATTACCAGCTAAAGCTAACGCATTTCATTCCAATTACACTCACGTTACTTGGTTGTGTGGCTAGAATATGGGATTGGATGGGATCCGTTTCCATATCTCATTAGCATTCCATTCCAAGGGTTTCGTATAAAATTCATAACATGGCTCTCTTTCTCTTTCTTAGAACACTGTAAACAATCAGTAGAATGTCCCTCCTCATCACTCTCACCAGATTCTTCAAAGTCGTAATCATCGCCTTCTCCATCGCGATTATCGTGTTGGGTGCTGTATATACCAGAGACGTAAGCGACTGGTTTAGCCATGCCCGCTATGCATCAGCCGTCGCCGCTCTCCTCGCCGCATCAGCCTTAAACCTCCTCACAACCCTCATCCCGCTCACATACGGTGGTTTATCCGTCGGCCTCAACGTTCTCCTCTACCTCTTCAACTTCCTCTTCACATTCGCAACTGCAATCGCTGTTGCTGCCCTGAGAGAAGGCAGAGGCGGTATGGCTTACTGCCGCGACTTGCAACCAAACAGGATGTTCTCGCACTGTTTCGACCAGTATCTCGCTCTCATCGTATTAGGCTTCCTCCTCGCCTTCTTCGACCTCTTCCTCGTCATCATTTACCCCATCGCGGTGATGCTCCACAACAAACGCGTCAACCAGTCAAATGGGTTTAGAACGAGGACTGACAGTCTCTTACCAAAGCAGCAGGAAAATTGAAGATGTTTTCTCTTAACTTTGTTCTCCTCTCTTCACTCATGTACCGTGCATCCACATTAATTTTTAATACCTAATCTTAATATCACATCGGATTATATTGTCCGTTTACCTTGATTTCTTTATCTGGCTGCTTTGCCTTAACTTAAATGGCTGAAGATGGTTTTGTCTGTGTTTTCTTAATCCTTGTTTTCTCTTCTCATTCACAATTTACAGGGCTGCGCTGGCCTCATATCCATCTGCTGCGTGTCCATTATCGAACCCATCTGCAACACGCACAGATGCGGTATGTGCAACGCGTGCTCCTGCAACTGCTGCAAATGCTGCCAAAATAAATTTGATCAAGATAATTGGAATGCACACAAGAGTCCATTTGACAGGGATGACGGTGACACAGCGACCACCCAGCAACCCACACAGCAGCCCAATATGAACGTCGGTGGCGATGCTGTTACTCTAAGCAACAACCCACCTCCACCTCCATACTCAACTCAATGAAAATTAACCTGGGTATCTTCTTTTGTATCTTCCCTACAATTCAATTCACTTTCCGTTTAAAACCCTCCAGCTAACTTTGTTGCCGCTTCTCTCGCATTTATACGCTTCTTATCCGCCTTGTGTCTTGATATACTTGCCGTCGACTGTGACATGCTTTCTCTGCTTGCTGAGGTCGGTGTCGGTGTGGCCTGGGCTGGAAGTACTGATGACTGTGATAGCGTCGTGCGTGATGTATCTACTCTACCCGTCAATGCACTAGCCGAGGCACCCAGTGGATCACTTGAGTTTGTTTGCTTGATTTGCTTATTCTGATTTTGCTCCTCATCTTGCTCCTGCTCCTGTGTCTTTTCTTGTTTCTTCTCCTGCTTCTTCTCTTGCTCATACTCCCGCTGCTGCTCCTTCTCTTTCTCTTCCACGCCCCCCTCCACACTCCCACTCCCACCCACGTCCATCCCTTCAACCACCCTCTGGACGGCCTGCAACTCACCAATTTTAAGACGGGAGTGCTCAACACCCAAAGCGGCGTGTTCACTGAGTAGATGAACGAGATCTTCCTCTGTCTGTTTATCATGAACAGCGAGAGCCTGATGAAGATGCAGCCCTACGAGCTGAACCTGCTGAGCGAGGTTATCCTCGACAGTCTGCGCCTCTCTCAATTCACCTAGGGACGAATCCGCCCTCTGTACGTTAATCGCCCTACCACCCTTCATGCGTTCTACTGCGCGTCTCTTCGAGATAGAGCGCTGCACTGCGCGCTGATAGTCATCCTGTAGTTCGTTACGCTGCACGAGTGTGTATCTTACTGCTCTCGCATCGCGCGCGCAATAAATTAGCCCGTCATATAGTGTCACCAGCTCTCCCGCACAATGCCGCAGTCCTACCTCGCCCATACGCCCAGCACACCGCGAAAGCTTCTCCAAGGAATGCGCCAGACTCGGCATGTGTACTCGCTCCGCACCAGATAGGGTCAATAGTCGCTCACTTACACTCGTCTCAGCTGTCGCACTGTCACGTTGACGACGTATCACCATCTCGAGTGTACCGACGACGCGTTGGAGTGCCTTCTCTTGATCTTTAGCTACCGCTTGCGCTTGTATTAGGTATGCGTTGGTGTCTTCGTTCTCGTCTGCCGTATTAGTTGCGTCAGACCCGTTAGAGGCGTTGGTTGGGTCGTCGCTATATGCTGCGTGAACCTTTTCTTCCTTCGTCACCGCTGCCCCTCCTCCTCCTCCGCCCCAAAGCCCCAGATTAGGGAGTTTGTTGGATAGCTTAAAGTTGATACCCCCGCCACGTGGTTTGAACAGCTGGACAGGAACGTAGGAGAATTTGTTCATGATAAATGCACGCATATCGCTGTCGTTGTGCAAAGCAACATCCCCACTGACCCTATCAAACCAGCGCTGAAGTGCGAGACGCACACGACGGTCATCTTCCTCTTCGCTCTGTGCGTTGGAGGAGTTGGCGGGGAGTGCGGGAATGATAGTGGAAGGGTGTGCCTGAGTGAGCTGCTCACTCAACCGCGTCACCTCATCGTATGTGCGCTGTACACCACGATAAACAGAGCTGTTGCGAGATGTTGCTGTCCCACCGCCTGTATCATAGTCGGGGATATTCGTACTCGCGTCAAATTCAACAAGATAGTCACGTCGATTCTTGGTAATACCAGTAACGCGAATTTTGAGGAAAGGGGGGGAATCAGCCGTGGTTGTATGGTTATTACTGCTTTTAATGCTGTTGCTACCAGCAGTGGTTATGACAGATGGCTGCGCAAGTGGGGCTGTTGGCTGGCCATATATCTTAGCAGTGGAGGGTATACTGAGAGTGGATGAGTTCCTGCTGCGTGGTGGTTGCTGTGTATGCTGTTGCTGTTGACGCTCCCTTTCCCTCTCTTCCAGCGCTGGCAAAGGCTTATCCGTGGAGAGAGATGTGTGCAGTGAGTGCGACGCCGGCGCATCTTCCCAGGCGTTTGAGCTGTCGTAGAGTGTTGGAGCTGATTGGCTGAGTGGATCACTGTTCATCGTCCAGGAACAAGAAGTAAAAGAAATAAAATAAAAAATATAATTATTCAGGTTATCTGATAACCATCATGTCGAGAAGCACACAAGTTACAATCACCGCCGCACCTTGGAAATCACTGCTAGAGAATACGCTAAATGAAAATAAAGAAAAGACTAAAAATATATTCAACGTTGCTGTTGGTACAGTCCAAGGGAATAGACCTAGAGTGAGGATGATGGTACACAGGGCATTCCAAGGAAATCTACTCCTTACGACAACTGATATACGTATGAACAAGATACATCAATTGGAAGATTCCTACGTTGATAACAAAGGCTCACCAATCGATTATGTCTTCTGGATTGAACCTGCTATCCGTCAATTCAGATTCACCGGTAACGCTTTCCTTCTGCCTTCACCTTGTCATCGTAATCCAACTCCCTTATCAGATTACCTCATTAATTCTGGTATCGACTTTGAGCAGAAACGCATTGACATCTATAACTCCATGTCACGCTCTTTACGCGCTTCTTTCGCTAAACCTTTCTCGCCTGGAAGTCATAGATCTTGGGATGAAAATTCTCATCCGTCTCCCGATAAAGTTGAGTCAGATGACCAAGATGAGTGGTATCAAAAGGGCTTAGACAACTTTGCATTGCTCGTTGTAGACCCATTTCAAGTTGATTACTGCGATCTCCTCACTCAACCAAATCAACGTAAGGTATTCACACTCAACGAGCAAAACGCGTGGATTGAAGAGGATGTACACCCATAATGTATATAATCATATAAAATCTTAATCCAAACTTAAATTGATCGCTGGCATTTCATTCTGTCGCTTGTTAGACGTAGTAACGGGTGTATTACCACCAGATTCATCCTCCACCTCCATGAATTTTACTCTTTGTCTGTGTAGTAACGGCAGCTTAGGCGTGAGCGTTACCAACAAAGCCACAAAGTTGAATGCAAATAACCAGCTCTGAAATTTGGTATAGTGAGTTGAAATCAAGAACAATCCAATTGGCACACAGGTAAGCCACTTGCGAGCAGGCGTATACTGAGCACCGCCATCAATCTGTTCCCAGAATGTAAGCTCATCCCATGCGCCATTGTTGCTCTCAAAAGGAACTCCCTTGACGTGATGGAACATGAGGAACGTGACTGCCATATAACCGCAGTTAACCAGTGTCCAGCTGATTTCCTGTGTCATTCCAGGTAAAGCGTCTATTAACAGCTTCCCAAGCGTCACGAGCACTACATGCATCAGCCACGCGCCTTTGAAATTTACCCAGTCAGCGTTGTAGTTGTTCAGTGCTCCTTGATCTAGCGTCTCCTGTGCATCTGCTGGTACTTCCTGTAAACTAACAAGCGATGACGATCTCCCCCTCCTTCTCCTCTGCGGCGGTGGTTGTGATTGTGATTGTGCTTGCGTCTGGTGTGCGCTCCCACTGCCGCCACCACTCCCACTCCCACTCTCCTCTCCTGATATCACCAGACTCGGTATTGGCGGTGTTGTTCGCGCTGTCATTTCTCCTCGCTTTTGCTCTTCGCTGTTGTGAATCAACCGTTCTTTGGGTGTTTTCCCACTTACGTTTTCTTTTTTCTTGTTTATTCATTTGCCTTGTTATTATAACACTCCTCTGTTCTCTAATTATTCCCTCCACGCTGCTTTCATTTCCCGCTGCACTGCAAAATCCTCGGCTGGAATGCTTCTCAAGCTTATCATACGCAGTATATCCGTTACCAGTCACAGCTCGCTCTCACTCACTCTCTCGCCCTCTCTCACCATGTGGAGACGCTGGTGGAGGCGTGCCTGACTTCCTATCCCGCCCCAACGCAATCTAACGCAATCACAGACGTGTTGGAGGCATGTAGCACACTCCACACTACCTGAGCTGACCATGAGCCTGAGCGTATCAGTAGCTCTGTCGTTGCACAACATTCTCCACGCGTTGTGCCATCTTTGTCTTGCAGCCGCGAGTGCCTTTTAGCAACTACAAATACACATATACTCCCTTTTCCACCTCAACACCGCCCAATGGCCACTTTTTCCTTACAGTCGACATTGAGTCCAGTAGTCCAGTGGAAGCCGTCCAATTTCACGTGTCCTTACGCAACATGCGTTGTGAAGGATTCTTACGTGTGTTGTGTGTGTTATTAGGTCTTTATCTGTTCAAACAACCGAATCACACCATTGAATCGCGTGCCTGCCCTATTATCTGCCCATTTGAGCTCGTTGGAATGATGCTGATGCGGCTGTCACAATAGCAAGCTCAATGACGTGTTCGTCACAACACTGTAATCACTGCAGACCACGCCAGATTTGGGAAATTTGGAGCACCTAGCTGTTCGAGGAGGTCGAGGGTGCTTCTATTGCGACTGGCTCTGCCCTATACTCGGTACCGTTCCAGCCAGACAGGTATATCTCAAGAGAGAAATTCGGAATATATAGATGCACACTCATCATATCCCGCTTTCTGAGATTCCAACGCAGCCTTGACCGCTTTCATACACCCATTATACGAAATTTCAAACTGCACCTGATCGACCCAAAACTCCGATTTCAGAGTTTGGCTGACCCCCTCTTTTCTCTGCATAAATAGCTTTTAAAAGGTATAAAGTGAGGTGAAACAGCAATGATTTTCTCCTGGTTTCGATTTTAAATCTTCTGGAAGCAACTCAAGTCGACTTGTCTGGGTGCGCAACACGCCTTTCGAGGGGTAAATACTTGAGCTTTTTGGAAACAAGCTGAAGCATATCAGCGGAGCCCTTGAATTATTTTGTATCTTCCTAATTGAAGCATCGGTATGTGGCGGTATTTGCACGATAGCTTGCTCAATGACGTATACGTCACAGCACCAAAACGATTAGCAATATAAACGTTCTTGGTTTCGTCATGTAGCGAGCAACTGTGTAAATAGGAGACAGGTAAGCTTTTCATAAATAGCCCAGTGATTTTTTCTGTCCTAGTTCAATTGCATGTGTCATTGTGAAGGAGTAGTGTAGTAGCTAAAAATATCTTAGCGTAGTAAACTGACTTCTGCAATTTCAAATTGGCCTCAAATCCCCCTTATCATGATAAGTCGATTTTCCGAAATGCACCTGGTCAAGCCAAACCCCCCTGATTTCGGAGTTTTCGATGACACCCACTTTTCTCTGCATACCTCTGTTTTTCCAAGCGTGAAGTGAGCGAAATGGCAAAAACTTTTCTTTGGTGCCAACTTTGAGTCGTGTAGACGCTACGCAACATAAAACGTTTTTCGCGTTTATAGGGCCAAATATTTGAGATGTTTGGGTGCTTGCGATCTCTATAAATCAAAATGACTTGCTTTAATCGATTGAGCGCGTTATTCTCTCATTGTCTTGTTTATTTCGTGCTCTAAAGCAATTTAGATTTATTCCTTCCGATCAGCTTGCAAGGCGCGATAAGGAGCGCCAAGGATACAAGTTTGGCAAAGTCATATTCATTTCAATCATAGCTTCCAATAAAGCTATTTAATTTGGAGATCATCAATAGTCGTTAGTCTTTCAGCCATATTGAGATGGCAGACGTCGAGGAAATCGGATATAGACGACAAAGATAGCTCTGGGGTCCTCGGAATCCCATGAGAGTAATTGTCAAGCTATATTGCATGCAACGGGAGACGTTCATACCAAATTAATTGTTGCAAGGGTGTTAATCTGGCAAAAGTCTCTTCAATCAGTCAACTCTACCTTCAGATCCAATCCATTTGCCATCGCTTCGTTTTACTCCGGTCTTCATATTCCTGAAACATGCCAAGAATGCTCGGCACGCGCTACCCACTCACCACCAATAAGCCCAGCATTACAGCAAAGCTATAGGAAATGCTACGACTAAATACCTGAAGGCTGCTTTCTTCGAAATTTCACCACTTTAATTTCGCAAGCGTGCGAATAACCTGAATGATCTCCTCCAATACAAGTACCTCATCAACTGCCGAGAGCTATAAAATTTATAAGCAAAATTAAAATGCGCTCACTCCGCGAGTCATTCTCATCAACAATGACAATGTTTTCAAACAAACAAACTGAAAAGTTCTCATCTACTGAAAAATCTGATCAAAGTGGGTATCGCGCGGGGTTGCTGCCGCATAGCTAAAGTTATCATACAGCTCCAGCTCATGTGAGAGACTCGTCCGACATTCTCCATGAACACAGCGTCGATCCTTTACTGGGCCTTTCTTTCGACAGGGTCGATCAACTGCAGAAAGAATTCGGTCCTAACAGACTGAGACCTCCGCCCAAGCCATCTTTACTAAAGATATTCGGTACGCAGCTCGGTAACGCTGTAAGTCTTATTGTGATATCATCTCATAATCTCACATGTCGTCATTGCAGATGACACTGGTTCTGATAGCTGCAATGGCTGTCTCTTTCGGTACACAAGACTGGATCGAAGCAGGAGTTATTGCTGCTCTCGTTATTCTCAACGTCACTGTCGGATTTACCCAGGAGTGGAAGGCTGAAAAGACAGTTGCTGCCCTAGAAAGCGTGAGTGCTTTGGTCCGTACAAAATAGCCACACTCTGACTTACAAATTCAGGTCGGAAGTCCTGTCGCTGTTGTTGTACGCCACGATGCTTCAAACAAAGGTCGTGAAGGAAAAATTATCGATGTTCAAACCGACGAAGTAGTTCCAGGTGACATTATGATGGTTAAAATCGGAGATATCATTCCTGCTGATGGGAGAGTTATTGACAATCACATCTCCAACCTGGAAGTAGACGAAGCCTTGTTGACAGGTGAATCACTACCAGTCTCTAAGCAAACTGAGACCCTCGATGACAAAACATGCCCGGTTGGTGATCGTATTAATATGGTTTTCTCCGGTAGTCAAGTGACAAAAGGCAGGGCTAGATGCGTAGTCACCTCGATAGGGATGAAAACTGAGCTCGGTGCTATATCCGAGGCTTTGGCAACGAAAGCTGATTCTAAGAAACGCGGCTGGAGAAGATTTTGGGAGAAGACCCAAGTTTTCTTAGGTGTTAAAGGTACAACGCCACTTCAAATCAAATTGAATAAGTTAGCTTATTTACTACTGGTATTAGCAATCATATTCGCCATCGTCGTCGTTAGTTCGACTGGATACGTCGACATCCCAGATTCTACCGCAACTTACGCAGTCGCTACTGCTATTTCTCTTTTACCTGCTTCGCTCATTGCTGTAGTGTCGCTTACACTTGCAACATCTTCGAGAGAGCTAGCTAAGAGGAATGCATTGGTTCGTAAGATGGACGCTATTGAAACCTTGGCAGGGGTAACGGATATCTGTTCAGACAAGACCGGTACAATCACTGTTGGAAGAATGGTTCTGAAGAAGGCCTGGGTACCTTCACGTTTTGAAGCACCGGATACCAAAGTTGGACAAACCTATGCCGTCGAATCGGGTAAAGATCCTTACTATCCAAGAGGCACAATACAAGCACAGGATGATAATGACGACGACAATGAAAGTGGTATATCAGATAGCGATGCCGTTCATGTGAATGAATTGGATTCTTCATTCCAGGAACTCGTTCAATCGGCTGCACTCAACAATATGGCAACAATTTCAGCTAGTGACGAAGGAGGGGACTGGGATGCTCAAGGAGATCCAACGGAAATCGCTTTACAAGTCTTCTCTCACAAGGCTGGCCACGGTAAACCTCACTTGACTCATCCACCTAAACACAGAACAAAGAAGGAAGATCATCCTGCACCTAAAGCCGATGTAGACGGTCACTTTGAGATACTAATCGAACATCCCTTCGATTCATCTATAAAGAGAATGACTACCGCATGGAAGTTGGTTGGTGCTCAGGGCGGTGACGACGATGATTCCAAGCAACATATTTTCATTTACATGAAGGGTGCAGTCGAGAGGGTGTTAGAAAGATGTACACATGTTTCAATAGGTGATAAATCAATAGAGATGTCAGAGGAAGCCAAAGATGACATCATCAAGAAGATGGACCAATTAGCAGCTGAGGGTTTGCGTGTTTTGGCTCTGGCTGGAAGAACAGACCGTCTTTCAAATGCCCAGACTGTGAAGGAGACTAAAAGAGATGATGTAGAAAATTGTTTCGGACTGTTAGGCTTAGTTGGTATATTTGATCCGCCAAGACCTGAGTCTAAAGGGGCTGTCTACGATTCAAGACGCGCTTCGATAGTTGTGAGAATGCTTACAGGTGATCATGCAGCAACAGCTGCATCCATCGCAATGTCAGTGGGCATTCTAGATAAGAATCACTCAAAATCTGCTGTAATGACTGGCCAGCAATTTGATGCAATGACTGATGAAGAGGTAGATGCACTTGAAGAACTCCCCGTTGTGGTAGCGAGATGTGCTCCTGAAACTAAGACTGGATTCGTTGATGCCTTACATCGTCGCAAACGTTTAACTGTTATGACCGGTGATGGTGTGAACGATTCACCTGCATTGAAGAGAGCCGATGTTGGAGTCGCAATGGGACTTAATGGCTCAGATGTTGCAAAAGGTGCTGCCGATATCGTATTGGCAGATGATAACTTCTCAACTTGTGTTCGTGCAGTCAGAAAGGGTAGATCAGTTTTTACGAACTTATCAAAGTTTCTGGTCTACTTGCTAGCTAGTAATGTGTCTGAAGTCTTGGTTTTACTCGTTGGATTAGCTGTTCGTTCTGATGGCGATGCTGTCTACCCTATTTCACCAGTCGGTGCACTGTAAGTGGAGAGTATGCTATGTGGATTGTCTGACAAATATCAAAGCGTAATCAATACTCTTACTATTGGCCCAGTAGCTTTTGCTCTGGGTGTCGAGCCTACGGCAGATGACACTATGCTTCAACCACCTAGCAACTTCTTCACGATATTCACGCCTAGATGGTTTATGGATTTATTCGCCTTTGGAATTATGGCGGGTGCACTATGTTTTGCTAATTTCATTATTGTCATCTATGGAAGAAACGATGGCAATGAAGATGTTTCTGCAAGTTGCAACGAAGGTGCTGTCAATAGTGAATGTGAAGTGATATATAGGGCAAGAGCGGCAACATATGCCTCACTTTTGCTCATGCTGATGGTCCTAGCATTCGATTGCAAACATAGTACTCGCAGGTAGGTAAATTGTAGTACTAAAGTCCTCATCCTAATAACCTATTGCAGCGTTTTCAAGATGAATCTACTAGACAACAAGCTTTTAATTTGGTCAGTTGCTCTGCTTTCGCTCAGTGTCTTTCCAGTTATCTACATTCCCGGTGAGGTGTATCTTCCTCTAACATCACATTCTCATATGATTATTAGTCATTAAAGATCGCGTTTTTCAAGTTACTGGTATTGGCTGGGAATGGGGTATGATTGCGGCAACAGTTTTGGTTTACTTTGGTTACTTAGAAGTCTACAAAGCTATCAAGCGTTTGTATGAGAGAAGACTGATGAGAAATAGTGACCTGGAAAATTCAAATGGGAAGGAAATTCGAATGGCACCAACGATGGAGCCTAATACTGTTTAAATAAATTACACTATACTTATCGCTGACATAGTTGATATCTTCATGTCCACAGGCAGAGAGAGTAGGAGGCAATAAGTATCAATGTAAAGAAGCTTATTTTACCCTCTTGATCTGATTATGCGCGCTCATATCCTGATTGGCGTTGCGCAACGCTCTGTAATCGTTGAACCAATATTGGCATGTTGCGGGGATAGTGATTTGGAATTTCGAAATTATACATTCTTATTATAGGGACTTCTAAAATCCCAGCGCATCCTTAACCCCCTTCATACTTTCATTGCTTGACATAGCGAATTGCATCTGGTCGAGCCAAACCCCGATTTCAGAGTTTTCGATGACACCCACTTTTCTCTGCATACCTCTGTTTTTCCAAGCGTGAAGTGAGCGAAATGGCAAAAACTTTTCTTTGGTGCCAACTTTGAGTCGTGTAGACGCTACGCAACATAAAACGTTTTTCGCGTTTATAGGGCCAAATATTTGAGATGTTTGGGTGCTTGCGATCTCTATAAATCAAAATGACTTGCTTTAATCGATTGAGCGCGTTATTCTCTCATTGTCTTGTTTATTTCGTGCTCTAAAGCAATTTAGATTTATTCCTTCCGATCAGCTTGCAAGGCGCGATAAGGAGCGCCAAGGATACAAGTTTGGCAAAGTCATATTCATTTCAATCATAGCTTCCAATAAAGCTATTTAATTTGGAGATCATCAATAGTCGTATATCATCTGAGGTGGTAGAGGAGAATTCCAAGTTGGTGGGTATTGAGCGGAGGGTTGAAATGAGGATGCATTTGGAATGCTGAAGCTGCAAAGGAAATAATGGTCTTGCTAAATTGTTGAAATTGTGAGTATATGATATGATATTTCCGCGTTTGTCTTCTCACTAACTTGGTAATTTCCGGTTACCTTCAGCAGATCTAAATCAACAAAAATGGTTCATGATTTTGCAAGCTTCTGATATTTCTAACAAAAAGTGCTCAAAGCTCAATGTCATCCCACAATCACATCTTGAAGTCATCAGATATGTAGACACGATTTCCAGTTTGAGTGTTTGTGGGGTTTAACTTGAGGAATAGCTTAGTTCTATGTCCAAGCACTTCTTAATTTTGAAACTGAGCGGAGGTAACGAAGGAAGAAGGCAGATTCAAGGCACAAAAAGGGATGAAAAGCACGAAGCAGCAGCCGGCTGGTAAACAATCAAAATGATATTATTGTACATGGCCATCTGTATAAAAGTTAATTATTGTTTTAAATGAAACAACTGAAGTGCAAAACAAGGGAGATGGAAATAGTAGCGACAAAGGCGACGACGTGGGAGTGATTGTAGCCATTTGCATTTGATGTCTCAGAATCTAAATTGACTTCATCCTGTTTAGATCCACCACCGTTCTTGATTTTCTCTTCAGCCGCATCAGATGCAGGGTAGTTGTGATGCAAAGGCAGAGTATCTTGATCGATAGGACCTTCTCTAAGTGATCCGATACCCCATGGAGTATCCTTTCCAGATTTAGGCTGGGTTTCGTGGGAAGGTGGTTCAGAATCGCCATTTTCACCTGTAATGGTAAATCTAGTCGACCATGCTTTGTCGGTTGCATTTTCAGAGTTGTAGAATTGCAAAAAGTAGATTTGGGAGTGTGGGGTGACTGTGTCTGGGAGTGTCCAATTTATTTTGCCCTGGTCCTTGTTTGGTACGCTAATATTTTCTGCAACTTTGCCAACGAAGACCTGAGCGGTAGGTTAGAGTAATGTTGACAAGGTGATACCAGAACTCACCGTGTACAAATCAGGACCAGTCATCAAATCAATAGAGAATTTATTCCATATTTCCGCTTTGTTTTCAGTATCGACATCAAATTTAATGGTCTGGTTGGATCCGACGGCCCATTTCGAGTCTGGAGAAGGTTCGGTGGGTAAGACTTTCGCTAAGACATTCGTTGAAAGAAGAGCAAGTAAAAGGTTTAGACAAAAGTATAACATGGTTGGTGTATAAGAGATAGCATTTCGAATATTGAGCAAGGTTTAGACTAAATCGGTAGATTGGAATGTTCAAATACTTGTAGATGACGTATGTGATGAGGCTTTGGTAGAAATATGTTTTACGAATGAGATAAATAGCTGAAAATCGAAGCCTTCGAGCCATCTAAAGTGTAGAGTGTTTGAATTGGGTTCGTGGCTCTCAATGGAAATGGATAGCTTCGTTGGATTAAAGTGAGGTGTGAGGGGGTTAGTAGCAGCTCTTCTAGAAGATCTTGACCATGAGTTGATCCCCATAATGATTACAAACACACTACCCTCACTACGATGACTGATGTACACGCTTGATAGCTGATTGATTAAGGAGATCATCGCATCAAGGTTGATTGGGTGGTTGAGGTTGTGAGTGTGATGAGTGGAAGGTGGATTCAATTTGAATAGTGATTTGTTGTTCGATCTTGCTAGTGAGTTGTCCAATCTGTACGGCAAGAATGACCATGCTAGCAGCCACCTCAGTGTGTTACCCCGATTAATAACGTTCAAAGCATAATTCGATATGTTGTGCTTATTCAAATATTTGATTAGGATTGATAGATTTGATTTTATGCCGATAAGTGTGGAGTACCAGACAACCTTGTGCTTAAGTTTGATCGACTGGTTTATGAGTTTTAAAATGAATCCAAGCTCACCGCCTTCTGTGTACAGCTCATTGGTAGATCCCAGATTCAGTCCACTCGGATGATTCGACTTGATATTCTGTCTACTAACCTGACCTGCATCGTAGAAAGGTGGATTCATTATCAAGAAATCAAATTGAGCGTGATTGTCTGTTATTTCCGAGGGAATTAGATTGTTATCATCTCTATCTACACCAACCAGCTTAATCTTATCGTCCAAGTTGTTACGATCAATGTTGGAAGCAGCCAACTCTAGTGAGGAGTGATCGATATCGGTTGCATAAACCAAGCAATTGTCAAACAATCTAGCAGCTAGTATTGGATATATGGGGAGGTAACCAGTACCGATATCGATCAAGTTGAACGTATCACCGGGGCTTACATGACTCCGCCATATACTCTTTATCCAATTCAGGTAGTCTAGTCTGTTGGGTATTGTAGGCATGAGCTTGTTTTGCACTAGGCTAACTTGTAAATTAAAGTAAACCTTTAGTATAGCCAGTGTTAAGTGTTTTACAGACAATTCATCCTTGAAATTAATCTTGTTTTGTTTATTGACAAATGGCTTCAACTTGCTGTACCTTGCAGCCAGCCAATTAAAATCAATCTCATCCAAATTTACCATTGTTTTATGTAAAGAAATTCAATAATCATATTTAATGCTTAACAAGACAAAGGACATCCTCATCTTCTAATATATGGTCTAATCCGACCTTTTGACCTCTTGGATGTTTAGATGACTTGCCCCAAACAACGGCGTACTTGAGTTGCTTTGCGATTTCCTTGTGAATTGCATGTGCAAAGTGCTCAACAGTACATCTACCCTTTCTCAAAACAACTGGTGCCGTATAGTCTGGTGCTCTACCTTTGGGTCTTGTGTAAACTCTAACGAGCTGCAATCTCTGCCACATAATATCAATCAATTCATCAACGTTTAACCATTGTGACGATGAGATTGGAACAGAGTTTGGAATTTGATAGAGAAGATCCAATTCTTCAATTGAAATTGCATCAATCTTGTTTAAACAGTAGATGCAAGGGATGTATACTCGGTTACCTTCAACAACATCAATCAGCTGGTCAACAGAGATATCCTCCCTAATCATAACATCGGCATTAGGTATTTTGTACTCTGACAAAACAGCCTTGATCTCTTCAGGTTCAATCTTTGTGAGTGGTACAGTGTTTGTGATAGCTATACCACCTTTTTCCTTCTTCTTTACTGAAATGTTTGGTGGTGATTGATTTAGTCTAATACCGAAACCTTCCAATTCCCTTTCAATGACGCCCTTATCGTTTAATGGCTTCAATACGTCAAGTACAATGAAGATCAAGTTGCAAGTTCTTGAAACCGCAATGACTTGTCTACCTCTACCCTTACCATCTTTGGCACCTTCAATGATACCCGGCAAATCCAAAACTTGAATAGGTGCACCAAAAACATTCATTGTACCGGGAACAGTTGTAAGAGTAGTGAACTCGTAAGCAGCTGTCTCAGAGTGTGTGCCAGTTAATTTGGACATTAAAGTTGATTTACCAACTGAAGGGAAACCAATGAAACCGACTGAAGCTAAACCAGTCTTTGCAACATCGAAACCAACTCCAGGGCCACCACCACCAGAGGAAGAAGGAGTGAGAAGTTCCTTCTTGTATTTACTGAGCTTAGCTTTTAGCTGACCCAAATGGTAATTTGTGTTTTTATTCTTTTGAGTTCTAGCCATCTCATCCTCGATATCCTTAATCCTTTGTACCGTACTCATTTTAAACTAATTTATTATGGTGGATGCTCACTCACAAGATTTGAATGAATACCTACGTCAGTTTCTAACTTTAAATAAATATAAATTAACATTTAAAACAAAAACTACATTTTTAAATAAATTACTATAATATCCGCTGATCTCTGCTTCGAGCTATAAAATTTTCAATTTTCCTTCAAGACTATGCTTTTATCCTGCTTGATTTGGTTGATTTGGTTGACCTGCTTGAACCGTTTCAGCCATTTGATTCGATTGTGCTGGTTGAACTACTGGGGCATGAAGAGGCGTCATTGACATAAAGCTGTGAATTGATTTTCCATTTGAATTGTTGCCCGGCGACTGTGGTGGACTTGCCCCAGCGCTGTTTGTCGCAGAGTTTGTCTGACTATTAGGCAATGACCTTATCGCACTCTGCATAGGCGTTGATGAACTACCACTGATACTACTGCTTGGACTTGGATGGACGGGTTGAGGTGGCGACCTTAGTATCTCCTCTATCTTGTTTCTATTATCTAATGGCAGCGCTGGAGGTGGATTCGCATAACCCATCTCCTCCGTACCACCCATGGTCGAGCTCGATGTCGTTGACTGCGCTAACGGTGGTAGTCTAAAGTTGGTAAAGTGTACTGGAGAGCTTGCTCTGCTGACGTTTGGTGAATTGTGTGCTGATGTCGATGGTGTTCCTCCTCTGGAATTTAGATTGAAATAACTTGGCGTTGGATACACTCCCGTGCTTGTTTGATTTGGAAATAGGTTGAGCGATCTTAGTGGGCCCAGTACAGGTGAACTTGAAGGTGTAAACTCTATGCCGCCAGGAACAACAGGATAAGCACCTAAATTCTGCTGTATAGAACTCTGTTGCTTTGTAGGATTAAAAGTAGTTGTTTTTGCATCCTCTGTATCACTAAAGTCACTCTCTGCAGAACTAACAGGGCTAACTGTCTGTGACTGCTCTGCGGAGGAGGTATTGAAGGAAGCATAAGGATGATAATTATGTCTATGGGTTCTAAGATGTGGAGGTTCAGTGAGAGTGTGCTCTCGTGCACTTAGAGTGCTAAGTTGATCACCTGAATAACTTTTATGGAAAGGCATAGAGGAGGTTGAAGGGGTAGTAAAAGAAGGTTGAAGTTGTGGCTGCATTTGATAAATGTTACCTTTGTTACCCTTCATCCGCTTAGATTGCTGTTCCATCTGTCTACAATCATCATGATCGCAGTTTATGTCATCGTTGAGACTAATCGCCGCCTGATTAAAGTCAGGATGATGACAACGAATTGGTTCTTGAGGTTGTTGATGTTGTTGCTTTAGGTTATAAGGCATATTATAGCGTTGTGCAGGAGGATTGAGGAAATTGAATTGATTGTTGTAAGGATTGAAAGAGGTGTTTGGAGAGCTTGAAGTGGAATTTGGCTGTGAGGAGATACCATCCTTGAGTTGCCTATGACGATATTCGTATTCAGCTCTTCTTACAGCTTCTTCTCTCTCTAATTCGTATAATTGATCAGCAGCTGCGGCGGCAAGAGCAGACATTTCATTAGCCGGCTGATAAGGAGTTGGAGGAAAAGAAGAAGTAGAAGAGTAAGCGTATGGGTTGAATTGGAGGGTAGGATTTGGGGGGATTGAGAGTGGATTAGCTTGTGCAGGGTTTTGAGTGCTGGGAGCTGATTGGCTGGGAGTAGCAGCGGAGTTAGCAGTAGCATTAACACTACCGCTACCGCTGCCACCGCCATTGCCATTCAAAGCCCTTTTACCTCTACCTTTAGGATTTGAATGAGTGCGCAGGTGCCTCGTAAGTTCATCTGATCTACTGAATCTTTTATGGCAGCCAGGGTGAGAGCATTGATGAGGCTTTTCACCTGTATGAGTTCTAATATGCCTAGTCTGTATAAATCCAGTTAACGGCTTATCTAGTGAATGATATACGGCCAACCAACCTGATGCTCCAAACGATAAAAAGCTCTATCACATAAAGGACACTTGTAAGGCCTTGGAATTTTGGATTTATCGACGTTAAGCGCTTCCTCGATTTGCTTTAATTTATATTTTTCATTTGACATGTTATGGTTGAGGTACAACAACAAGATAATTTAATCAACGGCCGTTCTCTTCTTAGGGTTGACTGCGTTGGCTGTGTTGGCTGCAAAGCTCACATCCCCGTTATCTCCAGCAGGTACGGCCGCTTTCAAATGTCCCCAGCCGCCTCGGCCGCTATCATACTCCTGTCGGTATTCATCTCGGACTTGACCACCGGATCGACCACGTCCAAATTGACGACCATCTCTATAACCTTGTGCATCTAAATCACACCTAATCATTCTCTCATCGAGTTTTGTACCGTTTATATACCTTAAAGCTTCAACTGCCTCTTGATGCGTATAATATTCAACAAACGCAAATCCACAGGGCGTTTTAGTATTCCTATCTAATCCCATTATTATTCTCTTTATACCCTGTCCACTAGCCACTCTGCCGAACAACTCATATATCTGTTCCTCTGTCGTGTAGAATGATAGATTCCCGCACTAAAATACATTATAAATATTAATATACTCATTTTCACACACTCACATACAGCGTCGTTGACCTATCAAGCATATCCCTCTGCTTCTCCGGGTCAATACTCGAACGCGTATCTTTATACGTTGAAGGTCCATCTAGGGGCTGTATAATTGAACTCATACTGTTTATTTGGTTATTCTAATTATCCAATTGATCGACGTTGGTTGTGTGTGTTTAAGTGGTGTATTATGATTTTTCTGTTTTACTTGACAATTAATAGCCAGCAGCTATAAATTACTTGTCACTAGTATTTTTATATTTTGCTTGAAATTTAAAGATCTGTTGATCAAGAACTGCCATCCACACGATAACAAACCATGTCTAGTCCGTCAACAGTACAATACCTGCTTCACCTAACATTTCCTCAGAATTAACCTATAGGCTATCAAATATCCCACACACAGCCACTATCAACGATGTAAAGAGAGTTATTGCTAGATCAACTAATATCAATCAAATCTCAGCGGATAATCATTTTATAAGTGGGTTTGCTACTATCCACAATACTACTCACTCACCCATCACCACAGCTTCTTTCAGAAGTTCAAAATTCCCAAACTATCCAAACACAGCGACAATCAAATTCCTAAATCCAAAGCCAGCCGAGAATTTGAGGAATTCTTTAAAGACTATAAACACTCTCACTCTATCAACCTCTCAGATCAAGTGCCTACCTTTAGATAAGCCTAGCCAAGAAGACGTTTCTTTGACTCACTTTGAACCAGCAACCCACCCAGGCCAAATCGTTGTCTTGTCTGGTTTGCCTGCTAAAATCAACTCATTTGATATCCAATCCTATCTCAAACCTTATTATCTCGATAACTCCCCTAACTCCTCGGATCCCATCACCAACATACGCATTCCCTCCGATAAGTTCAGCAGCACCTCCAAATGGCTCGTCAGGCTCAACTCTGTATCTGAAGCTCATCGCTTGGTGCGCAACCTCAATCAATCCAGCTGGGTCGATTCACATTATACGATTAATGCAAGAATAATTTATTGATCCGTTATCCACATATATAGACATACACTTTGCTAATTCTTGTACTTTTTCTGCCTCTTTTCCTCTCTCTTCTCCTGGCGTGATCGATTGTCTAATTCTGGTTTATCATTCTTGTCCGCCTTATCCACAATCTCCTCCTTTTCCTCATTGTCCTCTCTAGACTTACGCTTCTTCGCTACTGCTGGTCCTCTTCTATCCTCGTGCTGTTCACCACTCAATGGTCTATCAACAACTACACCATTAATCACTCGTGCTGCCTTCTTGACATTATTCACCTTGGTCAGCCCTGCATTTTTAACTTCCTCAGCCGTTTTCTCCCTCCACTCCTCTATCCTTCTCCTAAACAGTGACAATCCAACCTTCCTAATCAGATACTTACCATACGCCGAGCCTGCTAAAAAGTCTTCGTGTTCGAGCAGTGAGTTGGCTATCTTCTCTCTAAAATATCCATCTGAAGTCTCGTATATCTTCTCTGCCACCCTGCTACCGACTCTCATATCCGCTAGCAGGTGATACGAACCGAGTAACTTTAGTCTCAATTTGTGTTTATATTTGAATGTAACAGCCTCTGAATCCATAATTCCATCAATTATACGCGAAGCTGGTGATGAACCACATATCTCTAGTATCCTTTCCATACTCAGATTTAAGAGGCTGTTCAGTATGGCTTCGTTGTGCGGTGTACCGAGATTGTACAGTGACAGAATTAGCTGTGCGCCTGCACTTGTGAATCTGTCCGATTTCCCCTCCTTGTTTGACTGTTCCTTCTCTTCATCAGAGCTGCCTTCTTCGTCTTGATCGTTTTTCTCAAACATATCCTTGTGGAAGCGGCGGTATGACTGTTTAAAGTGAGCATGTCAGTACGGGCGCTTTTTTCAAACCACACCCACCTTCCATCTCTTCATCTCAAGCATGCACGGTATGACATGCTGTGCTTGTGCTGTGCTCCGCGTGCTCAATCCGAAGCAATGCATGATGGCCTGTCAAGTGAGTTATGAATCGTGAGTCATGAGATCATGTGCGCTACTAAGCCAAAAATCCACTCACAGCCATGACATCCGCCTTAAATACATCCCGAAATACACCCACATCGCAATTCGCCATCAATGGCCCACTTCTATTAGTCTTGATTAATTTGCTTCCATTCTCGCGCAGTGCTGTTATAGCTCCCGCGAATTCTTTTTCAATGAATGTCCCGCTGAGACCGTTATCATTTCCCATCCTCTTGAGTGCCTTTGCATATACAAAATTACCGACGGGGTGCTTCATGCATCGCACTCCCCCCTTTCCAGTAAAGTAGAGTTGCCAAATAACCTCAAAAACGGCAGAGCTTGAACATTCCATGGCAGTCTCGGTTGTGTGACTTGCAGTAGTGTCGAGTAGCGTAGTGGTTACGTGACTGCTAGCCTTAATTTGACTGATATCTTCTGAATTCACCTGTCCTATCAAACCATCCATCCATGAATCCAAAAAGCTATCTGCGTTGTCGTTCTCTTTGTTTTTCTTCTCGTAGTGCAACAGCAGTTGAAGAATTGGTGCTCCATAATCACTCACCCCAAATGCCCTTATCTCAGCTGGAGAGGAGAAAGAGTCGAATAAAGCTTTGCGAAGCTTGTTAGAAAGCTCTTTAAAGTGTTTTGGTGGACGGTAGTACTCCTCCGGCTGCTGTTCATTCACGGCATCAAAGTTATCATGTCTGGATAGCCAATATTGTGACTTTTTCGAACGCTTCATCACGCTGTCGCTTACATCGCCAGATAACAAATGAAGTAAGTATCTGACGGGGTAGGTTGCGTGTGGATTGAGGATATGATCGCCGATCTTAGGTACTATCTCGTCCACCATCTCCACTATGAGCTTCGTTATAGTGCGTAATTCTCCCGCAGGTTCCTCGCTTTCATTGCTGGGAGGCTTTGCAATGTTTCCAGAGCTCTCTCTCATGATAGTACCTTTGGAGGACTCGAAGAAAGTCTCCAACACGTGACTGCCGAATCTGTTGCTGATGATGGTATTGATTTCGCCCATCAAGGCATCCGCAAAGACCCTCTTCTCGAAATCACCCATGCGCTTGATCATGTGCTCCACCATAAGCGCGCATTCAGGATCAGTTGATAAGCAGAGTTCGTTTGAAGCCATTTCAGTGAGAGTAGCCTCCATCATCATTGCGTACTCGTCGTCGTCGGCCGTACTGCCATTGGTGAGTCTCTGGTCCATGTCTCTGAGATAGCTCTTGAGATCTGGGTTCAAATCACCATAAGGAGTACTAGCTTGCTGGGAATCCAATAGCCAGTTGGGAGCTGCTTGATCTTCTTGCTGTGGGGCTGCCACGGGTTCCTGCACCGCCTGCTGCTCCTCTGTAGCCTTCTTGGAGATCTTCTTGCCTTAAAAACCCATCAGCTGGATCAACAAGCCACGGCGAATACAAAACTCACCTCTCTTCCTTATCTGATCTTTAGGCCTGTGAATCTATTAGCTGCGTGTATACTCGCCCATCTCTCTCACATTAATGTTGGGCGTCGTTTCTCAACCAACAACGACGACGGTCTAATAAATTTAAATGGCTGGATTGAAATCGATAATAGCACTATCACTCGTACTCGCACTGGGATTTCTACTGGTGATCCTGAGCTGTGCACTTTGGGGAAATTGGCTGCACTTGCTATCTGGTGGGTTTGTATGGGTGTGGGAGTTGTAGCAGCTTCTTACAAGCCACAGCTTTCCTATTCGCGTTTGCGCCGTTCCCAAACTCAATCGCTACTCGAAACACGGAATCCACGATTACCTCCGGTGATGATTCAAATACGTAAGCGTATGACTGTGTTATGATATTTAATAACAATCCACTCTCTAGTGCTATTCAAGACTTTTCCAGATTCTTTACCTCCATTATCCTCGTCACCGGCGCTGCAATACCTATCGTACTTGCCCACGCTGGCATACTCGCAATGACGTCGTCAATCATGTCTGTCACCGGTGGTACACTTATTTACACCACCATCGTTGCCTTTGGTAGCTCATTCCACTCTGGTTCTGACGAGTTCTGAGACATATATATCCCAATGTATCATATAATGCTTTTTACTCTTCAATTTGATAGGTACAGTAATCTTGAATGATACTCTCCAATTTTGAGCTCTTCTTTCCCTTAATCACTACGTTTAAATCGAATTGCTTATCTATCTCATCGTCCACCAGTACCTTTGTCTTGATCGGCCTTCTCGCTGTCTGTGGTACTGGCTTGGGCGTGTTTGGTGCACTTTGTTTCATTCTTTCTGTCGGTGCTGCTACCTTGTAGCTCACCTCATCGATGGACGCCAACCGTTGCAATAGTTGGTCTGCCTCCTGCTCATCTCTTCTCGCCTTGGCCAGTCGCAGCCGTTGCTCCAGTTCTGCTTTCTCAAGTACTGCGCTCTTCTTCGTAGTACCGCCCATAACATCAGATTTCTTCTGGAGCTTGAAATTGATGTCATCCTGTAAACATTGTCAGCTAATATCCTTATTTCAACAAAACCTTTCTCACATCTGTCCAAAATCGCTTCCTAGTATCTTCAATCTGCCTTCTAACCTTATCGAGTGATTTCCGTGTTGGTAATTTCGCCCTCTCGTCTTTGGCGTGTGCAATGAATCTATCAAATTCCCTATCTGTACACCGCGAGTTAGATACTTTAGACATAGGGCATATCTTGCTTGTTTTGCCCTGCCTGAGGACAAGTTGCTGATTTGTCATCGTATTTCCTTCAATTGCGTAGGGTTTGACGAGGCTGTCACCAAGGCCTGTGAAAATTAGCATTCCTATACCCGTCAAAAGCACTCCACCCACCAATAACCTCACAAAGTCGATAGTCTGGCTTTCCATCGGATTCTCCGAGCAGATATCTAACGAAAGTGCCTTTGATAAAGTCTTCGAAGAATGGCGCATAGCAGAATTCGACGAGGTTAGTACGATTGATCATCACCCTAAGCACATCAGCTTTCTCGAGTGGTTTGTCGTCTTCCATATCGTGCTTGCTAACCTCACCTTCTTCCGAATCGTCGGAAGAGTGTACTGAGCGCGCGCGACCGCCGTAATCCTCATCGTCGTCATCCTCCTGTGTCGTGTGAGCATTGCTAGTTTACAAAGATACCACCGCGTACATTCCTCGATCTCTTCTTGGTCTTTGCTTCACGCTTACTCTTGAGCTCCTCAAGCTTGCTCTTTTTCTCGGTTGTAGCGCCTGTCTGGGTGTGGCTACGCTTCGCAGCTGAAGCCACGTTATCTTCACCACCCGCCTGGGCAGCAGAAAAGAGTCTGTTGATATTCAGCGAATCCTTGTACTTTTGCATCTCCTCCTGTCGAGAAGCGAGGATATCCTCACGCTCGAGTTCATCGAGATCGAGAAGCCTGAATATGTAAGCGTGGTGGCCGTAACACTGCGATCCACCCACTTTGCTCTATCCGCTGAGTTCTTATACTTGCCTTCTAGAGGATATGGATTCTCGCTGTCTGCGGGTTGATCGACTTCCATGAGCGTATCCTTGCCGGCGTTGTCCTCTTCGCCGCTATCGCTGAGCCTGGGTGCTTGTCAGCGTAACAACACTTGCAAACAGCCTCCTCGCGCACCCTTCCTCCTCCTGCTTCGATAGCTGCTCATCAGCGCCATCGTCATCCCCTACGAGACCCAACAAATCAGCGTCGAGATCGTTATCCACATCGGTCATATTTTTTATCTCAAGATGGTTCGGGTTAATGACGCGACGTCGTACCCATCCCCATCTCGTTGATATAAACGTCGAGATAGAAAAATTGATGAAAACTGTTTCAACGGCTCCACTGGCTGGCTACAACCTCGCTTATTCCCCTTTTCATAAATCTAGATTGGCTGTAGCATGCGCAGCCAATTACGGTGAGTGATAAGACGCACGCAATCGCCGGCAATTATAGCTTTATAGGCCTCGTTGGAAATGGCAGGCTTAGAGAGTATAGCTACGATCTACACGGCGATCTTTCTCCCCACTCATCGTGAGCCGTTTCTCTGGTATCGGATACTTTTAATTGCCGAGACAGTTTCGACACTCAAGACGGTCTATTCGATTTGGCGTGGTCTGAACTCCATGAGAACCAGATCGTGACTGCAACTGGCGATGGCAGCGTGCGGCTATTCGATACGCAGATTCCTGTGGGTGGTTCTATGTCCACTCAGCCGCACACACTCATCCACCGCGCAGAAATTCCCAATTAGGGCGTGGCATGAGCATTCTAGGGAGGTTTTCGGCGTCGACTGGTCACCAACAGACAAGACGCAGTTTGCGACGTACGTCATTGAGCTGATATCATCCATATCACTCACAGCTAACGTCATTCCAGTGCTTCTTGGGACGGCACTGTTAAAATAGTGAGGAGACTCCACTCGCTCTCTCTTAGTTCACCACTCACTGCCACCAGTGGACACCCGATAACACCCACTCACTGCTCACACTTCCTGCGCACGATGGATGCGTCTACTCTGCCATATACAGCCCCCATCAGCCATACTGTCTAGCCACCTGCGGATCAGACGGCAAGCTTCATGTATGGGATCTGAGAACACCTCAACGCCCAGCGACGTCACTGGCTGCCTCACCAACAGAGCTGCTATCGCTCGATTGGAACAAGTATATCCAAGGCACGCTAGCCACTGGCAGCGTCGACAAGAGTATCAAAGTGTGGGATATACGGCAAGCGAAATGTCTCAATAACCTCCATGGACACGATTTCGCTATTAGGAGGGTGCAATTCTCGCCCCATGTACCCAATCTCATTGCCAGCGCATCTTATGACATGAGCGCAAGAGTGTAATTACCTGCCTCGCCGTTTGATCCACTCAATTAACGTGTTTTAGGTGGGACACTAGCGTTAACGCGTGCATTCATATCCATGATGCTCACACCGAGTTCGTCACAGGGGTCGCCTGGTCTCTATTTGATCCCTTGGTGCTGACTACTTGTGGATGGGACTACAAGGTGCACCTGCTCAGCCTCAAGGACCTGAATAGGCCGAACAACATGAGGAACATCAGCAACAAGAGGTGATATACCAACTATACTATACAACTACTGTACAAATCATTTAAACGACCCAATTTGTAACTACATGTGATGCCTCGATGATATAATTCCCATCGTAGGCTTAGCGTCCTGTCCGACGACTTGAGCATTTCCGTCAAAGACAGGTTTCGCTGGGTAAAGAAGCAACGATCTGCTGCTCAGCGGCCTCGTCGCGTAGGCCAAGATGCCCTTTGCTATGTGATCCGTCGAACGCTTTGCCTGTGTGAGTGTGAGTGTTAGTGTGATTGTGAGTGTGAGGATAACAATCCAATGACGTACGCTGTACCAATACATTAGCGGTATATCGGCATTATACGCCATCAACCATCTTTTCGCCTCTACAGGATTCATCTGATGCTGGAGATGCAAATCGCCTGTGCGCATGTCAGCGACGCGTACATACACCCCAACACACCACGCACTCTTCGACAAGACGACGTACACGAGATTCCTGGCAATCAAGTATTGCGGTATATTCTTCATTTGCGTCGTAAAGTCTTCCATATGCTCCAAGCAGCTCACAACTATCACGAATAACTTGTGGTGTGGATGCTCGAAGTAGTGCTGATTAGAAATTGGGTCGCTGAGTTGGCTGCATCTTGTGAGCTCTGATTTCACATCTGTCTCCCTCATCACCCTCACATTCTCAGCCTCTGCTTATCCCCCGCTAAATCTGCCACCCTCTTAGCAAGCTCTATCTTCCCAGAGAGTGATGATCCCGTTATCTGGATTACGCGTTAGATTTGATGGGCTGTGTTAATATTTAATCACCATCAATTTGCAGTTCGGTAGCTGCTCCGCTTTTGTCACGTCCGCCATATCGTTGAGAGTAATTAACGCGTTAGCTTGCCTATAAGTTGCATACAAAAATTATACACGCTTGAACATCTATCTATTGCTCCCATAATACATTTATTAAATCCCTTCAATGTCTATATGCGCTGCGTAGACTTAACTCGAAACTATTAATAAACATTCCTAGTCCTAAATCTCACTCAGACTAGCTTTGATTGCCTCTTCTAGCTGCGCCTCGAAATTCTGATCCACGTTTTCGGCTACCTGTGAGTAGCTCGGAGGTTCGGGATTCTCTTCCTCTATCGCCTCTTCTTGAGGTGCGACTGGCGCATACTCACTCCTCTTGCCCTCCTTCTTGGTCAGGTTGTTCGTATCACTATCGCCTTCTAGATTTATAGCATCTTCAATGTGCTGCTTTGAGGATCCTTCGATTGGCTCATAGGGAAAGTCACCCTCATACTGCTTTTCGAGATCCTCGCTTTTCTTTATTTCATCCAATATCGCTTCCATTTCGCTTTCTTCTCGCATCTTCTTTTGATTCTCTTCCTCTTCTTGGCTGATCATCATAATGTCTGTCGCGGGATTAGTGCGATGGAACGTAATGTGAGTAACTCACACTCTAAGGTCTCCGATTCATCTAGTCCTAAATTCTCCAAGCGGCCAAGAGTCTTCATCATATTCTGCTTTCTATCCGCTTCACTCTCGGAAACATCGTCGGTTTCGTCTTGCATCACAAGTGACTCTCTTATCTCATCCCGCACATCTGACGAGTCTGTCAATGGTTAGTCTTTTGGTGATACTCGAGAAGCAACAGCTACAGTCACGGCAATACTCACACTGATTCTTCTGCGCAACTCCCTTATTCGAGCCTCTCCATCCTTTACCTCTAGTTTTAAAATCTTTTATACCCCCAGCTTTCCATGCAATTACTTTGTTGCCGATAGCAGCGACGACAGCAAATTCATCCGCTACTATTCCGCTGACAGCAAACGCGTTCTCGTCTTCCGTCGATGCCTCATTTGTGGCCAGATACCGAGAGAGATGACGAGTCGATGATGTTTGATTGAATGATCTTATGGCATCACCGGTGAGTGGATCGTGCGCAATGAGCACTCCATCTGCAGCACCAGTCAGTAGAAGTAGAGGCGTGAGAGAGATGGTGGTTATCTTTGAGTGGTGTCCGCCAAATATTCTCAACGGCTCTATCACCTGATCCGACCTCGCATCCCAATCCCATACACACGTCCTTCCGCTAGAGTCACCAGCTACGACTGCCCTTCTATGTTTTAATATCTGATCTTTTGTGTTAAATGAGGAGCCAATGTTGAGTGCATCAGAGAAATTGTTGGTGGAAGACGCACTTCTACTCAATATCGGAGTTGAAAGTGGCGAGCACTTGCTGAGATCGTTGTTCAAATAGAAAGATGTGAGTTCGGATATTGGACCAAGCCCAAAGATTCTCTTCTTTTTAGTCTCAATGTCATGCCTCTCGAAGAAGGTCTCTGGCTTGCGATATATCAGAACGCTCACGTCGTTAGGACCTTGAGTGTCTAGTAGAAGTTTTGAGATTGGTAAGTATTTAGTGAAGCTTCCAAGAGAAGTATAAGCTACACGGTGTTCTTCTATTGTGTCTCTGGGGTTTTCTTCACTGATACATGCCTCAATTGGCATATTACTCCATACTCTGACTGTTCCACTCTCATATCCAGCAGCGATAGAACAACTCGTGCTATCGTAAGCTACTTGTGTTACTGAATCTACGTGCGCCAACTCCTCTCCTTTGGAGTTGAGTAGCTTTTTGACGTCTGAGCTCCATATACAACGCAGCTCAGGCTCATTCGACCACAACTTAACGACGCCATCCATGCTGCCGCTGACGAAAGAGGGCGCAGCCCAAGCGCTCTTTGAGAGAGTCGTTGATGGATGAGAAAGACAAGTGACAGGTCCATAGTGAAAATCACGGCTAATGTTTTGATGTGTTGCTAATCCGCTGCCTCGCACACCCCACGCAGATGCAGCTCCAGAGCCGTGCTGCAAAGCACTTTTAGCGATCTGGGTGAAACCGACAAAACCAGAAGCAAAGCCCCAAATGACTCTGCCATCACTGGACAGCTCTACAGTAGAGGCATCGTTGGGGGCCATTCCTGGTGCAAGAATGTAGCCTTTGGCTAGCTTACCACTGAAAGGCTCCGATCTACTCAAGCAGGCGTGCATGAGGGATACGGAGATGAGTCTTCGCGGGGTGAGTTCCGGGTTTGTAATGGTGGACAAATCGAGAGATATCTGGTGTATAGTAGCGACTCTGGGGTTGTGAGTGATAAGCGGGGCCTTCGATTTCTTCCAGCGACGGATGTAGATGGACCGCCTAACGAATTCCTCTTTCCATGAGCTGAATCTGCCCGAGATTCTCGAAGCGATGATAGAAGTGAACTTTGAGTTCTCCTCTGAAGGTTGTATGCCTAGAAAAGAGAAGGCAAAGGCACGGCGCCAAGCAGCGTCATCGGTAGCAGTGTGATGGAGGGACTTGTTCGTAAGAGAAACAGCGATAAGGGAGCCAGGATCGAGATAGGTGAGGATATGGAGGACAAGATCGTGTGGGAGATGGAACAGGAGAGAAGGGAGATGTGTGTCGTCGTCCTCGTCGTCGGTGGCTGATTGGGGGATTAAGTCATAGCCAGACAGAGCCAGCCGAACTCACAATTAGAATGAGAATAGAGGTTATTTGACATTTAAATCAAATTAAATAATTATTTAAATTAAATCAAGATGATCGTTATCAACTAACACCCAAGTCGTCGGTGTGAGATGGCAGCCCCTGCGCTCCAAAACTACCAGATTGGCGATTGCTTGGGGAAGGGGGCATTTGGCAGCGTCTACAGGGCTCTCAATTGGACCACTGGAGAAACGGTGGCTGTCAAGCAGATCCAGCTGAGTGACATTCCCCATTCCCAGTTGGGCGAGATTATGGTGGGTATATAACGATTTCTTGGGTCAAGCTAACTCGGTAATAGTCGGAGATAGATCTCCTCAAGAATCTCCATGTGAGTTGTTGTCTACTGCGTACACCACCACTCATCTCCCAAGCATCCACGCATAGTGCGCTATGGCGGTTTCGTAAAGACGAAAGATGCTCTGTTTGTTATCCTTGAGTGGGTTTTGTTGGTTTTGTTGGTTTTGGTGATGCAATCATCTAATCTGCTCCAGGTACTGCGAGAACGGTTCCCTGGCTTCGATCTGCAAGCGTTTCGGTAAATTCCCCGAGGCGCTGGTGGCCGTTTACATATCACAAGTCCTCGAAGGTCTCCAATACCTCCACGATCAGGGTGTATGTCATCGTGATATCAAGGCTGCCAATATCCTCGCAATCAAGGACGGTAAAGTCAAACTCGCGGATTTCGGTGTAGCTACACAAGCACACCTAGCAGATAACTCTGTAGTTGGTAGCCCCTTCTGGATGGCTCCGGAGGTCATTGAACAGTCCGGAGCGAGCACTGCATCCGATATTTGGAGCGTAGGCTGTGTCGTGATTGAGCTGCTAGAGGGGCGCCCACCATACTCACATCTTCCTCAAATGAGCGCACTCTGGGCTATCGTTCAACACGACCAAATGCCAATCCCAGAGGGTTCCTCACCCGTTGTCAAAGATTTCCTCCTCCATTGTTTTCAAAAAGATCCTAATTTGCGTGTCTCAGCTAAGAAACTACTCAAGCATCCTTGGATCCGCCAAATTAACTCGCCAGACAAAAGTAATACCAAGTTTACCCAACTTTATAGAAGAAATACCCCAACTGAGGACCACGAAACTTACGACAACGCCGTACAGAAGGTGCAAGAGTGGAATGAGGCTTTAAAATCCCCGCCTAAAAGCTCAAAGACTAAGTCGCTCTTCCCTGCTCGTGATAGCAAGTCTACTTTCTCTCCGCTACGAAGATCGTCTCTTAACAATGATAGTCCCAACCCCGCTACGGTATCAAATCAACCGCCTGCGAAACCATTCACGGTTAGGAATGACAATAGAGAGAATGTCCTCAGTAAAACGCAGGAGGATGAGGAAGACAATTGGGATGCAGACTTTGCTGGCACAATCTCCTTTTCGAAAGCACAGGATGCAATTTCAGGTGACACTGGCAAATCAGACGATAATACCCAAACTATAAAACCAAACTCGAGGAAAGCCAGCGAGGATCACAGCATAACGTCACGTATACCTAATAAGATAATTGAAGATTACTCTGACCTCGGCGGAGATGAAGATGACATTGTACTCAGCGAGAAGATATCAAGTTTGAGGTTGAAGGGTGGCCTCTTCCATCCAAAGGACCTAGGCAGGCTGAGAGAAGAGCCATCACCACCATTGCAATCGTCGTTTAACATACCACAGAAGAAGCCATCTCTACCAAAACGCCCCTCTCCTCCAACATCGCTGCGTTCTCACAGCAGATCACGCTCAAGTATATCCTCCTTGCCAGCGCCATCGACAGAGCAAACAAGGAAAACGAGCGATCTGGCAAAGTATTCTGAAGTTGACGACGAAGACTTTGACGATGTTTTTGGTAAAGCGCCGCCATCAGTGTCAGGTGAAAGTGGGCAAACGCTACAACTGACGACCAAGTTGTCTAATAAATCGTGGCTCGGTGACGACGTAGCCGATGATGAGGATCCATTTGCACAAATTGAGGATGACTTTGCCGAGAACGATATTGAGTCAAACTTGGTCAGAGATAGACATGCAAGGTTATGTGCTATGGTCGCTGAATTAGTCGATCAATTAGAGGCTGGTAAGTCTGAAGAGAAGCTGAATGAAATGCTTGACGAGTTGTTGCACATACTCGAAGAGTTCCCGGATATGTATATGCAATTTGTTGCAGCCAGGGGCATGCTTTCATCACTCGAGGTTCTAGAAAGTAAACCCAGCAAAGATGTAATTTACAAGCTGCTGAGGATAATAAATCTCATTGTCTCGGTCGATCCTGGTCTTGTTGAGTCATTCTGCCTCGTCGGGGGTATAGCGGTGGTGATGACTTATGCGAGCAAACGTTATTCGCATGAACTTCGGCTGGAGGCTGCGTCGTTTGTAGGCCATGTTACCCACACGAGCGTCTTGACGCTGCAGATGTTTATAGCGTGTCGAGGGTTTAGAGTCCTTGTCGATCTGCTGGATGAGGAAGCGCAGGAGCTGGTATACGAGGCAGTCTCAGCAATCTCTAGTGTATTCGAATCACATTCCCTTACTACAAAAACGGACTTTTGTAGGATATTTGCTAAGGAAGGTCTTCTAGAGCCACTTTCTAGTGCTCTTACTACGGCACTTAGGGAGACATCTGATGAAGGTGCGCAAGTGAGGGACATCTCAAGCAAGATCTACTTGCTGTTTGCGCAAGTGGGACAGAACGACAACGTGGTCTTGAATGCGTTGGGCACACGCAGCATTCTAAGACGCCTTCTAAAGGCGTGTGAGAGTTTATGTGACAAGGACAAGATGTCATCCCTGCTGATCACGCTGTTAAAGACGTTCAAGCATATATCGACATCGGCGGGAATGTTGGATGTGCTGCAAAACAGCAACGCAATTGAAGTATTTGTCAGAGTGCTCGACAAGCGTAAGGAGGGAGAGCGGAGTAGTGAAATTTCGTCGCAAGTGCTGCAGATATTCTACTCACTTACACGACTTTCACCAAGCAGACAAGAAGAGGCGGCACAGGCGGGATTGATACCACTGTTGAAGAGAGTTTTTGAAGTTTCATCGCCGCTGAAGCAATTTGCATTGCCAATACTATGTGACTTTGCGCATGCTGGGAAGAGCTGCCGAGCGCTGCTTTGGAAACACAACTGCTTGGATCTCTACATTCTACTATTGCAAGATGCATACTTCCAAGTTTCGGCGTTGGAGGCAATACTCATCTGGCTGCAGAATGAGACTGATAGAGTGGAGGGTCAGTTGCTTCAGCCAAGACCACTGGAAAGTCTGTTGACTATGTTCGTACAAGCCAAGGCCAACTCGTTCGAAGCAAGTCTGGAACCGATACTGAAAATGTGCAGGATCAGCAGGGGATTGGTTCTGGGAGTTGCGAAAGCAAGCTTCTTTAGGAAGCTCATTGATAAGCTCTCGCACACGAAAGCGCTCGTCCGGCTAAACTTGCTCCGTATACTGAGGCTGGTGCTGGAGGTGCATCCCAACTGTAAGAGTATTGTAGAGGAATATAGATTGATAGAGGTAGGTGACGTAAATCTCGGTTACATTAACTCACAAAATTGCAGGTGATAAGCGAGCTTGGAGTGAAGGATAGTGCGATACTGGTTAGGGAGTTGAGTAAGGAAATATCGAATGAATTGAAGGCTGGAAAATACACAAGCCTGGCAAGGGAGCGAAGATCGACATCGGACAACGGCGTTCTGGGAGCGAGCCGCGCGTACAGGCCGCACAGGAGGATACCGTCACGAGGATTTTGAGACATAGATGCATGAGCGGAGATACTAAAATTAATTGTGCGTTTAGGTGTGCATTTTGTGTGCAATTAGAGGTTAATGTGTGAATATAAAGAAAAATCTAATAATAAATTTGCATTTCGTGCGTAGAAGGACAGAAGCCGAGATAAGGGCTAAGCTAAGACAAGGGGAAGGAGTGAAAGAATAGAGCTTGACAGACCAATAAACTACAGACACAGAAAGTAGGTAGACTAATAGCAATTTAACTATTATCAATAATTTGCGGGGTCTCGGCAACAAAATCGCTTACAAGTGAGGGGCAACAAGTGAGATACCGCATTTGAAAGGAATAGCGGGTGAGTGTAAAAAGGGTGAAAGGAATTCAAGTGTTTAGCCCGCTAGAAGGCGGACTGTGCACGATGTAACACGTCGCATGATCCCCGCTGGTCGATCACACTGTACCAATTGCGGGGATGAGCCGCAAAAAGAAGTGACGATAGAGGATGGCGACAAGAATGTCAAGTAGAATCAGTGTGACAAGTGCTGCGCAAGGAATGTTGGGCGTAGATGAGATTTGTAGTGTGCCTGGCAAAAACTTCAGGGGCTTCTTGAGACCGGCAGAAGATCCGAGAGCGCCTAGAAATGAGGAGGAGGCGGGAGCAATTAAGTAAAGTAGTGGGATGGAAAACTAGAATGACACTGCAACTATTTTTAAGCACTTAAAAGTGATTACGTGCGTAAAGTCACCAATACGTCAGCCAATCAGGGGCCACGAAAAAGGGAGACAGAAGAAGAGCAATAGGCAATGTATATGAAAACAGACGCGTAAAATATTATTAAAATTAACATAATAAATCCGGTAAATTTTGATTTTTTTTTAAATCCCCAACAATTAAATTGCGGCGAGGAGAAATCTTTTTCTTCAACTTCCACATTGAAATAAAAAGTCCAGCCACCCTTTCACTTTAAACACATTTAAAAGCTCAAGCAGGGCAATTAAAATAAAGATGTCTACCCATGATGAAAAACCAGTAAGAGAGGGTGAAATTCCTTCAAAGGAGCAAGTGCCTCAAGAGGATGATGAATCACCTGGAGCTGAGTACTCGGCTTTGGTCAACTACATTCAAAATGTTGAACTTAGAAAGGGTGATGACGAAGCCCAAGAGGAAGACGACGTTACTTACAAACGCGTAAGTTTTTTAGGTTTCACCTAAATGGTATTTTTAACACGCGTTTAGAAATGGTATGCGCCTTGGAAAAAAGTTGAAATTAGACAACAAGGCGCAACTGTTCCTCCCGATTGGCTTACTGCCACTCACGCTTCAGGTGGTTTAAAGTCATCCGACGTTGAACCACGCCGTAAGCGCTTTGGTTTCAACGAATTAGAATCTCCAGAAGAGAATCACTTCCTCAAATTCCTTGGTTTCTTCAGAGGCCCTGTTCTCTACGTTATGGAAGGTGCCGTCGCTCTTGCGGGTGGTCTTCGTGAATGGGTCGATTTCGGTGTCATTATTGGTATTCTTCTCCTCAACGCTTTCGTCGGTTTCTATCAAGAAAAACAAGCTGGTGATATTGTGGCCCAACTTAAAGCTGGTATCGCTCTGCGTACTACCGTTGTCCGCGACGGTCAAGAGACTGAAGTCGAAGCACGCGAACTTGTTGTTGGTGATATCGTCGTTATTGAAGAAGGTGCGACAATTCCAGGTGATTGTGAACTTCTTGCGGACTACAAGGATAAGGATGGCTCAAAAGCTGCCGACATCCTTCAAAAAGTCAAGGAAGACGCAAAGAGAGAAAAAACTGACGACGACGAAGAAAAGTTCGGCAAAGGTCCATCAATTTTGGCCGCTGATCAATCCGCTATTACTGGTGAATCCTTAGCTGTTGACAAGTATGTTGGTGACATTGCTTTCTACACCACCATCTGTAAGCGTGGTAAGGTTTATGCACGTGTCAAGATGAGTGCACCAATCTCTTTCGTCGGTAAAACTGCTGCCCTTGTTTTAGGCTCGAACGACAAGGGTCACTTCGTTAAGGTCATGAACATTATCGGTGGTACTCTCTTGGTTCTTGTCATTGTCTTCTTGTTCGCTGTCTGGATTGGTGGTTTCTTCCGTAACGTAGAGATCGCCCAACCAAGAGACAATAACTTACTTGTCTACACTCTTATCTTCGCTGTCATTGGTGTCCCAGTTGGTCTTCCAGTTGTTACCACCACTACTCTCGCCGTCGGAGCTGCTTATCTGGCTAAGCAACAGGCCATCGTTCAACAACTCACCTCCATCGAGTCTCTCGCCGGTTGTGATATTCTCTGTTCCGATAAGACTGGTACCCTTACAGCCAACAAACTTTCTATTCACGAACCATACACGGCTGAAGGTGTCGACATGGACTGGATGATGTGTGTTGCTGCTCTTGCCTCATCGCACAACGTCAAGTCTTTGGACCCTATCGACAAGATCACCATTTCTACCCTTAAGGAATACCCTCGCGCCACCGAAATGCTTAAGACTGGATGGATCACCAAGGACTTTAGACCTTTCGACCCAGTGTCCAAGCGTATTACTTCAATTGTTGAGCGCGACGGTGTTACCTACACTTGTGCCAAGGGTGCTCCAAACTCTATTCTCAAGATGTGCAACTGTCCACCACAAATTGCTCAAGCATTCCGTGACCAAACTATGGAGTTTGCTTCTAGAGGTTTCCGTTCCCTTGGTGTTTCAGTTCAAGAAAACAACGGTGATTGGCAAGTTCTTGGTTTACTTCCTATGTTCGATCCTCCACGTCACGATACTGCTGCCACTGTTGGTGAAGCGATTAAGCTCGGTGTTGGTGTGAAAATGTTGACTGGTGATGCCGTTGCTATCGCTAAGGAGACTTGTAAAATGCTCGGTATGGGCACTAAGGTGAGAAGTTTCTCTTCTTTTCAGTCCTTTCTAACTTTTCGTAGGTTTATGACTCTCACAGACTTATTGGTGGTGGTTCTATGGCAGGTTCTGAAATGCACGACTTCATTGAATCCGCCGATGGATTTGGTGAAGTTTTCCCAGAACACAAGTACCAAATTGTTGAGATGCTTCAACATCGTGGTCACTTGACGGCCATGACTGGTGATGGTGTTAACGATGCCCCAGCCCTTAAAAAGGCCGATTGTGGTATTGCAGTCGAAGGTGCTTCAGACGCTGCTCGTTCAGCTGCTGCCGTTGTTTTCCTTGACGAAGGTCTTTCAACCATTATTACTGCAATTAAGGTCGCTCGTGAAATTTTCCACCGTATGAAGGCTTACATTGTTTATCGTATCGCTCTCTGTCTTCATTTGGAAATCTACCTTACACTCTCTATCCTCATTATGAACGAAACTATTCGTGCAGACTTGATTGTCTGGATTGCATTGTTCGCTGATTTAGCCACAGTCGCTGTTGCATACGATAATGCCCCATACGCACTTACTCCAGTTTCGTGGCAATTACCAAAGATATGGATCATGTCAACTGTTCTTGGTGCAATTCTCGCAGGTGGTACTTGGATTCTTAGAGGTACGCTTTTCCTCAACAGCGGTGGTGTTATCCAAAATTGGGGTGGTATCGAGCACATTCTCTTCTTGGAGGTTTGTCTCACTGAGAACTGGTTGATTTTCTTAACCAGAACCGGTGCTGGTGAATTCAAGTGGCCATCATGGCAATTGGTTGGTGCTATTGGTGGTGTAGATATCCTTGCAACTCTCTTCACCCTGTTCGGTTGGTTCCACGCTGAAGATGACATGCACAACGGTCACACCGACATTGTCACTGTTGTTAAGGTTTGGTGTTTCTCTATCGCTGTTATGGTTATCTGTACCCTTGCGTACGTTATCATGAACAACTGGAAGTGGTTGGACAACCTCGGAAAGAGACAAGTTGGAAAGGTAGACAGACGCGTTGAGGACTTCATGAACGAGTTGCAACGTATCACTATCGTACATGAAAGATCTGATAGAGATGTCTACAGACTCTACGGTAGATCTCAAGGTCTTGATTCCGACAGTTAAATGAGTTAATTAAATAGTGGTAAATTTTTAATTACTGGATTAATTACAGCAAATTCTAAACAATTCATTTTCAAGATTCTGACCTTATAGAAACATTTCTAGTTTTTTTTAATTCTAATACTAACTTCAATCATTCATTAATTTGCTCTTTTGTGGCTACACCAAACTAGAAAATCTTTTTGTTAAATATAAATACATATTTGTTGTTTAAGTCAAGCAGTTCTTCGATTTCATAAGTTTTGTTGCATCTTTTTAATTGACTTTTCAAGTGACCGTAGTCGTGCGTCGTCTTGTTCGAGTAATGACGTCATCTTGTTCATGTGCTTCTTGAATGCCTCATTTTGATCTTCAAGCGTACTGTTATGTCCTTTGAGCTCTGTTACTTTCTTCTGTAGTCCACGTATCTTCTCGTTGTGCATCAGTATTAGCCCTTTCAGCTTTGCCATCTCTGAAACTGTTTTATCTTCTACATACGGCTCCGAATCACTCTGGCTATTTGGGTAAACAGAGACGTTGCCAGAGCTCAAGTCAAGTGTGAATGTATTTCTAATGTGCTCCAATTCGTACGGCACGTCTTTGTACATCCTCCCCGCTAATGACTTGCAGCGATTACATCTTAGCCAAACATACACTGCGCCGTAATCTTCAGATTTCTTACTCTGAAATCTATCTGCGGTGATCTCCAGATTATCGGTCACAGCTAATGATATCAATATTTCGTTTCGTAGAGCTACGCGACGTACAACTCAGAGTAACACAGCTAAAAGCAATAGGCTGGCCAAATGGTGCAACGCCATCACCGAGAACCAATGCGCAGTGTATACATTGGAATAATTTTGTCCTGCCTTCGCTCTCGGCCATCGTTGCACCCGTTCTATGATGATGGTTCAAGATAAGGGCGAGACGCCTATGAAAATTGAGCAGATGGCTTCGCTCGCGCTGAGTATATTGACTCTGCTCATCATCTGCTCTCTCTGCTTGTCGTACTTCCTCCAGCAGAAGAAAATTAGGTCCGTACACGAGACTGTGATAGCGGTGTTTGCAGGTGATTATAGGTGCTTTGAGGTGGTATACGGTCTCTAAAAGTTTCCAGGTATGGTCGTCGGTCTGATTATCAGGCTTAGTCCTGGTCATATCATTCGCGAAATGGTGGTCAGTTCATCCACTTCTTCAAGCATACGCTTACTCACACAATGAAAGACCTTCTCGCCGTCTCTCTTCTTTAACCTTCTTTTACCTCCAAGTTCGTTTCACTACGACACTCCTCCGACCCTAACACGCTTCTCGCACAGTTATACTCGATTCCGGCTATAGACTACGTGAAGCGCATTTCTTCAGAAACATTATACCAATCCTCACTTTCGCATTGGCTGGCACTTTCATTTCGGCTGTCGTTATCGGGTAGGTTGCTTCAATCTATCAAGTCTTGAGCCACGCTCATTTATCCCAATAGTTTCGTCGTCTACGTCTTCTCTTTTTTACACATTTCCAGTCTCCAGATTAGTTTGGTGGAGTGTCTCATTCTCGGCTCAACGCTCTCAGCTACCGATCCAGTCACCATTTTGGCAATTTTTAACACTTTCAAGGTAGATCCAAAGCTCTACTCTGTTATATTCGGTGAAAGTATCCTCAACGATGCCGTCTCTATCGTCCTTTATGAAACTCTAAGCCAATTCCATGGCGCTGACTTGAAAATGTCTTCCTTCTTCAGAGGCGCTGGTATTTTCTTCCTTTCGTTCAGTGGTTCTATGGCTCTCGGTGTGACCTTTGCCTTGGCTTGTAGTCTGGGTTTAAAACACTCCAAAGTCGGCTCCTTCCCCGGTATTGAAAGCTGTTTGGTGTCACTTATCGCCTACACTTCCTACTTTTTTTCGAACGGTATTGGCATGAGTGGTTTGTCAGCCTTTCACAGCTTTATAATCCCATTCTCATTTCACTCCAGGTATCGTGTCTCTCATTTTCTGCGGTATCACTCTGAAGCACTATGCTTACCACAATATGAGTACGAAGACACAACGAACTACCAAATCCATGTTTCATGTCCTTGCGCAACTCTCCGAAAACTTCATTTTTGTGGGTTTAACGGTTACTTGAGACAATTTCAACTCAATCTTTCTAGATCTACCTCGGTATCACTCTTTTCACGCAAGATGCTACGGAATTCAAGCCTATATTCATCGTTGTTGCTAGTCTGGCTGTCGTCATTGGTAGATATATGACAGTATTTCCACTCTCCAAAGCCATCAATATGGTATACAGGTCAAAAGGACAAAGAGCTCCCGAGCTGCCACATAGCCATCAAGTGAGAGAATCGTTTTCTTGCAACTTTAGCGCTGACGTTTATCACCCAGATGATGCTCTTCTGGGCTGGCTTGAGAGGTGCAGTTGGCGTAGCCTTGGCAGCTGGCATCACAGGCAAGAACGCAGCAGCGCTGCGCACAACAGTTCTGATCGTCGTCGTATTGACTGTCGTCGTCTTCGGTGGCACGACATCTAGAATGCTGGAGGTGATGGGCATCAAGATGGGTGTTGAAGATGATGAGGCGTCAAGCGATGAAGAGGACGACTATCCAACGCCTTCAGGAGTCAGGGGAGGATTGAGCAACTATCAATACTTTAATCACCAAACAGAAGCATTGTCTCCGCAATACCAAGACAATGATATAGAAGAGGGAATCAACTTAGTGATTCCGAAGCAGCAGGATGTAAATCTCAAACAGGCAACTTCCTCAGCATCCCTTCAAAAGTCAAATTCGCCTTCGAAACGTGGAGAATCTACAGATAGGCGATCTAAGAGTTTGAATGCTGGCAGTTCAAGCAAACAACCAGTGCTCGATCTCGAGGATGATGACAATGAAGTGTTGCCCGTAGCAAACACCTCGAAAATTCCAAACAATCATGACCATGAGGGTGATATGGATAACAGCAGATTTGTTTTCAAAGACGGAAAGTGGTTCACTGACCTGGACGAAAGATACCTACTGCCACTTTTTAGCAATAGCGTTGCCAGTCGGCGTCACAATGCACGCAAAACTAACTCCAGACGTAATCTGCAGGAAGCAGAATCCAGTCCGTCTAACAACTCTAATTTAAGTCTCAATGAAGGCGGCTTATAATGTGCTGAATTAGTTGGTTATTTGCCTGTTTGTATTCTTGAATATGCATCAGTGCGCTTATCGAATTGTATACGTTGTAAAGGTCACCACAAGTGATTCTCTTCTTCATTCAACTTACATCACTATGTGCGACGAGAAATTACGGGTTAGAGGATGTTGTGAGAGCCCTGAAAAGTATATTCTGATATATTGTACCATCCTTGGATTTCGTTGTTGCCTTTGCTTAGTCACATATTAGCTGGAGAAATGGATATGTGAAAGAGATTAATACGCATTTTAATAGCTTATTGAATTTTTACATATATCATGACATCCATTCTCTTCAATACACCCCAAAAAAAAGTCAATCTGGGAAACTTCTCCGCATCTCTAATGATGTCAAGATTTGTTTTGGGATGACAGGGTGATGAAAATGGTTCTTTTAGGACTATCAAACGCTTGCAGTAGTATGAGCTGTTTAATTGAATTGCGTATACTCAAGATTAAGTGAGAAGACGAATGCAGAGATACAATATACGGACAAATTGGATAATTTAGCAAAGTCAGTATTTCGTGAAATTCCTGTTCTTTCGAACATCACCTCGTCTCAGCCTTACTCTCAATAGCCCCTGAGTTGGATTCTCGACCACCACTATATCTCATCTCAGATGACTGATTTACGAGTTTTTATAATGTCCAAATAAAAAAGCTTCATATATAGCCCTACATGAGCTGTGCAAGATGTTGCCAGATATATGTCCCTGAGCATTTGTTCGCGCCCTGTAGACTCTTCGGAAGTTAGAATACAACGTCGTTCAGGAGCACGCTTTAGGTTAAATATAAAGGATTTCACTCGCTTCATTGATTTTAACAAAATTTATCAGCTAATACAGATTACAAGCACCCAAGATCTCATTTATTCGGCTGTACAAACGCGATTTACGTTTTCCGACTATTAGCGTCCCCAGGAATTAAGCTGGCTGCATGAAAAAGTTTTTAAACATGCAGGATCATCGCAACAATATTGAAACCACTTAATGCAATAAAAGTTGAAGGTATCTCAGTACTAAATTTGGGGCTTTGGCTCGATCGGGTGACTTTAGAAATATGGATAATCATCGTAGAGAGGTTATCAATGCTGCTTTGGACCCTTGTTATTCGCGGCTTATTATGGTAGAGCCTTTTAAGCTACCACATTAGCTTTCCAGCAGCAAGTCACATCTGACTAAAAGAGTACAAAGTTATCACTACGCTATTCATGAAAAACTTACCTTAATTTTCTTTTCGATTTCACTAGCTACCGAATGATACCGATATCGCTCATGTTATCACTTGTTTTGGTGCTATCATGGACAGACTGAACATGCTATCGTAAGACTACCGAAGCATACCAATTCCTTCAACTGGCAAAATTCACAGAAGCTCGTGTGCTCTAATGATACATTTTGCTTTTTAAAGCGAAACATAGACCACAATCACCCAAGTTGCACAAGTACATACCTTTCAAAACGCGTGTTACAAAGTCAGACGCACTGACTTTAGCGATTTCGACAAAAATCAATTTTGTTGTCAGGAATAACTTATTACCACTACGTAATTTCAGAAAAGAAGGAGTAGATGTCACTCCAACTTTGAAATCGGGCGTTTAGCTTCTGATCAGTGCATTTCAAATTTTCATAAAATAGGGTGAATAGAAAGGTGGTTAAGACAATATGGAATTTTATATGTCATGATTATAGGAATGTATGTTTTTGGATGCCAAGTCGCACTTAACCCCCACCGGCCTCAATTCCTGTACTTGCTGGTAACACGCCTTAGCAGCCATCGCACCTCAACGAGCTGACAACATCATTCGTTTCTGTAATACCAGGAAATACTTCTGGTGTGTCATTTGGAAGAGACGCTAGGATTTCAAGTTGCAGGGGAACTAGTTCAGGCTGCAAAAAAATGACTTGTTCAAATTTCGAAGATCAAAATGACTACGCAGGGAACGAGACCTAGACAAAATTAAGCTAATAAGTCATTGCCTTTAATTACAATTAACGCTTTGTCTTATCAATTAATTTAATCTGCCCGTCCTAAAACTGTGAAACCCATGGGTAAACGTCGTATTCTAACTCTGTGTTGATTCTACGACGTATGAGTCAAAAAATAAAGAAAGCCATATGCTTGATTCACTAACGTATAGCCTATATATGTCAGGCTTCCATCTCCTAAAAACGAAATGAAGGGAGATATGGTTATTTCCAACGAATGGTATGTAAATGCTTACGTTATCGCAACAAAAATCGTGAGCAAACGGAAATAATAATTAACGGGATTGTACGAACGTCTTTAAAAGACACCTGAAGAGGCATCTACATTACTCATTTTGTCAAATATATGTTGATTTCAAAATTTGTATTAATTTTATCTCTTTTAGGTGTACAGGCCATTCCCCAACCAAACAAACTGAAACTTAAGAAATTAAGGATTTGTAATCTGTGAGTACTGAAGAGCCACGATACCTTGTACTACATATTGTATTTTATGGCTGTAAAAGCCAATTCTCAGGCAATTAAAGCAGATATGTTAGTTGATGGACCCTTTCTTTATTCCACATACTTCTTACCATCTTAAATTACCATACATGAATCTGTGACTGCTTTATTAGTTGACTTATTTTATAATTGAACCCTTATCGGCTAGTGTTCTCAGAAAATATCCATATTGTAGACTACGAAGGCCAAGCTGCTTTCCCACAGTTGTAATATTGCAATATTAGCTTACAGTTTTTGCTGTGAAAGCTATTTATCAAGTTAAAATCCTAGGCTTGACAGTGCATTCTCAACAGATAAAGTGAAATTAGTTTGAAAACTTCGATAAGTAACGAAAACAAATCGAAACGACTCCTGCGTCACAACGTAATGCAGGACATACCTGTAATATAAAATCTGTTAAAAGCTGCAGGCTGTCAATAGCACAAGAGTAGAAAAAGATAAAAATTAAGCAGAAGACAATTTTATAGTTCAACATCTAGTATTGTTGTCCAAAACCTGAAAAAATATAAACAACGAATATTACTTAAGGTATACTTAAAAGAATACAGGCCATTAAAAAGACATTTGACTTTAACCCTTATAAATTCAATTATTGTTAAGGCAGGCTTTTGTCCGTTAAGTTAGACGTCTTTTGTTACTCCTACATCTTTTTAAAACGGATGAAACTGTATTTATCATGAATATTCACTCTAGCTTAACCATGAAAAGATAATTTAATAACAAAGGCTTAGACGTTATAGTTTTCAAGATCACTGAAACATTTAAGAGCCAAGTCAACAGCCTTGAATCTAATATGGTAAAAGTATTTTCAAGTATACCGAGAACAACTTATGACAATTAATAGTTTTGATTCATTGCGATAAGTTGGTATTCTTCCGTGTTCGACAAATTTTGTATATTCATTTCAAGTTTACATCTGGTTTTAATGCGAATTAAAAGCTATGTCTTTGATTGACTATGAGTCACCCATGATTCTAATCTTTACAAAAATGCAATCAATATTGCATTCTCTTGTAAGAAGTAGTCAAACTTAGCGATTGTGATTTCCTTCATGTGAATTAATATCAAAAAAATAACAGTATGATCGTTGTAATCCATAATTTTTAAGATTTAGCATTTATTGTGGTTACAAATATCAACACTGCAAAGTCTGAATGAGATTGAGATTGGTTTAGAGAAATTTACGTTGGAGACTCTATTGGCATGGGTGATCTTTAAAAAGATGTTCGACTTCATGGATTAAAATTAACCTTATAAGAATGTTTTGAATCATAAAGTGCTTTCGAGAGACTTGCACAACACCTAATGTTGTGCGGCTAACCAATATTTGTCAATAATGAACATGTAGAACTTTTTAATTAAATTTGTGGATACAAACTGAAAAAGTCTGATACGGTTTCACGGGATTCACTTTTCAAATTATGAGATTACTCTCTTTCATGCGAAGTTTAAAAGTATTTTCAATTCTACCTCTTCAGCTACCATGGCTAAGCTGGTGTATATTTATTATATATTTTCAGGAACTTTATTCACAGTAGGGCCTTTTTCACCAAAGGTCAGTTTTATTGAACAAATTTACGAGATAATCCCCCATGTATTATACTATGAGTGGGGTTCAGTATGGATTCAGAGTAACATGTATTAAGATCGTAGACTTATTTTTACTACTTTCAAAGTCATACCACTAATCGCAATCCGAAAGCTTTTGTGTAAAAAATTAGGCAAAAACATAAAGTCGTTTTGTGGTTTGAACGCAATAAAACGGTCGTAAATAAACAATTATTTGTTACGGTTGCCATGGAATTAACAATAAGAAAGTAAACAGTATATAAGGTTTCATTCGCTCTCAGCATGAAGTTGTTAGTGAGCATATACCAGGGAGTTGCTAAGCATTCAAAGAACATATATTGTTTTGAATAGAAACATTAATGACATGTAATGATGGTTGTTCTTACTAACTTGAAACCATCATGCGATTCTGAAGATGTACTAGCAAAGCAAAAAGTCTAGCTCAAGTTTACCAAGAGCCTTTAATTACTCAGCAGGAAGAGTACAGATATATCTTCTTGTTACAGATCCTAGTGCTCATAATTAGGCAATTTAAATATGCGTTGAAGTATGATCCTCATAGTGTGTACAAGGCGAAAGATACGATCAGATGATTTATCGGTTCGCTTTTCTGTTACTTTAAAAATATCTTACCCACGTTAATGCAAAGTAGCATACTAATGGAGAAAATTGATCTCCTCGTTCTTATTTATGCGATCATGGCATTTCTAAATTGGAATCCTAATAAATTTCAGTTGGTCCATTCTTGTTTGTTTAGTTATTTTTTTTTTCAAATGTCACTCTTAGCTCACGCCACTTTTAAGTTATTTTGTGCGGAAAAGTGTGGGGCGCTCCACAAAAAGTGCAGAGTTTTGCGTGGACCATTGAAAAGTTATGCACTCGTCTGATACAGTATAAGAATTTCTATTCGTTTGAATGGAGCTAATACACCACATAATGTGTCTTTATCGCATATCAACTACAGGTGCTTAAGTAGCATAGCCATTCTCACCCTCAAGGATACCTTCAAAGTAATGGTTTAGTAAAATCGGACTATGAGCCTTTATTGAACCGCAAAATACTGCCAAATACTTTAAATTCAGGTTCAATCGTGTCAAAGGCTCGAAATAATGAGAAATACATGTTGTTATCATTGACATTCTGTCTAATTTAGGTAGAAAATGGTTGACAATAATTAAGTCAACGTGTTTTTTTTTTTTTTCGGACACGGATATCGCATCTTCGCTCAATCTTAGGACGTCAAGAGCTTTCGACTTGGCCAGCGAGTTCAACAACGATTGTTTATGCAATTCGTGCCATTATTGCGCCCAGGAAAGCACAATTTCGTCAAGTCTCAACTTATCAAGCATCTCACCTCCACTTAATTTGTATTATAGAATATCGCCGACCGCGGACCATCAGGGTAACTTCACATTTTCTCCTAAAGTTAGCCTTACCAGTGCACTCATTTGGCAGTTTTATGAGCAGGTGTGTTGCGACTCTGATCAGTGCATGATCTTCCTTTATATTGTTGAACTCATTATGGCTTAAGCGCTCTTGGGCGTTCTTTTATTAAATTGACCTGCTGGTTTTCAGAATTTAGTAAATGTAGGTATATCTGTATAATTCGCAATTTTTTCAACAGTTTTTGCACCTATTTATGATATATAGCTATATTTGCTCAATTTTTATTGATGTTATGTCTTATCATATTACTTCCATCGCACAACGAAGTATTTAGCAAATCTTGCAAGTGACAGGCTGCAGGATTGCGGATTGGCTTCTAAGCGAATAAGCAGATAGAACATGTGAAATTAGTGAAATAAATTTAGAGTCGTCGTGAGAAATGGCGCGTGATGACAATTGGATAAAAATGTTTGGATTACATTCGTTGATTTACACTGATGAAATGGAATATGAAGAAATATGGACGTGAATTCGGCGGTATGGGTGGCGTACGAAGCGTTTAACAGCAAGGATTTTGATATCTACCTCACGCCTTTCGTCAATGCTTTTAATTTTTATCTTCAACTTAATGCTTATAATATTTAAAGGTCTCATTGACTTGAGAAATAATTTGGGCCCAGCCAATTATTCCAATAATAGTGGTTTTATTATGCACTCACAATACTCAGGACATGTCTTTTTTTAGTTGCCCCGAAGAAAGCTAATTGAAAGACTTCCATGACGAACATTATTTCAACTCAAAGTAGAAAAAATGTAAGACAACTGGTATACTTCTTTATCGAGCTTTTGCAATGATATTTTGAGAACTGAATGAATATCCTGGAGATTATGGTTATCATTGAATAACTAATTTCCCTAAGGAGATCTTTAGCCCAATAATCATAGATCAGCTTCATTTGCGCCATCACCAACTAACACTCTGCGCAAATCTTTCGCCTGTCACCCAATTCCCTTACTCCTTCAAGTTCAAGCGTGTAAAAGTATTCTAATTTTTAAAGATTTGCTTTTAGCTCATGCATTCATACTGTAAAACAAATTTTCTAAAACAACGCGATTTAATAATCTAATAATCACCTATCATAATCTTAATAGCGGGCCTTCCATTCTCATCTTTGCCATTTGAAAGTGTCTCGAAGGCGTTTTTGCTGTCGCTGAGTTTAAATTTGTGAGTGACGAGCGAATCAGCCGATGCGAGCTTGTTAGCAGCGAACATTTCAAGAGCATCGTCGTACGTGTTTGAATACCTGAAAACGCCAACTAAATCGACTTCTCTAAATGCTGCCGCCGATACCGGCAATGTGGCATTTGGGGTTCCCATACCGATGTAAACAACTTTTCCACCGGCTTTGGCTGCATAAATCGCAGCTTGCATACATGTTTCCACACCTGTACACTCAAACACTACATCGTAGCCATCACTACTGGACTGTCCGAGTATGCTATCAGCTGTGTTCTTTGAAATTTCAAGCGATTCCGCGGGCGACGAAGGACGTGGTCCAAGAGGGAGCAGAACAGTGTTATCAGCGAAGCTCTTTTCCAATGCGAATTTAAGTCTGTTCTCATCAATATCTATTACCGTGACCTTAGTTGCACCCTGTGCCTTGACGACCGAAGCAGCCAGTAAACCTACGGCACCAGCGCCAAAGATGGCAACATGGTGACCTGCTCTAACCCCAGAACGTCTACTTCCATGCAAGACGACACTCAATGGCTCCACCAGCGAAGCTTGCTCGAACGACACATTATCAGGCATTTTGTGCAAGAGTCTAGCAGGATGAGTGAAACACGTCTGGAGAGTTCCATCCAAGTGCGGATATGTTTTGGCCGATGAAGCAAACCTCAACCCCGGACAGAGGTTGTATCTGCCACTCTTACACAGGCTGCAACTCGAGCAGTAAATACCGGCTTCAATGGCCACCCTGTCACCTGGCTGGATGTGCGACACGCCTTTACCGACAGAGGTGACGATTCCGGCAGCCTCATGTCCCATAGCGAGTGGCTCCCGTATCACGAAGTCCCCGTTGCGGCCATGACGGTAGTAGTGCAGATCTGAGCCACACAGCCCAGTTGCTTTGACGTCTACTTGGGCGTCGAGCTCTCCAACTTGCACAGCTGGACGTACTTCCTAAAGATCATCAGTGTCTTGGAGAACAGAGCCGGCGTTACTCACGAGTCGCAAGTCCTTTGCGCCGTGAAGTGTAGCAATAAGATTTGTTTGGGTGGACATGATGAGTTTATTGAAGAAAGGGAGGCATAGTGGTCAGTTTTACCGACTTGATGGAGTTCGTCCCGGTAGTACGAGAATGTCGGACATGACAATTCATTGAAAGGGTTTCAAAAGTTGCTTGCAGGACGCCGCGTGGTCAATTTATGTTACGTTGAAATTTATACTATTTTTAAAGAATTACCTGTAATCTTTGGCTGTCGTCATCTTCCGGGTTTATCGCAGATAGGATGAGCTCAGCTACTTGGGCGAAATCATCTAGCTCGGCAGTATTTATTACGTTAATCTTATCACATCGAAGCTATACAGTACAATACAAAACTGTTTTCAGCTGCAGCTTTCGTAAAGAAATGAATAGAGTGAAATGAAATACTGCAGGATTGCAGACTTTCAAAGGCCATCACCAACGTACCTAGCAATACAGTTAGCTTCATACCCTAAAAAACACACACAACTCACCATTTCTGGGTCCATCTTCTGTCAAAGTCATCGTCTGGATTAACAAAACGCAAATCAGTGCTGAGTCTGATCTTCTCTGTTTCGTTCACAGACGACGCGTGGATCATGAATGGCTGGTGGAATACCACGTCCCCGTCCTCGAAGTTGGTCATAAGCCACTTCCTTCCGTACACCTTACCGAAGCCCTGTGCATCGTCTGAGAGGATACCTCCGCGCATCATATTGCTGTTGAAAGCTGACAGACGTTCTTGTGGTGTGAAAGATTTAGCTCTTTCGCTAAAGTCATTCTCAATTTCCCTGCCAATCTCGTGTGACTTGTCCAGGTAGATCAAGCTCCCACCATTAGCTGCACATGAGCCAATCGGGACCCAGGCGGTCAAGCTAGTTGGGAGAGCGCCGCGCAGAAATATCTGATCATAATGCACTGCCGTAGCCTCAGAGCCCTTTATGTTTGTCCTGAGCATCTGGCGCTGCAGGAGGAGAATATTCTCCCAGTCCGTAATCTTACGTACAAAATTATAAAGCTCTGTAAGATTGTCTATTAGAAAGTCAATGCGCGCCGTAAGTCAACCTACCTGGTATCTTCTGAAATTCTTCGTAGAAATCCGCGTAATGAGCTTCAGTGGCTTTAGTTAAGAACTCGATCTGTTGCGGATCAAGGGTGCCCTCGCCCGTAGCTGCTGATCCCGGTCCACCGTACTTCTTGGGATCGCCACCTACAAAGATGCCATCAACTGGATCGGTACCCTCCTTGAGCACGCCTGTGCACTTAACAAAGTCGAAGTACGCTCTCCTCATGTTCTTCACTGCCTCGACCGGCAGCAGCCCCTTCACCAGTACATATCCGTCCTTTATGTACCTCTCCTTGATCAACTCAACGGGAGCATCCTTTGAGGTCTCCTTTAGCCAACCAATATTTTCATCTTCGATTGCTCCACCGTTGCTCGTTAATTTAAAGCCTTTTTCCGGTGGTGTGTATACAGGTAAATCGACGCTACGTGCTACTTCTACTGACATTGTGATACTATGTACTTGATGAGATTAAACGCAAGAGCTATTCATCACACTTAAATACCGTTTAAGCCCATCCAAATCGGTTTTTCAAATTCGCTGACGTCACGAGATAGAATAATCGGATCTTTAACAAAACCTACATTGTCGGTTCGGAATTTTAGATAAATTGCAATAATGATACAAATTCAGTTTTTATTCTTAAATCTGTGATGAATAGTGGTCAGTTAATACTTTAAACAAGTATAAAAAAAAAACCCACGACAATCGGATATCAGTTTGGGTATAGTGTAATCCTTCAAGACCGGCAAAACATGCGGCAATCAGCTGGTTCCAGTCATTAGACCAGGCAACAAGGTAGTCTTCTAGCGCTTTCCACACGATTTCGATGACCTTAAAGACCTCATTATATCCGACTTCGTCTTCGATGTTAACGTCAAAGTGCTTTTCAACTCGCTTGCGCAAAGCTTCTGTTGACTTTCTTAGATCTTTGGCTGTAAAGTCTCGCACTATTCTCTTGTACACACTTTTACCAAACGTGGGATGACTAATCATTTCGGACGCTTTGGTTGTCTTGAGTGCCTTCTCCAGACCCTCAAAGTAGTCTATTTGTTTGTGCAGATGTCTTTTCCATAGCAGCTTCACGTACGATTCCATGTGTGAGCTATAGAGCGACTCGGCTGTCACCATGAACGAAGAGAGTGGTTTCATTGGCTTAGCTTTGAACGATTGCAGGAAGTGATGGGAATTTGCTATCATAATGACCTGCAAATGTTTCAGTCAGTGAACCACCTCCGAAAAAACCCCCACCCACATGCAAATTGAGTGCACCTTTATCCTCGCCATTGACATCTACACTTTCCTCCTCCTTGGCAATTTGCTTGAGCGAGTCAAACACTTTGCCGATAATCTTATCATAAGCGTCGTTGACGTTCTGGCGTATTTCCATATTGTCGCCCACTATAGAGAGCTGAGCTTCAATCCTGCCCACAAAAGAAGGTATAATCCGAATGAACGGTGCTACACCCATGCGCTTCTTTGTCGTCAGTTTTGTGTTCTCAATCGCTCTTATCTGCTCCGAAATGTACTTGGAAAACATATTGTTCAGTCGCATTTTTTGCTTTTTGAGAAGTGAGTGGAGGTAAGGCTGATCTTTGTTGTAAGCATCCTTCATTGATTTCTCAAGCTGTACAATTATGCCGACTATTTGCCTGTAGCCCAGGTTTTAGAAGAGAAGTGAGTGTAAAAAAACTTACATATTGTCTTTGACAAGTGCACCATCTATCCACGATTGCAGGGCCGGAGATAAGAATGAGAATATCGCTTCAAATGCACTCTTGAGGTCAGAAAGCGGTCCAAAGTTAACAGCACTGAGTGAATCTCTTGCTTTACGTTTGAATGCATCTTCCAAATCGACATATTCCGCGAATGTGGGCGGTGTGTCGAGAATAGCGAGCAAGTCTTGTAAAAAAACCTCTTCATTCTTCATTTGGGTAGAGATTTGCGTAAGTATTTTTGCTAGCGATTCGTGTGCAGGTATATCGCCCTTTTTGTTATTTTTGGTATCTAAGCGCTTCTCAGGACGCTTACGACCAGGCTGACTATTGAATCCGTCAATTGGATTGGAAAAGTTAGCATCACTCTCCTCATCTGTGGCTTTGTGGTTGAGATTTTCATATACCTTCAAAAGTTTGGACATTTCTCTATTGTGTAACTCAGCCGCCGAGCTAAAATAGTTATCACATACTTCCTTGTAGCGATTTTTATCCATCTCCCTTAGAAAAAGCACCAGACCACAATACCTTCCGAGGTACGATTCCATCTTTTCATGCGATTTAATGATAGGCTTGGCTTCAGAGATTTGTCTTCCTGCGTCGTTGAGGAGATTGTCGACTTGGAACTTGAACATGATCGAAAGATAGTCGAGCATACGTTTGGCGAATTGCAGAGTGATAGTTCTATACTCGCTGACACGCTTCTCGTCAACGTCGGGTTGGTCATCATTTGCTTTAATGGCTTTGTAGAGAGTAGCAGCAGCTCTCTCCAGCGCCTCAATACCCTTGTCATTCTCAAGACTCTCCTTGGTCAACACTATCAAATCGGCCTGATCGACGTCAACATTTGGTGGAGATAATTGGTCTAGTTTTTCAATTTCATTGAGTAGCGCTTGCTCGTTGTTTATTTGCGTTTGTTTGCCTCGTTGTGATTCAATGTAGCTGATATCTTCACCAACGAGCATAAGATGTGCTCTAAATTTACTAACCAATGCATCCATATCATCCAGCTCTGCAAGATTTGAGTCGAGGTAATCAAATAAGTAGTCGATGGTATCAACCTGGTCAGAAACAATCGACCTGATCATCGCAGCTTCGGCGTTGTTGATTTCGTTTGTGAGGGATTGTTCATCTTGTTGACTAATTGCAGAGGAGTCAATATGTGCAGCACTTCTAAGAGATCTCCAGTTTGCACCGCCCAAAGCTTCATCAATTTGTTGTATGTCGTTGTACGATTCTGAGGTCGAAGTGTGAGAGTTCTTTCTTGCGAGCGAAGAAAAAGCATCGCCTAAAGAAGTGTCCGAAGGTCTTGAGAACTTTCTTTTATGAGAACGTTTCTGGATGATTGGGGAGGGAGAGTTATCGAAAGACTGCCTTGGGGTGAGTTTGCTGGTATTGAGGCTGAGTTGAGGAGGGGGGACAGGTGGAGAAGGAGGAGTTGGGGAGGCTGCGATAGGGGAAGCAACAGCTGGAGAAGATTGTTTCTGTAAGGGAGGTATTGGTGAAGATTGTTGGGGTTTTGGTGGCGGTGATACTTGTGTCTGTGGTGATACTTGCTGATGCTGAGGAATTGGGGATAATCGATGTTTTTGTGGTTGAGAGAGAGTTGGTGGAGGTTGCTGTTGTGGCTGGGGTGGCTGTTGTGGCTGCTGTGGTGGTGAATTTGGTTGCTGAAGCGACGGTTTGGGTTTTTGCTGTGGTTGTTGTGGTTGCTGGAGTGGTTGGTAAGGTTGCTTGTGCGATTGTTGTGACTGCTGCGACTGCTTCGATTGTTTTGGCTCAGACTGCTGGTGAATAGGTGGCTGTTGACGTTTTCTATGTTGTGTATGTTGATTGTGCTGTGTGTTATGTGTGTTATGTGTGTTATGTGTGCTACCTGTGCTTTGTGTGTGCTCTGTGTGCTGTCTGCTGTGAGAATTGTCTGAGACATCCGGTCTACTTGGTTTTAAACTAAGAGGTGTGGTTGAATTGTAATGATTTAGAAGTGAAATCTTATTATCATAATGAGCATTGTAGTTATTTACTATCGCATCTAAAAAAGGTTTTAATTCAGTAACCCTTTCTGCTTTCCACTGATAAGACTTAGATAAAGTAAGCTTAAAAGTGTCATAATTGAGCAATTCAACCTTTAAAAGTGCATTTAATAGCCAGAATTTTCCAATAGAGAACGTCCCATTAGAGTTTCTCTTTGATTTATAGAGAACTGGATGATTCTGGTGAGTATCAAAGGCTAGAAGGAGGTAGCGTGGCTTTGGTGGATCGCCGGGCTCTATAATTTTACAGTGGCTCAAATATCTATCCTTGCTGAGACCGGAAAACAGAGAAGATTTAATTTGATCAGATATTTCCATTTCCACGATGACTGTCTGCTTGGAACAGTCAGATGCAATCATCAAACACTCACTTAGCAAGGCAGTTACAGCAACTCAAAAAATATCCAGTTCAAGGATTTAGCGCTGGATTGGTTGATGACAATAATTTATATGAATGGGAGATTATCCTAATAGGTCCTGTAGATACTCTATATGAGGGTGCAATATTGAAGGCAAAATTATACTTCCCAGAGGTTAGTGGGGGAAATCTATGAGTCTATGTGTACTCAAAGAGTCCCAGGAATACCCATTGCTCCCTCCAAAAATGAAGTTCTTGTCTGAATTGTGGCATCCATCGAGTGGGTTGAGACATATATGTGTAAAAACAATACTAATAGCATTAAATCAAAGTCTATAACACTCCAGATAGAAAAGGGGAAGTTTGTATTTCAATTCTACACCCACCTGGTGATGATGAATGGGGTTGGGAGGATGCCTCAGAGAGGTGGTTGCCAGTCCACTCAGTTGAATCAATTCTAATCTCAGTTATTTCCCTCTTGTCTTCAGATACACCTTGTACTGACTCACCTGCAAACGTAGACGCTGCAAAACAAGTTAGAGAGGATTTAACTGGATATAGAAAAACAGTACGTAGATTGGCAAGAAAGTCAGCAGAGGATATTTGGGAGTGAATTTGGTACACCAAGTATCAATATTTATATCTCAGTTGAATATAAATCACGTTAAATCAAGTTTGTTTAAAACTGTCGTCATCATGAATTCTGCATATATATTAGTTTCTGTGTTAGTTTGGATTTTAAGGTTGTAAATTAGTCTAATCAGTCACCACCAGACAGCCACTCTCCCCCAACGCTCAAATAACAGACACAGGATTCAAACAAATCTTAAACTCATCTTTAATTTCTTTATATGGGGTTGTAAATGGAAGTATACACGTTGATGTCATTGCAGTTACAGATAAACTATCAAATGGCTTACAGAAAGTTGGACTCAAATGTGCGCAGGAGTGAGTGACATCGGAGTGTCTAGGAGTAAAAGTCTTATCCCCCTCTCAGACACGCTCAGCAGGTCAAGAATAGCCTCAGTACTGCTTCAACCACTTCTACGAGATTCTTCGATGACTCCTTCAAGATAAGTGTTGTTGATTCTGGCAATACACCAACTATACTCCAACCAATAACAGAATTTGAATACAAGCAAGCACAATTAGCACAATTCAAATGAGCTTTGAGCTGTGCGATTTGGCGTGGTCAACTGATCACACCACACCAACGATTCCTAAAGTCTCCGCACCGTCGGCATCAATTGAATTATATTAGACACAAATTAAACCCTCAAAATTAGTAAATGCACGCACTGAACAATATTATTATAATTTTAATTACCCTGCCGCACATAATCGATGCGTGCCGCTGTAGCTGAGTGAAATGAAGACCCCAAAATTCGAATGTGACAGCTGCCATAGAGATTGCGAGGGCGCTTAAAGGGCTAAGCGAGTTGATATATAAAACCCTCTGTCAGTGAGACAATTTTTGAGCTAGTAATTAATTTGGAACCTGTGTGCCTTCGGGCGTCGCGTGGCGTGCGTTAGTGGAGTGACAGGAGGTCGGAGCATTTACAGCGGATAAGAATATCCAGTGAGAATACTATGAAACTTCTGTCCCAGACAATTGCAAGCGTCGCTTGCTCGGTTAACGTAAGATCCGTGTTTTGGGGAGATTTATCATGCAAATTAAATTGATCGTATGTCTCCCACAACCAACACGATGATTGTACATCTCCCAAGCAGTTATCATGTACATAAAACGAAAGACGGTGACGAGGTAGAGCTCGTTGATAAACACAAGGGTGGCCATTGGCTGTTGAAGAGTTTAAGCGAAAAGAACACTTTAAGCTTGATAGATCCAGCAGAAAGACTGTATGCACACTCGAAGCAGCATGGATTCGATTATGAAGTTAACTTATCAAATGGTCGCGTCAACATTGATAGGGATAGTTACTTTAACAGTTTGAGCTACTTGTTTGCGTTGCCTTCTGGAGTAAATTGCTCAGTAAAGTCAAGTGATTTTTACAATCTTAGAGTGGTTGACTTGGAAACGGATAAGACACTGGCTACCTATTCGAAGCATAAGCACGGATTATCACTTCACAAGTACTCGACGTTGAAAATAAATCCTGATTTGTCAGATCACGATAAGTTGCTGCTTATTATGGTTTGTCTGCAGGTGAGTGAAGTAAACTGAGACATTCTACATTAATGCTTACAAAGATGAACAGATGAGCAGAATTGAAAGGCAACCAAAGTCAAATCATCATCATCACTTGAAGCAGCTATTGCCACTATCTTCATCTACTAGCTCACTGAGTTCCTTAACATCACTCAATAACTTTCTCCATTCTCATACGTCGAGTCCTTCTAGCTCACCTAAGCTACACAAAAACTCAATATGAAAAACATTCAAGAAAAACTTGATATACCCAACTGATGCTGATTTCAACTTACGATATAAACTCATGACATATGCAATTTGTAACAGAACTGTATAACTTATTTTGTAGCAAATATTTGAATAAAAATAGATGAAAAACAATTCAAACAATAGTTTCAAGTTCTTTAGCGTAATTGAGGGAGTGAGATATCATGTTATGAGAAGGAAGTGAGAACTTTTGCTTTTCAATGCCAGTTATGCTGTTTAGGTCTTTGAAGATGACGTGTTGGGTGGAAGGGGAAATGGTCCAACCTCTGGAAGTAGCGAATTGAGTTAGTTGAGCAGGGGAGTTGAAGAAGAGGAGAGTAGCAGCGTCATTGATTGGTAAAGAATCGTAAGCCTTCTCTTCACAGGAAGCGATTTCATTTCTAATAGTTTCCAAGAAGGCCAACCAAATCCAATGGCCAGCTAACTCAATTTCAGGCTTTGAATCCCAAACTTTGCTGTAAGAACCTTCCATGATCCATCTTTCTAATTTAATGGGAGTTTGAATGTGAAAGTTGGATAATAAGTGGATAGGGATAGACTCAAGGAGGGTGTGGAAGTCAGAGATTCTATTTTGAGTGAGATATATGAGTAATTGTAGGGCAATGATCTTTGGTTGATTGGTGGAGTCGTTTGTAAGTGACCAGAAAGGGTTCAATAGGTTTATATAGCGTTCGAAAGATTTCAAATCTTGTGAGGTGATTGAGTGGAGTGCACCAACTTCTAATATATCCCTAGAAACTTGTAAATCGACCATATCACTTCTAGTTGAGGGGATAAGTAGATTCGACTGTGACATTAGAAGTTTTGCTTCGTTTAAGCCCTCAACAACACGCTCTCCTTTTTCTATTCTCTGTTTTATTTCAAATAATTTTGACATGATGGTTGTGCTAGTCCAAGATTACGATTACGTATACCCAGCACTCAGACAGCCATCAACTAAATTATAATTTAATATAAAAAATGGATTTACGCAGCGCTATGACACATGCAGACGCCCAAAGATTAAAGAAGGGTGAAGTAAACCTTGGTACATCGATTATGGCAGTTGAATTTGAAGGTGGAGTTGTCATCGGTGCTGATTCAAGGACTACGATGGGCAGTTATATCGTGGGTTTTGATTGGTCAAACGTTATCCACGCCTTACGCCTCCTCTCTACAGGCTAACAGAGTCACCGATAAACTGACTCACATTCATGATCGCATTTATTGCTGTAGATCTGGTTCAGCTGCTGATACTCAAGCGGTGGCTGATATCGTTGCATATCACTTATCCATGTTCTCGGTTCAACAAGGTGAAAGACCAAATACACACACCGCTGCTGCATTATTCAATCAACTCTGTTACGGCAATAAGGATAGGTTATCTGCTGGTATCATTGTTGCTGGTTATGACAAGGAAAATGGCGGTAGCGTCTACAATATACCCCTCGGTGGTGGTATGTTTAAGCAACCATGGGCAATCGGTGGTAGTGGCTCTACTTACGTTTACGGTTATTGTGATGCAACCTACAAAGATGGAATGAACAAAGATGAAACTGTTCATTTCGTTAAGAACACTCTCGCTCTCGCCATGTCTAGAGATGGTAGCTCTGGTGGGACTATTAGAATGTGTGTCATTACTGATGATGGTGTACAACGCCTATTCGTACCTGGAAATGAATTACCTCAATTCTGGGAACCTCAAGTAAATGTAAACAAACCGGCTCATCAACTAGCCATGGAAGCTGAAGGTGATATTATGGTTCATTAAAATGGCTCAATTTATCTTTTTGTAAGAATACACGTAGTTTTTATATTAAGATTCTTTTAATACGCTTTTCAACCACGCTTTCTACCATTACATGCCTCATATATGCCTGCATACGCAGACAATTATCCTGCATCTACAAACAATGGCCCTGTTATTCTCACTATAGACGGTTTAAATGAGGAGTCTTGTGAAACTGAATATACCATGGAATTAGATGCTATGGATACCGAAACAGACTCATTAAACGTCGTTGACAACCAAATTGATGATATAATGGCTGTTGATGTACATACCGTGTGTTTGCCCATTTAATGTTCTGCACTTTGTAATTCTTCTTATTCCCTACAGGACACCTTCCCTTCAAGTGTACTCATCCTCGATACGAACATTCTGATATCCAATCTGGATTTCCTCAAATCTCTCCACTCTCTCCTTCGCTCAAACCTCTGTCCACCATTCGGTATCGTCGTACCTGATATCGTCATACGCGAACTCGACGCACAGAAAGATAGCAATCGTGGTATATCTCATTTATCACGCGCAGCACTAAGTTGGTGTCTTGATTGTGCTAAATCGAGCAATAGTCTGGTTAAATTTGAGAGAAGCAGTCTAATTGATGCTGTGGGTGAGGTACATTACAAAGCTAATAAAGATAACAATAATAAAAATAGGAGAATGATGTGAGCGTAAATTCACACTCTCGAACTTCTCTCACAAGTCCCCTCTCAACCTCCACAGGATAGAATCATCGGTTGTGCAGCTCATCTTCAATCTAAAATCGTTGTCTTGCTCTTTACGAATGATAAATCTCTGGCTATCAAAGCCGAGAGTGTTGGTGGGTAGGTTACCCTCCTTTAACCCTCTCACAACTCTCCCAGGCATTCAAACAATCTCGACTTCAGAAAGTGAAATTTCTCACCTACGTGAGATAGCAGGTGACAAGTCTTCTCAGGCGTCTAGATATTCAAGCTAACACTAGGTGCTAAATACTTAAAAAAGTAGACTAAACCGTTTATACAAGTCAAATACAAAGAAAAAAACAACAGTAACACGTGTATTATAAAAATAAGTAGATTATAAATTATAAACGTTGCGATTCTATATACGTCCCCACAGCGCGCACTTCATCACCGTTAGCCTTCTTCAAATGATTCCTTAGATCACTTTTCGCCGCCTGGGGGAGAAGGTTCTCAAGTCTATTCAAACTTGCTTTGAAAGCCGGGCTCATTTCTTCTGCAGGTTTCTTACTCGATTGTCTCACAGGTGCAGGTGTACTAGCTCGCAACTCGTATTTACTAGGCGGCTTGAGATTAGCCAATCCAGGAAATGGTTCTGGGTTGAGCACGTGAGTTAAATTAAAAATACTACTGTTGCGACTCTTGCTAGGTTTAGCACGTGGTCCAGTGGGTGCGCGCTCAAGGCCATCTAAATTTATATGTGATGTGGACGCTGCTGAGACGTGTCTAGGGGTTTTGTGTGAAGATCCACGAGCTGGTACTGTCACCTCCTTATTATCCTTCCCGCTTATAGTCGTAGGTGTTGATGTAGTTGTACTTGCTGTACTCGTGCTTACGCCAGTAGCCGGTGTATCCCGCTCCACCATCTCTTCGCTGCGATTAGGGCTCCGAGGGGGAGTCGTCCCGGGCGTTGTCGTGTAGAGTGGCGGTGATATGGATGAAATTGATGAAGGTAGGTCTGCATCTTTGCTAATAGGTGATGGATGTCCAATTTGCAGCTTCTTCGGTGGTGATTTTGCACTCGTCCGTCGACCAAGATTGGCAAAGAAACCAGCAGCACGACTAGCCTTAACGGTAGCTGTACTCCGTGGTGAGCTGATAGCGCTGCTAGTGCTACCAGTTTTTTTTACCATAGCCGCTGCGCCAGGATAAGGGAGATGCTCAGGTATTTTATCAGGCGGGCTATCGCCAGCAACAGCTTTAGTGAGATCGTGGGCAACATTAATATCACTGCCTGGACGAAGTGGGAAGGTTGAGTTAGTAGCAAAGGACGCAGAACTATGTTGGCGATCTTGAATGCTGGGACGTTCTTGGTGATAAGGGACGACTGGAGTGGACATGTAAGGACTATTAGAAGTTTGGGCATTACTTGAGTGTATACTTGGAGCATTTGATGGTGATTGAGTAGCTTGGCGGTTGATTTCGTCATTATTTTCCATAACATCTGTCTCGCCTGCGTCAGATTGAATACTCTGTTGACTTTTCTCGCGCTTATAGCGTTCACTATGAAATACGAGAGGTGGTGGGCTGTAGCTGCGTGGCCTGCCTTCACCACCGACGCAACGAAGCCAGACTTGCAAGCCGCTCGCAGCTCTAGCAAGAGCGTTAATAGCCTCTGCGGTGCGCATAACACGGTCAGATGTAGACGAGGCACCGTTATAGGTAGCCTTAGAAGAGAAAGCATTAGGAAGGGGCATATCACGGGTGATTGAAACAGGGTCACAGTTGTCTGTGGGTGAGGGGAGGTCGATAGTGCTGTCAGAAGAGCGAGAGGAGCGAGAGGAGTGAGAGTAGACTGAATGAGCGTCATTTAGAGCAGCAGTTGACATTTGGCTAATCGCACTGCCTCTTCTCTTAAGGAGAATATCTGAAGGGATATGACCAATGCTAGTGCCGTGACTGTCAAATGTGTTCAGAAATAGGATAATGGTGAAGAAGAAGCCACGCACTCAACATCCACGCCGTGATAACTGCCAACTTTTACAGGGCCTTGTTCACCACCGCTCGTGTACACATTCAAATGAGGATAATCACTGCTGTCCATACGCTCCATAACAGATATCTGTCTATTCGATTTGTCTACATCGTTCAATGTACCACCAGAACTGTATTTACTCGATGGAGAAGACGAAGAAGAGGCATCGCCCGTTTCAGCGATGTAAGCGTAGTAATCAAGTACGCTGGCATTTGTATAGCGCTTATCATTATCCCCGTTGAAATCTCTGTTTTCTGTATTTTCTGTCATGATGGTTTACGCAAGAGAAGGCCAGGCTAATCCTCAGCAAGTTACACAATTTGGTCCAGTTACAGGTACTTGGTGGACTTAAGCGGACGGTGCGAAATACTCCACCAGTGTATGTAAATCACTTGAATTAATTTTGTTTTAATTGAATTTACCTGATTAAATTTCAAAGACAATGCACCTCCACTTGGCTGTGTGGCTATGGGTGGCTTTGAATCTATGGATATACTTGAATAATTTCAAATCCACATCTATAAAGTATTTCCGCAAATTAATTGTAAAAACTTGTAAACACTTGCTTACTCACGCACGGATCACTATAAGCAGTAACACAAGGGTCATGTAATTGGGGTTTTATATCAAAATACAAATACTTTTCATTCATTATTTGTACTTATTCTTTACTACGCGTATCTCCGATGATCTGCACTCACTCTCATGACATCTCTCAATCTACCCCATAAATACGCGTATCTGCGTAGATTGCTTGATAGAGCCATTAAATACTATCGAGATCTAAGCACCTCCTCCAAATTACTCCTCTGTTTCGCTATTGGCGTACATCAGTTATTCGCTTTGGTTGTCTGGTACTACGGACCAAAGGAAATATTCGGATACATTGCAAATACCGCTCTCTCTCTTCAGCAACTCAGCTTCGGCTGGCTGATTCTCGTTATATCCCTCGTCATTGCCTCTTTCCCTCCCATGATTGGCTATGGCATGCTTATATCTGTATGTGGCTTCGTTTATGGTTTCCCCTTGGGTATTCTCCCTGCTGGAATCGGCTCACTTGTGTGTCTCACACGTCACCCACATTCCTCACCCACTTACTCCCCTAAAAACAGTCAGGCGCAAGCTCCGTCTTCTTAATTAGCAGACAACTCCAAAAGACCCGTCTTTTCGGGAGCAAGTTGAGAGCTCTCTCTGTCTCTACAAAGTTTCAGGCGATAAGCACCGCGATAACAGATCGCGGCATTGGTTTGGTCGTTCTCCTCAGACTCTGCCCTATTCCTCCCTGGGTATACAGCAATCTCGGCTTTAGTCTCCTTCCACCTGATAAACTCACCTTCACTCAGTTTTTCTTCGCTACCATTCTCAGTACACCACGCCTTTTCCTCCATGTCTTTATCGGTTCACGCGTATTTGCCCTTTCTGACCCAAATAATCAACTCGATAGCACCACCAAGATTCTCGATATTACTGGTATTGTCGCAGGTATGGTCCTCTCCACCCTGCTAGGATGGTATGTGTATAGGGTTACAATGCACAAAATCAGTCAAAGCGTCGATGAAGAGTATAACATTGATAATGAAAGTCTATTATCTGAATTGAGGTGAATATTAACGCATTCGCATTATTTTCTACTTGGATTCCTGATGTCTTTGTCTATGTCCTTATTTGTGATCTCTTTTTGCTTTCTTAAGCTTGATATTTGGTATTAAGTGTATATGACAAGTCAGCCTAATTGAACTCTCTCAAAGACTTGTTTTTATCCCGTCTGCTGATGTTTCCACCTCCGCGCAACAATTCTGGTAGGACTTTTCCGTGTTTGATCGTTTGTTGGACCTGTGTGGGGTGTTAAATAGAGTTTGCGAATAACTACACACCCACTATAGCCGGCACTTCACGTGCAGAAACCCTCCCGTAACAAATACTTGCACCAGTTGGGAAGTGAATGATTACGTTTCCAGCAAATTTGTGACCACCGACGTGACTTACTTTGAACAATCCAACCGTACTGCCTTCTTCAACATTCACATCTCTCAATCTCTCTGAAATTTCATTGACGTCTTTCGTAGTGTCGGTTTCTTCGGGGGATATTTTAATTTTAGGGGAGGTGTATGGCGTAGCAGACATTGAAAATCCCCCTTGAGGCAGTTGGACAGGTTTGTGATCGAGTGAGATTGAGTCTCCACGCTTATCTATACTCCAACCTTCAGCTTCAATGCACTTGATCATTTCACGTTCAATAATTGGAGCAGAGATTGCGCACTTCTTATCCCTAGATTTGTGTGAGCATATCAGAACAGTTGCAATGTATGGAAGTGGGTAAGTGCGTATAGACTTTTCAGAAGCGACGAGGTGATTTACTGCAAGATGAGATTTGAAAAAGTCCTCGGCGGTTTCTCTATTGACGCAGATATTCTCAGCAAGTACGTAGTCAGGGAAAACAAGAGCACTTTCTCTGTCTTTCTTTGTAGAGGGTGAAATATGTGAACCGTTTAAAATCTGAATTGTACCATTACCGTCAGTGCGTGTATCAAATACACCTTCACATTTGCTAGTATTGTTGGTAGATTGCTGAACCTTCTGGGTCTGCTGAGCTGTTCTCTTTGCGATGATACGCTGCATCAAGCCCGGGTCATCCTTGAGTTTGAAGGTATCTTGAGTACGATCAAGCATACCAGCGAGTGTGAGCTCATTATCAGTTATATCATGCTCCCAATCAGTTTTACCTGTCGAAATAACGACTTGCTTTGAAAATGGTTTGTAAGATCCAAGCATATTAGACGTGAGATCGACTGAAGCATGTTATTAGACCTATGCGCTCCCCAATAGCACTCCACAAACCATCAAAATTCTTGGGTAAATCCTCAAAGTCACCGATTTGATCGCATGGAGCTGTACAGCTATGGCAATCAACATCTGATACGGGTACATGAACCGTTGAAAGTGAATTAGCATTATTGTCCGCTGGTTTATTCGTTGGCTTATTAACGCCACCCATTCCAGAAATTGTCCTCTTTAAGAAAGCTGACATGATTGTGTGTTGGTGGTTGAACTTTTACAGTCTACAAGCCATTTTCAAGGGGAGGCTTGTCCATTTCAAGCTTAAAATGGATTTTAATAGGAATAAGCAAATTAGAGACTCTTTCGCTCCTGCGCCTTCACCTACACCAAGTTACCCTCAAACTTCTTCTGCCGATTCTCCGCGCAAAACTAGCACTCTAAAACTTGTACTCTACAGCTTGCCTTCTTTGCAGCCAACAGAGCTACCAAACTCAAGCCGTACCCAGGTTTGTAAATCAGCTGCCATTCCCTATAGAGACTTGAGAGTGTTGGATAACCCAATCACCGATGACGAGCCTTCTATTCTCATTAGGGATAGCTGTATCGTGTATACTGGTGAAGGTATCAGAGGTATCGTTCGATCTGATCGTTTACTCATCATTAGAGGTGAAAATGATGTCGGTATTGGTCATAATCCGGTCCGTGCCGAGTGTTTCACCCTTTCTTCACTCACAAATTAAAAATTGCAGGCAACAATCGATATAATTCATACCATCCTTATCAGTCTTGAGAATAGACTGTCTACAAATGATTTCACTAAACGCACTTATCCATTCGAGTTCAAGTATGTCTTTCTTTTCAACTCACTTTGATGGACTAACAAGGAAATTAAAGCGCTTTAGAGGCACTCCTTATGCACTCATTCAGTCTTTTGGAAAAGCGCGTCGCTAGTCTCACCCTTTCAACTGATACTCTTCTCGAAACACTACGAACAAAAGGTATCGAGCATGATCAATTGCTAGATATGCTCGATCTTTCCACCGCGGTTGACAAAGCTAACAGAAAGGTACGTGGAATGCACAAGGCGATTGAAGAAGTATTACGTGAAGAGGAAGATATGGCTGCAATGTACTTGACAGCTAAACATTTTGGAAAACCACGTAATGAAGGTGAGGATGATGAAGTGGAATTATTATTAGAAGCATATCTCAAGCAATCATCAACACTTTGCTCAGCTGTATCTGCATTAACAACTCGCTTGCAATCAACAAGTCGTCATGTTGATTTGGTTATGGCTGCAACAAGAAATCGACTACTTCACCTAGAAATTCAACTTGCAGTAGTCACAGCAGCTTTAGGATTAGGATCATTCTTTACAGGAATATTTGGAATGAACTTAATGAACCATTTCGAAGAGCATTGGAGTGCTTTTTACATATTCACGGCATTTCTCGCGGTAATAGTAACATCAACAATGAAATATGGTATAAACATATTAAACCATACGCGCTGGTCAAGAATCCAAGCTTCAAAGACAGAAAATGGTCAAGACAGCGGCTATCTCAATGATCTCGTCAGAAGGAACTTTGTCAGCAATCAAAAGCACGTAAGATTAGAGAATGATAGTGATGTAGAGGAAAGTGTATAATATAAATTAATTTTATGAAATTGAAATAACAATGGATTCTTAATTACATCTAGCTCGTACTCTTTGACTCAGACAACCAACAAAGGCTTAAATTCCAATGAATTGAGTATGATACGCAATGAAAATCCACGCGTATACGATTTCGTGAAACCCCTTGGCGAAGGATCATTTGCTGAGGTTTACCTCGTTGGATGGAGATCGCCCAAACTCAGGCTAAAAACGGGCGAAGCGGCTCCAATTTCCCAAATGCAAATGTGAGTGTAGCTGATATTAGTGTTTAGCGTACAATTGAATCCATGAAAGCAACAACAACCGCCCAGAATACTCGTCGAAGCACCTCGTCGCAATCAAGCGCATGAAAAAGTCATTTAAAGACTGGAACGAATGCGAGAAGCTTAAAGAGTTGAAGGTGGTTAGAATGCTTGTATATACGCCCATGCTCACCCTACTTACAGTCTTTACTCGCTATCCCTCAACACCCAAACCTTATCCCTCTATATGACGCCTTCTTACATCCATCCACAAAGGAGCTCTACTTTGTCTTCGAATCCATGGAAGGTAATCTATATCAACTCACAAAGTCGAGACGTGGAAGACCACTTGCTCAAGGTCTTGTTGCTTCTCTTTTCCGCCAAACTATCGCCGGTTTAGCCCATATACACAGCTCGGGCTATTTCCATAGAGATATGAAGCCCGAAAACCTTCTTATTACCACTACTGGTTTGACAGATTACCCTTCGCTGTCAAATAGCGTCGAGAGAGACGTAACCGTCATCGTTAAGCTTGCTGATTTTGGTTTAGCTAGGGAGTCTAACAGCAAGCCTCCCTACACTGAGTATGTTAGTACTCGTTGGTACAGAGCTCCTGAAGTTCTTCTTCGTTCAAAAGGCTACGGTGCTCCTGTTGATCTTTGGGCTTTAGGTACTATTTTAGCTGAAATTGTTAACCTAAAACCCCTTTTTCCCGGTCAGAGTGAGATCGATCAGATTTACAAAATCTGTCATATCCTAGGAAGCCCTGCGCCTCATACCATAGCCCATCCCAACACCAACCAACCAATTGGGGGTGGCGATTGGCAGCAGGGTTTGAAGTTGGCTTCGTCAATTGGTTTCCAATTTCCTAAGGTTTGTGCGCGTCTTTTAAACACACGTTACTAACACCGATCCCAGTTACCCGTTCAGCCACTCGATAATTACTTTGATACACAAAGAGTCCCTCACCAATTCATCATACTCATCCAAGACCTTCTGCGTTTTGATCCAAAGAATAGAATAGACAGTATGGGCTGCTTCGAGTCGGCCTATTACAATGAAGTATGCAATAGAGTCGATGCTACCCATCCGCAGTATATTAGACACCAACACCAACGGAAAGCACCTCCGCCACTTCTTATTCAACACCAACCTTACATCCCACAACCCAGCAATTTACCGCCTTTGTCTGCTGAGCTAACAATTGCATCACCCTCATATAGCCATAGCAGTGCAGCTACTTCGAATCATGGAAAATCTTCATTTTGCTCAGATCCCTCACACAAGAGATACGACTCGTTTGCGAGCTCATCAACCAACAACAGTAATCAATTACATGTCAATAATAGCAAATACAGCTTGGATGAGGAACCAAGCTACGATACGAACTCATCTAATGCAACTACACGTGAAAATGCCTTACCTAATTCAATATCAGCTGCTAGTTTGGATAGCACCCTTAATTTGAATAATGAATCGAGGTCACAAGCGCATGGCAAGTCATCCTCGTTTGAAAGTGTGCAGTCTAGTACATATCCCAGTATGCACCAGAAACCTAACAAAGCATCAAGATGGCTTGGTATTTTCCCTGGCAGCCATGGTGATTCGAGCAGTACACAACAAGTAGCAGATCTACTTAACCCCAAAGACGCCAAGAAGGCAGCCAAGGAAGCGGAGAAGAAAAAACGCGAGGAGATGCACAGTATCCACCGTGAGCGAGCACGCGCCGTTCTCACCAAACAGAAGACGAATGGGAAAGATGTTATTAACGACACTCTCACGAATGTACATCCGCAGCAAGCTTCACAATCTTCGTCTGCATCTCAGTCGAGAAGGCCGTCCTATATGACAACGAACATAACAAATTCAACAAACACGATGCACACTAAACAAAACCACAACACTCACAACCAGAATGTCAACATGCATTTACCAAGATCACCCAAGCATCTTGATCGATTGTCTTCACCCTTGTCACCACCCATGCCCTTACCCACGTCACGCTCACGCAGTGGCAGCAGATCACATTCAGAGACTGGGTTCAAAATTTCGGAAGACCTCACATTGGCACGGAGCAAAGCGAGGCGGCGAAATGTGGATGACGATCACTCAATGTCATCTTACTCGTCGCTTCACCTCGATGCTGACCAGAGAAGCTCGCTTAGTCTCAGTAGACTATCATTTGCCACGGAACACAGCGACCCCGGACCAAATGCTACGCAGAGTGGCTTACGGCGCCAGCCGTCGCAGCTGTCAGCACGGACGACACAATCTTCGCCACACCTCTCGCACCATCTTTACTCTCCACAACAATCACAATCACAATCATCGCAGGCAAACGATTTAGCTGAAAGAATAGACAAAACTGACTTGAATATTTCCCACTCTCATTCTATACCTGATCAACACATCAATCCAATCTTCAAGCTACCGCCGTTCTCTCATATCTCTGAACAGGCGGACAAGGGCAGGGAAGACGTCGGGTAGCTGTGGTTTTATACCCAATCTTTTGATTTTTGCTCACATGCGCTTATTTGCGATTATACACGACATTCGTTCTGTTCTTTTTTTAGTTTATGAATTATTTACTTTTCTCGGTAATTTTCATCATGATCTGTGACAGGTGACAGGTGTCAGCTACGCGTATTTGAAGGGAGTAACGAGATTAAAGAGAGCGGATAGAATATATATGTTTCAGTTGTTTGTGGTGTGTGTGGTGGCTTTAAGCAGGGTACCCTCAGGGAAATAGCGCGCTCGGATACATTCGCCGCTGCACATAATCGCAAGATATCTCTCAAATAAGATCATCCACGAATTATAAATCAAATCACCACAGCACATTTCAATACAATCGTTTGAAATCCTCTTTATACACGACACCTCTGAATATGAAATCAAGTGTCATCTTAGCTGCAGCGGCAGCAGCAACATTCACTTCAGCATTTCCTACCAAGCAGAATAGGTCATCGAGCCATTCAACCGAGGATTGCCCTAATGGCTATGCTGTGCGTCCAGAATGGAGCCAGATGTCTAAGCAGCACAGGAAAGAATACATATCCGCCCTTCAATGCATGATGCAAAAGCCTAGCACGGTGGAAGAAACCAACGTCAGCTCGCACTACGCGGATATTAACTACACGCACCAATTCCCAGGCCAGGCTATACACTTTGTTGCGCAGTTCCTTCCTTGGCACAGGCACTACGTCTATACCTACCACCAGGAGCTCAAAGAGTGTGGATATACGGGTGAGATGCCATTTTGGGCGTGGGATTGGAATGCCGATGATGTCTTCAATTCCAGTGTCTTTGATGCTGATCCGGAATGCGGTCTCGGCACGAATGGTACTTTAGCAGAGGAAGGACCATTGAGTGGGTGTAGCTTGTCTGCTGGTATGCCCTTCTAACATTTTTACACAGACGCTTTTGCTGTCACTAACGGTGGCCTCGCTAACCACACCATTGAGTTTCCTTACAATCATGTCTTCCAGCGCAACCTCCAGACCCTCCCTAAAGGTGCTCCTCAGCCACTTGACCGCTTTATTCAGCCTGCGGAGGTAGAGAAGGCGCTCTCCTTTGATGTCTACGAATATTTTCATAGATACGTTGAGGGCGCACCTCCTCAGGAACCTCTCAAAGACATCCCAGGCATGGAAGGCGAGATGGGATTTGCCGGCATGCATGGTGGTATTCATCGCATGATTGGTGGTGACATGGGTGGCATACTCGCTCACATCGAATCTCCAGACTGGTGCCCATCATTCACAGCAACCGAGAGCTCCAATGATGGTGCCAACAGTAGTCCACAAGATCCTCTTTTCTTCTTGCACCACGCTAACGTCGACAGGGTCTGGGCTCAGTGGCAGGACCAGAGCCTCGAAGACAACATGTACGCATTCGGTGGCTGGACATACCACAACTATACCACAGAGAGCGGTGTCGGCAAGGCTACTCTCAACGACACCATGAGATTTGGCTACCTCACCGATCCTGTACCCGTACACCATGCGATGGACTATAGGAAGGCATACTGCTATGTGTACGCAGACAAGGACTACAGGGAGGCGTGAATGAGTTGTTTTAGCTGGCTTCATTTTTAGCGGGACGCTTCTTTAGATTTCATTAGTAGAAAATTTTCATTGGCTGTTTCATACGCGACCACACTTCATTCGGAGAGGTGTCTAGTTTTTTAATCCCCAATCACTACGAACACTTCTATTACTTTCCAATATATAAACTCAATCTTTTACTCAAATGTACAATTATTACTTTGTCTCACCTTCTTTGTTTAACCCTGATTTGAGTCTGCGTTTCCAAATGAATGAAATAGCGAGTGGAAAAAATCAATGAGCCCTGCTGATGATTTTGATAGCATCTGAATAGGTACAAACCAATGATTCTCTCGTTGCGATACCTAAAAAGCCAAACAACCTGTGAAGCGGCTGTACACCACTGATGACGTCAGGGTTAGTTTGAGAGATATCATAGCACTTTGAATACTCAGTCTAGCAATTGAGGTGGAGCATAGTAGTTTGAAACTTTGAATGTAATTTATTCCGCTCAGCTCACCCTGCAAAAAGCCAATTTAGTAGAAGATGAGCTCATACAAGTTTTAAACTGACCAATTTAAACTATTTATCCAGGTAATTATGCTCTTGAAATCTCAAGAGCTCTAAAACTGACCTAAACACCTTCATTTGCCCAAAATCCGCCAAATCGGAATTCTCCTCTACCACCTATTTCATCTCAGATGGTGATTTACGACTTTTGTTAATCTCTAAAGAAAGAGCTTGATAGGTAGCTCTGGGTAAGAGAAATATGATAATGCCAGATTTGGATCCCTGGTGCTCAAATTGAGCGCCCAGCATGCTGGCCGGAAGCAATGACTCGAAATTGCTCTAGAGCACGCTGTAGGATTGGGTTGGATAAACTTATGCGCTTAGTCAATGGAAAAAATTCCTACTTATATAGACCGCAAGTGCTCAAATGTATCAAGTATTCGGCCCTGTAAACGCAAAAAAAAAAAAAAAAGTTCTACGTTGCGTGGTCTCTACAGGACTCAAACCCGGCACCAGGAAAGAATATTGCCATTTTGCCTCACTTCAAACTCATCAGAAGCGATTAGGCAAAGGAAAGAGGGGGTTAACCAAACTCTGAAACCGTGGGTTTAGGTCGACCAAATGCATTTTAAAGATTAAGATAATGGGGATGAAGGGATGTTTGAATGTGCGTTGGAAATTTAGAGACCGGTATAATAGAACTTTATGTTTTTGTGTTCCAAATTAGTCTACCTAAGACACACCAAACTAGTTTTACCATTGCAGAGCGCTACACTGCTCCAGACAATTATTTAGTCTTAGACAAGAAGGTATCATTGACTATTTTCATATTTACTCAACTAAACTCATATGCAGCAAAAGCCAAAGTTCCTGTCATCAGGCCGAGCAGAAGTAGCATTATTCGAGGTTTGCGAGTTGATGCATTGGAATCATCATCGGAATCATTATTCTCTTGGTTATTACTAAGTGTTCCGTTCTCTTGAAAATAGCCTGTCATATTGTGTTCTTGCAGGAACTGATCTAGATCAGGTTAATTGTCGAACCTTTTTTCCGTCGGTCATTTAGAGATATTCAAGATCGAGCATAATCACCTAGTATACACTGGATGACCAAAATCAGTAGTTATGTTCTGTGCGGTATCACATCCTACTATTTTAAGGATTACACGAGGTCGCCAAATAGTCGCTTTGCTGTATCAAAGGTCTGAAGTATTCAAATAAACATTTTTCGTTAGCTAGATTTGTATATTGGATCAATTGAACGGTTTAATGAGGTTTGTGACTTAATGGTTTCAAATACTCCAAACGGTATGTAAGTCTCAGTGGATTCAAACTCGTGTCTTACCTGGATCGTATTGGGAGCTTTATTTTTTGATATATCAAATGATTTAATGCTGTTGAAAGCCAAAGATTTCAATCTAGATAGCGTTCCTGGAAGGCTTGAGAGCTCCACTCATTCACATTGTGCCAAGAATGCCGAAATCGGCACAAATACCTTAAAAGAGATGTTAGACACTGCTTTTCAGCTTGTTAAACAACTAATACATTTAACAAACTCGTTCAGATTTGACGAAGGACTTACACAGGCTCGCACACATGAAGTTGGATTTGTGGGAGTGTGTGAGGAGGTGGAAAAATGGCTCATAATTTTATCAAAAAATTGTCTCAAAACTAAAGTTACCCACCACCTGACCTCAATTAACAAACGTCATCACGGACTCAATTGGTCGATTTTTTAACTGACTCGAGCTTTAAAGGTTGTGAATGCAATCCTTGCATCTATCTCATAGCTAAGGGAATCTCTCTATATCAGGATTACATCGTTCTGCCATCTCAATGTATCTTTCCTGTTGACCACCGCCACGGAGCGTCAAAGCACGCCAAAATCGCTTGATATAATGCTAGAAGTTATAGATGGTTTCTCTTAAGCTCCTACAAGCTTGTTAGGAAGCTATGACGACGTACAGCCAAAAAAACATGTTGAGCGTCTTCTTATTCGCGGCAGTCTTTCACACAATCACGTTGCTTTTATGCTATTACAAATGGTTTTCAGTGGAAAATGGTCAATCAGAGCTAAACTAGTCGACAGCATAGTTAGGAAGTACGTGAGGGAAGATGAAGATAATAGGGAGGACAAAGAGTACTATATTCGTAACTTCTTTCTTCATTGCCCGTTATGCCTTCTCAGTTATAGTCATTTACTTTAAAAAGAATATCCTTTCCTTCGATTTGAAAACTTATGGGGACGTGAAGATAAGACATTTAATAGGAGGTTTCGCTTTTGTTGGAGCATTATATCGCATCGTGAAGAATCGGACTAGGAAAAATGACCAACAGCTACCCATGATACACCTTTAAAAGATCGACGACTCACATCAACAGCCTGAAACTTGTCTTTCTGCGCGGCGCTACAGCATTTGAAACATTCTGCTAGACATATTGAAGGTACGATATAAGGCTCAAGTGTTATGAAAGCGCTTCGATAGCCAAGACAATAGGAATACACGGGATTGCGATAACATAATAAATATTTCAAGTAAGAAAATCAGAACAAATTTAAAAATATTCAAACTTCTTCACCTTCAAGCACCTGTTCTACGTGCTTACACTATTAATACGCTATCGAAAGGGTGAAATGTGTACAAAAGGCATATTACTTTTTTTTCAATCTGTGAAATGCGTACTGTTTGCTTAAACATAGAAAATGACTAATAATGCATCTTGTCAGCCAGTCCGAATCTGTGCTGACGATTGCTGTTATTTTTGAGAGAACCAAAGTGGCATATAAAAATGCAAAAATGTTGCAAGTTAGATAGATAGATAGATAGAAATCATAATATATAGTCAAAAGCGTTAAAACGATTGATTATCTTCGCCTATCTATACTTCTTGTGCATTGAAAGCTGAAGATTGTAGTGACTCAAAGGGAAGCGGTTCTTGGCACGAGTGCCGTAAATTGGGAGGCAGCTACGTGGAGCTACTGGAGGCGCGTGTGTGGATACTGAGCTGGTTTTTGAAGAATTCGTAGAGAGTTTTATTTTTTGTCAAGGACTTATTTCATCAAATATTGACCTGTCTATGTTGTTTGCAATTGAACGATCGCCTAAAGAACCACCTGACTGTCGCTATGAATAAAGACTACTGGCTGTGAAGGAAGCAAAATATGTGGCAAAACCGTAAATATGTGCTTAAACTATGCCTCATTTGATATAACTTCAATAATTTAAATCATTATCAATCCTTATGAGGATGTGCCCCTACCTTCTTAGGTAATACAGCGGGCAAGATGCAGGAACAGGTAACATGACATCATGGTCGCTATGAGAACAATGAGAATAAAGAACAATGAAGATTATGTATGCATGATTATGCACGAGGACAATGAAGATAACGAAACAATGGGAATAAAACCTAGAATTCTAAACTATTTAAACGACTACTTTTTCTTTTGATACATTTCAGACTGAATTCTTTTATTAATCTCAGCGCCTTGCTTTTTGTGTGGACTTTAACCTCACAAAGGTCAATTTGTTCACAATCCTTGTTAGTATATCGGTTAGTACGCCCGCTTGTCACGCGGGAGAGCTGGGTTCAACTCCCAGACAGGGAGAATTTTTTTTTGACGCTTCTTTTGCAAAGCGTCATTTCAATGAAATTAAATTAGAGGGAATTGCAGAAGTTTTGATGTAATAGTAAATGGTAGGTTTAGGATAGAGGTGACGCGCAGGATAAAGCCTTTATAGCGAACAGCCATCATCGATAGAAAATAGAGATAAGGGAGATTGAGTGGGATTAAAATAAAAGAGATGTCATCAATTCACACATTCTTATCAATTTCAACGCGGGAGAATAACGACGAGTATGTGGAGGTGTGTGTGGGCGTGGATACGTGTACAGCGATCTAACAGGCAATCAGTTCACAGATTACTTTGGATCACACGCTTTCTTATCCCATGTGTGGACGAAGCAGCTGTCATCGAGCGATATAGAGAAACAGCTGTCACACCTCCCACCATTCAGGATTCAAGGCGATTTAATCGAATTTGAGACCCAACGACGCGTAGACGGTAGTACGTTTAAACCTACAGGTCGTTATTGTAGTTGGAATAAACTTTCGCAGCTCAATCCAGGCGTTGTGAGGCCACAGCCTGATCCGCACTTTTTCACTGCCACCAGCGCATGTAAAGCCCCGACCAGTCAATTCAACGCACACCCTAACGGGAAGCAGAAGCGTGAGAGGCTGGAGAAGCAAGTGAAGCCGGTGCAAGCAACCGTAGCAGCATCAGCACCAGCTAAAGCTAGCGGGGCATCGCGGTGGGCTGGGATGGATAGCGCGGTTGTGGAGAATAAGTTGAGTAAGGAGAGCAAGCAGCCTGCTCTTATCAATCGGTTGAGTAAGAATGTCCGCGAGAGCGGGGAGAAGCACGCGCAGCACACCGACACACAATCCCCACAGCCCTCACGGCACACAGACTCTCAAACTAACGTGTCTCCAGCCCCGAACCGGGTGACGGCGTCGAGCGCGACGTCGAACGGCCATACCAGCGACAGACCACTTTCGCCTCACTTGGTGCAGCGCAGCGACGCGAACAACCAGAACAACGTAAAACCAAGAAGGCTGTCTTTGAATAGATCGAGCAAACTGAATTGTGGTGGTGGTAATTCTAGTGAAAAGGAAGGTAGCACGACAAGCATAGATAGCAGTTCGTCTCGATGGGCATCAGTCACACCTACACTTACTTCTCCATCGACTGTACACGAGAGCACGTCTAAGAGTACCCCATCAGTCCCGCTTAAGCTTCCGCCTTCTGGACCGAGAGGTGTGGGTGTGATAAATGGGCATGGCAAGGTTGAAAAGGACGATAATGATAATAGCAACGATAATAATGATAATGCCCACAATGCACACAATGCATACACCAAAGGACATGCTAGACAGGGATCCGTAAACGAGTTGCTGCTCCGATTGCGTGCTGCGACGCTATCTGAAGGTGGAGTAAGTGGAGTGGATACATCGAAGGAGAGGAACGTACAACCTCAACATATTCAGCGCAATAAACGTACTCAACATACCCAGCATGCTCATATGCAGACCCCGCGCCGACAATCCCAGACTAAGCCACACCCACAACCACAATCAAGCCGAATATCACAAGCAAACAGTGTACAAACAACCGGAGAGATTGGAGCAAGAGCAAGCAAGTATGCATCGGATGAGATGGCAGTGGAGACAGAAGGAAGAGGTGCACTTGTACCAGTGACGAGAGGGCAAAGAACGCAGCAGGAACCTCGTAGCGCACCGAGAGCACCCAAGTCTATGCGTCGGAATAATCCTGCATCTGCATTTATTCCTACACGTGCACCTTTTGCACAGACTACTCAACCTGCACCACCTACTCAACCTATTCAGCCTGCTAAACTAGCAGCGCCACACCACCCCCATCAAAACCCCTTGCTAAAACACAAAACATCACTCGCCAGCCAGGTAAGCTGGGCAGATGACGACGACCTCGATGAAGACCTGCCGGATATAACGTGTCTCAACCAGCGACCGTATAAAGAGAGATAAAAGTAAAAAGTGTTGTATTCTATGAGAAAAATAATTTAATTTACTTAAACTAAGTAATCTACTTGCTGCCTTTCTTAGGACCTTTAGTACGAGCTTTTTTGTTTGAACGACCGACAGCAGCGCCAGGTTTAGCGCGTTCGCCTTCATTTTTCTTTGGTGGTTTGACTGATTTATCTTCTGTAAACGAAGGTCCTGCGCTACTCTTACGTTTCTTGGATGGCGCTGCACTCTCTTTGGGTTTGGATGTATCTGCCAAAACGCTCATTTTCTGCGGCTTGGCTGATTTCTTAGCTGAGCGCACAGCGTGGTCTACATTCCAGCCCTTATTTTTATCCGCTTCGTACTCCTCTTTCATTTCCTTCTTGCGGCGATCACGTCTGCTGAGACCGGAGGAGGAGGTGAGTTTACGACCGAGCGAGTCGTGAGTTTTAGCTGTTTTCTGGGTAATTTGATCGGGTTGATCGAATTTCTTATTGTACTCCTCTTTGCCCGTATCTGAAATGGTAGTCTTAGTAATATCCTTATTCACACAAACAACCCCACTCACCCTTGCTTTCGCGCTTCTCCTTCTCGGTCTGGAACCACGTACGCGCGGGTCTAGCCATAATTTCATCTTGGTGCTCGATCATGTTCTTCGACTTGACGAGTTCCATCTCGGCGACGCGCATTGCGCGCTCCTCCTTCTCTAGTTTGAGTACATCGTCAATCTGTCCGTCGAGTCCAGCGACCAGCTCGGCGACACTACGGAGAATATCCTGCGGCACGATACGGTGTTTGATGCTATCGCTCGACTGTGCTGAGGAGCGTTTCACGACGGACTTCAGCATCTTCCTATCACTTTCTCCAATCAGCGAGATGGAGCGTCCTGTGAGATTGGCACGTGCGGTTCTACCGACCCTGTGCAAGTAGATCTCGATCTGGTTGGGCAGATCGAAATTGATGACCGTCTCCACCCCCTTAATATCTAACCCCCTACTGGCCAAGTCGGTCGCGAGCAGGAAATCCGATTTGTCGTTCTTGAACCGGTCGAGCGAGCTCAGTCTGCCTTCTTGTGATAAATCACCATGTAGCTCGTCGGCTCGCATCTCCATCAGTCCGAACAGAATGCGCATGCGGTGTGCGAGTGCTTTGCTGCGGAAGAAAATGATGGTGCGGTGGCGGAATGTACGTCGACAGAGCGCGAGCAGAGTGGCAGTGCGCTCAGTGAGATCGTTCTTGGTGTTTGATTTAACACGCACAAACTCTTGCGTAAGACCCTTAGCAGTGGACTTCTTGGGGTCGACGAAGAGACGAGCGGGTTTGTCAAGGGATAGCCTCACAAGCTCATCGACTTTATCAGTCATGGTGGCTGAGAAAAGCATCGTTTGGCGATTGGTTGGACACTCCTTGACAATCTCATCCAATTCATCTTTGAAACCATCTTCGAGCATTCTGTCAGCCTCGTCCATGATGAGAATGTCGAGAGAGTCGAGATTGAAAGAGGGAGAGTTGCGGACGTGGTCAATGAGTCTACCTGGGGTAGCAATGACGACATCTGGTCTTTGTTTGAGCTCTTGTTCTTGGAGTTTGAGGGAGAGACCACCGACGACAAGAGCGAAGGAGATGTCACCCATAAATTTGGAAAGGGATTGAGCGACTTGGAAACACTGAGAGGCCAATTCACGTGTTGGACATAATATGAGGACCCTGGTTTCACCTGACTTCGATGAAGATTTAGGTCTGTACATTAAGCGCTCGAGGATGGGCAGAATGAAGGCGGCAGTTTTACCACTACCGGTGACGGCTTGACCGACTATGTCTTTTCCGGCTAGAGCAACGGGAAGAACAGATTTTTGAATGGGGGTTGGTTGGGTGAAGCCGAGGGAGCTGATGGCTTTGAGGATAGGGCGGGAGAGTGCGAGTGATGAGAAAGTATTTTTAGAGTTTTTGGGGGTGGCGGCTGGTGTAGCGAAGTAGTCTTTCTTTTGAGCGGAGGAGGAGGAGGAAGAGGAAGCGGATGATACTGAGTGGGTGTCTGAGTCATCGTCGTTGTCGTTGTCGCTATGACTATCACTGATATCATTGTGATCATCCTGGTCAAGATCATCATCCAAGTCATTGTCATTATCAGAATCAGAATCAGAGCGATCTGAATTACCATCACCGTCATCCATCACCGCCTGTCTCTTTGAGTGAATATTTTCATCCAAAGAATCAATTTTCTTGTTAATGATAGAATCAATAGGATTGACTTGATCTTGTTGATTGTTATTGGATAAATTCAGGTGAGTGTTTATATTTTCAAAATCAAAATCCAATTCCAAATCCCTTGCTTGTGAATTACTAGGCTTATCATTAATGATTTCTTTATTCCTCCTCCTTTGTATTTGATCCTTCTTTGATAAATTTTGTTGAGTGGGTTCCTCTAATTCCTCTGGCTGATCAATATCCTCATCAGATTCTATTGTTCCTATAAAATCATCAACTGTATTCTTCATTGGTGGTGTTGGCTGATGGTGGTTTGAATTATTCAAGTTCAGCTTCAATTATTCAAGTGAATGGTTGAATTATTATAATTTACTTTTAAAATATTTAAGGTCAAGTAATTTAATAGTGTTTTCTTATAATTCTACTTTCAATTCCACCACCACAAATGTCCCAACTAGCAACATCGTGCACATCATGTAGAAGTAGAAAAGTACGTTGTAGTGGTACAAATCCATGCACAGCATGTCTAAAGAGAGGTGATAATTGTGTTTTCAAGCAAAAGTTGAAGCCTGGTTTGAAGAAAGGTACTGGAAGGGAGTTGCAGGGGAGGTTAGCAGAGCTGGAGAGTAAATTGGCTGCAATGGAAGGCGAATCCCTCTCAACCGATCAAATATCTCAGATTACAAGTTTATACTTCCAATCGATACACTCTCATCATCCATTTCTAACCACAAACCAATTTTTAACGCGAATTACATCCCTCGCTATCCTCACCACTACCCTATCTTTCATAGCCCACGATTACTCGGCACCTGCTATCACTCCCACTCAAAACCCACATGACATCATCCAGCGTATGACCAATGACATCATCATTCAGGCACACAACTCAATCAACCTTGATTCTCTTCAGGGACTTACCATATTAGCCTGGTTATCATTGAGAGACGCCCATCCACCCAATCGCTGGCTACACCAAATGTCGCTCTCCCGTGCAATCAACTTGGCTTTCAAGAACTGCGACAACAAATCCCCATTCATGCAGCCAACTCCTCTCCTCTCTTTCGATCCCACATCACACCAATCCATTAACCTATACTGGTCTGCGTTTATTATTGACCGCCTCGCCTGTTTCACAACTGGTTGGTCTTTCGGTGTTGAGGATTTCCATGTCCCTCTACCAGAACACAGCTATCAAAACCCACAATACGGATCTTTACGCCCAACTGCCCAATTGTTTCTCTTCAACGACGCAACACACGCTCTCTTCTCTCAGCCCACTAACCTGTCTGACTTGGCCGAGGTGATCGAATGGCGGCGGCAACACGATGCTTTATCATACAGACTAGATACATTACTAGCAACACAAGCGCAAGATGTGCAAGATGGACAAGACATCACCCAATCACATCCCCTCCTCCCCCTCCTCCAACAAGCCACCATCCTGCGCCACCACTCTCATCTCGCATACCCGCCCCACACGACGGCGCATTTTGCAGCTGATGCATGTGCGCAGCAGCGGTGTGAGCGTGCAGCGGAGTGCATAACGGATATAGCACTCACCCAAACAGCGCTCATAACGAACAGCACACATTACAACGCCAGTCTTAAAGGTGTCACCGCTAACCCCATTTCTGTGTGGTGTATTTGGGTAGCTGCGCGCAATCATCTGCTGGCGTATACTATGGCTTATACCACGACTGATGCTGATACTGGTGCTGGTACGCGGGGGCGTGAAGATGTTGAAACGCCGCATAAGTTGCACACCCCACTTACACCACGTACATCACACAAGGTCCCTGGTCTACCCTTGCAGTTCTACCAACTCGTCCAATCTCTTCGCGTCCTCGCTCCGACTTCTCGGCTTGCACATATATATGCAGATGTACTCGACAAAATAACCACAAGTGACGAAGCTTGCTCTATTCTAGCCGTTCCACGTACTTCATTTACGGTGTTGCGCGATGCAAGTACAAGTGAATCTCACATTGACACACCTTCTCATAATCACACTCCTATACCCTCCCACTCCCTTTCATCAGATCTAGACGTTCTATTTCAGGATATTTTTGCCTCTTTTGGATAATTTATACCTTTTTTTACTTGTACAATGTCAATATACATGTACACAATATGTACACAATCTGTACTCAATACAAGTACTTTTCACTAACCCAATTCTATCAGCCTTTCAAGATCATTAAACGAGACCTAGAGTTAGTTAGTCAGCCAGGCGTTTCACAAACACGTGTCACCCACTCGATCGATAAACGGTATGAGAAGTAGAGACTGTACCTCGATCATTCTATCAGCTAGGAGGCCTCTACGTGAATGTTTCTTATCTGCTTTGCGATCAACACCGACTTCGACGACCGGTTCACCTGAGCTACCGAAACCAAAGACGACGTCATCCTCCTCGCGTGTCTCCTCGCCACCGTCATTAACAATACGCAGCGTCTCGATAGTGCGACGAATGACGACGTGGAATGGGTTACGTTCCCACTCCGACCTATTCATAAAAGCGAGTCTGGTGACGACGCGGAAGAGTTTCTGGGTGAGTTGCGCCCGTTTGCGCCACCTAGCCAGCGTGGGCGGTTGAGCGATACGTACAAAGTTGTACAGAGCCATACTGACGCGCTCCATATGCGCGAGAGTCGACTCTGTATTGAGGAGGTGAAAATCGCGATCAAATTGCGGTACCATCCCTAGTAGGACGTTGATAAACTCGTCTTTCATCTCCTCACTCAGAGTTACAGCTAACACGGCACGGTTGCACTCGGGTGTCGCTACAACCGTCGCCGCTTCCATCGCTACATCCTTCCAGTACGCCACTCCCGCCTCGTACGGTGGCAACCAGGCATGTAAACTCGCGCGACTTATGGGAAAACCAGCTGGATACGCCTCGCTCTCGTCCATGTTCGTCATGTAGCTTAGAAAGAACCCGTATAGCGAAACGAGCAGCTCCGCTGGAGTGTCCTCCGTCAGCTCCATAGATCTCGATACATGCGCTAATATCTGCAGTGTGTCATTGCGAATCTGAAATACTTCTAGTGGGTGCTCGCGCCATCCACACATTACGAGCAGCGTATTGAGCAGCCACCTCGAATTCGCTAGTATCGCATGGTTACAGGGTGTAGTGGATAAATTGCGCAGTATGTTAGTAACGTAGAGTATTTTATTTAGGGGTGAAGTGCAGGGAAAGGTGGGGTTGTCGCTGTGGGGGTAGCTACCACTACCACCTTTGACACTCTCACCACCTTGCAAATACACCCCCATCTCGCAAACCACTCTATGCAATTCCATCTGTCGATTTTGCATGTCATGCAAATTTGAAGTCTCAACAACTTGATCATTCGTGCCTGCCTCGTCGTTGAGCAACTCAAGCAGCTCATCGAGCAATTCGTCCGACCTATCGAGTGCAATCTCCGGAACGAGGCTAGATGTAGATAACAGAGTGAGACACACTAACGCATGGCTCAATTCAAAAGATATTCGACTTCGCAGTGACAGTATCAGCTTTGTTATCTCCACATCCCTGAATTCATTAACTGATCGTGGAGTAATAGCAGCTTTATTCACCGCTCGCTCATCCTCCAGCTCCTCCATATTCAGTCCGCCGTAAGTATTAACTGTGCGCTTGTAGGGTATATATGTATCACCTTTCTGGCGTTTGTGAGGGGGTTGTGAGGAATGTGAAGAGTGTGGTCGTTGTCCAAGCTGTTGATTTCCTGACTGTGGTCGACTTGGTGTTGGTACTGGCGTTGGTACTGTTGGTACTGCTGATGAAATTGGTATAACCGGTGTAGAAGGATGCACCTGCGCTGGTGGTTTGAAGTGTGGGCTGTTGTTGTTGCTGTTAATCCCTCCACTCCCACCAATTAACGGCGATTGCTGCAATTGCTGCTGCGTGTTTGACATTCTACTGGGAATTTGCCTTGGTGGAGCGTACGGAGATTGAGTGGTGGTGGTTAAAGGAGAAATTTGATGTTGAGCGTGTTGAGCGTGTTGAGCGTGCTGCTGGTATTGCTGTTGTTGTTGTTGTTGTTGTTGTTGTTGTTGTATCATTTGCACCTGCTGCTGCTTAAGTGCAGCTGCCTGCTGTTCCCGCTGTTGCTGCTGTTGTTGCTGTTGTCTTTGCTGTTCAATTTGCTGCACTTGCTGCTGCTGTAATTGCTGCTGGAGCAACTGAGCTTGAGCGTGCTGTTGTTGAGCGTGTTGAGAGTGCTGCTGTGACTGTGACTGCTGCTGCACTTGCTGTTGCCGTCTAGCCAACACCATTCTAATATAAAGTTCTTCAAATGGCTGTAAAAGATGCCCGTAGTAGTTGACCAGCTGCGCTACCATATTAACGCCGTTAAACTGCGCAGGAACCTGCAGTATATGCAACACCTTATCCCACTGCTGCTCTCTCTGCAACTTGCCCGATCCGCCCAGCTGGACGACCACGCCGAAGATCTTGTACAAATCCACCGTCTTACCACCCAGAACCACCTCACCTTTCCCGCCATTAGGATGTGGTGGCCATGTCAGTATATTTGGGGGAATCGGCGTATTACGGCGTATCATCAACTCGGCCAGCGTTTTGTAGAATTCTTGGGGAGATATTTTGAAGGGGATGGTAGGGGCTGTGGGTGTGTGGGTGGATGGCTGTGGTAGTTGGTGGTTGAGCTGCTGGGGAGTGTGGGGAGTATGGGGAGTATGGGGAGTGCGAGGAGTGTGAGCTTGTTGAGGCGGCTGAGGCGGCTGCTGTGACTGCTGCTGCTGTTGTGATCCCACGCCCACGCCCACGCCTACTCCAGCCGCCTGTTGCATCTGTAGCTGTCGTTGTTGCCTGGAGATGAGATGAGCGTCGACAACGGCGTAGAAACTTCCATCTCACATGATAAACATGAGTCTACAAACACTATTAGATATACGCACATACACACACACAAACTAACTCACTGCTGTTGTGATAAATCAGACATGCTTTATCTTCAGAACCACGATGACGGTATGGAATCAAGGATGAAATGAAACAATTTTCACTTAATTTTTCTTTCTTTACAGTGCAATAGAGTATGTCTTGATTTGTGTAAACTCTCTGATTCCTTCAACCCCATTGAACCTACCAAACCCGGTATCCTTGCATCCGCCAAATGGACAAACAGCCTCATCGCCAATAGTGCCTTCGTTGATACGCACCAGACCGACTTGGAGCTCTTTAGCCAGTTTCAACACGCGGGTGATATTGGTCGAGTAGATGGACGCAGCGAGGCCGTATCTGGAGGCGTTCGCAGCTCTGACGATAGCGTCGTCTTCGCTTTCACCATCCTCCTCATTCTCACACGCCTTTAATATCAGCGCAATTGGACCGAATGTCTCCTGGTCCCATATTGACATCTCGGGTGTAGCGTCTGTGAGGAGTATGTTTGGTATTTTGCACCTCTCGACGTCTTCAGGTGACGGTGGCCAGCTACCTACGAGCACTTTTGCGCCTTTTACCAGAGCATCATCCACCATCCCCACAATACGCGTGAATGAACCCGCCATAGCTACAGATGAGGACGTGTTCGGTGGGGCGTTCGCTTTGTATGTCTGGATGAGTTTGTCGTATGTAGAGGCACCCGCAATAACTCGCTCTGTCGCCATGCATATCTGTCCCGCATTCACCCATGCATGGAAGAAGGACTGCTGGACAACCTTGTCGAGATCGGCATCGTCGAGGACGAGCACCGGGCATTTCCCGCCAAGCTGGAGAGCATGTTAGCAAAGGTATAATTCTACTCATTGCACCACTACGCACCTCCAGTAGACACGGTTTGAGGTGATGCCCTGCAAATTTTCCTATCTCCTTCCCTACACTGGTGCTGCCAGTGAAAGACACATGCCTAACTCTGTCATCAGCAATGAGATTCTGAGTCACTGAAGGAGCATTTTCTCTCGAGGAGTGCAAAATATTAAGACATCCATCTGGCAGCCCCGCCTCTCTAAATATGTCGCCCCAGAGGAAGTGAGTTTTGGGTGTGATATCGCTTGTCTTGAATATTACTGTGTTTCCAGCTGCGAGGGGGTTAATAATCGCGCGTATGGATAGATTAGGTGCAGCGTTCCAGGGCGCGAGAGCGAGACACACTCCGAGTGGCTCCCTTTCGCACAAGTAGAGGGCCTCATTGGCACGCTTAGTGGGTGGACACTCCCCTGTAAGCGCTGGGATTATCAAACTCGCTGCAGTTTCCATCATCGAGGAGGTGATTGAGACGAGGAACTCGACAAAGTGGTGGTCGACGTCGAGTTCAGAAGCGTATGCTTCGTACATTTCCTCGGATCTACTCTTGAGTATAGCAGCAGCTCGAAGGAGAACGTCTCTGCGCTCGTCGTGTGTAGTTTTCTTCCAGGATTTGAACGCTGTGAGGGATGAATGTAGGGCGTTGTCGATATCGCTGTCAGAAGCAGAGACGACGCTGTGTGGAATGGCGTGGGTGTTTGGATGCACCACAGGGAACACACCACTACCGAAACCCTTCACAGCAGCATTATCGATCCAGTTCTCAATCAAATTGGCACTTTGAGTTATTTGTGTCATGGAAGTCTAAATAGGCGATTTAATTAAGATCAGCCTAGCCTCGCATTCTTAGGCCCTTGAATTCTGCTAAATGTTGCCCCGACGCTTGCCGTTGGACGGATGGCACGGATGAACGGATAGAGTGCCGTGTGACACTAGGGGCAAGTGGTGTCCGTGTGTGGTGTGGTGTAGTTGTATTTAACTACAGTTACTCACGTGTACCGTGGTATTCCATATTAAACCCTCTCTACATCACACAGCCATGCGCATTCTTCTTGTCAACGACGACGGCCCACCAGCACCAGCCAGTCCATTCATACGCGATTTCTATATTGCGCTGTCCAGACACCACGATGTATACGTAGTCCTGCCAGCCCAGCAGCGTTCTTGGATAGGTGAGTGGGTTGCTTAGTGTGTTGGGAGTGTTTGAACCGCTCATTGCTCCCGTTGATTGCTCCCGTTGATTGCTACCGAAGCACACCACACACTGCAAAACACACTGACACTCCCCGCAGGTTTAAGTTTCCTCATCGACCAGCCCGCAGTGGGGTACTACTACTACCTCAAGCGCGATCCAAGCGCGACAGCCGAGACATCTGACATCGGTAGACCACTCAAAAACGACGAAATATGTCGCTGGATACTCATCACAGGCACACCAGCCTCCGTGGCGAATATCGCCCTCACCAACATCTACACCGACATTGATGTCGTCATCAGCGGGCCCAACTACGGCAGGAATTCATCCACGCCTCTTGTCATGTCTAGTGGTACTGTCGGCGGTGCACTCGGCAGTGCCATACGCGGTTTCAAGGCTATTTCTCTCTCATATGGCATTATGGAGCAGCCTACTGACCCAGCCTCTATACCAATGGCACATGAATGGGCAGTACACCTTGTCAACCACCTCATATCCCACTGGAACCCTGAAGCTGACGTGTACTCGATCAACATTCCTCTGGTCAAGAGTTTGCCCAACGCAGTCGCTAAATACACGTGCATACAGAAAAGCACCTTTGACCGTCTCTTCCTCCCTTCACTCCCATCCAACCCATCTAAACCTACTACCACCACTCCACACATACAAGACGGCGCTCCGTTGAGCTTTGCTTGGGCTCCTGATATTCGCAAACTCATCGAATGCTCTCCCGACTCCCTAGACACGGATACAGACGCACACTGCCTATCCCAAGGCAATATCTCCATTGTTCCCCTCAGAGCTAACTACGAAACCTGCTACACTAACAACACACACAACTCCACCCTCCCGCCCCGAGGTTCCACAATTGCAAAGTAATTTCAGTAAAGTATGAATATCATAATAAGCATAAATAAGAATAAGAATAAAATAATAGCAAATCATCATTTTGATATTAATAACCACCCAATTTCTACCGCTCAATCGGTTTGCTGCGTGCGTAATTGTAGTTGTTAACAACAGACTGTATACGCTGGAAGAACCACGTGCGACTCTCTTGCGAAGTCAGGTTCATAAAAGGTCCCGTCACATTCCCCTTGAGCCTCAAACTAATCCCATGATTCTCCAAGCTAATCGAGTGGAGTTCATCGAACGCTACTTCCCACCTCAACTCAAGATTACGAACCTGTATCTCTAAAATATGTGCTGTGGTGAGCAGTAGAACTGCATCACTACCCCTCACATTCAGATGAGCGACGTATGTTTCGTTGAAATATTTCCCGTTCTCGACATTCTTCAGCCACGATTGACCTAGTGACTCACGCTCGCTGTACGCCCTTAACACACCATCATCTGCAATGAACCTCGGTAATCTAATCCTGTCAATGTCCTGTGGGTCAAATACCGTCGTCGTGTTGCGAATCCCTTCTGAAACATTCGATGCTAAATCAAACACTCCAATCACTGGCTTCGTGACCGCACCAACGATTCCACGCCCAACTCCCTTGAAGAAACCTCCAGTACCTGATCTTTGCGCACCCTCAATTGGTTTCAACGCCAAGCCTTCAAATCCAGATGCAATCGATACCGCAAACGCGTTCGCACCCGCTGCGACTCCATAAAGTGCATGCTTTGGCTTATTGCGACGTTGCGCCATTCTCCTTCTGCTCTGATACTCCTGATCGAGCGTTATGGCAGATAGACCTAAACTCTATTAGAAACTCCTTTTACACTAACGCGCTCACCCACCTTTTCCAATTGATCCAGTCACTTTAGACATTGAGTCTGTCACTCCGAATACAGTCTTCTTCACGAAGCTTGTCGCTCCTCTCGCAATCCCAATACCTAACTCCTTGTTCCCATGCATCACGAGTCCTTGATATGGCTCGTAAAAGATATCCGCAACACCCGAGCTAACATTGTTAAACAATCCAACAGGATTACCGAGGAAGTCAGCACTACCGAGCACGCGATAAAGCTGGTACATGAATTGCTCCCTGTAATTTATCATAATATGTTGAGATAGCAACGAGGATGTGAACCGAGCATTTTGGAGAATGAGCGAGTTGAGACGAATTGGTGCACCACTAACATTACCCAATGCCATTGTGAGAGCGTTGATAAAAAACATTACCGGATTGCGTGTGTGGGCAGAAGTTGTCTTGTTGTCAACATTCACCCTGTCTGTGCGCATGAATGACAAGTCAAGCGATATTGGCTGTAAATGGAACACTTGGAAATATAATTGCATTCCACTACCCAAATCTGCAGGTTCAATTATCTCAACAGGACTCTCTATCAAACAATCTTCTTTCTGCTGATCGCGATCCCACGAAGGTTCTTCAAATCTACTAAAGTCAATCAAAGCCATTAAGAAGTCTTCGTCTACTTCAATAGTCATCGATTGCAGAAGCATGGAGAAGTACTCGATACGCGTCACACCGTGCGAGTAGTCCTTAGATATTATGACAGAGCTGTCCAGCGTTGGCTGTCTCTCCAGTTCTCTACCATCCTTTGGCTGCGTTGTGGGGTAAAGGATAATTGGGAAGAGTCCACCAAACAGCTGATTGTCAATTTGAATCCACTTGCAGCTCATATTGTAAGACGTGTGAAGATTACTGTCCGAGTATTGCATTCCAATACCCCTAAATGATGCGTAAAACAGTTCCTGCATACGCCTATTTAAGACGCTAACACCTACACCCTCCAGCTCCAAACTGAATTGAGTGTTGAGAACAGTCTCCAGGTTTTTCTCCTCGAACTGCCCTGCTGTCGAATCTGACGTTTCAGATTTCGCAACACTTCTCCTCCGGGGCTGATAGAGCGACTCGTCTTGCGAATATGGCGACAGCACTAACACTTGACGAGGTCCATCAGCACGAACATCGATCGATAACGTGTCACTGGCAAATCGATAAGGAGGTAAGGCGCCTATTTCCATGAGGTCTATCGAGCGCTCTTTCCCTCCTTGAGCTCTCAAGCGCAATTTTTTGTCAGTCTCAGCAGGTGCATCCCAAGCGTAGTCCATAGACGAATGAGGAGCAACATTGTACCGCTTTGGTTTCAAACCCGGCATCATAGTGAGATTGTCGTAACCTAATGCTTTGTCAGCTGGGGAAATCCCAACATCATCAAACCCACCTTCCGTGGTAGACTGCCAAATCTCAACACCAGTATCGCTATTGTTTTCAACCATAAATGGCCATGGATCAGTATCTTTCTTGAGGTAGACAAAGATGGTAGGACCCTCAATGCACACGTCGGCCTTGATGAGATGGTCGACCTGATCTCCCAGTCTCATTCTTAAGTGAACAGGACCGACGTCAGTGAGAGAGAAAGGTGCGGACCATTCCTTTGTACCAGGATAGGAGATCTTAAGGAGGTGCTTTTCATCCTCATCCAGACTCTCTAATCTGTGCAGCGCCTTCCTTTCACTAGCTTTAAGATTGAGAAGGTATGGAGAGCTGTCAACGCGCGCGTTAATCGTCTCGCTCAGCTGGCTCTTGATAAGGAACCGAGGCTGGATAGTAACGACCTTGCTAAGCTTATACTTTCCATTACCCTCAACTACGCTCATACCGATATGTACGTTCTCGTCGCCTTGAGCAGACAGCGTCACCTCCGTGTCAGCGGCAGCCACATCAAACGACAGCGGCTTCGACCAGTTCGAGTCGCCGATCCTGAGCAAGAACCTCTTTTGGCGATCGTCTGAGTTGTGCGAGAACATGAACGGCGACGTCTCTCTCTTCTTCATCTTGGACGAACTGAGGTCTTGGCCAGCCACATTCTTCCCAGCGCCCAGAAGACTCTTGGAACGGAGGACAAAATCGAATCCAGACTTGTTATAAAGAACGTATGGAGAGTATATCTGTACCTTGAACGCGCCGCCTGATTTCGGATAGCGATAGTAGTGTATGCGCACATTCAGCTTCAACGATTCTTGATCTGATAAACTCAGGACACTTTCAACGGGGAAATCGTCGGGGTTGTCCGTGTTGATGATTGCGAACTCACTCGGAGAAAATACTGAATTCTCGATGGTAATGCTAAGGAGAACGAGGTGAGACAATTCAATAAGATGAAGAGGGCTAACACCGCCCTGAAGCAAGAATGAAGATTGATCCTGTTTAGTATTCTTGTCGAAGATTCTATGGACTGATTAGAAAAAAACCTTAACGCAAGCAAACACCAAACCCACCTGAATTTGATATCGTACGGCAACAGATTTTCAATCTCGATAGGAGAGCGTAATCTGAGTGTCAAGCGAGGGTAAATACGAGTAAGTTCATCAGCGGGGTCGAAATCAGCACAAGCCTGAAATTTGAATGATGGTTCAGCATGATCACTAGCTTTACAGCTGATAGATCTTGAAGGATTTTTCATGACATCTTGCCAGTAAAAAGCTTCAGAACTCCACGCATAACCGAATCCAGGATCAGGTCTAATTTTGATGCGCTTTTCATACGCAGCTTCGATAGGCAAAGCGTAAGACTGACCTGGGGTGAGTTTCGAAACCCCACCCGCAGGTTTACCATTACCCCCAATAATAACAATCTCGATAGGGAGGTGAGAGCTATTCTCGACCTGGTATGTTGATCTGAAAGTAACAACTTTGAAAGTATCCTGCAATCTAATATCGACGACTACTCTGTGTAACACTTTGCTGATTTTAGACTTGAGAATGTATGTCTGCTCACCCTCCTTATCGACAGAAATACGTCCAACACTCTCCCACTTAGTGTTATCGAGCTGAATACCTACGCTGTTGTGAGCGGATGCACTGACATCCTCGCGAAGTGTGCGCAGATCTTCAAATCTCCACGGCGACTCGGATGTGTTGCTCAGCGACAAGGTATTGCTAGCATCGTGCGTTGGCCACACGTTCATATCGTATCCAGTGTGGTTGCGCAGAAGGAACGGCGCAGAGCTCCCGCGCGGCTTCTCGAGTAGCCTGGTAGCGTTATTTCCAATCAACGAGTAGAAAAGCAGGGCAGTCTGAATAAACGACGACGTCAAGTTAATCTCGAGTCTCCTCCGTGAAGACATCACAATATTCATTCCAGTTGGCGGTTGAAGACGTTCTCCCTGTGTAAAGTATCGTTAGTGTTGCTCTCAAAAGTACACACACCCACCCTTAGAGTAAGTTCCCATGGATCCATTAGCGGTTCCCAGTGAGAGTTTGTCGGATTGAAGTAATTAATCGACCACGAAACAGCCGTCTGGATCTTCATTTCGGAGGTCCAATCGAACAGATCGATATTAAATCTCTTAGTATGAAGGTGAATTAAGGGGAGCTCGTGGAGATCCTCGATCAAAACAACCTGGAATCCCTCAAACACAGCACTGAGATTCTCCTTTGTGATCATAACCTTTGGTTTCATAGATGGAGCAGGGAGAGCGAGGTGGTTCTGCGAGGCCGGAGTGATCCCAAATGCTGATGCAGACTCTGCTCCCGAATACCTCTTTGCGCCTGGTGAAATTGCTGGCGCTTTGACTGAGCGAGCCGAAGTATTTTCACCGCCTCTCAACTCATCTGGAGACACCTGCGTCGGTCTTGATTTAGTCGACAGCTCAAGCGCCTTATTGAAGATATCTGTAATGAGTAAAATATCTCTATAAGACGCTCTGAAGATGATAGGATCAGCGCGTAGCTCGATGGATGTATTCTGACGCAGATCGACCTTGCGTGAGTCGTAGCTCAGTGTGAAATCAAAGTTATCGAGGAAGCGCAGCTTGTCCTTGGGTTTGTCCATTCGCGACAAGAACATGCCAAGTCTGTCTACCTTAAGTGCGATCACTCCGTGTTGTGACATGAGCACTTGTTTCACAGAAAGCTCAATAGCCTCCGTCGTAGGTTCACTCTCGTTAGCGAGTATAATGATGGATGTGTTGACGACATTCAACCTATATGCGAATGAAGGTTCGCTGTTAATCTCGTCGGGCTGTTTTATAGGTGAGTCCTCAAGTTGATCCACATCAACATCCATAGGGTCCTCGTAACTCTCCTGCGTTTCTTGGGCACCCGAATCATTTGACTGAGCCGGTATAGCCGAGTAGAAGTAATCCGTCAAAGCAAATAGGGGATCGACTGAGAAGATAATTTTCGGTGAGTCGATAGTAAGTAGTGCGAGACTAGACTGGTCTGTGCCGCCAGCCTTAGAGTAATGGATCATAAACTGATGACCGTCATGAATAGCGGGGGGAATGAGTTGTCTGAACTTGGAGCCTGACTGCGCACGGGTGTCGTCCATCCTGAGGCTTTTGAGTGTCAGCTCGGACTCCATGGAGCCATCAGAAAGCGTCTTCAGTTTTAAGTTAGTGTCATTTAGCGAGAACCTCGCGATGCTGTTCTCCTCTAACTTTCTAGCGCTAGTAGCAAGAGGGGTGAAGAGCTCGAGGGAGACGGTTCCGACGTCAAACGCCAGCTCAGTGCTCGTCCACTTATCCTGCTCTTTGTCTTGCTCGCTGAGAAGTATCTCAGGGTTGAGGTCGACAGATGTCTTCTTCGCTACCTTGCGCTCACCATTGCGCTCACGCTCCTCCTCCTGGCCGCGAACCTCACGCATCACTTTCTCCTCTTTCTCCTCGTGCACAACCTTCCTTGCATCGCGGGGAATACTGATTTGGTCAGCCTCCTCGCCCAGCTCCGCACCGTGCTGTTCGTCGAGTGTAAACGCCTTAGGGATGCTCTTGCTGAGGTCGTACAAAGACACATACTGTGTCTGTGTGAGCGCCACCTTGACGTCAGTCATATGGCCGTGAATCTGTTAGAGAAAGAGAGTGAGCGAGTCGCACTACCGCATCAGTAAACCACACCCACCTTCTGCATACCGTGACGTGTTTTGCCATCCTCGAGTACAATTTGGTCGAATATATCGAAATTGAAATCCAGATTGACATTATCAAGGATGGGAAGGGTTTCAAAACCGTCCTTGTCTGCATCTTTATCTGTGTCTCTGATGGTGGAGGTGAGGTTAATACCATGAAGGCCAGTGTGCAAATGCTGGATATCGCCTGGGGATTTCCCAGTGAAGCTATTCTTCGCGACGAACTCACCCAGTCGCATAGTCAGCATAGACTGATTGGTGAGAGTGGGGAAGACAATGATAGGTGCACGCACGCGCACATCGTACTGCATGCGGCCCCCATTCACATCGTTAGCCGCGTCCTGCGCTGCGCGTGTAGCTGCGTCGTAGAGCGCTTTTAAACGCGCAAACTTGATGAGGAACTTGTACAAATCGTTGACTGGTTCCTCATTGAAAGTGAACTTAAGCGAAGCTGTGCGCAGATATACGGAGGAGTTGTAACCGGGGTAGCTCTCCCTCTTCGGATCGAATGTCTGATAAGAAAAGTCGGCCAATTCCTCACCCTCGATGGAGAGGAGCTGGCGGAAGCCATCATCTATCGCGCTGTTGTCATCGCTTATCTCCAGCCCACCTAACTTTGCGTTGACTTGCATGGTGGTGTTGTCGAGCAAGATTGATACATCACCAGCTGAGAGTATCAGAGTCGCTAGCTGCGTCACTCCATCATCTAGCTTAAATACTATACTGTGCAGTTTGAAATCCACTTTAATCTTCCGGTTACCTCCCTCCTCATCTTCACTCGACAACTGCGATCCTAACTGACTACTCACCATCTCTGGGCTTGAATGTGGATTGGCATTTGCAAGTGCATCATCAGTCTTGCCACTTCCACTGCCACGTCCGCCAACGAATGTCTCCATGATAAACGCATACAGCTCGATAATCGGTTCAGGTCGTGCGAGAAGGTTGATAGTAGAAAGATCAGTGTCAACGATCTGGTCAATACCGTGATAAACAGTATGGAATTCCGGTGAATGCGGCTGCACTCTATCGTACCTAACTCTGACAAGTTCAGTGGGATGCTGTTTTTGCTGCGTGGAATTATCGTCTGACGTAATTAGCGGTGTACGTGTCCCGCAATTCGTGTCAACATTAACAATAGAGAGGGACTGCAGCAGAACGTCGACATGCATATCGAGTTGCCTATATACATACCCGAGGTAGAAACCCTTGAGGATACCCTCTGCGAGCAGTTTTTCTTTTTCCTTTCCATCCGAGTCGTACGTGCTCCTGAAAGCATTCGCTTGCAACTTGTCCACTCTGAAATCGAGTGTGAAGACTTGCTGGCGATAATTAACTTCATCTGATACACCCGACGCTACCGATTCAGGTGCCTCGAAGAACCTGTCTACTGTCTCCGCTTCTGACAAACTCCCTGTAACACTCTCCCCGTCATCGTCATGGACGTCCAGATCGTACGTAGGTAGGTCACCACCGCTTGTAAAAATTGAACCGCGGCGAGCATGTGTGTTTTCATTTTCAGTCTGTTTCTTTGTCGGCTTAGATGGAATGTGAGCGTGAGCGTTGGCATTATTGTTATTGTTATCGTCAAAGTGAGGAATAGCCACGTCAATAATAGCCATCATAGACTGGTACTTGCGCTCAGATATATTGATTGTAAGCTCGGGGAGGTGACCAGCGACTCTGAACCGTGTTAGGTTAACAGCAGAAGGCAGGATGGAGTTATGGACGGTGAGGTTGAGATTGATTTCCTCGACGATATTGTAATTCTCTCTCTGTCTGTTCTTCCCATCCATCCCACCTTTCTCCCTCCTCTCGAGCACGCCGAGAAGCGCATTAAGATCATTACCGATAAGCAACTGAGCGCGTTTCAACTGAAGTGAGAATTTATCATACATAAGCTCCTCGAGCTGCTTCCAGTCGCTCTCTTCATAATCTGATTTAGCGTGAGCTTTATGTCTAACATCCTTAATTGCCTTTTTATCAGCGAGGTCAGACTCCACGGCGATATGACCAGCATCGAGGACAAGATGCATAGTGTTATTGTCGGTGACGTCTTGTGGGAGGATGATGATGGGAGCATTCATATCGACACGCAGATCGATAGTGGAGTGCTGTGCGATGGCGTATTCGAAACCAGTTCGCGTTTGCTTCCTGAAAGAATCTAGCGACTCTGAAGCGACGTCAATGAGCGCGTTGATAGACTCCAGTTTGGATTCAGGTGGTTTGAAAAAATTTCGTATAGCCTCTACGTACCCCTTATGGTAGATAATTTCGAGATGTCTCATCTTTAATTGTAGTGCACTGTCTGCTCTGTTATCGAGCGGTTTAGATTCCCAAGCGAACGAGAAAAATTGCTGGGTTTTATCATCCTCCTCCAAAGCACTATCCCTCTTGACGCTGACGATGTTAGGGTAGATAGTTTTAGGATTAGTAGCATCCTTTACGCTAAGATCACCTAGACCGACAGCCACACTTAGGTTATCAACCCGCTTGACGACATCCGCAGTGAGGGCGCTGAAAACAATGCTAACGAGATCGCCAGACGTGTTTGGGTATCTGAGAGCGAGCGAGCCGGTATTAAGAATAGCTTTTACGCGCAATTTCATTGCATCTTTGGGTAGATCAACTGCGGAGCTCACCGCCTGTTTTTCATCCCACTCGATAGCGTCGTAGAGTTCCTTTCTCTGCTGTTCATTGAGAGTGGCAGAGTTATCCTTGTCATCATTTGTAGACACTGCGTTCTGATCTTGACCAACAGCCCACGAAGCAGCGTTCCAAGCCCACCCCATCCAGCCCTGTTGCGTGGGCTGTGGGGTTTGGGGGTTGACGCTATCGGCGCCACGTTGGCGCAAAGACTCCTTGCGCAGCTCTGACCTGGCTATAGAACGATAAAAACGTATATCTTCGTAGCGCAGTTTCTCTTCGAGCCGCCGCAGCTTCGTCTCCCTATCACTCTCCATACCCTTCTGCAGACGTTCAGACTCCTTGCGCTCCTTCCATAGGGCAACATAGAGTTTTCTGTCGTCGCGGCGCTCAGCGAAATACGCCCAAGTCCACTTCTTATTGCGCTCGTGCACCTCATTGAGAATGGCCCTCGCAGCAAAAGAAAGCAGGGCACGAGGTTTGTTGGCATGCAACTCATCAGCATTCGGACGCAAGCGAATATATTGAGATTGACGGATGTGGAAATGGAAGTTATCAACCATGAGGAGAGCATCACGGTACTGCTCCTCGTTGAGCATAAAACCAATCCTGTCAAAGAGAAGTTCAATGTCAAGTTTGGGAGTGTCGCTGGTGGCCTGGTGGTTCATACGCAGACGACCCTCACCAGAAACAGGTTTGAGAATGTATTGATGATTTGGAGTATTTTGTTTGTTGGCGATAAGGGAAGTGAATTTCTCGATGGCGATGTTTGTTGGGTGACCGAGGAGGGATTCAGCGTCAGTATCCCAGTAAGCAGAAAGGGATTCAAGCTTAGCAAGCTTATGAATGCCTTCTCTATTCTCTTCGATGAAGGTGGGTAGCCAGTTAGAATCTGTGGAAACAGCGCTAAAGCCGCTAAGGGTGAGACCAACGGCGAATAACTGATTATGATGACTAATACTATCTTGATAGCGTATATGGATGTTTTCGATAACGAGTTGAAGATTGTTGAGGATCTTGGTGACTAGTGAATTGGCGAATGACTCGTTCTTCTTCTCGTCTTCTGGGGAGATACCAGGGGAGGCTTGTGAGTTTAACAACAACTCAGCACTATCAAGCCTTTCCTGCTTAACTTGTTGAGAGCGTTTATCATCTTCTTCGGCGTCAAACTGAGTGAAATTTAGCGGGGATTTTGAAAAAGGGGTTAAGATACCTGACTAGCGCCCGCAGGTAGAGCAATGAGGTAGACATTATCAATGTTAATCTTGCATGGTTTCCCTTTAAGGTTACTCCACGGGATACTGAGTGTTAGTTCACCGAGGTAACCCTCCTTGACGTCAACAGGCAACCTAAACTTATCCAAAGCGCTTTTCCTCAATTTAAGATTCTTTAGCTTGACATCTCCACTCCAAATGCCAACGTTAAGTTGGCTTGTGTCGAGATTATCGATGTACGCTGAGAGGAATCTATTGAGTAAGCCAGCGACGACACCTTCAAGCATCTTTGGTATATTTAATTAGCTTATTTAATTAGATGATGGTTGTTGAGGGATAACAATAAATGACATCACATGCGCAGATCATTAAATGAAAATTGTTTTTTGATTAGTTTATAATGACCTTATAAAAGAATAAATCAATTAAAATGTGTCTAGTTGAATAATTATTAATTTGGGTTGGTTGCTAAAATTTTCATCCGACATCCACAATTGTTTATTTCCTACTTTGACACTGGAACTGGTGCAGTGCCAGCTTCAGTAACAGCCTTCTTAACACTCGTCCTTCTACCGACAGATTTGTAAGTTTTGACGTAAAATGCGATAAAGAGGAAGAGGTAGCTGGTGAGTAAACCACAACCACAGAAAGCAGCGAAACGACTACCAGTACAATCACCAACGTGTGGCCAACCCCATCTATAACCGTAATGTTGATAAGTTGCAAAGTAAACGATGAAGATATCGATAATGAATTGAGTGATTTGCATTGTAGTGAGGTACTTTTTCCACCAAATTCTGGCACCACCAGCTGTAGCGTAGTAGTAGTAGTACATGAGTACGTGAACTGCCAAATTGAGTGAAATAACCACCCAACTAACAGCTGTTCTACCTTCAAGTTGGGTGTAACACAGAGCAGCTGTAGCAGCGTGATGGAATACGTGAAGGAATGCCAATGGCTTCTTCTTTAACACTAAGAATACCGTGTCTATTAATTCAATATACTTGAAGTAGTAGTTGATTATGTAGTAAAACTCTAACTTATCTGTCCACGCTTCTTCACTACAGATACTGTAATAGAAGCCATGTTTGTAGATCATCGGCACCACTTCCTCAGCCATTAAAGCCAGTAATACCCCACTACCCACGTATAACACCGTGTTATGCAATTGAAACGCTATTTTCAACTTGAATGGCTCACGTCCACGCATCAGTTCGCGTCCACCAAATATTATCGCTAAATACGCTACTATCGCTGATGCTACCCCTTCTAATGTACTCAACGGCGTTATACCAGGCACCCACTGCTGCAAATACGTTGGTAAATGATACTGCTGGGGTATATACGCGTGTGCCATTGATGAGAGCGTGTCGTAGATATTTATTTTATTTATCTTATCCATTTCTCTCCGTTTCTTTTTCGCGTCTTGAAATACCTCGCTTCGAATTAGAAAATAACACGGACGCTTCCTCATACCAAAATTAGGGTTACTGAAATTTTTCATTTTTATTATTACATCGGTGTCTATCATCTAAAACGCCTTTATTGCCCTCCTCCTCCATTACCCATAGCCCTTACCTGCTGCTGCAGCTGTGGTGGCAGATTGGCGTTGTTAGCCCCCATAAGTGCTGCTTGCTGGAGTTGTGGGGAGTTGAATGGCTGTGTTGATTGTGCTGTTTGTGGTACTTGATGCACTTGACCTGCTTGACCTGCTTGACCTGCTTGCCCTGCTTGCCCACCTTCTCCTACTCCCCCTCCTCTGGCTACAGCCGCAGCAGCAATTGCGACTGGGTGATTCGGCGGCAACATCCTCGGATTTCCCCCTTTCATTAAAAATGCCTGCGCCTGTCTATACGCCGCTGCTTGCTGTCTACGCACCAACTCCGCCTGTACCTGTCTATCCCGCTCCAACTTGAGCGTAGACATCACCACTGGATCTAGCTGTAAACGAGTAACATCCGTTGCATGTGTCTCATGCGCGAACAAACTAACACGCTTCGCTTGACCTTCTCGCTTGCTCATTTCCTTCTCACGCTTCTTGACCGATTTGCCTATTAGCGTTACTAGATGGCTACGTCGTTGGGCGCGTCGCGATTGGTCGCTAGGCAACTGCTTTTTCTTGGTGTCTTTTGTCTTTTTTGTCGTTTCTTTGACGTCTTTATCTTTGTCTTTCTCTCTCTCCTTCTCTCTCTCTCGCTCTTTCTCTTTTTCCCTTTCCCTCTCCTTATCCCTCTCTTTCTCCCTCCCCTCGCCGCTTTTCCACCTCTCGAAGCAATCCACTGGCTCGCGTCGATCAGCCGGTCTATGAGAAAAAGCCTGATGAGAGCCATTAAAGATATCAGCAACGAGTAACCAATTCCCTGTGTACTGTTGAGTGAGGGTGTGTAGTAGATTGTCTTCTTCCTCGCTCCACTGTAGACCAATCGCGGGGGATCCCTCTGGTCTATTTTCCCAGCAAGTATTTGCACTCCCGCTCTTGGTCTTTTTCCCGTGAAAAAGGTCACTAGCGCCTGTACCTGCACTTGCACCTACATTTCCCCCCTCCATGACACCATCGAGGGTATGTGTGTAGTTATCAAATGTATCCACATCCCATGCCGACCGCGCACGATGTTTTCCAGGCTCGAGGGAAGACACGAGCATAGTTTTGTACTGCATCAGTCGACTAACATGTGCGACTCGGCCTGCTTGTGCACTGCTTGTGTCTACCCGACCATTTTCATTTCCATTTCCACCTAAGGCTGTTGCTGTCGCTGCTCCCACTCCTCGCTCCACCTTGGCAGTGTGTACGGGCGCGCGCATACTCTGTGGCGCGGTTGCGCTGGCAGTGACAGTATAGGGTGGGAGGTCGGGGAATAACTCACTCAAGTCACTAACCTCCCCACCACTCATTTCGCTCATGTCCGCCATCACCCTCATTTCTCCCTCCAACAACGGTTTGCGGGCTTCTATTATATCTTTGTGTGGTGTGGTGGTGTGAGTGTTGGTGGTGGTGCTGGTGTGTGTCGATTGCGATTGTCCCGAGTACATTGAATGCCCAGATTGCGCCGAGCTCCCTGTATCTCCTCCCTCTTCCTCCTCCCTGATATCTTGCTCGAGCGTAGGCGGTCTAGTGAGCTCGTCTATATCCATAGGCAAGTCGGTGTGAGTGTGTGAGTTTTTGAGTGCGGTAGCATCCTGCTCTTGCTCTTGCACCTGTTCCTCCTCCTGCTGGCGTAATATTCTCCCAGCCATATTGTCATCGACCATTCCCCTACCTGTTTCATTCTCCTCGTCTTTCTCACCTGTCACACCCCCCACATGCTCATTGATGGCGTCATTCACCTCCATTTCTGAGTCGATGGGAAGCATTTTTGTTTGCTGCTCTTGTTCCTCTCGCTCATGCTCATCTTGCTCGCGTCTTTTAAGCAGACTCTTCTGGGGAATTGAAGCATTAACACAGAGAGCCTTCTTGCCATCATGCCCAGCGCTATGCCATTCAGCGACTTTGCTAGCGAGCAAGAAGGCGACTGAGAGTTTCCACCTGCGTTCCGCTTTGAAATCTGCCTGCAACCAACCCACCTGATCGAGGAGGTGATCCCAATGGGCGAGTGGAACAGCTACACCTCTATGTTTCTTTGGCTGTTTGAACGACCAGCCACCGCCAGCAACGCCAACACCACCATCCTCCTCCTCGTCCTGTTTTGCTGTATCCGCATCCGCATCGCGCGCTCGCAACGCCTGCAGATTGCCAATCCGCCGCACCACCTTGGCATACTTGACATCGTTGAATGCCACCCGCCAGTCAGTGAGGAAGAGCGCTTTGCTGGTGGTGGTGCCTCTGCCGATGACGGCGGCGGGGATGGGCTGGTATTCGTGGAGGGCATCTATGCGGTGGAAAGCGTTGCTCAGCGTGTTCTTCTTCTTGTGCTTGGGTTGGGTGACAGGAAAGGGGATCAGGCTGTGCGAGTAGCTCGGACTAGGCTGGCTGTCTGCTTGGTCTGTAGGAGAGTGGAGGTGGACAGGGGAAGGATCGAGGTGGCTAGTAAATTATAAGCCTGGCTCTTTGAATTGCTCGCGACGATTATATAACCCACCTCCTATCTAATTTCCAAGCCTCGAGGAAATCCATCGGGGGGGTATCACACTCGACCAGCCCAAAAGGCTTAAAATAAGGCGTGGAATATAGATTATATAGGTAATTTATAAGCTCGAGCCTTTTATTGAGTATTTCTGTCATATAAATATAATAGTGATGGCTGTACCCGCTATACAAGCAATTCCTTGGATTTCGTCTGGTTATTGAGCTTGGTGGATGAATCGGTAAACATTTTCTGAAATTGCTTGTTAGACTCGTTGGACTAGTGATTTGTTAGGATAGCCTTGTAAATTGCTAGTCACCCACATCAAACTCCCGCCATCCATAACCCAGGTACGCCTCATCCTCGTCCTTACGCAGAATATCCTGTACACTCGACAGCGCCGGCTTGTCCCCACTGGCCTGTGCCTGTATACCAATCAGCTTGGACGTAACACTCCCCGTAGTTGCCTTCTTATCCTCCTCCTCCTCCATATCCTCGACATCCTCCGTCTTCTTGGTCTTTAGCTGGTTGAGATTGACGCGCAACTGATAAATATCCTCCAGCTTATTCAAATGCAACTCCCCTTCCTGGATTATCCCCACAAAGTAATTAGTATTCACCCCCATCAGCGTCGACGAGTACTCGAGCTTATCAATATCATTAGCCTTGTTATACACAATACCCCTCTTATCCAGCTCCGTATACAACTTGATCTTCTTATTCTCCTTCTTGATCTCTGCCTTGATTGGCCCACTCAAGTTACTCGTACTCGTCGGAAACTGCAACAAACTCAAACCTTTCATCTTCTTGTTCATCTTTATCGGTATACGCTTCACTAGTGGTGCTGTATGCGGTGGCAGCAAGTACTCTGGCAGGACTTGCACGCTCTCCTTATCGTCTTCCATGATGGTAGTGGTGGTTTGAGGCGAATATCCGCGTAATATACATCACAGGTACTCTACACCACTCTATCCAACCACACAAACATCCTCAATCACTCTCGCTCTCCCTTCCCCGCTGAAAATATTCACCCTTTCAGACACTCCTCTCTGGTCTCTGTAGCGACTTCAACTTGGGTCTGCCGATATTACCATTGGAAGTAATCCCACTGCGATTCCTACTTGTCTCGCCAACATTCCCTATCCTACGTCTGTTCATCTCCTCACTCATCTCCTTCCCCAGCTGCATTCCCCTGCTATAAACTATTTCTGCCGCTGCTTTAAACACATCATTACCCTGCTGTCCCCGCTGAAAATCTTCTTCGGCAATGTTCTCTTCCGAAGGAAAGACGCCACCGATACCCCAAACCGGCCTCTCTTTCAACTTCCTCACGCGATTATTCTTTGCATCGATAGCGTCTCGTTTCTGATCATCTGGCTGTCTACTGTGAGCGCTAGTTGACAGTGACACACCCACACTCACACTCATCCTTGCCATTTATTTCTTTTTCCTAATCGAAGCTTCACAAGATGTTGGAAGGTGCCGCCTTGATTTATTTTTGATTCCCGCTGACATCATCCTTTGTAATCTCACTCAAAGTCGGCTCTAAATCGAGGTTTCACGGCAAATATGGTGCATCTCTGGTTTGACTTGAAATATAAATTAATTCAAATGCTAGCTGGTAAAGTATCAGAGCCTTGATTGTGTGATATAGTGACTCTTTTAACGCCTGGGCACCACTTTTGTCACCGTGCTTCTGCACTTGATCCCCTTGAATCGCAATTAAGCAATGAATCAATAACTATTCATCCAAACTCACCTCTACACAAATTTACATTCTTGCGCATTCTCACATTCTCCCACTTTCGCACTCATTTCATTGAAAATATTCACCCACTCACGAACCTCAAATGCTCTTCGCAGGTCTCAGCAGTGGCCTCAGCTGAGGACGCGTGAGTTTAGCAATGGTTCTGCTGCTGCTGCTTTTTAAATTCATCTTGATACTATCTTTCATGCTACTCTTGATGCTCTTGCTGCTTCTCTGTATATTGCGCTTGCACCTCTCGATTCCCTTTCGAGCTTAATTTCATCGCTTAGCACCCTCCCTAATTGCATTCCCCTACTGTTTGTAATCTCTGCAGCAACTTTGAAAGCATTCTCTGTATCATTGCTATTGCTATTGCTCTTGAAACCACTACCACTTCGGGTCTGTTGAACCCGATGAAAATCTTATTCATCCCTCTCTTCTGAAGGAAAGACACCGCTGATACTCCACAAGTATCTATGTTGATTCTTCGAGTGATCAGTGAGCTCATCTGGCGAGTAATTTTATTGGTTTGATTGTGTGCGAGTGTGCTTTGAGAGATTGTGCTGTGAGTCATTCTGCATCCCTCACAAAGCACACCTACTATTCCTATCGCTTTGCACTTCAAACTCTACCTCCTACTTTCCACTGTCTTATCGAAGCTTATAAAGGGATGGGATCGTACTGGCGTCTTTATTATCGACTCGCACTGACATCACGTCACCCATTGCACTCTGCTTCCATAATAGGCCTTTGAACATTCAAATTCACATTCGAATTCGCCTCTTTCTCAACCCTTGCTCTTATCTCGCTTGCTGAGACATGTCAGTGGTCAAAATTAAAACAAGTCTGAATTCATTATAGTCTCGATCTATGCACTCATCGTGGCGCTTTAGGCACAAGTAAACCATTTCGTCATCTACTTCTTCACCGCATAAATTATCAGACCTGTCTCACTTTGTCGAAGCAAGTCTAATGTCGTTAAAACGTGTAGCATATATCATGACAATAAATTAGTCATTACAAATGGGGTATTGTCTACAGAAGCTTATCTAGAGCAAGTCACCCTTGGAAGAGTCCCAGGAACCACTACCAGCTGATGTATCCTTGGTTGCGCCAGTGGCCCAGTCACCTGAAGTGCCCTTGCCACCCATCTTGCCCTTGCCTCCCTTTGGACCACCCATCATACCTTGTCTCTTGAGCAAATCACCGCCTGAAGATTCCCATGAGCCACTACCAGCTGAGGTGTCCTTGGTTGCACCAGTGGCCCAGTCACCTGAAGTGCCCTTGCCGCCTTCGCGTGCCGTCAAGCCTCTCTTACCACCCTGGTAAAATTGACCTCTCTTGAGTAAATCACCCTCGGAGGAGTCCCAGGAGCCACTTCCAGCTGAGGTGTCCTTGGTTGCGCCAGTGGCCCAGTCACCTGAAGTGCCCTTGCCACCCATCTTGCCCTTGCCTCCCATACCGTGTGCTTGTCTCTTCAATAAGTCACCGTCTGAGGAGTCCCAAGAGCCGCTGGTTGCTGCAGTGTCCTTAGTGGCACCATTGGCCCACTCACCAGACCCAGCGCCTTTGCCAGCACGCTTGAGCAAGTCACCCTCGCTGTGGTCGTTTTCACCTGCTGAGGCGGCGCTGTCTTTAGTAGTACCGTAGTTCCATTCGCCAGCTAAAGGATATTAGCTAAGACATTTCGGAAAGTAAAAGTCAACTCACAACCACCACCTGAACGTCTTACTCCGTCAGCTGCACGGCTTTGGTACTGGATTACTGTTTAGTTACTTTAAAATGCATCGAATGATACTCACGCCACGCTTCAAAAGATCACCCTTTGAGCTATCGGTTTCGCCAGAAGTGGCAGCGGTGTCCTTGGTAGCGCCGTTGGCCCATTCACCAGAGCCTGCGCCTGAGCGAGCGATCTAATGTGCTTGTGAGCGCCGTCATAGGTGCAAATAGTCACGTACCGGAGCGGCTGTTGCAGCAGCAACCATTGCGATTAAAGCGATTGAGAACTTCATAGTATTTGAATTGATGTGGGAGTGTTGTAAAGAAGAATTGTTTTAGAATCTCTTAAATTTATATTTCATTTTAGCGCCATTTTTAGCGTAGCATTCCGAAGATCCGGCACGAATATTCAAATTTCAAATGGCCGTGGCAAATATGATAGACGATGAGCAAGTGCGAGTAGCTAGACCATCCTTGATGTTCAACACGTGCTGAATTGAGTGATGGAAGCTGAAGCGGGAGAGAAGTATGTGAAAAATTCAAGTAATTCAAACGATGCTCTTAAAATGGTTTTCTTAAGGAACTTGTACACATTAACAAGCTTCTGCAAGCTCTATACACGGCAAGGCAGTAAGACATCGTGTCTTATTTTGATCAAACACACGCATTCTAGATAGCAAACATTGTAATATGATAATTTCTAAAAACAAATAGACACATAAGCTTATTCATATCCCAAAGTAGTCATCATCTCTATTATTTCAAGAAGTCATCGTAATTTTCCTTTTACATTATATTTCTCCTAAGCAGCTCAACCTCACTTTGATCACTTTCACCTGCTGAGGCAGCACTGTCCTTAGTATTACCATAGTTCCATTCAACATCTACATTGAATTAGCTCAGACATCCTTCAAAGTTATGCTAAACTCACTTCTACCAGAAAGCTTGAAGCTGCTGACATCAAATTGGCCTCGACGACGCTCAAGTAAATATGCGTCAGAGTTGTCGCAAATGCCATTGCCTGCTGAGCTGGTCGAGGTAGCGCTGGTAGCCCATTCATTGTCATCAACTGAGCGACCATTATAAAGACCTTGCGATTGAATTTTCAGCTACTAAAACTAGCGTGATAATTACACACACGCCAAGAGCACCATGTCTGGACTCCTGGAGATTGCCTTGCGACCCTTCTGTCTCGCCAGAAGTGGCAGCGGTGTCTTTGGTAGCACTGTTGGCCCATTCACAAGAGCCTGCTTGTGAACGAGCGATCTAGTGTGCCTGTGAGCGCTGCAAAGAAACACGTACTGGAGCGGATGTTGAAGCAACAATTATGGCGATCAATGCGATTGAAAGCTTCATTTATATGATTTTATGGGAATGTATTGAAAAGAAAAGGAAAGCTCTGTACTTTCTCATTTAGATCTCATTTAACACATTCTTGCGTCACTTTATCGTGGTAAGATAGAGAGCCGGCATAAGGAAGCATTTTTAGCTGGGGCAGTTTCGTGGATACCCGAAGACTATCATTGGAGATACTAACGCTAAAGTGAATGGTGTGTTATACCGTTGTAGTGATTAGCCAAGCGAAATACAAAACGCGATAAATCCCGAAGAATGTGGAAGTAGCTTGTTTTTGGACTGTTAGGCATTTACACCACATCAAGCTAGCTTTGGCGAGGATTGTCTGATATTCAAGACAGCAAGACGATTGGTCATAATGTGATCACGACGCACATCCTCGAAGTATCCCAAAATGATAAGATGAGGTGTAGAAAACGAAGCTTCAATTACTCGCATTACTAGAAGTAGCCATCTGGCCGACATGTAACTGGAACCCCTCTCGATTTCTAAGAGTAACTTCAACGCACCCAACAATTATAATAGCATGGGTATCACGACATTTGAAGCGATCAAATGACCTCTTTCAGAATTCTAATTCATCTATTGTTACAGTTCATAAAGATTTCTGGCAACATTGCGCGACGGTTCAATGTGAATCTGAAAGTCAAAGCTACAGAGCGAATGCATCTTGTAAAGATTTATATCGGATCAAGCCCCTGCTGATAATCGAGTGGAGCTCAGAGTAAGATGGATTTATTTTATACCTTTGCCGAGGCAGTCAAACCGCCAAACTTTATCTAAAAAACCAGCCGTCTGGTCTCATATTGCTCCGACAAGATGGAGCATTTTGACAGCTTTGATCACTGATTCGTAACTGAAGCTGGCCACTGACATGTCATGAAACTAATAAACTTAATTAAATCCGCTCCGCTGGCCGTTGATCGGCAAATATCCAATCGAGGACTTCATAACCGTTCATTTTGACAGCACCCTCAAATGTTGCCAGGAACTAGCCGCTTGTAGGACGTATGAAGCGCATTAGAAAATATCAGAAATCGCGAGTAAGTGTGTGAATCCATATTTTTTAGATTGATTCACGTCTTGACTGAGTGTAGAAATGGGTGACTGAATTGCGTATGATGTATGCAAGAGTAAGACAATGAAGCAGTAGCATAGAAAATTTTCGAAAGCATTTGTGGTTGTTTTACAGTCACTCTGTATGAAGATAAAGGGGTCTGTTGATAGACGTGCATAAGCAGCAATGAATAGCAGCGACTGAAACATCTTATAGAAGTATGACGTTTGTGGAAATTGACCTCAGCCAGGTTTGCTTGATGTGATGACTAAATGCTGAACAAATACACTCATTAACACCGTGAACGGCTATGAGGATCCCTAGTATACCAAAATACAGTTTTACTTGACTATATCAGCCTGGAGCTCTTACAGCAACAGAAGCTTTCCAACAACAAAATGTCCTTATTACAATACTATATATGCTCATATATACCCTTAATTTGCGCCACATAATGCTTCAGCCTCGTTAGCTTGGCAGAATGACGAGATGTGACTATAGCAGAAGAATCATCAGCCCAGCTGGCTTTATAAGAAGCGCTATATCTCTCTTGCTTTTCTACATCCCAAAAGACAGAAATGTACTTCAACACCGCCAAAGCTCTCGCCGTTCTTGCATTCACTGGCACCATCGCATCAGCAGCAGTCACACAACCAGACAACATCGCCCGTCGCAGAGATGAGAAAGACGCCAACGCCATCAAAGACCACAAGGATGACTACAACTATGGTAATGGTGTCGATTCCAAGAATGACAACAACCACGGCAAATACGACAAGCAAGACAAGCTATCTCACGAAGAGGCACTCAAGAAGCATCGCGAGGAAGTTGAGAAGCAAATCAAGCTGAACAATGAGGCTGCTGAGAAGAACAAAGCGGATGTCAAGGTTGGTTGAAGTGATGTTTGGTGAAAATCAGCTTACACTGTTTTACCAGAAGACAGACGAATACTGGAAGTCTGACAAGAAAGATGACAGCGATGAAATCAACTATAAGAAGCACGATGGTAAGCACGACAGTAACGACGAGAAACAAGATAGCAAGTATGTCAACAAGAAGTCCAGCCATATCAAGCACGAGGATGATCGTTATGGTGGCAACGACAAGAAGCACAGCGGCGATAAACACAGCGACAACAAAAAGGAAGAGGATAACAAATACCACATGAAACATGACGACCAAATTTCAAGCGGTAAGAAGCATAGCAACAACGACATGAAGCATGACGACAAGATGGACAAAAAAGTGAAGCACGAAAATAATGATAAGAAGCATGATAATGAGGATTTCAGCGGTAGCAAGAAGCACGATGACAATAAATACAACGAAAAGACGTCTGGGAACAACATTAAGATTCATGACAACGACATGAAACACGACGATGGCAAGTACGATGATAGAAAGTTAACTGAGAACAATTACGGCAGTAACGACAAGACGCACGATAGTGACGTTGAACACGGCAACAACGGCAAGAATCAAGGTGACAAGAAGCATTACAATAAGCACAACGAAAACGACAAAAAGGCCGAGAACAAAAACGGCGAGAAGAACAACAACAAATACGACGACGAAAATAATGAAAAGAATTAAGCATGCTGATCACTGCACATAGTAATCTTTCTGAATCATGTATTGAATCACGAATGAACTAAATTGTCTTGAATATGAACGAAATTGGAACCAAAAAGTCTTGAATATAAATGCAATTGGAACCAAAAATTCTTAGCAGATGTTCTAGCACAGCCACGGCAAGTAAATCTGCAGTACGCTGATACTTGTTGCGCCGAATGAGCTTGAGCCGAAGCGATCCGCGCAGCAGCGTAAGGAAAAAGTTTACTGGCCGGGAGAAACCCAAAAATAATTAATGTAATTCGTAAAGGGGAGCTCTGCGAACGGCAGGATTCCTGCGTTCGTCCGTCGGCCAATTTACACGGCCAAAAAAAGAACGAGCAGCACCCTTATATAGACGAGGGAGGATGAAATTTGGAGTGTTCATCAACATCCAAAACAAGAAACATGCCAGCAGCTACAGCAGCAAAAATACCGATCCCCATATTCTCGAGCAGCATCCAGGGCTTCGATCCATGTACGGCGTGGTGTCCAACGCTCCATTTAACGACGCACTCTTCTATAACGAGCAGCGGTGAGCTACTCGTGGATGTGCTGCAGTTCAACGAGACTATTGCAACGATATCGCTCAAACCTAATGGCAGGGGAGGACTCGGTAGATTTGGATATCTCGAAATGCAATTCGATAAAGAGATACATATGATGCCTGATACCGGATACAGCGCTCTTAGTGCGAGTCCACCGCGCATCTCAACGCCCTACCTCTCCACAGCGAAATGTGTTGGAAACGTAATACGCACCCAGAAAGAAGTCCTGGCGGATTTTGTGGAGAACAAGGAGAAGACACACCCGCTATTCAGAAGCATGAGGTCGAAGGCACACCAAAATCGATCATTCATCAACATCTACAAGGATGAAGCGGTGAATGGAGTTGAGTGTTTTATTCTGATAGTGTGTCGCAAGCTTTTCGCGGGTATAGGGTTGAATGAGAAAGCGCACCCACCGCACAAGACAAGCCATCACAAAAGCGTCAAGGTGTGAGGGGGATGTAGGCAGTCTACGCTCATCCCACCAGTCAATTTATATCCAGTCAGTCCTACTAAACCATCCCCGCTAATCTAGCAATTCTGCAATCTAACAAAAATGCATTTAAGGCGTATATGAGATGCGTATCGTGATGAATTATATTATGAAGATCTAAAAATGGCTTGCGGTTATGATATATTTGCTTCGTCTGTCTGCAACTACACGATGCGATATGTGATCTGTTCGACAAACATGTTGCTACTATACTTGGTATTATACAGTGCACTCTGCAATTCGAAAACGAAGCTATATAGTGTGAGATTGTGAATCATACACATAAGACACCCACCTATTCAGATAATCTTTCTCCTGCTCCAGATCTGCATTGCTCTTCTTAAGCAGCAGCACCTCCTCCTTGAGCTGCGCCGTGATACGCTGACGCGCGCGAAAGTTAGCAACGTTTTGGCGATTGCGTTCTTTGCGCGTCTGTCTCGTGGACACCTGCTTCCCAACACTTGGTGACGGTGTTTTAGATGTTTTTGCGGAGCAAGACTCGGAGGAGGCATCTAAGCGCGAGTGGGAGTCTGAGAACTGAGAATCTTCTGCTTTTAACATGTTTGGGAAGGGGTGAGCTGTGGATTCTATAGTGCGCATCAGCTGCAATGTCCTTGACTCTACGCACGACGTACGGCATCCTTCCACTCTTACTGGGTATGCGTAATTTGCCACTGCTGCCGCTGAATTGTGGGACATTATCATCGGGTGTAAACTATTAAAGAGCTGATGCAGCTTTTATGGACGCTTCAGCCCCTTGTGTTTCTCATTTTTTGGGGTGCCGCTGAACCAAATGACAAATCTAGGCACACGGAGAGTGAGAGGGGAAAATTGCCCTGAGGAGCGATGGAGGGAGAACTTATGAAATTCTGCAGCTAATGCGCCGTGTGCGGATGTCAAATGAGACGTATTTGCTGTTTTTCTGCACCTTGGGATACACGCTGCAAGCACTACATTCAAGTTAGGAACGATTATGTGCCTTATACCAGCTAATAAAACTAAGGAGTCAAATTAAACTGGGCCAAGAACTTTCGGGAGGCATTTGATGCTTCCAGAAAAAGCCACCAAATGTTACCAAAAGCTACCGCTGTGGAGATGGCCGAGAGCTGAAGTGGAGAGATGTCGAATAAGCCTAGAGTATAGATATTTTGACGGATATCTGGTAGTACAAAATATTAATTGGCCGATCTAGCAGCCAGAATGTGAGATATGCGGGTGTAGAATACACAGTGATATTGGGACATAGCGTTTGTATGACTACCGTAATTTTTCTAGAAGATCCTTTGTGTGTACATATTGCCCCCCTCATAATGGCCCTGCTGCTCGAGTGAAAGGCGTCTATTCTCATCCTTTAGCGCGAGATTCTCCCTCTGTAGGCGCACTCGCTCCCGCTTCAGCCAGTCGTTTTCCATCTGCAGTGACTCTGTTTTGTACTGCTGACGGATTCTGAATCTACTCGCAGCCTGCTTGTTCCTCTCGCGCTGCTGGAGCTTCTTATCGGCGTCGTTGGTATCTGAGATATTGTGCTGGGTAGTAGTGCTGTTGCTGCCGAGACTATCTGCGGTACTGGCATTGGTATTGGTATTTAAGGATGACTTCCTGCTCGAAGTCGCATTGCTGCCTTCAGATTCATACGAGCTGCGACGCGATCTGGCGAACGAGGGTTGCTGATGTATGTAGTGCGGCAGCGCGAATGGCGGTATCTCTCTTTCCGGTGCTAGGGTATTTCTATGTTAGAGACATAGCCGAGACGCACGCCACTCACAGGCTTTAATACCGGTAAATCCGTTGGCGGGGTATGTTTGGTAAAAGGGACTTAAATAGGAGGATTCTTGGTGGGAATGTTAGCTGAGTGAGACGTCAACACATCTCACTCACCCTGCTGCGCTGTACAACTCGCGCTGGTCGCATTTGAGTTGCCGGGGCTGTCGTTGTAATTGGTTTTGGTTTTGGACATTTGAACATGAACGTATGATCAGAACCAGCTGTCGATGGCTTTGTTCAGATCGCCCTCCGATTTTAATCAGATTGATGATCTGGTAACGCAACCCACTCGCGTGTTCGCTTAATGAAGGCAGTGCCTTATGGATGGAGAAAGCGCGTGGCTATGTTTGTGTATTGCTTCATTTTACTTCCATTCCACGCTCTTCCTCACATGCCTATCTTCGCGGCAGCAAATTTAATATAAATGGTCAGATGAGAATGCATGGACACAATCCGAGAAGGGGAAAATAATTGCAACGTGTACCAAACAGCCACGGGATATCGTGGATTCTTTTTTGATCCAAAAGTAAGCGTTTTGAATCCTCCGAGGACTCAACCCGGAGAAGAGGCATTAGTCCGAGATGCGCCAGGGTATTTTTGGCGCTGGAGGCTTCTGGACGTAAATTGAGTTTTCATGCACATACACAATTACGCACCCATGTTTACATCACAAAACCTCCGATAGTCCAAATTGCATTCTAAATATATCTCCGATAAAAAGGACAGAGAATCAAATACATATCCATGACAGCGCTGAAAGCAGTCCCACGATTCTCCCGCATACGCCAACATACCACCGCGCCATGTGACATAAATCTTCAATATGTAAACATCAAGTGGAGGTTAGTCAGCTATGACTAAACATCCCGTGGCGGGTAAGAAGTGGGTGTAAGGATCTTTAGGGGATTACTGTCCAAAACAACAAGATTGTGCTATTGTTTTTGAAAATTGGCCGCGGAAATGAAGCTGCCAATGCTGGGGATGCATATGCATGATTTCATCTGTCCGATCAGTGCGGAAGTGAATAAGCAAGTGTGAAAGCTGCCGCTCAGGCGCTCAAGCCAGAGCCCGAGCCCAAGCCATAGCGTCCACGTCTTCTCCTCCTTCTCAACATCGATGAGCGTCGATATTGATTACACCAAGCTCGATCAAAGCCTGGCAGACAATCTGCTCAGCATTCTCAATGAGCGTCTCGAAGAGATGCAGAAACCATCGATCCTCGGCCACATCGAGTTTACGAATCTGAGTTGGTGGGTTTGAAGATGGCGGGAGATGCGCACCGCTGACGCATCCGCAAGGGGAGATATGGCGCCTGATATTGAACTGGAGGAAATTGGAGAGCTTTCTGAGGAGTTCAACGAGAGCGATGAGGAGGACGTGAATGGTGAGGATGAGGCGCACGAGGCGGCAGATCTCAAACACCCGGCACAAATTAGAGACAGCAACAACAACCACAACGCCAGTGAATCACAACCCAAAAGAGCCTCCTCAACAATCCCAAATATGCAGATACAGTTGCGCATTACGCACGAATCAGATATGCGTTTAACGCTGCTCACGAATCTTCTCGTAAACTTCCCAAGTCCAGGCTTTATGAGTTTGCCCGTCAAACTCGCAGTGCGGGGGATTGTGCTCCACTCGAAAGCCATCATCGGCATCGACAGCCAGAGACGCCAGGTGCATTTCTCACTGGTAGAGCCATACGACGAGAACAGCGAGGATGACGACGATGTACAGAATCACATTCTCCAGAGTCTAGTCGTCGAGAGTGAGATTGGGGATGTGGACAGACACACACTCAAGAATGTGCGCAAGGTCGAGAATTTCGTACTCGAATACCTGCGTAATCTTCTCAATAACGAGATTGTATGGCCCAATTACCACACGTTCATTCTCGATGATTAGCGTGTGCGATTGGCAGGGGAGTTGCACAAAATATACCACAAGCACAGCAAAAACATAGCTCGATTGTATAGAATACTCAATGAATTTGTATATTAGACGGCTCGAGGCGAGCGCGGAGACTACTACGGATACATCTCGCAGCTAGCACAAGAAGAATTTGAGAAGACAGCACAGTTAATAAAAGGGCTAAAACACCTACACGCGCCTCTAATATACTCTCACTCGATTTTAAATATTTTGAAAATTTGGTGACGAGAAGACTTTTTCGATGTGAGTTTCTTAGACCGCAACAGCTTCAGCGTGAGTAGAATTTTGAAGCAGGGAGAGTACGCAGGGTTAGAGAAGCCATGTGGAATTGCTGAGCTTGTTTTTCATACTTTGGTTGTTTTTCTTACTTGGCTTGCTCGCTTTCGTACTCCCCAGCACCTACAAACACATCACTAACAAATCCACAGTAACATGCCATTCGGTAAATAGACCTACTGTACACTTGCCACACCTCCTAACAAACCCTTAGTCAAGGAAGCCAAGAGCAACGCTTACTTCTCTCGCTACCAAGTCAAGTACCGTAGACGTCGTGAGGGAAAGACCGACTTCTACGCTCGTAAGCGCCTTGTGACCCAAGCCAAGAACAAGTACAACGCACCAAAGTACAGACTTGTCGTCAGATTCACCAACACCAACATCATCTGTCAAATTGTCTCTTCAAAACTTCAAGGTGACGTTACTTTGACCCAAGCTAGTGCACGCGAGCTTCCAAACTATGGTATGAAGAACGGTCTCACATCATGGACTGCAGCCTACGCTGTTGGTCTCCTCGTCGCCAGAAGAGCGCTCACCAAGCTCGGTTTGGCCGACAAGTACGAGGGTGATGTCGAAGCCACCGGTGAATACAGTCTCACTGAGCCACTCGGTGATGACGAGCCAAGACCATTCAAGGTCTTCCTTGACGTCGGTCTTAAGCGTACCTCCACCGGTTCCAAGGTCTTTGGTGCCCTCAAGGGTGCCTCAGACGGTGGTCTCTACGTCCCACACTCCGAAAACCGTTTCCCAGGTTACGACATTGAGTCCAAGGAGCTCGATGCTGAGATTCTCCAAAAGTACATCATTGGTGGTCACATTGCTGAGTACATGGAGTCTCTTGAGGAGGAAGATGAAGAGAGATTCAAGAAGCAATTCTCTCGTTACCTTGCCGACGGTGTTGGCTCCGATGACATAGAAGACATTGTCTCCAACACCCACGAGGCCATCAGAGCCAACCCAGAGTACAAAAAGACTGAAAAGAGCAAGGACTGGGCTTCCGAGAGCAAGAAACACAAGGCTACTAAGCTCACTAAGCAACAACGTGATGCTGGTATCCAACAACGTATCCAGTACTTCCAACAAGCTGAGAACGCTGAGTAAACTCTCTTGTAGCATGCTCTTATATATTAACTGTCTGTTGTTTTACATGAGTTTGAAGGTGTGGTTGATGTGTTTGAATTATATGAAATTTTTAATCTCTCATTAAAGCGGAAGCCTAGGTAGACCTAATGAATAATTTAAGCAACCAGTTGATTCATTTTCAAACCTTGTACCGCTTGTGTTGCTTTTAGAAATGGAACACGTGGAGAATATTTTGGACACGCGGAGAGATCAACGAGAATGCAATACCGGATAAGAAAGTGAGTTTTTGAGGCCAAGCATACGTATGGTATTGCTAAAAACTTCACGTTCACGTGTCGGAGTAATGGACAAGTAGTTAAGAGCTCAGCTTCAGCACATTTCCTCTTTTCAGTCTTGACATGGATAGTTGAGGACAATTGGTGGACACTGAATACTAGATGAAGATACTAGACACTCGTGGACATTTAGTTGAAAGTACTTGCCTTAGCTGTCTTGGGAGCTGATCTTACATTATAGGTTGTGGCTACCTCGCCACTGGCATGTCTTCTCTATCACATATGCGCTTTATAATTTTCAGTTGCCTTCACTGTATGCTCACTCCTCTAAACCACTCCACAAAACCTGGCTGATCCGTGCGTGTATGGGCTTGGCATAATTTAGAAAATAATAAATCCCAAAAAGTAGAGGAAATGAATCTGACCAAGGCATAGTCTACTAACTTTAATTCAAACTTCGTCATGACTTGGGTTGATGGTATTGAAGATGAAGACGCCAAAGCTGCTGAAACCGTTGGCATTTCTGAAGGCCTTGTATCATTAACTAGTGCTCTGATTTCATATGGAAGATTGTTTGAGTCATTGTGACGCAAAATACCAGTGTTTGTGTGTACATAAGTCTCGGATGCGAGCAACTCTATGATTTTGGCCGTTTTCGAATGTAGCATCTTCATAAAAAGCAAGGTCTTGGTCGCCTTCAAGAGTTACATCTTCCTCGACAGGTGGATATGGCTCAGAAACTTGGAAGGCGACCTCTGAAACTGCAGTAAAAGTGCTAGAGAGCTACTTGTCCATTACAAGACCAAACCCGCCATAGATTACAATTGCTCGTATAAAAGCAACGCCGTCTGATTGAAACTTGCAAAGGTAGAATGATCAAAGGATAGCGAAGGGAAATGTTCAAGACACCGTTTTGGACCTGATCGAGAGGCGCGCAGAATTATTCAAATTCGTTAAACGCGGCGATCTTTGAAGCGGAAGGAAAATTAGGAAGTGGTGAGAGTAAACTTGTCAAAGGTTTAAACATAGTTATTTATTAACCTACCTTTATCTCCAACCACTGCTCCAGAGCTCAAAATTTGCATTCGAAGATCCCAGATAATGACAAACGCGTCTTGATTCCTATCATTTAGCCGAAATAAACACGTCAAAGTGAAAAGCCTCGACAAGTCCTATCATGCGCCCAAGTCTTCTTTTTAGAATACATGCGCAGCTTGACCTATCAATCATTTCTTAAGCCATGCATCCATGAACTTGTGCGAGGCAAATTACGGGAAGCAAGCTCATTAGCGGCGATTATCTGAGCACGCCTCCGCTGAAAAGATTCTCCTCTTTGAAGATTTTCAGACGAATATCGCCCTGCCCAAAGATCTCTTGGATACTTAAGTCCTGATTTGCAATAGCCCAAGATGACGAGATGTTTTAAAAGATTCAATTGTCACACATGATATTCATCGTCGTTCTAGCTATAGTCAGAGGACAATGTTCAACGGGTGCTGATGCTGTGGGAATTGAGTGCAAGCTTGCGACGGTGCTATCATTAAAGAACGTTAGTCTGAAATCTGCATTAAAGTTCAGACGATATGACGATGTGAAGACAGCAACGCCTTAATTCAATCATGGTGGAGGGCAATACATCAATTCACCAGATGATCAAGACATATGCATAGGAATAGGGGTGAATTGCTAGATCTGTAGAGTTTCACTTACACGAAACACGATTGTATAGGTAATCTATTGTCGAAATACTTGAACAGCTCCTAGGCATAAGGTACAAGGCACGTCTCCTTCCAATTTATTCCGCTGGGCGAAGTTTAAGCTGAGTAGCTATGAAATCAACAGATAGGCATATAATAATTTAAATATATTCATAATCCTGTCAACTTTGTTATACATACAATCAAGCTATCCTTATTATAGTAGAAATCAATAAATAGAAAGTCCTAAAGTGACGAGTGAAAGTGCAATGTCTCGCCGCTAAACAGCCTTGTTTCCCTTCTTATTTTCCAGCTCGTGTATTTCATTCTGTAAGTCTCTCTCCTTCCGATCTCTTTCCATCCGTTCAAGCCCAGCTTTTGCCATGTTGTGCGTTCGAAACATAGGGTTAATCAACCGTCGCCATTGTTTGCCGGTGAAGTTGACTGGACTACCCAGTCCACTATAGATGCAAAAGTCGTACGCTAATGCACCTAAGATCGAGCCGCCGAAGGATCCCAAGATGGGCCCAGTTAGCCACCTGCTATTGTGAGATGATGATGTGTGATGAGAGAAAATTACCCACCACCATCTATCGTGCGTCCATAGCTCCTTCCCGTAGCCAACGCAACTGAGCATGATGCGTGGGCCGAGGTCGCGAGCTGGGTTCATGGCATATCTGGTGAGTGTGATTGCTCAGGGAAAATTCACGTGCTAAAGACACCACACTCACCCGCTTAAAGCACCTAGAGACGTACCTATGGCCATAATGATTAGTGCAAGAACTAGAGCACCCAAAGACGCTCCAGGTGGCGTATTGTCACGATCACCAAGGGCTAAAACACTCGATGTCAATACTGCAGTCGCGATGACTTCCTGATACACTGCAAGACCGATGGTAGTATTTTCTGTTGTGGGGATTGTAGGGAATAACGCAGCTGTGCCACTCGAAGACACCGTCTTTGCGGGATCTATGTTGTAAAGAGACTGACAGTACATTCCATAGACCGTAAAGCTTCCGATAAATGCACCTAGAACCTGTGCAATCCAGTATTTCCAAAGCATTTTCCAAGGAAATCCTCGAAATAAAGCAAGAAAAAGAGTGATGGCTGGGTTAAGGTGGCCACCAGAAACACCACCAGCAATGTAAACGCCAGTCATGACTCCAACGCCGAATCCCCAATTCAAATTCGTATATGCAGCTGTCTGATTTGTATAAATAAGTGTCTGACAGCTGGCGCCAGTGCCAATAATCATAAATACACACGTCCCGAGCATCTCTGCGAGCGGTTCCCGCATGTATTCTCTAATGTTGAACCAAAAATTGTAAATGGGTTCATCAGGATTCTCATACTTTTCTTGTTCAATGGGATCATCAAGCCACTTATTTTCCATTTCTCCAACCTGCCCAGTGCCACCGCCTTGTGGGTAATTTTGCGACTTGTCAGTGTTATATGACAGAGAGCGGTCCTGATCAGCGGCCGGTGTGTCCTTTTGACCATCTATAATCCCACCGACCTGACCTTCCTCCTTTCCCTGAGTATCGCGATTAGTTAAATCCTTATCGTCTGACTTCTTGTCTGCCATCTCCTTGTCTGCCTGCTCCTTGTAGTAGCTATGCTGCTGTGTCTGGGTAGGAAACCTTTTGCTAGGCTGAGGACGAGCAAACGACGGTCTTCTGTTGTCATCGATAACACCCCCGACCTGAAATGGTGTTCTGCTTGATTTTGTACTTTTATTGTCTTCCATCATTCCGCTTACTTGGCCAAAAGGAGTATTATGCTGACCAGGTGTTATTCCAGGTGTTATTCCAGGTGTTGTTCCAGGTGTTGTACCCGGTAAATTGAAATAGTCACCGGCCTGGTTGGTGTGATGAGATGGTGGCTGGGAACTCGAGTAGCTAGAGCCGAATTTGGTTGATCCTAAGTTTCCCGTGGGGAGAGATGGTGTGTTACCCGTGATACTAGACGCCTGCTGATAGCCTAGTTCCCTGCCTCTGGAGAAAACGGCTTCTGCAGCTGCGTTTAAGACTTCTTGGCCACTTCCGCTAATATCGTTGTTTCTGCCTTGAGTCTTTCCACTTTCATGATTGCTAGGCTTCTCTGAATCCTCAGCAGGGAAGACACCCCCAATGCCCCAAAGGGGACGTTTGCTTTTTACTCTGCGCATGTGCTCATTGTGCTTAGCTGTAATATTATTTTGGTGCTGTTGCTGTTGTTGCTGCTTCTGCTCTTTCTGGTTCTTTATAAAGCTTTCTTCGTCGTTTGCCTGTTGTTGCTGAGAATCGGTGAGTTTATCCTGTTGCTCGGGTTGCTTGAGCTGATCTCCCCCTGTGGGTGCTTGTGATTGTGCTTGAGGGGATCCTACGTGTGGTGTGTTTGGTCTGCTCTCTTCTTCTGGCTCCTCTTTCAACGTATCGTGCGTTGATATCTATGAACGCCTTAGAACACTATCAGATACATAGACATGGCACTCACCATAAAGTTGAAATTTTGTCCTTATCGTAAATTCCGAACGGCTTACCAAAAGTGAGGATTTTTGACAGTGTGTCATTCTGATTTCACCGATTTTTCATATTTTTGAGTAATGACGACATGACTTTAAAGTTATATAACAGCCGTTGCCGTAAACCTTATATTATTAGCCGTTCCTTCTTAGCCCTGTAAACCAAGCGCTGAATGTCCGTCTCGATGCCGGTGATGCCGCCGTTATCACGAGATATTTTACAAATTAGCTGCATTCGTAGATATACATGTACATTCCTGATCGCTAGCCGTGGCGTGCCTCAATAAAGAAGGAAAGGGTCCTTTGGTTTACAACGGAGTGCCTGATTTGCGAGAAAAGTGTATTTAGCGTGTTTAATTCGTCTGGATAAGCTTCCACAGGCTATACACCAAATCATGCCTCCGCTAAAATCTCTCTGACTCCCACTACCTTCACCCTACGTTATGACGTTGCGAGGATTTCTGCAGAACGCCAGGCTGCCCGTCATACAAGCGCCCATGGCCGGTGCCAGCACGCCCAAGATGGCGATAAGCGCGAGTAACTGCGGTGTACTAGGAAGTATCGGCTGCGGAATGATGCAGCCTAACGCACTCAAGAGCGCAATTAGAGAGACAAAAGCGGGGACTGAGAGACCATTTAATGTTAATTTATTCGTAACGGACAATCAAGAAGGATACAATGTGGACAGCGTCCGCGATAGGTTGGCGTGGCTATACGACTACTATACGGAGATGGGACTGGATTCACCACGTCCATCCACATTCGCACCCAAATTCGAGGAGCAGTTTGAAGCCCTCCTGGAAGCCCAGCCTCCTATTGCGTCGTTTGTCTTCGGTGGGATAGATATTGCACGCGTAAATGCCTTGCATGAGCGAAATATATCTGCAAGTGATGTAGCTTTACAATTCGCACTACTCACGACCATGTAATCTCAGGTAATAGGCGCCGCCACCACACCAACTGAGGCTGAATACTGGCAGAGAGTGGGTGCAGATGGGATAGTTTTGCAGGGAATAGAGGCTGGTGGACACAGGTGCAGTTTCCTAGATCCAGAAAATCCAGGCGAGCCGCTCAGTGAGCTGCTCAAAGCGACGAGACATCTACACACACCGCTCATCGCAGCTGGCGGGATAATGAATGGTAGGGACGTGAGAGGTGCTTTGAGGCAAGGAGCAGACTGTGCACAGCTCGGCACGGCATTTTTGACAACCGAGGAGTCACCTGTACCTGCATCATACCGTGAATCTCTCATCGCTGCCCATAATGACGATACCACTCTCACAAAGGCCTTTTCAGGGAGATGGGCACGCGGTATTAGGAACAGATTTACAGATATGGCTGGAGTGCAATTCACAGCTCCTTATCCAGTTCAGAATGCCCTCACTCAGCCTCTGCGTAGCAATGCAGCAACACATCACCGCTCAGATGAGTTATCACTGTGGGCAGGTATGGGTGTTGGGGCTGTTCGTGACTCTCCCTCTACTCCACACCTCATCGATAAGCTGCAGAGGGAATATGATGGCTATAATATATGAACTTGAAGAATATATGTAATATTGTATTCAATTAACTCGCTTACAAAAATAAACTATAACAAGACTTGCGTTGCTGTGTTTCTGAAAATTTTCTTAGACTACCCAGGCTAGTAATCATAATCATTTGGGCCTGGCTCATAGTCTGTTACTTGAACGCGGTAAAACTTGTTCTTGCTGCCAGGAGTTTCATTTTCGTTGGGGTCTGCGTTGAGGAGTGTATGTGATATACCGCCTCTCTTGAGCGGATAACGTGGCTTTTGCGGGTGTTCAGCGAGTTCAGTGTCTTTTGAATGCTCAGATTTCCTAGGGTGTTCGCAGTCACCCCCCTTTATTGGCACAGGCGATGCTGCTGTGACAACCACTAGCATAATTAAGAGCAGTGTACACAATTGCCAGTTCATTTCTCAGAAGCAGTTCACTGTGCTCTTTGAACTGTGGCTGATGTTGCTCTAACTTCCACTTCTTCGCCACCTTCATACCATTCCATCCATCGGTGATTGAAATTTAGACTAAAGGCCGGGAACAATCCATGTGGAAAGATCAGCAGACAGATTTTGATGTGACGGGATAAATATAGGTAGGATACATGATTTACACAAGAATTATGAGAAACGTGGTGTGTCTTAACATTCAACCAAGTTGAAGTGATGACTGGAGAGTCAGTAAAGTTCTGGTAAGGCTGTAATACCCACTTGAGCCGGCTTGGCTGCTACTATTGGCATGAAAGCCGCTAACGATAAAAGGAAAGATTTGGATTCTTGAGGGACTCGTAGGTTTTGATGGTGAAGTAAAGTGGAGAGAAATATCACAAATACAGCAAACAACGTCATCATATCATACCTGCTGCGCAAACATTTGCTTCCTTTTCAAAAGACAATATGCGATCAAGATGACATCAGAAAAAATCTTGGCTAATCAAACGCATTATTGTAGAGTGATGTAAACATAGTATACAAGCAGGCGTTAAAGGCATGTCTAAGAAAATGAGACATTTAAATAGCCTTGTCTAAGGCGCCGTTAGCAACGTCATTCAAAAGACGCTTCTCTTCCTTCAGGAGGCTTAGTAAAAATGAAAACACACCACTTTAGTCCACACTTACAGTTCCACGCTTGAGGATCTTGTCAGCAGCGCCGTTGGCGACGTGGTCGAGGAGCTGAGCTGTTTTAGTATGCGGGTATGTGCTAGTAAAATTCCACTCACTGGTGCAGCAAAGGCGGTAGAGAGAAGGGCAATGGTGGCAGCGATGGCTGAGAGCTTCATTTGAGCGATGGAAGTTGTCTGAGGAAAGCGTGTTGCGCGAATATTTATTCATTCAACCCGCGTTTACCTTCCTTTTCCGGATATGCTAAAATTTTACATTCAAGAGATGTCGCATGTGAGAATTGGAAATTGATTGATTGAATTAATACAGAATCAAAGTTTTTGATGATTTGGTTGATGCTGTATCGTCAAATGGCTCAGCTAGTGTTTGGAAGGTCCTTTCTGGTTCTGAGAATTCCCTCAGCAAAGTTCTTAAATGAATCTTGTAGGATAGGATGTGCTGTGGATGACGTTGAAGTGGCTATAACGAGACCAGTGACGATTGCTAAAAATTTCATTGCCTTGTGAGGAGTAGATGCGCAAAGCTGAGGAAGAAGATTATAATATAAAAAGATGCCTGCCTGAATTACTTATTTCGGTGTTTATTTGATTTAATATGTCGCAGTTTTGACTCATATTTTTGAGCGAACGAGTGTGAACAGGCTAGGATTTATAACATTGTTCTGTTGATGATAAAGCATTTTGCCGGTAGAATAACAAATTATCGGTTTCTTTGTTGCCAGCGGTCACGTGAAATCGCTCGTAACGAACACCAACCATGACACACTAAGACATTTACAATCAATTTAGCCACTATAGAATGCGCTTGAAAGCGCTTAAAAACGTTCATTGACTCATTTATTCCATTGACTCAACTACGGATGACGAAACTCGGTCACCGCAGACCGAGCGACACTGAGAAATCACTTCATCGACAGCTTAATCGAAAACAATGAGAGGATTATTTATTAAAGGCGAGCGTAGCGTTGAGATTAAAGACGTCGATCGACCAGCACTTGATGGACACAACGATATTCTCGTCGAGGTGGGTGATAAGCTCTCACAGGCACACCACGCTCACCAAACCACCAGGTTCACGCGGTTGCACAGAACCCACCCGACAGTTTCTCACTCCTCGGTAGTCCCGGTAAACCTGGCAATCGCCTGGGAAGTGACTATGCGGGTGTTGTCGTTGAATCAAAATCAGACTGTGTTAAAATCGGTGACAGAGTCTGTGGTATGGTATCTGGCAACCACTCACCCCACCAAGGCTCATTTGCTGAATATTTAGCTACTTCCGCAGATCTCACTATCAAGATACCATCAGCGATGTCATTTCAATGCGCCTCTACACTCGGCATGTCCCTCTTCACTGCCATTCAAGCGCTCTTTCTCAAATCACCACTTGCTCTCGACCCCAACCACACCAAGGCAGTCCTCATCTGGGGCGCTAGCACTGCTATTGGCATGTACGCGGTGCAACTCGCTCACATCAGCGGTATAAAGATAGTGGCTACCACGAGTGAGAGGAATAAAGATCTAATTTCCTCCCTTGGTGCCCACATCGTTTTTGATTACAAAGATGCAGACGTGGTTGAGAAGGTGAGGGAATCTACAAACGACAATGTCACCTTCGCAATTGATTGCGTCGGCTCGCCAGAAACTCTCAAAAGTACAGTCGCATGTGCATCTGATGCGCAGTCAGCTACCGTGCACACTGTCCTGCCTCCCGCGAAAGATTTCAAAGCTAAGGCAAGTTCGAACGTCGTCTTCTCGCTCGTACACTCCGGCTTCGCTGAGGACCTCTCTTGGGCTAACTACCTTTTTCCCCGCCCCGTTACGATGGAGGAGATGATGCAGGAGCGCAAGGAGGCTGTCGCGTTCTTCGGTTACGACAGAGGCACAATCCCCGGTCTTTTAAGAGATGAAATTCTCAAAACTACACCTATCGTCGCGACCAGCAAAGGGCTGGAAAATATCTTACCTTGGCTGCTCAAGATGGAAAAGGGTGAAATCAGAGCTGGTAAAGTTGTACATCTTTTGAAGGAATAATACGTTTTGCGAATAAGCTCATGTGCTATTTTCTGTATACTTTATTGCTTGATCTAAAATTTCCAAATGAGGATGGTCATTTTGATGAATGGTCTTCTGGTCGTCTAATTCTTATGTTGTTCAGCGATGCATGATGTATCGCTTCATAGAAATTGATTGGGGGTAATTATGCAACCTAATCACATAAATTCCATCACACTTCAAATCTCCCAGTTAATCCGACTTCTGTCTTTCTTTTCACATCGTCTTCGAGTGCATCGACAAGCATGACGCAGCAATGACTCACTGAAATCTAATCAAAGACAATCTAATCAAAGACACACATGAATTGGGCATATGACGGCGTGTATCATAGCGCAAATTAATTTCTCCTACATTATTCAATGCGTGCCTCGACATGCATGATTCACATGTGCTTGTGAGAGCGTTCAAAAAGGAGGACAGTCACCATATCCTGTATTCATACAACCAAAAATGACAATTGAAACAGGTGACGAGAAGAAAGTATACAAAATCCGCCTTCAGCTCACGGCCACAGATGCCGCGTTCCAAGACATTTTCGAGCTTATCAATCAGAGTGAGGTGTTTTAGTGAAAGATGCTAGGCTTATACATTCACACAGCTAGCAATAGGGTATGCACACTTTTACAATACGAGTCAGCCGGTATCTATCGTTGGCTGGACGTTGTCTCCTCATACAATTCCTTATACAGGCTGCAACACGAGTACTACGGCGGCGCAATTATAGAGGACTTCGTTCTCATAAACAACCTTCCTCCTCCTTATTGAGTTGTCCGAACGCTTTTCAGTACCTTATTTGATTACTGCGCGCTAAATGCATTTGAAATTTCTTTTTGAATCGCATTCATGACTCTTGGTGGGTGCACGCGTGTACTCAGAACCTGTCTTAGCTTTAAAGTCTGTGTAGGCTTGTTTGTCGTAGTGTTCCACAATTCAACGCCAAAAGACCACATCTTACGATTGATGCGACTGCTGATGCTCTATGGTGGGTGGGTGGATAGGAATGTTGATAGTCTTACGAACATCAAGACAGGTGCTAATATACATGAATTCAACGACGACAAAAAAAATAGCACGCAATTAGAGTTTGAAATTGAGGAAGAGAGTATGGTTATGCAGAATATGCGTAACGACCCACATATTTGGGAAGTCGCCAAGGCTAGTAACTTCAAAAAGGTAAAGCCATAAACAAGATATGCCCGCAAGTACTTTAATATCAATCTTAACACTTTAGATACCCCTATTTTTGTATCACTGGCTTTTTAAATAAGGTTTCATATTGTCCATTGTTGTGGTCGGCCAACTTTATTATGACGTGCTATTGCGACCATGCCTGGCCTTCGGTATGCCATTGCTCCAAAGTGGAGATGCTACTGATAATAGATATTATATGATGTTTACGATTGCTATTTGCTGCGTATGTGAATATGAGACAATGAGAATAACGCAGGAACGCATGCACTGGCTCCACAATGCATGATATTCGACTCAAACATCACAAGCGCGCTCTGCAGTCGATATAAAGTATATTTACCATGTAAACCACTCATATCTACTTCAGAGCCCCTGCATAATCAACGAGAATTAATGATGCAGAGCTGCTATGGTGACTGATATCATCATGTCAGATAAGTAAATGTGTGCTGTATAATTAACAAATGAAGTCATTGCAGTATGTTTGTAAATGTCATACATGTGTACTGTTTGACTTAATCCTCGTTGCGTATTTGCCAACAAATGTTCTCAAATCTCTCCTCAGATGTCCATCAGCAATGCTTGAAGCTTAGCTGCAGATTGACGTACTAATCAAGCAATATCCATTGACTTGCCGCTAGTTTAGTATGATCCATTGTCTCGATTATTTTGAAAGGTAAATTTTCAGCTTACTGTTTTTTTTCCACTTCAAGGATCGCCGAAGTTACTTCGATATTTGGCTGAATACTTGAAATCATACATCATAAACAGCCGGCGTGAGCTGAATATTCATAAAGCAGTAGGAAAGATAGTCCTAAAGCCGGGTTAAGGGTAAGAATCAGGCAAGTATACACATAAACTATTGATTGTTTAATACAAAAGCAGCATCGAAAGTATTAGATGCTAAGCAGCTCAGTATTTCTTATCGTCCTTGTACTTATCTTTGTTGCTGCTGTGCTGTTTGTCGTTGCTGTCGGACTTTTTGTCGCTTGACTTTGTATCGTCGGGCTTGCCATCGTCGTGTTTCATGTTGTTGTGCTTATCGTCGTAATTTTTATGCTGCTTCTTTTCACTTCCGTCCTTCTCACCACCATGCTTCTTGTTATTGTTGTCATGCTTCATTTCGTTATATTTCTTTTGGTCATGATACATGTCTTGCTCGTTGTCCTCGTAATTTTTGTTGTCGCTGTGCTTCTTGCCATTGTCAGTATACTGCTTATCTTGGTGCTTCATACCGCTGGACTTCATGTTGTCATACTTGTCATCATGTTTCTTGTCGTTGCTGCCGTGCTTGTCATCATAATTTTTGTCATTGCTTTCATACTTGTCATGCTTCTTGTCAGACTTCCAGTATTCGTCAGTCTTCTGGTAAAACATTGTAAGCTAATTTTCACCAAACATCACTTCAACCAACCCTGACATCCGCTTTGTTCTTCTCAGCAGCCTCATTGTTCAGCTTGATTTGCTTCTCAACTTCCTCGCGATGCTTCTTGAGTGCCTCTTCGTGGGATAGCTTGTCTTGCTTGTCGTATTTGCCGTGGTTGTTGTCATTCTTGGCATCGACACCATTACCATAGTTGTAGTCATCCTTGTGGTCTTTGATGGCGTTGGCGTCTTTCTCATCTCCGCGACGGGCGATGTTGTCTGGTTGTGTGACTGCTGCTGATGCGATGGTGCCAGTGAATGCAAGAACGGCGAGAGCTTTGGCGGTGTTGAAGTACATTTCTGTCTTTTGGGATGTAGAAAAGCAAGAAGGATATAGCGCTTCTTATAAAGCCAGCTGGGCTGATGATTCTTCTGCTATAGTCACATCTCGTCATTCTGCCAAGCTAACGAGGCTGAAGCATTATGTGGCGCAAATTAAGGGTATATATGAGCATATATAGTATTGTAATAAGGACATTTTGTTGCTGGAAAGCTTCTGTTGCTGTCAGAGCTCTATCCACTCTCATCTCGACGGCAAGTGGGCTGATATGGCCAAATTGAGCTTAACTAGGATCTTTAAGCTGCTCGCGGAGTACAGGCATGTTAACGCCCAGTATATCTCGGAATAGATTTGGTGATAGCCGTTAGATCGCTCAAGAATTCTGATGGCTTTAAGCATTGCAATATAGCTTTCTAACGCAATAAGCCTCACGCATACACGCACATACGCACACCCAAGTACTGCATCCTCTAAGATATCCACCGATGAGGCATCTCGGCTATATCCTCGGATGCGTAACACGCTGAGGAAACCAAAATTGCACGCCCGCGTACAGACCCTGCCCTCGAAAATCGCTTAAAGATTTTATCGAGCTCACCCCTTTAATAAAATCTCCACAATGCGGGGTGATCAGTTACCGCTCGACGCTCATGACTAGCACCGAGAAAAGAAACAAGAAGTCGAAGATTACGCGGGCTGTGAGTTGTGCACGTGCCGATAACCGTCATCTAACGCTTTGACCAGTGCGACGGATGCAGGTGAATAGCGGCACCAGCAGCACGTACACTCTAACATCAGGGCCAGGAAGAAGAAAATCAAGTGCAATGCTGATATCACGTATCCCAACAAGTGCTCCAACTGCAAAAATATGGAATGCATTTACACGAACAAGGGCTTCCACAGCCCGAGCTACGTTAGCGATTTGGAGACGAAGCTTGCCGAAAGCGAGGGCGTCATCGAAGAGTATAGGAGACTGCTCGACAAGTACGCACCGCCAGAAGTACTCGCGGCTGAGACGGACACTGCTAAGCGGAAGCGGAATTTTTCCATCCCCTCCCCCAGCGCGCAAATGCACATGCACATACACACAGAAGCCTCCGATATGAATGACGGCATTTATGTCGATGAGACGACGGAGAGCTGCAGGAAGGAGGGATGTCTGCTTAAGACACTTGGCGATGGAAAAACAGTTCATAATCACCCCGGAAAGCAAAAAAGATTCTTTGGAAAGGGGAGTATCCGTGGAATTATCGAGAGATTGAGCACTTATACTGGCTTCTCCCCTACTGGACTTTTAAGCGGGAAAAGACCTCACTTTTGGCAAGAGGATTTGCTTATCGATGGACTAGACTACCTTCCTGTGCATATGTTGAGCCCTGACTTGGTGGAGTCTTTGGTTGGCTTGTACTTTGAGAAAGTCAATAGCACACTCCCGCTTCTCGATAGAACTCGCTTCTTTGCCGAAATAGCTTATCGCAGGCACGACCGTAACTTTGAAACCCTGCTAATGACAGTACTGGCGATAGGATCTCAGTACTCCAACGATCCGCGTGTTATGATTGAAGGTCAGCACCAGTTCCTGGCAGGATTCAGATACTACAGTGTTGCCAAAAGCAAGATGATAGACCCATACATGGATGTGGCGACTATCGAGGATATACAAGCGCTTATTCTGCTGCAAATATACGTACCCAAAAGCATACATTCGAGGAGCGGATGGATGATTCACGGTACTACCGTGCTTTTAGCGCATGATATTGGACTGCATTCACGTTTTGTTGACACTGATCTACCCCCGCAAGACCAAGAGTTGAGGAAGAGAGCGTACTGGTCGCTGTATCTTCTCGATCGAGTGCAGGCGTCCACTTTCGGACGTCAGCCGCTGATAAAGGACAACGAGATCAGTCTAGACCTGCCAGACAATGAGCTAGGTGATGGGGAGTCTGAGTGTTGTGTACTGTACTTCAACATGCTTATCAAGCTGTACAATATCCACGGACAGATCTTGCAGACAATTGTGAGTATCGTCTTGACGTTGCTCTCAGGCAACGAGCTCACAACACAACAGTATAAACTGAGGAAGACTTCAGATGGTGATGAGCTGTTGATGTCGTTGACAGACATCGCGTCGCTAAATTCGAAACTGAACAAATGGCTAAATGAAATACCGCAAATGTTGAAGGATGGTAAAAACGAGGTCCCGAAAAAGCTGGCACACGGAAGCAACGGAAAGGATGAGTATGTTTATCAGCTGTACAGTAATCTGCAACTAGCGTTTCACATAATTCAGGTGAGCACAGAAGTGCATGAAATAACACGCATCTAACAAGCGCAGATCGGGCTGTACAAAACATTCCTTCCAAATCCACGCTCGCAGTCAACTTCGAGCTTTAGATACACGAGTCTAGTCATATGCGCGACCTCAGCGCGGAGCATCATTTCAATATACCGCGACATGCTGCTAGAGCGCAAGATGCAGCATCTGTGGGTGGATGCTACGGTAGCGTGGGGAGTGAGTGATGAGGATATTTTAAGTGGAGTGCTCTGCTAACTTCCACATAGTCTTTCAGTGCTACGCTGATACTCATCATCAGCGCATGCGAGGGTCTTAGGAACAACGATCTGGACCCATCAGTGTTTGGATTTATACAGTCAGGCATCCAGATCCTCAGAGTGAGGGAGGAGAGGGAGGTGTTGAATGGGAGGGCGGTGGATATGATAATGCAGATACTTAAGACATCCAACCTCCCAATGGACCCGTCATTCATGCAAGCGCAGGAAAATATAAGCTACGGGGCATCAGCTGACAATTTCTTCACCGACCTGCCCTTCCTCGTCGACACACCACCTAACCACGCTGAGTCGAACGAGCAGATGTTCACAGATCTGCTCGGTCAGGTGCAGTATAACACGGTTGACGCGGCCGCACTCGGCGTCGGCGGCACTCCGCCCCTCGATAGCTTCTTGCAAATCAACACTCAGGATTGGTCGAATGTGCTCGAGACGTTCCTCAGCGGTGCTGGAGGGATGTAGGTTGTGAGAGTGGGTTGCCTGAGGATACATTAGGATACATTAGGATTTGAGAAGTTGAATAGATTTTTTCAACATTCAGCTTCTTTGTACATTATTTTATAGAAATGGATTGACATTTAAAACAATACATAAGGTAAGTATCCAACTAAAAAGCACCCTGTGACCAAGGATTCTTGTGTTCTGGCTGCTCACCAGCCAAGCTGCCTCTACGCGGACCACCACCTTTCTTAGCTGGACCAGTTTCGACGACATCTGGATCCGGCTCAGATTCACCATCAGTGAGAGCCTTATTTTCTGGCGTCTCGATCTCCTCGCCCTTGCTGGTATGAAGGGTCGAGTGTCTTCTGCTGGGTTTGTTTTGAGTAGGTAAGCTCTCGTCGTTGTTGGTGTTCTCGCTTTTGCTCGCGGTATTTGACTTTCCTGGTTCTTCTACTTCTTCACTATTTTTAAATGGATTTGTAAATGTAGCAGAGGTGCTGTTGGAACTAGGACTACTACTGCCGCCGCTTTTGATCATAATGGATAGATATGACGTTACGTAGATGATTCAGTAGTGCAGACACTTTTTAATTTTATTAACAGTCCACTGGATTATGAGCATGATGGATATTATTAGGGCTACGAGTATTCTTACGGTGACAGTCTGCAGCGAAGTCTTCACACCGCCGACGATGAGTTGGACATGGTGACAGAAGACGCTGAGCGGTGGTTTGTCGTGGATCTGTACGTGACTCTCGGAATCCTTCTCATTACCGCTGTCACTGTCACTCTCTTTATCCGCCTTCGCCCCAAGCTGACGGTTCAGCAAACAGCGCCCGATTTCCAAGTGCGATACAGCGACAGCCAAGCAGAGGATGAGAAAGTCGACTATGCGATCTGCGAACGGCATGAAGTTGAGATTGAATTAGTGAGTGAATGAGAGTGAACTGACGTCAGGAGATAACAGAAAGAGTATGTAAAAGCGTGAAAGCGTGAAATAAAGAGACTAAACAAGCTACAAAAGCTACACGGGAACAATCAGGAAGCACTCCAGTTCCTTTTCGGTGGGAGCAGACTTGGTGCGCACCACTATCGGCATGACATCCGCAACGCTCGTTGACGCGCTGTCATTAAAGCTCTTCCTACCGGTCCCATCGAAGAGATCAGCTGGGTAGGGCATACTCGGGCGCTTGTAGGAAATGTCAGCGATGTCAGGCACCTGTGTGCCGACCTGATTGGTGCTTTTAAGGGACTCTACTGCGTCTACTGTGGACTGCACAGATCTGCGCCAGTTCGTGGTTAGCTTTTCCCCTCCCACCAACATCTGGATATCACTTTTCCTCGTTATTCATCTGCTGCGCGAGCGTCGCAGACTCAATTTCAACAGCACAGAATTATTTCTCGGTTCTATACTCAACTCCACAATGAAGACTGCGCCTTTTACTTCGCTCTGGATGACAATCAATCTAATCCTTTACAAAAATTTATAAGGTGAAACACATTTTACATACCTAAAATCGTCCTTAATTTATTCTGTGTGTTACATACCTCTTTGCGTGAACTATTTTTCAATTCAACTTTGGCAAGATCTACATATCTCAGTAGTATAAACACTGCTGTCGAGAATTGACCTGAGAAAGATATTATCTGTTCACAACGTGCAAGTCAGTTCGAGCAGAAGGAGATCGGGCGAGGCATGCCAAGGACATTCAGAAATGCAGATACGTACAGAGGTGGAGCGTGAGTATGAGATGGATGATAAGCTTTCTGCGACGGTTTTTCCGGGGCTTGAAAGGGCACCGTCGGCCGACACCGAATCGGGGGTTGGCCATAAGGGAACAGTTCTCCAGGATAGCATCGTATATGACGATCGATCTACTAGGCCGATGCGTTGTATTATTTTATCCCGGGACAATCTCAAGTATGTTCTGGAAAGACTGAAGAAGGGTTATTTGAGGTTTAGATTTGTGCTGAGTCATGTGTAGATCAACAAGTCATAGAATTTACTTGCAATCTTGTGTGGTGGTGTTTTTGTGACTTAACATCAGAAACCTAAATATGCAGATATTACACATGTACAATGTTCGTTATCAACACATCCACCAATGACATTAACAGTGACCTTAATGACATCAGCAAAATATATAAAGAATTCAAATCTGAGCATTAGCAATTAATGACCTTGATGTCTTTACATAAATAACTAGGGTAGTTAATGAGGGATATCTGCGCACATTTAAGCGGCTGTGCGAGGAAAATAATGTACTTTTCATCGCGGACGATAACCAGCCGGTGGATTGAAACATCAGAGAGTAACAGATACGCTCAAACGTATAACGTGTCCTAGAACGCCCAGAAAAATTTCGGCGTATGCCACGAAGTTTGGCAGCAACCCGCTCACGTAGACCGTCGCAATGGCGCCGCTGGACGTTACGGTCGATCCTCAATTTGGAATTCGTTGAAGATGACTAGATTCTTTGAGTTTAAACCTTTATGTACCTTTGATCTCTTTGCACTCTTTGTGTCTTGGTTTTATTTCTTTGTATGGCTTCATAATAATACCTGTAAAAATTACTGAGAATTAGCTTAAATTTACTGAAAAATGCTTAAAGCTAAGTAAAATAACTGCTGGAATAAATGCACTACAAATTAGCGTGGCTGACTGACTTCAAACATCTGTTTCTAAGAATCGTTGTTACCTCTAGTTTACTATAAAAAAGCGTACGATTTCCATGTCGACCTCTGAAAGTTGTATTATGTTATTGCGATGATCATAATGCCCCAACCTTCAAAATACCTCATTCCTGCTATGCTTTTCAACTAAGTCGAACCATAAAGCAGTGTAATCTATTGATAGTTATGTGCTGAGCAATTCGCATAAAGGCGCGCATGGGTGGGCTCTCATGGCCTTATCCCAGTTACAAAATAATCTTTACCCAATTCAACCGCTTTTACCATTTGGTTTCGGTACAATCCTAGTGGATATCGTTTACACTCGGCATTTTTCAGTTGCCTCTTCTAGATATCCCAGCTCTTTCTGGCTGCGTTGCATTGAGTTTGCTGGCTTCTGGCTGATGGTCATCGGTATGTGCTTCATGTTGTCTGATAAAAAAGGTTACTGTGGGTTAAGCTCGGTGGAGTTCAAAGCGTTGTCACGTAATTGCATGAATTGCTGAAATTTTTGCTGAGGCTATTAGCTTCTTGGCTACCTGAAGTGCGGCTCAATCGCATATGCAGACAGCATCTGTTGCGTATTTCATCGAGTAGTGTACAAATTACAAATAAGTGAGTATCATCTCAAGGTGGCAGGTCTTTTAATATCGCACTTCTCTTCCCCTTCTTGTTTTGTGTTTTTTTTGCTTGGTTTTGTTTTCATCTGTCTTGAGTTTCTTTCAAAATTTTCGTCTTGTTAATGTGATTTACTGCATTGCTAACCTCAACTGGATCATTAGAGAGCGCTTTATATTTTCCAAAGATTTTGGTCTTCCATTCTTGCTCTTCTCGTCGTCCACTTTCTCTTGCTGATCAATCTCTTCTTATTTGAAAGGCTGGTATTGTCAGATAGTGCTAAAAGTAGTATGCTTCACGAACAAAGTATGCTTTTCCCAATTCTGGCACAACTCAGTGCGAAACTTTTCAACTGAAATACTTCGCGCTGAAGTTTCACTTGATAACAACCACCGATCAACCTCGGGGGTTATCTTTAATCAAATTCATCCTCTTTATGGGTTGAAGGATCAAGCAAGTAAATCTTTAGTAAATCTTCGAGCAGGGGTAACTGCACGTCTAAATCGTCGGGGTTTGGAATATTCAAACTTACTTTTTTCTTTGCCTTTTATTATGGTTTCTAATGTTTTTATTGGACATACTTAGTTGTGAATAAATTTGTGAACTAAGTGAGATGTACATAGTCGAAGACTACCATTGTTGATTTAGTATGTTTGCTGGTTTACTTGGGTAGCTGGGTTTGTGAACACCAAGTCGACCAATCTATTAGCAGTATGAAATTATGGACTCGAAGCTAGCGGAGAGTATACTAACGACCACTTAATGGTAAAGATCGTGACGAAGTCTACGTCAAAGGAATGAAAGTGACCGTGAATAGTGAAGTCATAAATGTCTGAAGAATCCATTGCAAAGCTAGAAAGCAATTAAAAGACATTCACCAGCATGTGTGCTGCTCGATGCACTTGCTGGGAGGCATCGCATATGAATGATATAGATCCAGATGAAACCATTGGGTGTATTAAAGCCTACGCAAAGATTTACACTAAACAAGAACAGCTCGATCTCAGAAGAAGTTATTCTGAAGGAAGAAGAAATGAGCTGGGTGATATATGGACAGAAAAAAGGGGAAAACTGGGTTCTTTTCCTCGATTTCACACAACAGGGAGAACCGTCTTTAATTTGGACATGTGCTATTGAATGAGGTACAAGCAGCTGCTCAGACTGGTGCTGAAGCGCGGGAGCCTCGATGACTGCGTCAGACTGAGCCTGCTCTTCCCCCACCAACTAATAACGACACTCACACTCGGCTGCAGCGACGGTCTCGCGCTTAAAAAGAGTTCCTCTGCAAGGGTAACACTAAAAATGTCTAGACGGAAGAGTTGTCGATGCAGGACTTTTTAGACGACTTTATATACTATGTGCTCGGATGGGTTTCTTTGTCTAATTCAAGTACGGTAAAGTCTCTCTTCGTTGCTCGCGTGGTTGTGCTTTGGAAGAACGCTCGCAGCTAGGTAGTCTTTCCTCGAGAATAAGAGCGATTAAAATCCAGATCACCACGCCTCTGCGTTGGACACTATAAGAAGCCAGAAGGGGCGAAGAAATTAAGAAAGGTTGGTAAAGTGTGTGATATCGGTCGGTTGAGTGCAGGTGGCTGGTGCTGATGTGCTGACTGCAGTGATTGTGGTGAACGAGGCCCTATGTTTTAATCACCCACAAACCCATTTTCCAGCTTATCGCAGCCGCTGCTAATTGGATTATCGTGCACCTTGTTCTGCTTGTTAGTCGTAGGTGGATGAGCGTGTGGGTAGTGATAGCTGAGTGGTCGCTGCTTCGAGTCGAAACCATCAAATTCGTCGGATTCGAGCGAAAAATCACGCAGCAAGTTGTCGTTAGGTGTATGCTTCCTCATCTGAGGCCCAATCGAATCCATTTCGACTTTGTAATGGAAATGATGGTGAGAGATTTGCACAATGTGACACTTCAAAGTGAGAATAGAGAAATTGGCTTGTGATTTATAGCTTATTCGCCTCCCGTGTACGCTTCGGACTTGATCGCAAATCCGATACCTACGTACACAAGATATAGGAGTGTGATAAAAGAACTAAGATATGCTTTACTGTATCACAAAGTTCAGCAAGTTTATAATTCAATAAAACTGACTTTATACATAACTACTATACCAACAATACAAACAAAGGAATGATCCATACGCCTTGGCTCGGTTCCTGTTCATTACTATGGGCTGTTGTGGAAAATCAATTCAGGCGAGCGAATTGAGAGCGAAATAAGATGGGCGATGAAGTGAATTTATCGTTATTATTTTAATCCTGACGCGAGTGAAATGAGATGGGCGATAACATGATTTATGTTATTTAATATCTTTTTTTCATTTACAAATGAGAAGAAGAAAAGAAATCACGACACACAGTGTCAGCGGCAAAAAAAACCGCTGGTTGCTTGAAGTGGAATTATTCATTATTCATCGTTGCTAATACCTGATTCACGTTATTATCTGCAAATAATGATCAACAAAGCAGAGAATCTGAGCAATAAAACCTACCACCTAAGAATGACATAAGACCTGCTCATTAATGATGCACCAGGTCGTAGCAGCTGTTCAAGTTGTGGCTGTTTACCTCTCGTATCGTTTGTTCAGGACTTGGACCCTGATAAAGATCATTCCTGTTGTGCTCCCCCTCACCAATCATTCTCGCCACTTCCAAAGGAAATTCTCCAGGATCACCACCTATAATTTCAGCACCTTAAGTGACACGTAACATCATACTCTGATTATTGACTTGATTTGTCCCTAGTGTCTTGTCATGTTGGCGATTGACAAAGACATCGATAAGACATTCCTGAGATACCGGCTGTTCTTCTTCCTCTTCCGCAGCAGCACTCTTATCTATTCCACCAACATCTTCGTCGATGTCTTGATTTTCATCCACCCCCGCTGCCCGCCTTGTGCCTTTTGTTGTAAGACAGGATTTGAAACATGCAAGGCTATCTCGAAGCCATTGGAAGTGGCTGTGTCATCAAACCTATTTGGTATAGCCTTTTCACCAACCATTCGGGCCCAGGGTTGCCTGAGTTTTTCTCTGTAAATATTCCTGCCTTCTAGCCCGTTTGCCTCATCGTTAGACATATCAGATGGACTCCAAGCACGATTGTCATTTAGAATCTCTGTGTGGATAAAAATGGAGCTGAAACATGTTTGTGATTCACAAATGATCTTCTCATGGGGTAGGTCACTAGTTGAGTGCAGTAGACCTCCTCCATGAAAGTATTTATCTTTTTCCAAAGCTGGAATGCTGCCGGTAAAATTGACTTGTTATTGAAAATAGAAATCAAACTAATCTTTGAAGGAGCGTTATTTGAGTTGTTCTTTATCTGTAAGTACTTCAACAAACTAACCTACACTAACCAAGTAAGCTCACTTTGTTAACCGTAAGGGTGAGATCCCTGGCATAGTGATCTGGAGCTATGAGGCCAAATACTCGTTTAGGTAATTAATAATTTTAAGCAGATAGATCTTCTCTAACGTGCTTGTATGAATCACCATCCTCAACAACATGGAAAGATTACCCGTTACTCAACCTATTGAAAATGCACTTATAGTTCTCTTGAATAAAGTCTTTCATGGCATATCGTTCTCTTTCGTTTATTCGATCCAAAACCTTGTTGCGAGCCTTTAGTTGTCCTCTTTTGTTTGATGAGATGTGATAACTGCGGTGGTCAGTCTAAACGCGAGACAAAGCAAAACCAACCCTTTTATTATCAGTTTAAAGCCGTGTCTGTTATATTGCCTCTTGAAGTGGGCTGAAAAGCGCGACACGAACGATACAGCAATCTCGGATGGCAGTTGCGATTCAGGCAGGGTATTGCTGTGAAGATCGTCAAGGATTGTGAAACTTTGGATGGTCTCATTCATCTCCTCTATTTCAACTTTCTCATGTTCTTTACCTAATCGATTCGCCGTGTTTTCTATAGGTAGCAGCTTACTACATATAAGCTGCATGATTTTAGGCGTGACCTCAATATTAGGGTGATGAGACAGTTATATGCTATGCCCTGTGAAAATATTGCCTCAACCCTTTGAAGATAGTCGAACTTGTCTTTGGAAGTCCGGAGAAGCTCCTGACCCGATAGGTGGTAGCTGATTTCGTTTGTCCTCTAGTCACCTTACGCAATTATATAGTGACTTTCCTTATCCAAAATTGTCGAGAATCTTGATTATATTGACCAATTAGAAAACGACGCAATGCTACGCACGAACAGGTGGCCCGTACCGTCGTTCCTTATCAGGTGGATACATGGCGAAATACTGGCGGATTGTTGAAACGCGTGGGATGAAGCTGAGCTGTGTTTAACCTGCTACGCTCAAATTGAATTTGGAATCTTTGTCCATCCAATTCAATTTACTTAAAGTTGAGTCAATTTCGTCATGCGATGCTCGTCAGCCATGCCTAGAAATTCTGTTTAGTGACACAAACATGCGTACCTCGTGGAACGGTTATCGGGCAACTTTAAAAAAAATTTCAGCCAAATAAACACGCTTCATTCAACACGTTTGCTTCTTTGCGTGACCTCTTAAGTTTTTAAAAGCCACGAAGAAACAGCTGGACTGACAAAGCCCTATAAGACGGTCGCTGAAATAAATCCTAGCATCTCAAGGAGTAGTATCCTAATGTGATGGAGATCTAAAGATCCAAGCAATCATAAAGATGTTTTGGCGGCAATAGGTTTAATTGGCTTTTGTAACCCAGGGCTTGCCCTACAACCGCTACCAGTGGCTATGGAGTGGCTGAAATAAATCCTAGCATCTCAAGGAGTAGTATCCTAATGTGATGGAGATCTAAAGATCCAAGCAATCATAAAGATGTTTTGGCGGCAATAGGTTTAATTGGCTTTTGTAACCCAGGGCTTGCCCTACAACCGATACCAGTGGCTATGGAGTGGCGTGGTGTAGCAAGGATATGCAATGGATGATTACATGCGATGGAACCATGTATAATTACATGCGAACACATACAAACAAAAACAAAAACAAAAAAGCACATACCCCTCTTACTCCCGCTCATCTTTGATTCTCGACGATGTAGCTTTGGCCATCGAGTTGTTCACCCCGGCAACAAAGAGACCCTCCCAAGTGGCATGAGCAGCTTCGGTAAGGAATTTGAGTTCCTGTGTTGTGTAAGGGAGAGCGAGTAAGTGTACTATACTCACAACCATCATCACTGTAAACACCACTATGCGCTCGTACAGAACACTATCCACCGGCATAGACATTATCAACACGCCTGACTTGTGTTTGGCAAATGTCTTAAACTGGTATCTGCACAAAACCTCTCCAGTTGCAATATTGCTTATAATGACATCAAATTTCTTCCCCTCAACGAGATACTCTTTGCCGTTTAGCGTGAACTTCTTCTTGATGCTGAAGTAGTGGCTCCCACGGTTAAGTGTGATTTCCTCGCCTGGGTGCCCCACTATCGCGACGGTGTATCTCGATCGCATGTATTTACTGCGATGTGAAGTTGAAATCGCCTGTTTGCCGGGTATTTCGATAATGTCTTTGTTAAGTGTGTTGGATGTGCTGAGTGTGGATTTGCTATCGCTATCGTTGAAATACTTGACATCATCTGCATCCTTGTACAACGAATCCTTATCGACGATTGAATTACTGTCCACTAGAGTCTCTGCTAAAGTATCGTTGTCTGCGTACTCGGCGTACTCATCAGCGTTGGCCGAGCGTGTGGATGCGTCTGTGTTATGGTATATAGTCACACGCGATGCGAAGATAGCCATCTCCACACTGAAAACCTTCGGACGGCTGCGCTTGAGTGCTTCAGTCAGGCTCGATCCCTGGTACAAGTCGTGATCATATCCCCATCGTCTCCTAGCCACACAGAATTCTGAATTGTGTGAAAGAACTTGTTCCAAGCTCTGCATAATACAAGTTACACTAACTTAGACTTACGGAGTTTAGGAGTAATGAGTGAAGGGAATGCGGGGAAATCATCACACCATACACCGGAAGCTTTAGTCACATTTAATTTGTACAAAATACATTACTTGCAAGCATCAGCGATCTTCTTGGTGGCAGCTTGGGTGCTCTGCTTAGCCTCCATGTGCTCCATGTATGCCTTGAGAGTTGGGTATCCACTCAGATCGAGGCCTGGGAACGCAGCAATACGCAACCAAGCGTGGAAGGACATATCGGCGATCGAGTAGTTCTTACCGGCGATGTAATCGCTTCCCGCCTGCTTCTGTGCCTTGAGTCTACTCTCCAGCACGCTAAACACACGATAAGTCTCGTTCTCAAAACGCTTTACCACAGATGGCTGACACTCCTCGTTCCAGTAATTCTTGAAGAAGAGCTTCGTGTAGTTCACTTGTCCTTGCATAGGGCCATGGCCGGAGATTTGGAATGCGAGCCATGTGAGTACCTCGTACTTCTCGTTTCCATGGCCACCGCCAATGTACTTATCGCCTCCCTTCTTCGTCTCAGCGAGGTATTGCAGGATCGCGCCACTCTCCCAGACGCAGAAGTCGTTGTTCTCGTGGTCGACGATGGCTGGAACTCGGCCGTTTGGATTGATTTTAAGGAATGACGCACCCTTCACGCCCGGTTTGTTCTCATCACCCTCGCCGAATACGAGCGATTTGATATCGTAGCTAATGCCCAACTCTTCGAGGAGGTATGCAACCTTTGGAGGGTTAGGGCCAGAAGCGCATGCGTAAAGAGTAATTGCTGGTGCCATTGTAAATGTGTTGGGTGTTCTAATGCAAAGATGCCTCGCTTAGTTATATTCGATATTAATCAGCGATGAATAAGCTGAGTGACATATGACTGTTGTGCATTGTCTATTTCAGTAATGTAATACATGAGCAGCTAATTAGCAATGATGCTATATAGAAACTCTAAGTATCATGACTAGCAAGCGTCTATGATCGTCATTGCTATTTTGCGTATCTCACCATTCGCGACAGTGATCAACGGTGATAATGAGATAAGCTCAAATAGCAGCTATCATGGACTTCCGTTGATCCACCTGCCATCAAATCCCCACTCCACACATTCCTCGGCTTGAACGTGTTGCGTTGTGCGTTGCGCGCGTTAGACGCACTAAATAGCTGCTATCGTCATTGAAATTCAAGAAACACCCGAATGAGTGAAGCTGAATCGTTTATCGATGTGAGTGTGCGATTGGCTGTGCGGTGTAGCGTATTAGCTGAGATAGCACTCAGAGCATGCTATCGCATCACCTAATCGCTGTCGTCGTGTACAGCAGCATAGTGAGTTGCTCAATTGCTCTGTTGCTTTGTTGCTGTTTCGCTACAACACACCCACCAGCCAGCTTGTCAAGCAGTGCTGGATAACATATCCTTACTGCAAATACGCAGTAAAGATCTCGTGATACTTGAGTAAGAGACCCTAACTCTCCATCCACTCACACTCTCACAATGTCTTTCTCAGCCTCGACGAATTCGATGGCGAAGAGGCCACTGAATTGCGCCAGTATCTCTACAAAATCACTCATAGAGTGGGTCGACGGGGTTCTCCACGCGTAAACTCACCCTTTCACTCAGTACGACATGCCCTTTGTATTTTTTCGCGGTACTGGTGGGTTCTATGTCTTGTTATTTTTGAAATGAGTCAGAGTGGCTGATTAGACATGCAGACATACCGAGTAGGTAGCAGTAGTGGCAAACCAACCCCCACTTACCCCTTCCAAGGCGTCTATGGTGTTGATAAAGGCGACTTCTATTTCTCAGAGCTTCAACAGCAGCTTTACCGCAATGGTAGGCAATGATAAGGATATAACGTGTATTTGAGGTATAATTACATACAAAAACAGTGCAAACGTGTTACAGTAAGCATTTCTGCAATCTTCGGGTATTTTTGACACATTAGTGTCCATGACCTTCACTCTCACCATATTGATAATTGAGGTAGCTGTCGACAATTTCCATATCAATCTCCTCCTCAATTTCGAAATTTCAGTAGAGTGATCGTGCACGATTCTTTTCATCGATCGCACACCTCACCTCATCCCGCGCGCCTGTGTCTGTCTGCGCGATTTCTGCAACCTGGGACTGAGTAGACGATACTCTGAGTCTGTGAGTGGGTTCTGGTTGTTTGTTTCGTCGTTCAGCGCCGCCGAATCGATTCGTTGGCGGCAGGTTGGGTAGTATTCTCTAAGATACTAAACCTTCCCATGAATGTCAGTGAGTTCGGTGAATGCGTCAGCTGAATTCGCGCTTGTGTATACATGGAGATAAATTGTGAGCGTGTATGCGTCCACCTGCTTATACTCTGAGTGAAAGGTATCTTCGACATTCCTAATGAGGATGGTCTGGAGCGAGATGTTAAGGCTCTCCTTCACCACCCCCTTCACAGCACAGGAAAACGAATCCTGCGCCATTTTGTCGAAACCAGGCATCTTGACGAACGACGGGCGGTATATTCTGAGTGTTTCAAGAGCGGGGTACTGTTCTAGAATGCACTGCGATCGCACCTTCACCCCGCCTTCATACACACCAGCTCCCTCACGCGCGTCGACGAGCCGATCAACTTGCCCACGTTTTCACCCTCATTTAGCCTTTCCAGGTTTACCTCCAGATAATTCAGCGCAGGCAAGACCTTGATCAAGTGAGACAGTTTCCGGCACTCTTCGAAACGCACATTACCGGTAAAGTGGTCGAGGTTGAGCGTCAGTCTTTCTACTGCATCCCCATATGCCGTGCTCCCCAGCACGGCATAAACTTCAGATAGGACTGTATGAGTGGGAGAGTGCTTGCTCCATTGCGTGGCGTCCTGGGACTAAACAGCTGGTGCGTGTGGAGAGAAGCAATTGCGATTCCGTGTAGACGCTTGTTGACGTAGCGCAGTACCCCACAGTCGTGCTTCTCTACTAGCAGCTTCACTAATTCCGTGGGTATTGCATGCAGTGATGCTCGGTTTGGTCGCATGGTCGATTGCTACAAAGTGTTTTTCTTTTGTTTGTGGAGGGATGTGCAGAAAAAGTCAAACTCACAATTTAATTGGTGTTTGAATCTCTTTCCTAGCTGCAGCCTATATCTCGCTGTCACGCTGCTTGATGCTATTTCTACATCGCTGACCCCACTTCCCCATTTCCAACCCCTCTTCGGAACTCTTTGGCACGATAGATGTGAACTGATTCCACTTCAAAGCAAGTGAAAGAGGAATCCATGGCTTGTAGATGTATTTTTATTTACTTTTACGTTGGTAGTGATTACCCCAGTGAATGACAAAGCCTATCGGCATGCCAATGCAACAGATCCCGCGTAGTGCTCTCGTCTCTGTTCTCCTCCCTCTCCCCTACACTTCAACTTCCAAATGCCCATATTAGTCTTTTAACACTTTTATCCCTATTAAAAAAACATCAGGCTAATCCATGAGTGTTAAGGTTTGGGCTTGTCTCAAACTTAGGCTATGAGGAATTGCTTTTTACACAGCTATACAGGTAGATAGAAGTGAATGTCATTCGTTAAGATACAATAGAGTAGTAGTGAGGCTTTTATATGTGTGCCGTGTGAAGTATCGGAGGCTAAGCCGCCAGGGCGGCGGTTTGAATGTGCGGCGAAGTATCTGAGGCGGAATTGGGAAATGTGGGAAGTAAACTGTAAGTTAAGGGGTTATGCTTAAGGCGTGGTCTCGTCACCTAACAGGAACCCGTCTTCAATTCTACTTATATTCAACATGTTGATTTCTGTTATTATTGATAACGCATTACTGCTTTATTTATTTTCCCTGGCTTGTATAATACCTTTATGTCAAATTCTGCCCATATCTCCGACTATTTAGCTATCCTTGACGAAAACTCTGCTTTTCCAAATGTTTCGATAGTCCTGTGATCTGTAATAACTTTGATGCTCCTTCCCAGGAGGTAATTTTTCCACTTCTTAATGGCTACTATGATTGCGTATAACTCCTTGTCTCTGATACTCCTATTTAATTGCGATCCATTCAATTTCTGAGATAAATATGTAACGAAGACACCTTCTAGATCGCACAAGAAACCTTTGATGACATCACTAT